TATTCCGATTACTAAGGAAGTCTCGGCTCCTAAGCTAATAAAGCTATTTATATACCATATTATTAAAGACTTCGGTACGCCTATAGGCATAACCTCTAATAAAGGATCTGTCTTTATAAGCAAGTTCTAGTTAAGTCTATATTTCTACTTAAAGATTTAATAATAGCTAAGTATAGTATTCTACCCGTAAACTAATAAATAAACAGAAAATCTAAACTAAACTCTAGAATAATACTTGAGATACTATACTAGCTACTAGTAGGATAACTAGGTAATAAAGCTTACTCTTATAGAATTCACGTATAATAACTCTATATATTTAATAATAGGAATATCCCTATTCTATATCTTATACGGATTCTATTCCAGTATTAAACTATATATTAAGGATAATATTCTAGAAAAAGAAGCACTAGTAGTATAGGAAAAAGTATAAAGAATTCAAGTAAAACGGAAGGCACTAGAGAAATAATAGTAAGAAGTAGTAAATATATAGAAAAAGCACTATAATAAGAAATATATTAATAAGAAGTTTAAGATATATAATAAAGTCATGCTTTATATAAAGAATATTTAATAGCTATAACCTAGTATAAAGCTAGTAAATAGATATCTCGGCTTCTTTAAAGTTCTAGAAATTATAGAAATATATAAACAGGTATATTACTTGGAATTACTACTATTATATTAGATTTATAATATTTTCCATATTTCTTTCTTAGAACTATAGTACCCGCAAGCTAGTACTATAATAGAACCAGAGCCGGTCGAGATTAAAAATAAAGAGAAATTTGAGGTAGAATCTATTATAGCCTATAAGAAGGGCAGAAAAGAAAGAAAGTATCTCGTTTATTAGAAAGGCTACTTACTAGTAAATAATATATAGGAACCACTAAGTAATCTAGAGAATATAGCTTAAGAATTACAAGAATACTTGGAAAAGAGTAATATCATAATACTATTAGCCAAACGGAGACGCAAAAAATAAATGCTTTTATTAGGAAACTATTAAAAAACCATATATTTATTCTTGGAAAAACCATATGAAAATTATTAAAAACTCTAATTTCTATATCCCATAAATATCCTACCCTTATAACTACTCTTTACTATCCTTATTATTATTCTTATTAGGATTCTCTCGAGAAACAGGTAATAAATTAGCCTATAAAGCTATTAGCTATTAGCAAGAAATAAGAAAGAAATAAGCTTACTTAATACTAAAGAATATTAATTATACTATTAAGAGCACTTTGCACTTATACCAAGCTAGTAAGAATTACTTAACCCATTTCTTGGATTATTAGGAGAATCCGTTAGCCTCGAATAATAGCTTTAATACGAGAAGTATATATAATTTAGTATAGAAGAAGGGCAGTAATAGCCTTCTCTCTTTCGGGCAAAGGATAGGAAAAACGCTTATATGCATTAATAGCTTAAAGAAGGCGGTTTAACCATACTATATATACTTGAGAAATCTTAGATAATATTAGAATAAGAAATAAAAAAAGGAATTTATAACTTATAGGATTATACTTCTTATTCTTAAAGTAGTAGTAATTATATACCAAGTAATTATTACTCTTAATATAAGTAAGGTCAGGAAACTTAGTAATATTCTTAGAATATTAAAAATAGCAAGGGCAAATCAAGAATATGGGAGTATTAGCCAAACGGGTAGTAATAGGCTAACGAGTACTAAGAGAAGTATTTATCTTAATAAATAAAGAAGTAAAAGAGGGAATTAGAAAGGGACTTAAATAAAGCTTAAATAAGGCTTAAAGGAGCTTAAAGGAGCTTAAAAAAGGCTTAAAGAAGAAAGGCAAGGAATAAGGAGAAGCTAGGTATAGTATTATAGTTAAGGAAAAGGAAGGTTAGTTAGTGGAAAAAGGGAGGCCTTTTTATAATACCCTCTCCCCAAATAGTAATCGCAAATTCGGAACCGGCTCTATACTAGGAATACCCAGAAAATTCCAAAGAAGGGATTCACGAACGAACCAGAAGATCGGATTACTTTTCCAAGCTCTTAGGCCTATAGAACAACGATTTATTCGCAAATAGAGGCTAAGTTAGGATTTACGAACTAATTAGAAGATCGGATAAGCTTTATATCTAATAGTATATACTATATTCGTATTACCTTTACAAGGGGAAATTACCAGAGGCGATTTGCGAACTAGCTAGGAAGGGTTAGTAAACTATATCCTCAACTCTATTACCTGGTGTAATAATAGGGCAATTATAGGGAGTCTTTAGGGAAAGCCAGTAGCCAGGAAAGTTTCAGGGAAATATTTGTAAAGCTATTTGCAGTTTTCCCAGGCCTCTTGGGGACAAGGGCCCAGAGGGGAGGTTAATATAATAGGCATACGTAATGGCGCATGGACAGGTATTAGATATCGTAGATCTAGTTTCCTATTTTGGGTATAGCTTGTAATCGGAATCATATGAATCACATGGGATTTCCTAATTAAGTAAAGGGCTTCGCATGCCTGGCTAAGCACTAGAGAATATATAGGGAGACGCTCCTAGCTTTAGAAGGGGCATTAATTAGTCTCTTATTAGAATCAATTCTTGGAATCAGTTACACTTGCAAGCGTCACTCCGCAGCTTACTTACCTTAACTACTTATGCATTACCCTGCTATTACGTGCCTTACATAAAGCTTATTTCTCTACTAATATTAGGACCTTAATAGGCTAGGGATACTCCGTTTAGTACTTTTAGTATTTTATAATATATAGGATATAATTATATATAAGATATATTTATATATAAAATATATTCTCTACTAATATTAGAAGTTTAGAAGACTAGAGATACGGTATTTAGTATTTTTAATACTTTATAATATATAAAATATAATTATATACGAGATATATTTATATATAAAATATATCTATATTTAAAATATATCTATATTTAAAATATATTCTTTATTAATATAAGGGCCTTAATAGACTAGGAATATAGTATTTGGTGCCTTTAGTATCTTATAGGTATATATATATTTTAAGTATAGGAAATATATATATATATTCTTAAAAATATATTTCCTAAATAATTATAAGTAAAAAATAAAGAAATATATATCTTGCCTACCTTTTATATATATATCGGAGGCTAAAGAATAGCCAAAGAAAGCCTTATTTTATAATAAAATTATAAAAATTAGCTTGTAAAGTATAACGGCAGGAATAAAGCAATGAAATAATACTCAAAGATCTATAATTCCAATGTCCTATAGAATCTAAAGCTAAGGAGAGAAGGAGTGAGGTGTGGCAGTAGATAAGTAGGTATGGCCAAGACTACTGAAACGCCGAGCTTTGGAAGCGAGCTTGGTTTGAACCATAGCTTGGAACCATAGCTGAAACCAACCCCTTGGCTGAAACCACGTCCGTATCAACCATGTGACACCAGCCGTCACATAAAGTATAGGGAAAGGGACTAGAAGGGAATTTAATTCTTAATTATATAAGTATCCGTTCTAGGGTTTACCTAGAGAGGGTACTTATATATTCTAATTAGAGTTAGTCTCCTGTTATTTCCTCTTTGGATATATATTCATATTTTAGGAATGCTATACAAGCAAAACAGGGATGTTACAGGGATTGGCAGGGGTATACTATTTTTGTATCTATCTTAGCTTGGCATGCGCGCAAGAAGAAGACTAAATTATTTAAGGCTCCTTAAGACTAATTGCTCTCTAGCTCAATCTCATCAAGTCCCAAAGCCTCGTTCGTCTCTGCTCGTACTTCCGCAGCCTCAGCTACTCGCCCCATCTCGCGAAGCCTTTTCTCCAGACGTGTCTTTATATACAACACACAGGCATGAAACTTGCCTACTATTTCTTCTAATCTTCCAATAGCCTCTCGAAGTCTGAATTCGTCGTTCTCTTCGTGACGACCTAGAAAGTGCCCACCCCACGCGATCAAATCAAGTGAATCGGCAACCAGGTATTCGTGTCTCCCAAGTTCTTTGCAACAAATAACGACTTCTTCTAATACTTCTATTGCCTCGGCATATTGGCCGTGGTTATATAAGCTATATCCATAAGAACACTTGATATTAACAATTCTTGCGTCGAATTTGCCAAATTCCTGTTCTCCTCGTATTAACAGGTCGTGAAGAAGTTGGAGAACATTTGAACTCTTTTCGATATCCAGGAACCCAGTGTAAGAGAAAAGTGTGGTACGGTGAAACTGCCCCAAGGAATTCGCAAACGCATCGCAAATACACTTGTATGCTTCGATAAGAGTGAACTCAAACTGCGACTCCTCTATATCAGCGAGCTGAGAAAATAGCTGTCTCCAGGGGTGTCCGTCGGCCAAAAGCAGTGTTGCTACATCCCGAATATGGGTGCGAAGTAAAGTATCAATGTGGTTATAGCCGTGGCGTCTGATGTAGAGAAGAGAGTAAAACACAGACTCGAGTGTTCTTGGGTGTTGGCTTCGAAGAAAATTATTGGTGATGCTTGAAGCTTTGGAAAAGAACCGACGGCCTTCGACGAACGAGTTTGAACTCATCAAGCGAACGCCGGAGGAGCATAGGTCAGCAAAATCGGCTGGATGGTTGCATTTTATGGTTTTATTGGTGCTGCTGATAAGATTACCTTCATCATCGGTTTTGAAAAGTCCACTATCGAACGCCCCACTAAAATAGGTCGTGATGCTGGCGAATAGCTTCTCGGGCACGAGAAGACTTTGAGGTGGCAAGGGCGAAGAAGGTATTTCAAAGGACTGTATCTCGGGATTCGAGAACAGAATTTGTCGGGTCTGGTTGACGTTGAGATTTCCAAGCATACCGCTGCCCTGCGGGGAGCCCAGAGCAAATGATTGAACGCCGCTTGGTTCTGGGCACCGGGGTGCGAGCCAATTAGCACCTCTTTCTCCAATGTCGAGGATGGATGCGGATTCCGGGTTCGGTAACGGCACTGGCGTCCAGCACTTAATTGCTGGCGGCGTCAGAGGTCCAGGTAGCTGGGGCCGAGCTTCCGGATCCAAAATCCCTTTCCGCTTAAAGTACCGCAGAACATCGTCAATTGTAGCCGCCTTTCCCCTTACCCTGAAAGCCGATTCCTTGCCGGCAGCTTCTCTCTGCATTTGCTTTCTCAACATTGCCCAGGCCTCTTCTTCTTTTGTCTTCTTGTCCAGATTCCATTTCTTGATGCGGTCCTTGTACATCTTGGCACTGAGTGATGTTAGTAATGTCCCAGGAGTGAGCTCTACCTTTGATTCACTTACGTTGCTCGATGGCCATGTTCTCGTTCCATGACTGCCATCACCTCTTTCAGGGTCTTCTCTTCGTCGATGTAGAGCCGTTTGATCAGCGGTCGGAAACGGTTCCATTCAGCGCGAGACGAAGCATGGCCGCAAGAAGCTGTCGCATTGGGTCCTGGCCCCGGAGCTGGTTTCGCAATGTTGGGTTGAAGGTCAGACATGGTGCCCTGTCACAGCCTTGCAGCTTCGCGGTGGGAAATTTTGCAATGAAGGAACGGAAATTGTAGTTGGAGTGATACGCCAGCTTCCGTGTGCCCACAAGATTTCGAGTCTCGAAAGTATGGGTCAGTTCCTTGCACTATTTTATTTAGTAAGGGAGATATATATAGAGGCAAGAGCGTTGTTGGAAGTGAGGCTGCGGGTCAAATGAGGCTGGGGGGTGTGGGTGGATGACCTAGTCATTGGCGATGGAACCGATCAAAAGTACCATGCAGCTCGAGCGCCTCAAACGCCACAAATGCAATATTGCCCTATTATTATGAATGTAAAATTATCGCCTAAAAGCATACGCTGCCAAACGCCCCCTCCCCCATTCGACTAGCGTGTGGCGCCCCAGCCCTGTAGCAACCCCTGCCCGCCCCAAGCACCGCCTGTAAGGCCTGTAAGGCCTGTAGAAACCCCCCTAAGATTTGTGAGAGCCTGACAGGCCCCAATATACGCTGCCACTCTGGCAGCGTATTTTTTTTGGGATTTTCCTCGTTCCCACCGAGGATTTCTTATTTTCTATAGGGCATATCTCCAGGCTATAGCTATAGGGGTATAAATGCCTTGTTCCCACCGAGCCTTCTTAAAATCCTCGTTCCCACCGAGGATTTCTTACAGGCTTCAAATGCCCTAAAGGCCCTGTAGAATCTCCCTCCAGGGGCCCCCTGTTACGCCAGTCCTAATTAGTCCAAGCCACAAAAAAATACGCTGCGCGGCGCTGGCAGCGTATTATTTCGTAATGAATACCCTCGAACTAAGTACTTTATAATACATATACGAATATCCTCGGGATTCTCTTATATAGGATCTAATATCTTTTCTAAGTAGCCTCTTTTAAAAAGAGGAAGCTACTTATTAAGCGGCTTTAACTCAAAATCAGGGTGATTTTGAGCTAAGTTAAGGTTTATTAAGGATTACCGAGACATATCGAATATAAAAGAGTATATTTGTAATAGAAAGTATACTAGTAGAAGTAGTGGTTGAGTTTTTATATATAAGTAAAGTCAGGCTCGGCAAAAATACCTGAGGCATCGATACCGGTATTGATAGTATTAGGTATTTTTCAGGTATCGTAAGAATCGATACGTATCGATACCTTATCGATTCTTACCCCTAAAAATTATCTCTTTATTTTATTATTTTATTTATATAAGAATATATTCATATATAATTCCTTTGATTTCTAGTCTGTCTATTAAAAAATTTATTTACTATTATTAATAAAATTTAATAATATCTTAAATTTAAAATACCTCTCGTATTCGGAGAATTAAGCCCCGTATTCGTATTTCTTATCAAGGCACTAAATATATAAGCGAGCCTCACGAAAATCTCAAAAGCTCATTTTTACTTAAAATGGCCGCATTGAGATTAGTTTTAGCCTAAAGTATAAGATAAGTAGCTAGATAGAAAGCCTAAATTAAGGAGAATATTTGTGCTACCAAAAATTTTCTTGTAAGAGAAGTAGTTCGAAAGTTAATTGTGATTAAAGGGGAAAATTAGGTTCAGGGAATCGATACTACTATCGATACTATTGATACTATCGATACCTTACGATTCTGGCATCGATACCTATCGATACCGGAAATTTAGGTATTTTTGCCGAGCCTGAGTAAAGTAAAGTAAGAATTAAAAAATAAAGGAAAATCATATATTCTTATAGTAAGTTCTAATATTCTAGTTATTTAATTTGTAATATTTACTAATAGAATTACTATTATTACTAAGTACTTAAGTCGAGGTAATTCTAGAGGTATCATTGAGCTTCGGCTCGCTTATCAAGCGTTACTACCCCCTGATTGGGTGGCGAGGGCGGGAGGGGCCGGAGCGCTACCCGATTAGGCTAGCTCGTCACGTGTATGCATCACGTGCTCATTAATCAGATTAATTATGAATATTCATGATTAATCTGATTAATGCGTGAATAGAATATGATTAATAAGTATTTTTCGTGAATAGATTAGATTAATGGCCATTAATCTAATCTAATCTATTTATTTCTCACACTGCTCTCGGTGGGGATAGAAACCGGGCGCGAATCCAATGACGCCGCTGTACACAAAGTACCAATTAGAGAAGCTTCCAGGCCAGACATCTGTTGCTTCGACGAAAGGTTGAATTTTGATCTCCAACCCGTTGAAGGATAGAGTGTCCTTGGAAATTGCTCCCTCTAAATTCATTCCTGCGTAATTGAAGATCAAGCTTCCGTGACCTCCATAGCGTGTCGAGGAATTTGTTGCATTGAAAATTGATATGTCATTTGAGTCGCAGAATTGGCTGTAACAATCGCTAGAAGGCACGAATAGGGTATCCTATTCTATATCTCTTGCCATAATAAATGACTGAGGTGGAGTGCCCATGCTTGCGTTGATGCCGTAAAGTATGAGAGCGATGTCCTTATAACGGGTCAGCTCACTGTATACATAGCTTGGGTGTTTAATCGGATTTTATCGCCTTCAGCGAATCTCTCTTAGGGCGGTCATTCCTATCATGCTCAGTGAGAATGCGCTGCTGCGATGGGTCCGAGCGATATTTCCTCCGCGAGTCCTAGCACCGATTTAGGATTCGTCCCACCACGTTATTTCGTGAATCAAGTACTCACTTCTGAAATAGTATGGTGCTATTCGTAGATAGGCAATCGATACGTGGCAGCATTCGCCGCTCCTAAAAGCAGCAGGGTATATCGTAACTTAAGGAACTTCATCTTCGTAGAGCTTCGTAAAAGAGGGAAATACACTATTTGAAATGTCGATTCTGAAGAGTTGTTGGATGCCGGATTTTACTCTACCGTTTTTCTCTTCTGATGAGTTATTTGGAGTCATTCAGCTGATCAAATGCTGCAGGTATGCTGGGCAGGGTCGAAAACTATAATTCCGTGACGCGTTGTAACCAGAAATAGAGACCGAGATTTTGTTAGGAACTTTGCAATATTTAAGCCATTCCTAGGACATTTGGCAGGAATGTGGTGCCTTTGTATGTTTAGAGACCTTGGCTGCTGACATCAGGGATGCTTGAAACCGGCTGCCTGAAATCCCTCAAGATCCTGATAATCCCTTCACTTGCGGGCAAGCCCTTTTCTCACTTGTGACCATCACATAATTCTCGTATCAAGGCGATTGTAATTTTAACCTAAATTAGTTAAAATTGGGAGAGTGTATAATGCATCAGTTCCCTCGATAACGCCGACATCTTTTCAAGTAATTTTGAAACGGGTACAATTTTGGAGGAATTATTCGTGTCCTGGGGTTCATTGGCATCAAAAGTATCATAACCAACTAACGATCACACTCGTCTTGACCTCAACGTGATACTTGTTACTCCAGTGCAACCCAGTTCTCAAAGAGAAATTCGGACACCGTTCTGAAGAAAGGGGGAAATAATACTCACACTCCAAATACTCTATGCTATCATCGCCTTGCTCCACAAGCCCATTATTGATCATCCGAAAGAAGCGCTCCATGTGATTGAGTCTCTCCTTCGAAGTAACGAAGATAGGAGGGGCTGAATGCTCGAAGAGAACGCGAGGTTCCATCCACTCTTTAAGTCAATTTCGCAGTTCATCCCAGTCGAGGTAGTACCCATGCCACGTGAAGGGAAAACGGGAAAGTCTCCGGGGGTCGTCCCCATCGCCTCGGGACTTGAGGATCGATCAGGAGGTTTTGTTGGGAAGGCCTAAGTAGACCGCGTCGTTGTCGTCGAGCAGCTTGAAGAGCTCGAGGTGGACTTCCGTGAGTAGGGAGATGATGGTAAGCCGAGACGGATGGGAAGGAGAGAAAGAGGCCGAGGTGTTGTCGGTACTGCAGGGGGAGAGTTGAACTGAGATAGAGTCTAGTATGTCCCACAAGGGGGTCTCGATGCACTCCCACCTTCTTCCAAAGTAGCATTGGCATCTCGGGAATATCGAGTTAGCATCGCCTCACAAACTTAAGGACAATCACAAGGAACAGCCGAAATTTTACTCGCCTTCCAGATATTCATCTATTAACATTTAGCTCAACATTTGCAGCTTCTGGAAAGACCTTTGCCATAAATTAATCATAAGATAATAAATCACTCCACATCATCCTCATGAAAAACCAACGCCCGAACCTCAACACTCATCCTCGCATCTCTATCCTCAAACTCGAGATCTGTAAACGAAGTATGCGGCACCCTCCTCGCCCTCCCATCAGTCTTCGAATCGAAAATTTTAAAGCACAAAAAATCTTCTGGGCTCTGCTGGGACATATACCACCACTTATGCCCTTCACCCCCCTCCTTCTCCTTCCTCTCTTCCGATGGCCCTCGCACATCAACACTCTCAAACTCATACGTTGGATAAATGATCTTAATATTCACTAGCTCTTCTTCCAGCACAGTCCGCGCATCCAGGACAGCAAACGGATCTTTGAAGATCGTCTTGAGAGGCCGCCAGACGTTGATAATCTGGAAGCGGGACTTGAGGAGGCGCTCGGATTCGTCGCCGGGGAAATGGACTTTTACGAGTTCGGGGGCGTAGTTATAGGACTGGTCGACGTGGGCGCCGCGGACGGGGCCTTGGAGTTCGGCGGAAATTTCTGGGCCCTTCCTTGCGGTTGCGACGTCTTTGGGTGTGCATCCTTCTTTGGTAGCTTCTTCGTCTTTGGTAGTGACCCTTTCCTTGGTAGCTTCCCCACCTTTAGACGAATCCCCCTCCTCGGCAGCATCGTGTTCAAGATAAAGGAAATGCGTGTGCGCTTTCCTCACAATATGATGAAAGATCTTCACTTTACTCGCGCCAGTTCTAATCCTGTGATTAGCCTTTTTACTCCGTTTCCCTTCCCCTCCTCACCCTCTTCTCTTCCACTTACACATTCTTCAACAACTCCTCAATTTCAACATAATAAGCCGCCTTAATCTTCTCATCATCATCGAACTCTTGCAAACTCAACTTGCTCTCTTGCTTCACGAACTGGATGCCAGAGACATCGAGTGTGTGTTCCACGCCCGATCCACGCACATCATACACAGTAGCGGGCTGGAATTTGTTGGTGTTTTTGATCCGGGTTTTCTCGTTTGTGATGTAAACTGGAGGTCGAGGCCCGGGCTCGCTATAGTAGGCGAGTTCGGTGGGCACGTTGCGGGGTGCAGTGGCTGGAGCAGAGATCACCACACCGTTGTTCTGACCAGAGGGGACCAGGACGAGAGTCTCGGCCATTGATGCCATGATGGAATAAGTGATAGTTACTGAAGAGGATGTAGGGGAGAAGGCGGGGATTATATGGAGAGGGAGGTGGGGTGAGATTGTGCGAGGTTGAGGTTGTAAGACCCGAGATGGAACCGAGCGCATGACGATACATCTGCCGTTCCATCACGGTAACACAGCAGAAGCCACATGAAAAACGGCACCGAGCGTGAGCGAATTATTACTTTAATTGAGTTTTTTTCTAATTTCAGACTGTGATCAGTGGCTTACTTGCGGTTTGATGGGTTTAAGGTCAGAGTAACGTCCACTTGCACGGAGTATAGTGTGCGAGGCAGTAATTCTTGTTTTCCCAAGGTTGGTAAGTTAACAGCGAGCTTACACAACCGGGAGAAGGCAAACAAGAAATCAAATCCGAGAGAAATCAGAAACTGATCTCGGGAGGCGATAAGACGAAAGTATATTCGGTCCGATCCAAAAGCGACAAAACGGTCGCCCTTTTACGACTATAATAACATTTTTAACTACGCAGGCGCAGGCCCTAATGTTTGTTACACCGCCTTGAGTTCTGCTAAGTCGGCTACAGCGCATTGCTACAGGGCATTTCAGCGAAACCCCTTCCAAGGGGGGCGCGGGGTAACAAACATTAGGGCCTGCACCTGCGCATGCCTTCGGCCTGCAAGACATTACTAGTGTGGACAGGGGGGTGCGTGTCACTAAACAGGGAGGTCTGTAAAGGCCCATTCCCGAATACGAGCGGTTCACCAATAGGGGGTCCCCATTGCCGAATCGCGCACTACGATTGGTCAATGGGAGGGGAATACGAGATGGGGAGGCTGATTGCCTAGTCCGGAAATATTTCGGTTTCGGGGTTTATGAAAATTGAAAATATACTAATATATTTCGTATTACTCCCCTTACTTCGCCCTTTAATTTCTTGCCCTCATCTTATATTTAGGAGCTACTTTAGCTCCCCTAGCTCTTTTTGCCCTTCTTTTGACTTAGTAATTAGCTAATTCCTTTATATTAGCTTTATTCTCACGTGGCTTTTGTGACAGCGAGATCGAGGCAATGGCCAGGGTTCAAAGATCCAGGAATCTCATGTATTGAAAAATACTAAGCTGTGGAACACAGTAGGGAGGATGCCTCGACCTTTTAGTATTGTCCCGCCCAAGCATTCCGGCTTAGCTTCGTTTCGCATCTGTTCCCGATATCCTGTCCTTGGCAAATTATGCCGTTATGCCAGCCGTCACATAACCCCCCCCCTAAAGAAAAGCCTAAATGCCCTTATTTAGGGGATTATCCAGCCGCAATAGAGAAAAGGAAAAGAAACCATAATTATTGACCCCATTCCGTCTAATCCCGGTAGCTTACTTGAAATCGAAGCGTAATCTTAACTCTGCCAAAACAATCAAGTTCCTAGTATATTCCGGCCAGTCCTTCTTATCCGTTACTCGCATTATACCTATACTCATATTAATAATATGGTCTAGAAATACCGTATATGCCATAGCTAATACTAGAACTATTATTATTGAGTAATCTTTAATTAGGAGTAATAAATCAAGTTTATTTATTGAGGCAGGCTTTAATATATATAAGGCATGTAATAGTATAGTAATATATAAGTAGTTAAGGTAAGTAAGCTATAGAGTAACGCTTGCAAGCATAACTAATTCCAAGAGTTAATTCTAATAAAAGACTAATTAATACCCCTTTCTAAAGCTAGAAGCGTCTCTCTATATATTCTCTAGTACTTAGCCAAGTATATAAAGCTCTTTATTTAATTAGAAAATGCAATTTCATATAATTTATTGTGGTACGGCAGGCCGTACTCGTTGAAAATCATGTTGTTTTGGCGGTTTTGAGGTTTAGGTCACATGGCAAAGGCCGCGGCCTTTTGTACGTGACTTGCGGAAATCACATAAGAAAGCTGGTTTTTCTGTAGACTTAGAGAATAATCCTTCATGAGTATTCAATCAATTGAGCTTTTGCATACTACATACTGTTTATGCTTTACTGTTTACGCTTTTGATTTGTTATTTTGCTATCAAGTCACGTTTTGCGCTCTGGTGTACTTTATGTGGGTTTTTGTCTTATTACAGTTTCCCTCCCATATTATATAATTCTAATTATAAACTTTATTTAAAATAGAAAATTAAATTCACGATATCTAATATCTATCTATATACTATTATATATATTTATTATATTAATTCCTCTTCTAGGTTTTTGTTCTTAAAAGGCCCTAGAAAACTATAAATAGCTTTATATATATTTCCGGAAACTTTTCTAGCTTCTAATTTCTTCTAAAAACTCTTTATATTTACTTTACTATTATATTAAATAATAAATCTGAGAATATAGTTTATTAATTTTATTTAATTAACTTATAAATCGCCTCTAGTAATTCTTTCTTATAGAAATAATATAAATATAATATATATTATTAGATATAAAGTTTATTTAATCTTTTAATTAATTTATAAATTCTATTTTCGCCTCTATTTATAAATAAGCTATTATTTTATAAATCTAAAAGCTTGAAAAAGTTAATCTAATCTTCTAGTTTATATTACGAGTATAAGATCTAGGGCCTAGAAAATATAATTATACTATCTTTATTTTAATAATTCAAAGCTAAAGAGAAAAGAAGATCTTAAAGAAGCCTCGGATCTAAATAATTACAAGCTATATACGGGCCTATATACTAGCTTAAGCTCGGAGTCACATATAATAATTAGGTAACTATAAATACCTTATTTAGATACTAGATACCTCTCTCAGATATCAGATATCTTACTAGCTCTAGTCTAACTCCTACTAGTACTATATATTATAATAACCGTAATATTATTTCTCTCCTTAAAATAAGCTTATCCCCGAGCTTCAAAAGTCCCTATTTAAATTTCCAAGTTATAGGTTATATATTAAAGGCCAGGGCCTTTTATATATAACTTTAAAGAATTTCTATTTATATTATATAGTTCCGGTAGTATATTATTCTTGGTATAGTCTAACTAATAGGAAAGATTCTATAATAGTCCTAGCTATTTAGGGTTTTTATTATAGAAGCTCTAAAGAGCTAGAATACTATTACTTAATAAGGAAGTAGGATATTACTCCGGATCTGGGTTCTACTCTTTTTACTAGACTCGGTACTTTAGCTTCCTATAAAGTAGCTTTACTACTAGTATTTCTTAAACTTTATACTCCGTTTCTCTGTCTTATAGTTCTAATAATAAAGGCTCCGGATTTGCTTATCCGAAAAAAGAATTACCTGGGTTTTTATATAGCTTCTTTATGTAAAATACTAGATATATTCTTATTAATTCCGGAAGCTTGAGCCTAAAGAAATATCTTACTTAATTTAGGATTTTATATAGTTCTTCTATTTAGTAAGCTAGCTTATAGCTCGGATAATTATTCTTCTAGTACTTAGTAGTAATTCATATCTTATTTCCTATTCTAAAGTTTACTAGTTAGTAGTATTTATTAGCTTAAGTAATATAATATTCTTATATTTATATTATATTCTTCTATATTTTTTACTATAATTTATAAAGCCATATTACTAGAGCCTTTGCCTCTTATTTATTTAGCTCTTTTTTTAGGGTACTGTAGTGGGGTTTTTTCTCTCTTGTCCCGTGACTACCGTCACGTGTCCTGCTTCCCAGGCATGCTGGCGCTAGTTTAGGGGGTTGCATAAGACCTCCGTCCATATATACGATTAGCCTTCCCAATACATTAACCTTCGGAGCCCCTTATTTTTGACCATTCGTATTATTTCATTACTGGTACTGAGAGTCTTAAGATTATTACTTCTACTTATTTAGCTTCCTACCCTCTTTACCTCCACCCACGCATCCAATACCTATATATGGTCCGAAATCCATATAATAATTAAATCCCTATTATAGTACCCGATTATATTTAAGTTTCCTAATTAAATAATATCTATAGTTTATAGCCCTTTTTTATAAAAAACAGGAATTGGCCTATAGTCTTATAGATTAGAGCTATCTACTAGTAATTAATTATTACTATTTATTTGTTCTAATTATTCTAGTAGTAATTTATATAGGAATATAGCTATTAATTAAAATACTAATTAATAATTTCTATCTAGCTATTAGTTTAGGGATAATTAGTAATTAATAACTTAAGCTTTATATTAATATACTTATAAAACTTACTCTAGAAATCTAATATAAACTAGGGGCCTTAATTAGATATTATAATTTCCAGAATACTAACTTAGTAAACTATATAAGTAAGAAATAGAAGTATTAACTCTTTAGCTATTACTATATTTCAGACAGGAATTATAATAGGGCGCTTATCTAGGTAATTAATAAAAATTACTATTATATTATATTTGTTTCTATTTTCTAAACACTTCTTGAAATTTACTAATATATATTACTAGAAGTAGTTAGGAACTAGTAATAGATATAAGAGCCCTGGCTTCTTATTTCTGGGAATATAGGATTATTAGTAAATATAGTAGTTATTTCTATACTAATTAATATCTATATCTTGGCCTAACTAGTAATAGCGGGCCTAAAGAAGCTATTAAAGCTTGGCTTATTCTAGGTATTCTATTAGAGGCTATATATATATCTCCTAAATAAGAATAATATATAAGAATATCTCGGGTATTATTATATTATTAGATATAAATAGTTTATTATATTATAAAAGAGGCTATTTTATAGTATCTAAATACCTTTCTTCTTATTTCTTGCTTTATCCTATAGCTTTTCTAGCTCCGGTAACTTTTGGTTCTTACTTAATAGCTTATTTACTAGCTAGATATTATTATACTAGGTTTCTTTTTAAGCTAGACTTATAAAGGCCTTAATTAGAGCTAATTAGAGATCTCATATAATATTATTATTAATCTTTTATTATAGGAGAAGAATTTGGGTTTAGTAAACTATTATTATCTTATCCTAAATAGTTATATTTTCGTATTTCCTATTTAGGATATCTGCTTATTTATTTAACTTGCCTATCTAATATATAAGCTTAAAATAGTAATAGGAAAGATACTTTATCTAGTAAGCTTATCTTACTAAAAGCTTCTTTATAATTATAAAATACTTAAAAGCTCGGTAATCTAAATAAATTATAAAAAGTGCCTCTTATAGGCCTTTTAGCTTTGCTTACTATTTGGCTAAAAAGAAAATAATAGTAAGTATTTCTTTATTATAAATATTATAGTTTAGCTTTACTAATTATATAGTCTTAGAAAAGAATATTACCGGATACTAGAGTTTTATCTAGGAGTCTTATTATAAGAAAATACTAGCTATAACTCTATTTAATATATTTGTCTTAATTATAATAAAAAGATTTAGAATATAGTAATATAGAATTAGTACCGAGAATATAGCTTGTTTTAGTTTAATAAAACCTTCTTAATACTAATTTATTTACTTAAACGGAATTTTCTTATATAATAGAGCTATTAGAGACTTTACTATATGGCTATATTTTATAATAAAATACTAATAAAAGTTATAAAAACCTAGAAAGCCTTATATTTCTTTAATTATTTTTAGTAATTACTAGTTTTTAATAATTACTATCTTATCTGAATCTATTTTAATATTTCTAGTAAAAATAATAAAGCCTAGATATTTTATATAAATAATCTTAAACTCTGATTTTTTAATATTTATTTAGAGACTAGTATTTTATAATTACTAAAGGATTTTTTATATATAGTTTTTATATTTTAGGGAATTATTCGAGTAAATTAGGATATTATCTAAATAAGCTATATAAAAGATATTAAGGTAATTAAAAAGAATATTATTTATATATCTCTAATATATAATAGAGCTATTAGTTAGGCTTTTCTAAAGGATTTTATATTTATAGGCCTTATATCTTATATAGAATATTGTGAGTTTTTCTAATTCTGGATCTATTTAGATCTAATAGAATATTTATTAAATATCTAGCTTTATATAGATCTTGGCTTAAGCTAGCTATATAAGAGTCTTATAAATAAGGGAAAGAAAATAATAGTTCTTCTATATTAAGTTATTTAGCTTATAATAGTTAATATAGAATTAGAGAGCTTTATTAGCCTTTTTTATAAAAAGAATTAGGGATATAAAAAGAAACTAGCTTGGCTTAATAAAGCTTTATTAGAGATTCTTTTTAAGGAAATACTTAACCTCTTATAGCTTATAAATTAACTATTAATAGAACAGGAAATACCCTAGGCTCTCTGGGCTTTTGAAATTATTAATCTAAATCTTATAATTATATAATTAATATAGGAATAAGATATTTAATACTTCTTTTAAGAAAATAACTATAAAAATCTTGAATTTCTCTAGTAAAACTCTTATTAGCTATTATAACTCTATTTTTCCTAGCTATTACTTATCTGAAATAAACTTATTCTCTTATTATAATTCTAGCTTTTTATTAATCTCGAAAAATAATATTATAAAAAAAAGATTCTCTTTTATAGGTTTATCTAAAAAGCGGCTAGTAAGATATCTATAATATTAACTATAGGCCTTAACTAGATCTTATGGCTTTTCTTTAGATAATATAGTTTTAATATCCTTATTTCTAGCTTAGAAAAAACTTCTATATTTTCTAGGGCTACTTATATTTCTCTATAATATTAAGCTTAATTCTTTTACTATATATGGCTTTCTAAGCCTAATTTAGAAAGAGAATAAGAGAGTTTCCTCTTTATAAGCTAAGGTTTTTAGGACTTATTTATAGCTATAGCTTTATTTCTTCTATTTATATTTTTTAGTACTAGTTACTTTTCTCAGGTTTCAAGTTCTTATATATAGTAATTAGGATCTTATTCTAATTTTTCTTTCTAGGCTAATTATCTAGTTAGATTAATTTTCTATTCTTATAATTAATTAGAATACTAGTATTTATAAACTACTATTATCCCAAAATTATATTATACTTACCTAGCCTTATAACTAATATAGATACTAGAACTTTTTATTTATTAATTAAGAGTATAAGCTTAATATAGTAAATAATAGGCGCGGCCTACTTATTATTAAATTCTCTTATATTATAGGGTAATACTAATTAAATAAATTTAATATCTAGAAATTATTTAATTATTTTTATAAACTTGAAATTAATAAAAATATATCTATTTACTTTAGTATTAATAAAAGAAGAAGTTTTAATATCTAATTTATTATTACTAACTATATAAAGAAATATAAATGCTTTATTTCCTAGTAACTAGTTTAAATTAACTTTTACTATATTTATATAATATAGTTCTAAAAAAGAGATTTTCTTTAGGAATTCTTATTTCCCTGTTTTATATTCTTAGATAGCTTACTTATAGTAAATACTACTAGCTTGGCTATTAAGACTTGCTCTATATACTTTATCTTAGGTTCTAGATAATTCCTAAACATATAACTAAATCTATTATAATTATAATACTTGAGATCTAAGAATCCGGGCTTCGGAATAATAAGCTTATCTATTACTAGAGTCTTAAAAGCAGGCTTTATATAAGAGGTACTTCCTAAGCTTGGCTTATTTATATCTTTATTAGCTTTCTTAAATACCTGGTTTTTCTTTTTATAATAAGCTCGGATCTATTAGTTATTTATAATATAGTATTATACGAACTCTATAATATAGATAGCCGGGTTATTATAATATATAGCTATAATTTCTTAAAGCTTTTAGGTAAGCTTATTATTTAGGTTATTCTTAAGGTCCTATAAGTTAATATTTCTATTTATTATATATTTTAGGAATAGAATATAGAATTCCTAAAAAATCTAGCCCTTTTTTATAAATAGCTTTTTAAAGGCTTATCGAATATTATATTTCTTATTTAGGTTATTATATAGCTTTTCCAAATAAGTATATAGTTTTCTAATAGTCTTATATATATATTAATTATTCTGGTTTAGGTAAAGAAAGATTAGTATAAAAGTATAACTACTAATATAGCCGGAAATATAGATAATCTTAAGGTTCTTTATCTAGTAAGTATTAGAGTTATTATAAAGCTTATTCTTAATTTAAACTAACTAATTATTAAAGGTAATATTATCCTTAATTATATCTTTAAAAATAGAAGAATTAGAGAGTTTAACTAAGTATTTATTTTCTAAAATAAGAGAACTAGTTATTTCTATAGGCTATATAATAAGCTTTTTAATAATAACTTTATTCTTTTATAGGACTTATTTGATTTCTCTTAGCTAATTATAATAATTCTTACTATAAGTAAGAATATTATATATTTTTAGAATTAGCTTAATAATCTCCTTATATAAAGCCTCTGGGCTCTAGAGTAACTCTTAGAAGTCCGCCTTTAATAAGGCAGATTTCTTTTTATCTCTCTTACTATAAGTATTAACGGAATATTCGGATTTTTTAGGAGACTTAATAAAAGGCTCTGGTCTATCTTCTAGTAGTATACTAGTAGTATCTCGTATTATAGCTCCTTCTGACTTACCTAGTTATTCCGGGACTTGCTTTCTTATAGATCTTTATTTAGTAATAAGGCTACTGGCCTATTTACTTGCCTGGCCAGTCCAGGGCTTTCTTGCCTAGTTATTCTAGGGCTTTTTTTCGTTCTAATATTAGTTAACCGGTACGGGAGTAGCTATAGTATATTATATCTATACTTATTAAAAACTAATCGGGTAAATATTATTTAAATTCTCTATAAGATTAAGAAGTAGGTAAGCTTTGAATTATATTACAAGTATAAGATCTAGGGCCTAGAAGGCATAGTTAGACTATCTCTATTTCGATGATTTAAAGCTAAAGAAAGAAGAGGATCTCGAAAAAGCCTTGGATCTAAATAATTGCAAGCTATATACAGGCCTATATACTAGCTTAAGCTCGGGGTTATATATAATAATTAGGTAACTATAGATACCTTACTCAGATACTAGATGCCTCTCTTAGATACCAGATACCTCGCTAGCTCTAGTCTAACCCCTACTAGTACCATATATTATAATAACCGTAATAGTTTATTTATAAATTTCTTTTTTAAAATTTTCTGAATATTTCTAATATATAGCTAATTCCAAATTTATAATTACTATTCGAGAAAAAAGTATTATAAAAAGGCCTCTTTTTTTTCTATTAATTTTTTTTTCTCTTAATTATAATACTATATTTAGTTTTTTCTTATTTTTTGCCTTTTTCTTTTAAGTTTTCTTTAAGTCTTCTTTAAATTCCTTTAAGTATTATAGTATATATTATATATGCGGCTAGTTACGTAATATGTACTATACTATTATATAGTAGAATAGCTAATAAGGCTTCTAACCTTATTATTATAACTTTTGGTCTGTTTATTTATATAGTAAAGCTATTTCCCTATATGTATATCTATTAGTCTAAGTAACTTGTAATATTAAGCTTCTTTAAGTTTTCTTTAAACTTTTTCTAATATTCTCTTTTATTTCTTTATTTATTAAATAAATTCTTTCCTTAATACTTATTAGCTTATTATTAACTATTTGGCTAATACTTTTATAGCCTGAATTTTTTAAATACTTTAGTAAAATAAGAACTAAGCTTTACTTAATTCTAAAAAGAGCTATTTTAGTTTCTTTACTATATCTAATTAGATAATATTTAATATAATAATTAAACTCATTATAATTATAGTATTTAATAACTAAAAGATCTTTAGTTTTTATAAGATATTACTTATATTTATAAAAAGATATATATTTAATAAAAGTAATAGATATAAATTTCTTAGATTTCTTTTTATAAATATATCTCTTAGAAATATAAAAGAATATAATACTAGAAATAAATTTAACTAGAATAGCTTCTATTTTTTTATATTTCTTAATTTTTTTTATTGCTTTTGGGTCGGACCGACTATATACGAATTTGGGGGAGTGACCTTTCTGGCGTAATACCGAAGTTGGCGGCAGGCACATAGCTGGGAACACAAGATAAAGGTTTCCCGTAAATCTAGGCTCGTTAATCGAACTGGTGTTGAAAATCTGCAAGACAAGCCCAGACACAAGACTACAAGTACCCGTCTCGTCGGCAGTTATCACCGCCTCTACTCCAAAAAATCACTTGCTTGCCGTCAGAGGCAGCCCCAGCTTACTCGGGTCCAGTTCATACCATGCCAGGCACATCATCATACTCAGTAACCTCCTCCAATGCCTCCCTAAGAATCTGTATTCCCCGCTCCATCTCCTCATCCGTCAGCACAAGCGGCGGACTCATTCTCACCCGATTCCCGAAACTCGTAACCAGCAGCCCCTTCAGATTACACAGCGCGGCAATTTTCCTGCCTGTCACAGCTGGGTTGCTCTCATCAATGTACAGACACATGTCTGTACCACAGCTCACCGCCTCGAGAATGAAGGGAAATTGTGTTTGCCATTTATCAGCTTCTTTTTGGAACCAGGCTCCGAGGAAGGGGCCACGGTCCATATATCCGGGCTCATCGATCAGGTCGAGCGTTGCGTTCGTGGCGGCACATCCTAAGGGTGTGTTGCCGAAGGTGGATGCCATTTCGCCGGTGCCAACGAGGGACATGACCTCTTCGGTACCGACGATGTAGGAACATGGGTAGAAGCCACCCTGTTATTTTGTATGATCAGTGTCTGTTTTTATGGTTTGGTGAGTGTTGATAGTAAGTACCGCCATTGATTTTCCCATCGCAATGAGGTCGGGCTTGACATCTGCACCAAGATTCTCGTAGCAGAAGAATTTTCCTGTCTTGCCTGCGCCTTGACGAACTTCATCTGCCATGAAGAGGATCTTGTATTTTTTGCAGAGGTCATAGACAGCTAAAATAGTGCCATTAGCTTGTTTATTTGTCGTTCGGAGATCATTCATATCCCGTACCTCGTGAATATTTTATCTCTGCGGACGTCCTATCTGGTGTTAGTCGAAGGTGAAGTAAAGGGATTACGTTTTCACACACTCAACAGCGCCATGCAAACATTCCATAATGACAGCAGCGACACGTTCATGATGTTCGGCAAGACATTCCTTCATGGCCTGGATGTCGCCATACCCCATTATCTTCCCCGTGCTGGGGTTTACATTCGTTTGGAGCTTGCTATCTAATCCGTACTCTGTATCGTGTTTATGAATCAGCTGGCGTATCAAAGGAACACGATTTCAGGAAGTTGCTGGTCAGTCGCAAATGAAGATATCAACCTACTAGCTCTCTTTTTCGTCGAATTCTGTAAACTCCAGACGCCCGACGTCAAACCGTGGAAACTATCTCCAACACCAAAGATGAGCATCTCATTAGCTGGAATTCCTTTCTTTACAATGCCCCACTTTCTAGCTATCTTGACTGCAGTATCAGTCGCTTCGGATCCAGAGGTGGCGGAAATAACTTTGTCGTATCCGAAGCGTTTGCAAAGGCGTTCGGCGAGAGGTCCCCACCCTGCATTATGAGTTGCGAGATTTACTAGAGTGACTAAAATATGGCACCATCAGTTACATTCTCTCCGCTATTGTTTAGATTGAAAAGCTAGGTCAACGAACTCTTGTTCATCTGTTCGGCGACAGCGGCTAGAATCTTAGGGTTGCAGTGACCGGTGTTCACGGCCGAAAACATGGCAATGAAATCAATGTATTCTTTCCCATCAACATCCTGAGTGACCCCGGTATTAGCAACTTTAGTTTCATTTGGTCAATAGTAATACGATATGGAATTACGGTTAATCTCACCCAAAGTTTTGCACCTTTGCCTTCGACGAAGAATGCTGGCATGGGCCTGAACCCACCAGCAGTATATTTGTGCTCCAGCTCCACCAATTGCTGTGTCCTTTTGGACAATGCCAGAGTCTGAAGCTGCTTCTGGGTGTGAGGCATAATGGTGGTCGAAGTCTGTGGCCTATGAGATTGTGAGATTGTGAGATTGTGACGATGGGGTTGTGTTGACAGGATACGGTTTGCGCGCACAGTCGCATGCAAAGGTTCGAGATATATATTTCCCCACCTTTGGAAAGAAACAATGGCCAACATCTGGCGGATCCATCGTGGAAAGAATGGCCGCTGCCCCACTTTTGCTCCTTGGGGGATTGGTTGTCGGCGCCGAATGAAGCGGGGAAGCGAGCTGTAGATAGGGGTATTGACATATCAGCCCCCCCCCCCCCATTTATGAGTGCCAAGTGATATGTCAAACATTCAGCTGGGAAGAATCGCGATTGCCGAGTGCAGTTCACTCACAATCTTCGGCCGCAAGAGATTTCCTGAATTAGATATTCATGCCGTTCAAGTCTCCATCGAAGAACGCGGAGGGATCCCAGGTGCCAAGCAAACCATTCCAGTCTTGGTCAGAGAGACCGATCTGATTGCCCAAGAAGCGTCCTTGCGTGTTTCCCTCTGCTTGTAAAGTTGGTGTTCCTTGCTCTCTCATCGTCAGCAAATCTGATGCTGCGAGACTTTTTTCTATCTCGGCCTTCATGTTATTCAAAACATCTTGGAATAAGCGATATATCGCTTCGGCACTGGGCCAGTATTTTGCAACCTCGTCCATGACGGCGAAAAGATTCTCCAATCGCGACTGTGCCTGCAGTCCAAGAATTGAGGGGCCACTTGAGCTGGCAGATCGAGCTTCCAAACTCATTTGAATGGCTGCCGCCAGCAGCAATGTCAGTGCGGTGAAACAGCAGCGGTCGACCTTGGATGATATCAACAGTGAATTGAAGAGCTGAGAGATCGCAGATGCGGCATTGTGACAGATCTCCATGGATTTTGGGGAAGGGGCGAGAGAAAAGTCGGGTGTTCCCGGGAAAGTTGGCAAATATGACGTTCGGTAAAGCTGGAGGAGAGTAAGGTTGTAATGCAGGTGAAGTTGAGTACACCAAAAATCTTGCGTGTTTCGGGAGGGATTATTCAGATTTTGAGGAAGCCGTAGGAACCAAGCTTCAAGCTGTGAATCGAGTGTTGAGCGACTTGATTCGATGGTCTGCTCGCCTAAGCAATGACGACGAAGCGATCCAGGGGAGAAGAGTTTCAAGACTGAGATGATGATGTAGCAGAGCTTTATGTTTTGATCACAATAGTCAAAGTGAACGTTTTTGTTCAGCTGACCGTCAATTTCGATGAAGTCTTCCATAACCAAAGGAGGCTGGTCACAACCATCCTCATTGATCATCAACGGTCTTCCATGATGAAGGCTGGCAAGCACATCACATTGGAAAAGTACCCAGAATAATCGGCGTTGGATTCGGCGGTCCTGGACAGGAATGGCACTCCGACTTGATGAAGAGAGATTTCGATGACAGCCAAGACCGAAGGCAAGACGACATGCAATACCAATCCAGTAGTAGGCATTGGCTGCGATATCGTCAGCTCCTTCAAAATGCCACGTGAAGAGGAGCGCTGCCTGAACGAGGTGCTCACGATTGTTCTCATAATGGAGGTCGAACAATGCTTTGGCACGACGGAAAAGGGCCACTTTGACCAAGGATCGAGACTTTACAACTTTTGGATGTTGGCAAACATGTGCACCGGCGAGAAGGACAGGTTGAAGCAGGAGGAGCGGCACCGGATTTCCATCGTCACTGTATTGTGAGCGAAACTCTGCTTCATCAACGACAGGGAATCCCGGGTGTATCTTGGTGAAGAAATCCTCGACAAGTTGATCACAAACCTCTTTCTCGGGTAGCAAGCTGACATCGTGTGCCATATTGGAATACCATTTCACCCGTGGTAGGTCGTTGCTTGGCTTCCATGGCAATGCTGGCCGAATTCTAGGGAAAGAGAAATGAAGAGATGCATCGCCATGATACGGTGATTCTTGACCCACGAGATAAGCCAAATTTGACGTCGAAGTACCGACGTAAGCAATCCTGATGGGGTCTTTCTCATGGAACACCGAGAACGTGGGAGAATGGAAGCCACGATGAAGGAATTCAGTCAAGGCCGTTCTCGCCAACCCTTCCTCGACGATGTCGTTTTCGTTGAGGATCAAGCTATGCTTTGGCGATGGTTCGACATGCTGCTGTGGCAGAGATGGGCTCGACCCTGGCCCTGAAACTGGTTGGAGAGCAGTGCTGAGGGTGGTAATTGGTGTCGAGGACGTTCCTGACTGAAGCGGGCGTTGTCCTCTAGATCGCATGGACTCTCGGCGTTTCGAGCCCACCTTCTGCAACCGCTGGTGAAGGATGAAGAATCTGATATTTATGTCAGCGGTGGAAGATACCAAGGGGGAGACCGATTGACTCACGTGCATTCAAGGCTCCCTAATTGACAATTTGTACAGGTTTTCCCATCCTGAGCATTACATTTGACCTTTCGGCGATGGCAGATGTCGCATGCTTGCTGCTTCGCTTTGCCCTGACTTCTCGGCGCATGGTTCAATGAAGTCGGCTCAGGAACCACAGCACTCGTCATATCGGATGATATCTCCACAAGTCTGCGATCTTGGTATTCGAGGTCTCCTGCAGAATGGATGGTTCGTGTCACTCTATCGAGTGCAGCTACTAGGGGCCGTCTACTATTCTCTCGGGCCCCATCTCGGCCAAGGATGGGGTCGATGCGGGAAGCTGCAGCAGTTCAGCCGACGGTGCCGAAACGTGGAAATTAGAGCGTCGTCGGGTTGTCACTAGAGCAGCAACCATGCATGATCTGCACTATCAGCAGCAGATCAACACCTTACCGTCGGCGTCGTCAGCGATGGAGAAGAGAAGGAGAAAGAGAGAAGTGGATGTCGTTCATCCTCGGCGCCGGAAGCGAATCCTTACACACCTACCCCTGCTTGCCTGGACCCCTTATCCAACGTCTCTCATCTCCGACACCTTGGTACCTTGATAACGATAGACAGGACTTGCTTAATTCGGCAAGTATCGGCAATCCACATGGTTTGTCTTCAAGCTGGTCGATTTCAGCCATGGTTATAAGAAGAATGGGTAAACTCCGACCCCACCCTGCGAGTCTGTAGCCGAATTCCTCAGCTCAGGTCCCATCTCAGATAAGGGCGTGAGTTTCATGGACATAAGTACCTCTATGCGGTCTCCCGCATGGTGGCACATCTTGCTCACTCTCTAGATAACCAATAATCTCACTCACGTCAGTCGTCATGGCTTCTCCAGCAAATCTCGCACTCGATGGTGGCGATCCTCGACAGGAAGGTGGACTTGGGGTCTCAAACTACCCACCACAGATGATTCGCAAGCTTCACGACCCTACTATATCATTTGAAGAGTATCTCCATTACGCCAAAGAATCTCGAGCTTGGGAAGCAAGTGCGGCAAATGCGGAATCCACATCTCTCGAAGGATCTGCTTTGAAGAGACGCTTCAGACTCGGAAAAGAGAAAAAGATCATTCAGGGAGAAGCCCCTCAGCCAGCGATTGGTAATGCGATAGCTACCGAGAAGCATTCCTTGGCCAAGGAGTCGCTGAAGAATGGTAGCGTCACGGGAGTGGTGACATCAAACGTCACTGATGATGAGTGGTCGACTGCATCCAGGGCTGCCCGGACTGCAACTTGGGGAGCCGTGTTCTTCTTGCTCACAACCGATATCTTGGGTCCTTTCTCTGTTCCGTGAGTTCTCTTCTTCTTACCTAGAAGCGAAGGAAATAGCTGACTTCGAATCTCAGATGGGCCATTGCTCAGACTGGATTTGGTCCTGGATGGGCTTTGTACACCTTATTTGGAATTTTTGCTGGCTAGTAAGATCTCATCACTCCGTTCTTATTTGTATGTTCCTGACACTTGATTCAGCTCTGGTTGGCAGATTTGGGTGATGTATATACACCTCGACTCGGATCGTCATCCCTGCAAATCGTACGGCAACATAGCATACCGAATCTTCGGTCCTTGGGCCAGGTATTGCGTCAATATGCTGCAATCCATCCAACTTCTGTTTATCGTGTCTGGCGTAGTCCTATCAAGCGGCCAGTCGATTGCGCAGATCTCGAAGAATTCCATCTGCTACATCATCTGCATCTTCATCTATACAATCGCAGGCATGTTTGTTGGACAAGTCAGGACTTTGCAGAGGTTTGGTTGGTTGGCGAATCTCGCGGTTTGGCTCAACTTGCTCATCATGTTTATTGTGTAAGTCAACATTACGCTTTTCTAGCAGACTCATGGCTGACAACGGTGCACAGCATGGGAGTAGCAGCGCACTCATCACCAAACTACCAAGCCACACTAGCATCCTACAGCATTCCAGAAGGCCCCGTAATCACCTACGCCGGAACACCTCCGGGAACAACTTTCGTCACAGCCCTCAACGGCCTCAACCAAGCGATCTACAGCTACGAGTGTCGATGATGTTCTGCGAGTTTATGTCCGAGATGCGCAAGCCAACCGACTTTTGGAAAGGTCTGATCTGCGCACAAGCCGTTATTTACACCTGCTACGTCACCTTCGGCATGGTGGTTTACAGTTTCCAAGGCCAGTTCGCGTTCAACCCCGCTATGCAAGGCTTGTCGCCGTCAATTAGCAAACGGGCGGAATATTATGTTCCTATTTTCTGGCCTGATTGCCGCTGTCTTTACAGTAATATTGGGATCAAGGTCATGTATGTCAACGTCCTTCAGGAGCTTTTGCATGCCCCACCCCTCACCACCAAGACGGGGAAATGGCTCTGGATTAGTCTAGTGCCTGTCTATTGGTCCGTAGCATTCATTATATGCGCCTCCATCCCCCAATTCAGCTATATCTCCGGTCTCGTCGGCGCAGTTTGTATCCTGCAATTCACATACACCTTCCCTCCGATCCTCATGCTCGGATTCGAGATCAAGAAAGGGGCGATCCTACCATCGGAGGTCTTTGACGCTGTGACCGGCACCTTTACGAGGGAAGACGGCGGTGTGAAGAGGTGGGCGAGAGGCTTCATGCAGAAGTGGGGTGTCAATGCTTTTAATGTTTTCTATGCGATTGGTGCTACGACAACGGCTGTGCTGGGTATTTACTCCAGTGTTGTCAGTTTGATTGCTGGGTTTAAGGGATTGACTGTGGCGACGAGTTTTTGGTGTGCTGCTCCTGTGTGATGCTATTCTGGGATGTTTATATGTGCCATACGTTTCGGACTCTCACCACATTGAAAGTCTCTTGCAAATAAGCGAATAAAAAGGGGAAGCTCATGTGACTTAACCCTTTGTAAGATTTTAAACAAGTCAGAAATTTATGCAATCAATGTAGATATACTTTCAAGTGCCCTTCAATCTTGTTAATTCTTTTATATTATAATGCCTTCCATCAGCTCTGAGTAGAATCTTCTCCTTGGCTGTCACGTGCAGAACGACCGACGCAGTCGCCCGGTTTTGGCAGGCTCCATTGCAATAAGCCTGGCATTTATCCGCGCATTTTTGTACTTTCATGTGCATGTAATCTGTCGTATTTTTTTCTTTCTTTTTCACACATGTAGCGATTTGCTTTTCTTCTGTTCATCCTGTTTTTAAGCAGTTGACGTTGTTTGACGATCGCCACCAACTGTACTGTAACTCTTCCCTGCTCAGTGCCTGTCAAAGCGGGGGCGCGGCAGTCCACACCGCACAACAGAGGCGTGACCCCACGGGTATGGCGTCCAACAGTGCACCACCAGCGCTCTCAGAGGCGCTGCCACCCGAGAATCTAGCTCCGGGTCCATTAACTTCCAATCCTCACATCGACACCATCCCCGCCGCCGCCCTCGAAGCCGGCGACAACACCGAGACAGACGACGGCTATTCCAGCAGCGGCGATGCCGCCTCCAGCACCACGTCCCTCAGTTCCAGCATCAAAGCGCACGTGTGGGAGAATGGCCGCAGGTACTGTACAACAAGTTCCGGGAAGGCCAGTATGCGCTCCCGAACGATGAGGGCGAGCAAAATCGAGAGGATATGAAGCATGAGGTGATGCTTATGCTGTGTAACGGCGGGCTGCATTTTGCGCCTATTAGGGAGAACCCGCAGAATATTGTCGAGTGAGTGAGCAGAATTTCAGCTTCCCAAAGGCAGCTTTGTTTGAGTTGAGCTGGGGCTGAGATAAAATAGTCTTGGAACTGGGACGGGGATTTGGGCTTTGGATAGTAAGTGAAATGTTTGAGGCGCGGATGTGAAGTGCTGATGTGAGTAGTAGCGGACAAGTATCCGAGTGCTTTAGTTGTAGGAGTTAATCTGAGTCCAATACGAAGACAACGGCATAAAGTATCGGGAATACAGGGCATTAGGAAACTTTCAGGCTCTCCAGCGTACAGATCAAGGTAGCAAACTCGCTACAAGGCCCTATATTTCCAGGCCCTGCCCCTAAAAGCACATTTACGCCTTTGACAAGGGCTACTATACCTTTTCAGGGCTTCTTCCCTGTACTTACAAGGGAGCCTTTGCTAAAGGGGCCTATAATAGTTACTTGTTTAGCGTCCGAGCGCTGTGGTTACTCTACTAATAGCGCTATAACCCTAGAAGATCTACTTATCCTATGCGAATATCTTATAGCGCCTCTTTATATAGATTTAGGGAGTACTACCTAGAGTTATAGGGGCTTATAGCGAGCTTCTGCCCTAAATTCACACCCTGTAGAGCACTGAGGGTCAAAATGCCCTGTATTCCCGATACTTTATGCCGTTGTCTTCATAGTGACTTGGGAGCCTTGATAAGACAAGAGATAATTGGAAAATGAAAGGTACCGGAGGAGAGGAAGCAGTTCATCCCCACCGTTTAACCTTCTTTATTATTTATAGAAGAAGACCAAAGCAATATATCCCAAGACTGATTTTCTTTCAAGATACCGTATTCGTCTCTAGTAGCAATTGGAAGGTCATATCACTCACACGCACCCATATCCTCCATTTCTTCGTCGCCTTTTCCGTTCTTCTTGTCACGCCTCCGCAAGAAAGTAACCAAACCTGTAACTCCAAACTGCGCCAAAAATGCTAATGTACTGTATGTAAACCCCCTCCTAAACCTCGGGGCATCCACAACCGGGTACGTCAACAAGGGTAACCACGCATTCACCGCATATCCACTTGCATTCATAACTCTCAGAACAACAGCCCTCTCTTCGGCATCGCCCCCCGCAAATCTCATTCGCCCAAGACATAACGAGTGGACCAAATGGAACAGCAGCCTTATGTATGAAGAATGCGAGCCACTTCAGCCCGTTAGGAATATTCCAAATTGCGAGGCACAGGGCGGAGAAGAATCCTATGGAGGTACTGAGAGACATTACGAGAGGGCGATCGCGCAGGAAGTCGCTGAGCATGGCGAAAAATATCGTTGTTACAAGCTGGATGGCGCCGGCGCCCGTCGGGATGGTATTCTGCCGTCGTTAGAGGTTTAAGGGTGAAGAGGGAGGGGAAGACCCACGATCTGGCTAACTGGATACCCTTGATCTTTCAACCAAAGCGCAAAAGGATTTACGCTCGATGAAGGACTGGTGTTAATGAATATGATGTATAGCAACGTCAAAGAATAGACATGCCACCGCGTAAACACCCTCCCCAAAATAGACCAACCCAGTGTCTTCCTCGGGGCGCGGCCCACAGCATTCATTCTCCTCCTCGCCAACTTCGCATCCTCCTCAGTCAAATAGAAAGCCACCGTGTTCTCCGGCAAATCAGGAATCATGTAAAACCCGGCTAAGCAAATAGGAAGACTGATCAAAGCATCCATAACAAACAACCATCGCCAGCCTGTTTTTCCAAGTACCCCATCCAACCCCTGGTATACAGCAGCCTGCAAATACCCCGAAAACATCCCTGCCGCCACAGCCGGAGCATGGAACACACACGCTCTCTTCCCCAACTCAGAAGGGTTATACCAGCTCCCGATCAAAAAATGCGCCGCCGGATAAAAAATACTCTCTACCAAACCCACAAAGAACCGGATTCCAATAACCTGCCTGGTAGTCGTCGCTCCTGCAAGCGAAAAAGTGAGGAGCGTCCACACTACCTCGCAACTTGGAATCCATACCGACGGTCGGACTTTGGTGAGAATGAATTGAGAAGGCAATTGTCCGAGAACGTAACCCGTGGTCCAGGCTACGTCTATGAGGTTTATTTCGTTAGATGTCATGGAAAGTGCTTCTTTCATGCCGGAGACGTAGGCGTTGGCGATGTTTGTTTGGTCTAGGTTTTTGATGAAGTAGCTAGGGAGAGGATGGTGAGGAGGTAGATGTCGAGCTTTTGGACGAATTTCTGCTCTTGGGGGGTTTGTTTGGGGTCATAGTCCTAGGTGTTGTGTCAGCCTTTGGTAAGTGAGGGGACTTGAGAGGACGAACCCAGATGTAGGACCACCAAGGGAGTTTCTTGGACTCGATGGCGAGAGACCCAATATCGTCTTCAGAATTCTTTTGGAATATTCCTCCTCTTGGGAGCTTGTCGTCTGATATTTTCGGTAGGAGAGCTACGGACGCTTCATCTTGCTCATCTTGGTCATGGTCTGTTGCGTCTTGAGACAGCCAGGAGAGCAACATAATACTTCCAGTTCCTGCACTTTTCGAACTTGAAGCTCTCAAACTATTCATCTCTTACACCAGATTCTTAGGGTCATTGTTCAGCAGCTGGCAGGAATAATTGCGTGCTTCCGGGCTAGTGTCATCAGGATGGATTCCTAAACGAACCTTTATCCGAAGTCATTCCCAGAGTCCCATTTCGGTTCTCCTTAGGGAGTGAATGACCAATGGCTTTGAATATTAGGTGCAAGCAAGGAGAGTTATACGCCACATCGATGTTGTGCTTCGGCGTTTCATGATGCCATAGAAATAACACCCAATAAAAACTCTCAGCATACCAAGCTTAGGGATAGAAGATAAGATACGCTGTCGTGAAATATGCACTGGTGTAACTATCCCGAGTCAGCTACCAATCAAGATACCGAGTGCTAGTATTGTGATTCGAGATGGTGGGTGTTGTCGTCAAAACAATACAGAAGCACGCAATCCACCCACAATTGGTCGCGTGAGAACGCCATTTTATACGCCCCTTTCCTGCAGCTATGCAGCTACCCCTCATCACGACACGACACTTGGTGTGGGAGAACGCGACGAGCTTAGAAATCAAATAATATTCCTAAATCCCTCATTCATTAAAAAGTCTATGTTTCCCAGGCTTGAAATTCAGTTCCAGGTCCCTCAAAAACAGAAAGCGTGTAAATCGATATAAAGTTTAACCAATATGGCCCCCTCAGCAACAGAACCCCTCCCCATCGCCTCCCACATCAAAGAATTCGTAATTCAAAAGAAAGATACTCTTCCCCTTCCATTGGCAGCCCGTACCCGTCTCGAAGCCGCAGGAATCGATCTCTCTCACGGATACCCGGAGCGTCCAGCCAAGCCCCTTTTCCTCGACGATGCCATCTCTATCCGTAACGAGGACCGTCCACATATTGACGCCGGTGCTTGCGCCGACAAGAGCAAATCGGCATTGCTCTCTGCGGCGAAAGAAGTCATTCACCTGACGAAGAATATTGGCACTGAAATTGTGGGACTTCAGTTGAAGGATTTGACGGGTCAGCAGAGAGATGAGTTGGCCCTTCTGATTGCGGAGAGAAGTGTGGTTTTCTTTAGGGATCAAGATATTACGCCTCAGCAGCAGAAGGAGTTGGGCGAGCATTTTGGCGAGGTGGAGATTCATGTGAGTATCTCCATTTACAAGACCCCGTGATTTGAACTGAGAAATGGCCGTAGCCACAAGCCCCCCATGTCCCGGGAGTTCCAGGCGTGACGATCATCTGGCCCGCTCTCATGGCCACAGAAAGAAAGGCATCCTTCAGACAACCAGGTGGTGCTTCCAGGTGGCACACAGATCTCGTCCACGAAAAGCACCCCGCAGGAATCACGCACCTACACAATGATACTGTTCCCACAGTCGGTGGCGATACACTATGGGCTTCCGGCTACGCTGCTTACAGCAAACTTTCCCCAGACTTCCGCAAGATTATTGACGGCAAGTATGCAATCTACACCTCAGCACACACCTATCTGGACCGTAGCAATCCCGAGGCCGGTCCAAAGCACATTGAAAGGATCCATCCAATCGTCCGAGTGCATCCTGCTACTGGATGGAAGAGTCTGTTCGTGAACCGAGATATGACAAAGCAGATTGTGGGCTTGGATAAGGCCGAGAGTGATGTGATTTTGAATTATTTGTACCATGTTTATGAATCGAATATTGATATCCAGGTGCGGTTTAAGTGGACGCCGAGGACGAGTGCTCTTTGGTAAGCCACCTCACCCTCTTCTGGGACAGTTGAACTGTGGGATTTGGGGTTAATTTGCGATATTGTAGGGATAATCGGATTACGATGCATAATGCCTCGTGGGATTATGAGGGCTCGGAGCCGAGACACGGGACGAGAGTGACGAGTTTGGCAGAGAAGCCGTATTTTGATCCTGATGCACCGACTAGGAGACAGGCATTGGGACTGGATGATGATTGAACGCAGGCATGAATCATGGACAGGACGCATTCGGTATTGCGAACTTTGAACTTTGATGGGATGTCCAGCAACACCAGTAAAGCTCATCTGAACTGTAGTAAAGATTTATCGGCACCACAATGACTTAGATCATGTCTTCCTGTCCAAGTTCATCGCCGTCAGTCTACTGCAGCTTAAAGTGGATTTGACTGACGACCGCCATTTGAGGGGCTCTTCCAAATATTTACTGTGAGAAGTCGCTCACCTCAAAAAAGGTTACTCTCCAGCTCCTTCTTCGGCCGGTCAGGTCAACTCCTGCGATCTTCAACCTGATCTCCTCGCTCATATTCAGAATCAGACCGTTCACCACCCCCACGAAGGCTCTTCTGACGCTTGATTTCAATTTCACTGCCTTCGCCGTGAGTAATCTCTACTCCACCGACTGTAACTCGAACTTGGCCCGTGATCCGAAAGGTCATGTTCTCGTGATCTTGGTCACGTGCTGTGCCTGTGCTTGCGTTTCTTCTTTAATCCCTTTCACATCTATTCCCGCTGCTTTTAGTGCTCCTTCTAGGAACTCATCGGGGATGTCATCTAATAATAAACCAACGCCGACATTAGGCCCGGTTACATTGTCTTGATATGTTGCAGCGTTGTCAAGTTTGTCTTCATTCGCTGCAGTCGACACTGGCAACGGTTCATAAAAACTACTTCTCTGACGGTGACTATTCGGGACTTCAATCCTGACACTCTCATTCCCACGACCAGTATCGTCCGACACGGAGTGACCATCCGAGCTCCCTCGTTGAGGAGAATGGGATATTTCTCGACACTGTGTTCGGCTATCGCGATCTGTTGTTAGATCTAGCTCATAATCTCTTGGTGCTTGCTGTTCAGTTGGACTGACGACAAGCTTGCCTCGTGCCTCAGCGGTGTAATCACTCTGAGGTCGTGCCCGAGGTGGACGGTCTGTTCGCTGTTCATCGCTGAGCGTGTCATCCTCAGCCCGCCGCACTGGTTTTAGCGGCCCTTTCTGGGACAGCTTTTCCACTATGGGGGGTCGTTCGGTATCTGAGTCTCTTGTCGTACCTTCGTATAGGAAGACGTTGGGGTGTGCGCCTGAAAGAGGTGCGAGAAGACACCATCTTTCTCTTTTTTAGTCGTCGGTGGCCTCTCAGCCTCGGTTTCAGTAGTGGCTTCATTGAGAGAATCAATCTCATTATCGATAAGACGGTGAGGATGCCTTTTCTTCATGTGCCTCGCAAGAGCAGCGTTCAAAAATCCATCGCCATGATTATTGGTACAATAATCTTCCCCCTTCCACTCGCCATTCTCATCCATCGAAGTATAGGGACAGTTCACTCTTAGGTGGCGATCTGCAACGTCATATTGGGGCGCACTCGGTAGACTTTGTTCATAACCGCTATCTCCTCGAGGAGAAGGCTGCAATTCCGCTGATCCAGCGCCCATCCAGGCTCGTCTCGGGCCCTCGTCTCGCATCCCTTCGGCATGCTGTTCAGGCGTCGGATCTTCGGCATCTTCGCGGTCTGGCTCTAATTTTACAGTTGAAGTAGGCTCTGTATTATCCATTGGCACACCAGCGGGTCCGACTCCTCCAAATTTATTCGTCCGTGTAAAATCGCTGATTTTCAAGGAGCTCTTGCCGCAGTAAACACCTTGCATCTCAATGAGAGCCCGCTGGTGATCAGACTTATCCATGAAGCGAACGAAACCGCAGCCTCGCGACATGATTTGGGCGGATTTGCATGATGAGTATCGAACCTGGAACAGAGATGCCAAGAGGTATTCATTGACATCTGGGCCAAGACCACTAACGAAGATGGCGTATTCTGCTTCAGCCTTCCCTTCCTCATTTACTGACTCCTGCGTTGGTTGGATTTGCTGCTTGGTCTGTTCTAGAACATTGTAGAAATATGCCTTGCTGTAAGGTAGGTCGTGAGGGCGAGCAAGTTCGTCAGGCCCCAGAAAAACAACTGTCTCCTGAATGCGTTCATATACCTTAACACAAAAATCGAGATAAGAGGGATTACTCTTATCTGCCTCCGAAATCAAATACTGCTCGACATCTCGAAGACACAACAGCTCCTTCTCAACCATCCTTTTCATGCAGCTTACCACTACAAAGCGGGAGAATAGGAACTCTGGGATTTCGAGGGGTCTCACAACATTTCCGATGATGAGCTCTATTGCCCTCTCGCTGAGACTGGGGAGGGGATCAATCGTAAAAGGCTCGGCAGGAGTGGGAACAGCGGGAACGTTCGGATCGCCTACGACAGGCTGAGAGGGTACTTCACCAGCCGCGGTGGGAGAATCAGGCGCAGCTGGGAATTGTTCAAAGGAATTCATTGGCTTGATACCAGTCTTCTTGGTAAGAAATTCCCTCAAACTCTCTAAGTCTTGGCGGCCTTCGTACTCCTCGGGCGTGTTGCTCTTTCCATCAAAGTACATGATTGTTGGCAAGTGCGATATAAGCTTGGCTGGCGGCAAGGAAATCCCAAGGTGGAGACGCGTAGCCAACGCTTCCTCAGCACCGGCGTCGGCGGCTTTCGCAATAACGATTTTGTCCTTGGCAAATGCGAACTCCTGTGCTAGTTTCTCGTACATAGACGCAAATAACTTGCGAGCTACCACCCCTTGCGAGAGAAAGAACGCAACAAGGGTATGCTTGTTTGACGTTGCTATTTTGTCGAAACTGTCTAGGTTTATAAGGTCGATGGAATATCCCTCACGATTGAGGAGAGTACTAAGGACTCTGGCCTTGGAAGTATTTGCCTCCGAAGTCGTGACTTCCTCGTCAACGGTCTCTCCTGGGGGGTGGATTGTCTGATTTGGCCCTCCGGCACTATCTAACGGAGCATCGCTGAGAAAGGCCGTATCGATGAAATCAACACTGAGCGTTCGCCCTTGAATTTTGAAGCCATTCAGTGCATCAATAGCTTGTTGAGCTTCCTCTATTGTGCCAAATCTAGCAAATGCACGGCCTTGAAAGATGCCGACGTCATGCTGGAACGTCAAGGTTTTCGGTGCCGTTCTCTCCATAATCTCCAGAAACTGGCTCTTCTCGAGGGTGACGGGAAGGCTTTTAATGGCTATGGTGACACTGAGCACTTCAGAGATGTGTTGGTACATCTGTCCCCGGTTAGAGTCCGACAGGCTCGGCTTCCGTTTTGCAATAGCTTTTACAAGGTAATCATAGGAGCGGATGTTGGCCAGCACTTGAGGATATTTTTCGACAAGGACGCGTACCGACAGCGGGCCTCGACTTATGGCGTTTTCGATAAGTCCGTAATAGACTTCAGAGGGATAAGAGTCGGTTTTTTCATCGCCTTGATGCGCCTCGATAAGGTCACGCGCTTTCATTGGTGTCAGTTCCGGAAGTACATTGTACCTTATGGCAGCCTCTGGCTTGACCACCCAAGGATGACCCTCCGAATCCTCTCTCGAAACATTCTTGTGGATAAATGACCACAATTTTTGCTTCGTGAAGACCCTGTGAATTTTTTCGATACGCTTCTTGTCGACACTAACTTCTTCGTAGGGGGTTTGGTGGAGTTTAATAGTGTAATACGGAAAAGGCTCGCCGCGGGAACCATCCAAGAGAATATGTGTAACAATGTTTCTCGTTTTGACGGTTCCTATCACTCCTACGGGACCAGGGTATTGAATCACTGTGACCTCCTCACCCGGATAACAGTCAGATCGGAATTCGTCGAATATTAGGTTGACAAGATCATTTAAATCGTCGCATTTGAGCTCTGCTACCCGCTCCAATATCGCAGATAGGAGATATCCTGACAAATAAATATCAAGATCAGAATCTTCGACTAAAAGTTCGTCATCCTTGGGATCGACAGCAATATCTCTATCGTCAATGAGATCGTCGTCGTCATCACTGGCTTCTCCCACGCTATCATCCTCCACCTCGTCCTCTTCAGCCATAGGCAAAGCGAAGAGAGCAAGCTGCTGCATGTGGCGTCCGAGATGTCTTCTAAACTGAACGAGCGTACCGCAAGGCTCCACAATTTCTCCATCGTTGAGAAATAACCTCTTTGGGTCTTGCTTCGGATCCAGGAGGTTAGATTCCCACTCATCGCAAAGGAGGCAGCTTGATGCGGGTATCTTGTCCACAGGCTCTTCGCATTGCAGGACCAAAGCTTCTAGTTGAGATCCGCCAACCACACTACTATGCATAGATCGGAGATGCTCTGAGAATTTCTGTTTGTCGGTGAAAGAGCCCAGGCAAAAAATACACACCCACTCTCTTCTATGGTTCTGGATTTCGTGAGCGAACCACTCGTTGCGGCTTCGAAACATTTTAAGGTTACACTCTCTGAAGGTGCAGACATATGATTTCAAATCTCGAAAGACATGTTTTCTATGTTCAGGTCAGCCTCCTGCTTGAAATAGAGATCTCCGAAGAAATATGGGATGGTGATCGTACTTCCAAGCCGCCTTGTTCTTTACAGTCTGTTCCATATAGCAATATGGGCATTGAAATGGGTCCCCGAACTCAAATGGAACACCTTCAAATGCCATGATTGGAGGAGGAGGCACGCTCAGCTTGTGCACCGCCTCGCCAGCTACTGTTGGTTCATAAGAGGTTTGAGATCCAAATGATCCCTGGTCAAGGTCTATTCCATCCCGCTCGATCATCGTCTCATTCCCGACATAGGTTGTCGCTTTCGTCAATTTCGTCAATTTCGTCAATGCAATGGTCTTTTCCGGCTTTTCGTCTTCGATGGCTTTAGCCGTGGCCATGGGAGGAGCCTCTAGGCCTGCCATATCCACTTCTGCTGCAGCTTCCTCCCCCCAGTCTTTGGACAATTTGGTATGGTGATCTTCTCGATATTTTAAATACTGGCGCCTTCGAGTGATGGCTTTCCCTAAGCGTTCGAGCAGCCAGTCGCTACTTCTCTTCGCTGCTCCATGTTTTTCTCTCACGTGACCAATGTCATATCTGGCATCGAAATGATATCTCGATGCAGCTTTGAGATAGTCATCCCGCGCTGGCGAGTTTCTGATTACCATGGAAAGTTTCATCAGGCTGGAGTTGGCCGTCTTAATCGCCGTGAACAGCTGATCCAGATCGGAAGTCTGGGTTGCCTCTTCTGGAGTTGAGGCATTATCATCGTCTGAGTCACTGATGGCACCAACGTCCCACTTCTCATTAGGTTCAGTCCCGTCGACAATTAATAACGCTTTCAAATAATTAGTAAGACATATAAGGTGGGGGCAGAGACACAGACCTTCATGTAGGGACTCATTCAAGGTTGTAAGGATCTTCACAATTCTTTGTCGAATTTCAGGGGCCTCTTTCAGTCGAAAGTCAAGAGAGCTTTGCAGATGAGCCCCTTGGAGGGCAGCGATGTTGACCGCCCACGCTTTGAATCGTGATCGAGCATCTAGCATGAAGTCATGAGAAGCTCCTCGGTCAAAGCCGATGTCGAGAGCCTGCTGGGGAGTGACAGCACCCAGTCCGTCACATAAGGTTCTGTAGCCATCAAGGCAGTTCCTGCAATAAACCGAGATAGGAAGAGTGCTGCTTGAGTCCTGGGCACGAGACATTGCTGTGTAGTCGCTGGACCAAGTGTTCTGGGATCGTCAGGGCCGAGTAGCTCAGCTCGAAGCTGTGGAGTGAAAGCTGGTCTTCAGTCGTCTGCTGAACCATCTCCTCGTTGCTTCAGTGCTGGTGGTCTATCGGATGAAGGGGTTGGCGATGGCTGATGTTGTCTGCTTTGGAGCCTCAAAGCTGAGGTCCGCCCACCAATCACCACCAACCCCACGTTTCAGGGATCTTCAGCTGAAAACACAACTCCACAATCCCGATTCTGAGAGGCCCTTTGTTCACCACCATGCCGGCCATTGTGCCTTGTCGCCATTGTACATCGACTACGAGAGTGCCTTCCCTGCATACCCGCGTTCAACATGTCTGGAGTCGAGATCGCAGGTTTTGTCCTCGCCGGGTTCCCACTCCTCATTTCTGCTGGAGAGCATTACCGAGAAGGCTTCGAGCCGTTGGTGAAATGGAAACGATTCCGGACAGACTTCATCGGGTTCATTGACGCAGTCGACATCGAGAAACAGTTGTTCGATCAGCTTTTGGAGCGGTTTCTGATCTCCGTAGACGTGCCATATGAAGAAGTACAATTGTTCATGACCAATCGAGACTATGAGGGGTGGCATAGGGAGGACCTGGTTGGCGCCCTCCAAGCTCGACTTGGCCCCTCCTACGACGTGTATATGAGCACTATCAAGACAATGGATAGCCTCATGCACGAATTGGAGGAATTGTTGTCGTTGAAGAATGGCGAGGTAGGGCACAGGATCCCCTTACTTCCAGCGGAAGCTAATACTAGTCTTTGTCCAGGTAGAGTGGGCGGAGCAAGGAGCCCGCCAGTGGGATTATCAGCTCAAAAGAATCAGACTCAGCTTCTCAAAGAAGGGACCAAAGACCGTGGCATTGCTGGAGAGTCACAATCGGAAATTGCGAGAGCTACTCGACTCGAACGATAAACTCGACAGCATGAAAGCAACTCGAAAAGACACCACGTGGGGGGCTGTATTCGAATGCATACGGGGCCATGCTAGCAGTGTTCACACGGCGATCAAAAAGAGCTGGAATTGCAATTGTACAAAACCGCATGTTGCAGGTCTCAGGTTGCAGAAACGGGTGACAGGAGATGATCCAGATTTCAACATGGCATTCAACATTCCAGAGGAGGTGCACAAGCCTCCCACCCATGCACGAGAAGTCATAATCAGTATCAAAAAGCACACGCCAAAGGAATCCAAAGCTCCACATACTAGTCCATCTCCATCCTCATCTTCCGGGGAAGTACCTTCTGAAGGGAACTATATTGGCAGACTCCGCACAAACTTCACACAATCCACTCCACAGCTAAACGTGGTTTCTCGCCCGTCACTCGAGGCATCATTGTCTGCATCATCTTCGCCTTCCCTACAAACACCCTTGAAGGATGCTTCTTCCAGTGCTGGTTTAAATCAATGCAGGTCCAGCAATATAAATAGCAATGGCACGCAGCTGTCATTGACCGATACCATATCTAGGTCGGTTTCATTCTAAGCTTTCCCTCATGTTCTTATTATTTCTAACGCGCAGTAGGAGTTGGCGAAAAGTTAAGCCCAAGAAGACAGTCCAAATCAATGTTCCAATGTCGATTCAAATGCCCGTCCAGATCCCCGTCCGGGTCAAGCCTGCCTGTGCCACAACACAGGTTGAGCTCCAGATCAGCCACTCAAATCCTGATGTGGAAGTAGAGATCAAGGATCTTTGTTTGAGACTTGCCGCCAGGGAGCCCTGCCACTGTCTCGGGTATATCTATGATGAGAAACAACAACAACACATGCTTCGCCCAGCGCAGGAAGACGAACTAAGGGTCGGAGAGTTCTCATACATCAGCCTAGCATCTCTGCTTCAAGGTCAAAGCGACTCGAGACTGACTAGGCACGAGCGCTACAAGGTCGCCAGTATCCTCGCATCGTCCCTTTTGCAGTTGCAAAGTACACCTTGGCTCACAGAAAGGATAGAGAAGAACAACATCTTCTTCTGCAGACAAGAAAACAGAATTTTTGTGGACCGACCATACATACGGCATTGCTTCCCGTCCTTGAAGTCATCTCAGTCTTGCTCAAATGCGGGTCAGACCCTAGCACAACTATCGTTGCGACCTGGATTCATGGCCCGCAACAGTCTTAGTAACCTTGGCATTCTGCTGCTAGAATTGTGTTTCGGCCAACCAATCGAGAGTCAGGCTTTCCGAAAAGACTATCTTGGGCAAGACGGCAAGCCTCACAATTCAACGGACTACATGACAGCTGTTTACTGGGCTGATATGGTCTGTGAAGAAGATCCTGCTTTGGAGCATATTGTAAAGTGTTGCATGTTCTGCATTTTTGAGGAGAAAGCGGATTGGAACAACAAGAAGTTTACCCAAGCTGTGTATAACAGTGTTGTTGAACCATTGGAAAAGATCATTGCCAAATGGGCGCTATCGTAATGGACCACAGAAGAAGAATTGTTGGTGTCTAGGTTAAGTTTCGTTGAGAGCGGATCTAGCATCCGGCAACAGATTTGCCAGTCGAAAAATCCGAATCGTGTTCAACGGCACAGATATCTGCGAAAAAGGAACAGATAATCAAGCGTCCAGCACTAACTGATCGTTGGTATCATGATTCGAAGATCCAATAGTGCAATGATCGAGACTAATGATATCTTTCTGTACAAGCCAACCAACTACCACAAATCTCGCCCAGCTTCACCGCCATCTGAAATCAAACGGTAGACTAACTTTTGTTACCAGTAGAAAGAAGCCACATCTGCAAGCTCAGAGCTTCCCCACTATCGTATCCTGGCCGCATCGGCTCAGCCTTGAGAGATCTAAGACATCGGGGTGTCATGGCTGGCGGAAGTGGCTCATTTTGTAAACCGGGATAGGCGCCAGGTTGGTATGCCGTGCCCGAAGCCTCCTGTACATTGGCATTTCCAAATGCAACATCATACCACGGCTTGTTCTCATGACGATATAGTGCTGATTCGTGGCTTATAAGCCGCCGCGACTGGAGCTGACGTTCTGAAAAAGGTACTCGAGTCAGCTTTGGTCGCCGAACATGACGAGAGAGCGAATAAGGGGACTCGGTTAACTCGCCGACCTAAGCGGGTCATGGGGTGATTTGGAGGCTTGAGATTGGCCTAGGGACCAGCCACATATCCTGAATCCGCCTTCTCCATCTCAGCTTGGTCGCCGAAAACGACAATATCATAGAAGCATCGTGTGATTAGGTTGAACTTTGACGGCAGCCTTACGGATAATTCTCCCTAGCCGGCAAGCTTCGTACGCAGAGCTGCGTATTACAACTTGACCCAATCACGGAAAAAGGACATCTTGCTTGGCTCCAGGTCCCCACTCCTCCGTTTCTGACCCTTGAGTTTTCTTCATTACTGCCAGTGATTGCGCAGCTTTGGGGAGCCCGTCGGAAATAAATTAGCAAGCGAGATCTCCTAACTCAGTCGAAAGCAAAGCTTAGCCGCTCTCCCCCAAGTCGTTAGCGGTCTTCTGATGAGGACCTCGCATGGCTATCTCCCATAGATTCTCGCTAGAATTGGGTATGGAGCTTCAAGACAATGGCTGAAAGCACCGGGTCCCCAGGGACCGGGAAATCTCTCCAAGTTCACGCTTGTATGGACGAAGCTGGTAGCCGTGAACGGCAACCCCGTCTGTTGACCTTGTCGCTGCTGCTTCAGAAGACCCATGGAGCTCCTTAGGGCTGACGTTTTCTGCTATAATATTCTGATGCCTTTCTTCAACCCAGTCTTTTCAAACTACAACGGATTCTCAGACCTGGCTTCTCATCTCTATCATTGCCTTTCTATCTGTTGATCTGTTTTCTTTTCTTCAAGTATTAGGATCACCGATATAACCTTCAGACCAACCCCTGTCCGATAGGCTTAATCTGTGTTTGGCCCTTTGTTTGTATTTCTATACATGGAATCCCACTCACCTGAATTGAGGACCAGAAACAACACATCGACCCCTGACAATCACATTTTGATTGCCATCCCTCAATGTGCAGGAACTTCCAACTGACGCCTACGATGGAATATTATTCTGATGTCGAGGAGTTTCAAGGTATTGAGTACCCTATGCTTCAAGGCAAGACACCTCTATTCACGTCAATGTGAGTTCCTGGTATTAACATCTCACAGGAAGAACCTATCTCGACCATGGTGGGGCAACAATATACGCCAAGTCTCTGGTCAACAATTTTGCATCAGATCTGGTGTCAAACCTATATGGCAACCCACACTCTATGAATGCCCCCGCGAAACTTTCAGGCCGGCTCGTCGACGATACACGGGAGAAGACTCTACGATTTTTGGGAGCTGACCCTGAACACTTTGACTTGGTTTTTGTTGCCAATGCAACGGCTGCCATCAAGCTTGTCATGGAATCGTTCAAGGACCTCTCGATCACCAACAAGCTGGTCGAGGGAGATGAATGCGGGTTCCGATACTTGTATCACATCGATTGCCATAACAGCGTCATTGGGGTCAGGGAAGCCACAGATGACAATCATTACTGTTTTCGAAACGACGCCGAGGTTGAACATTGGCTAGCTGGCACATCGAGTCAGAACGACAGTAATACGTTGGGACTTTTTGCGTATCCTGGACAAAGCAACATGACGGGCAGACGTCTGTCACTTTCCTGGCCTGGGATTCTGAGGAGATCAACGCATCTATCCCATCAGGATACCTACTCACTGCTTGACGCAGCAGCTTTAGCAACCACGTATCCACTGAACAAAGTATTCAGCGACCCCGAATCAGCACCAGACTTCACTACCCTCTCTTTTTACAAGATCTTCGGCTATCCAGATCTCGGAGCACTCGTTGTACGTAAAGCTTCGGGAAGGATCCTACAATGGGGACGCAAGTATTTCGGCGGAGGAACAGTGGAAGCTGTTACCGTTCTAGGCAAAAGACCTTGGTTCAAGAACCGCGGCATCCTACACGAAAGTCTCGAAGACGGAACCCTCCCCTTCCACAACGTCATTGCCCTGAGCGCCGCAATCGACACCCACGAACGGATCTACGGCCCCGACCCCATGACAACCATCTCCCGCCATACCAACTTTCTCGGCAAAATGCTCTTTGACCGTATGTCCGCCCTGGTCCATCCCAACGGCGTTGCAGTCTGCAGGATCTACAAAGGAGCAGAAAGTTCATACGGCGACAGCTCAACCCAAGGTGCAACCATTGCATTTAACGTCGTCCGCGAAGACGGCCAATTCGTCCCGTATACCAGCGTTCTCGAAACCCTCGCCGACGAGCGAAAGATCTACGTCCGTTCCGGCCAACTCTGCAATCCAGGAGGGATAGCATCAAGCCTAGGCTACGATACTTGGCACTTGAAACGCCTTGTTGCCAACGGACATCGCTGCGGAGCTGCGCATCTCACGAACACGGAAATCGTTAACGGAAAGCCAACCGGCGTAGTCCAGGTGTCTCTTGGTGCTATGACGACGATTGCGAATATCGACTCCCTGATCACGTTCTTGCGAGAGGAGTTTATTCGTGATGGGTTTCAACAACTAATAGATGATGCGAATGGGAGGAATATCGGTATTCCGATCAGAGTCAGCTCGAAGGATCAGAGTTGTTATTCGTATAGGGAGAAATCAGATCGCCATGCTAGTCACAATAGCAATGGGCATGAAGACTCCCAGGACTCCTTGAGTTTGGCTAGCTATCCGGCCTGTGCACGAACCACCACAGGAGATTCAAGAGCGTCGACTCGTCCCAGCACTGCCTCGGAGAGGAGGGAGAAAAGGTTATCGAATCTTCAGGGGTTTAACGATTCAGCTGTGCAGATGGCGCAGCCTAGAAAGGGGGCGGATACGAAGAAAGCGGAGGATGACAAGATGGGGTTTAGGAAAATGTTTAATAAGGAGAAGAAGAGCGTTGCAAATTGAGTTGAAGTGCTGCTCACCTGCCTTGGTTGAGTTTATTTACTGGCATGTTAGCATGGCGTTACTGCATCCCGCTTTCCCTTCTTGCTTTGAACACCTTTATCTGGTACATAAAGTCGTCAATATAGATTCTAATTCACCTTACTCCTACAGGTACTTTCAAGTTAGTACTGCTCAGTTCCTACGTTATCTTCCTCCTTTGAAGCATTCCCAATCAAAGTTATAGTCAGGAATGCTTTCAATCGCCTTGACATGCTTTGACCCGCCATCACATATTACTGATCAAGATATGTTGCACATTGGCACGAAAATCTCACAAAATAATCACATATTTTCCAACCCCCCCCCCCAAAAAGCTGGATCTAATACGTCAGGTAGTAGTTCCAATCAGGTGTCTCTCCTTTATTTCCACCACCCGGTTTGTTACTAAGTGCTCCAATGTTAAGCTTTCACTACCAGTGTCTCATACCAACAAATTAATCTCACCCTCCTGTTTCCTGTCCTTGATTCGTCTACTTCAGCAGCTTGGTCTCCCGTAGTGTCATGACAGACACACTATCCAGAACTTGGAGTGCTTATTTGAGAGACCTGTTGTTGAAATGAGGCAAAACAAAGCAGTGCTTTATTAATTGTGGCACCAAATATAGACTGGTTCAGATGAACGTAGAAGCTTAATTAATTCTCTAATGCTAGGGGAGAAGGTCTCCTTAAATAAGCTAATAAGAATAGAGGATATTAGCTAGGCAAAGGAAACCTCATAATCTCAACACTTGTTGCTAATGCGTGGATAAACTAACTCTTATATTTAATTTCAGCCAGAATTCTCCACGGCTTTGGCCAAGACTGCCTAGGGGACCTACATGCCATTTCCGTAGGGCCTGCTGGCGAAGACGGCATATCCCTGCCTTGTGGAGACAATTGCAGTGATATTAGTGCCATTGCAAGTAGATTCAGTAACATATGGCGACTTCAGATGGCGATTCTACTTACTAGCTTAGGGTGATAAGAACTGGGTGGGGTCGGGGAAAGAGTTGTGGGAACAAAGAGTATGCAAGAATCTTACATATTGCTTTGGCACAAGCAAATCTGGGGGAACATAGCAGACCAATTAATTTCGATGAGCCTCTGGGCAGGCCGTTAAAATACAGGATAATCCGATGCGCACAATTTCACCGTGGCAGATCAGGCGAAAAGGAAGCGATTAAGGCGATTCGATTACTACTCAACTTATAAAAGACGCCCACATCACAGGGCTTCTAATTTTCTCCACGCCCCAAAAGAACCATGAAATCTAAGAAGTTTTCTATAAAGTTCCACTTCCGGTACATCTAGGCAAAGGGAAAGTATCCCCAGTGCACAACTGAATAACACCATCAACCCAAGCCAAAGAATCATAGCTCATACTAGTGTAAGAATCAGCCTGGAAAGCGACCCTAGTCGCTCCCTCCGCAATGCATCCAATATCCACATAACCACTATGTCTCGTCGTACTCGGGTTGCTGACGACCGCTATTGGAAAGTGATCGATTTATTGATGGAAAATCGATATATTGGAGGTTGACAATCTGTAGAATGACTAGATACAAGAGAGTGAAGTGTAAAAACAGAGGAAAAGTGTCTAAAGTAAGGGATTTATTCCCATTACCCTTCGGCGATACCGGTGATGCCGAGCCCGCTTTCTCCGATACATTATCAATCAGCTGATAAATCAAAAGTAATCAAAATGACGATATACTAGTAAGCTTGGTAAGCTCAGCGAGTGACGCATGACAAATGAGAGTGGAGAACCCTAAATTAGTGGTTGAACCTGGTGCTGGAAGGACTGGTGAGCTAGCTATGGTAGCGTACCAATTTCAACAACCGCTCCATACTTTCCAGTCGGAATAGAGAAGGTGTATGCTGCTGCATATGAAGAAGCCCAAGTCTCGGTGTAGCTGATGCTGAATGTCGTGCTGAGGAATTGTTCGACGAGGGTGAGTGATGCGGATGCAGAGACGGATATGGAGTTGCTGATACTGAATCCTTCGGTGACAGAGACAGAGGTGCCATCTGTGTTGGCTTTGACCACTCGGGACATGAGAACGTCCCAGTTGAGGAACGTTTCAACTGGGTTCAGCGTGAAGACTGTTTCGGTAGAGCAGCGGGCTCCGAGGGCGCGGGTTGGAAGTTCGTCTGTGGTTGAGGAGCTAGTGGCCTTGTAGACTGTTGCATTGGCGGGTGGTGCATTGTCGGCGTTGTAGAATGGGCTGCCCGTAGCGGCGATGGCAGAGTACTCTGAGCGCTTCATGACTTCGACACGGCCGCTTCTTCCATAGAGGATAACGTCGTCTTCAGTCAACATTCTGCGAGGAAGAGTTGCAGCAGAAACGAATGTGACTCCAAATAGGAGGGTAGTGAGTGTTGAGGAAAGCATTTTGAATGAGTGCGTAGACTGAAAGAGTGAAGTAGTTGCGAGGGAAAGAGAAGATGCGAGGAGAAGACGCTTGTTAATGACTTGTAGCTTTCTTGTTAAGCAGGATGAAGGGGGATCTTATAAGATCTCATGGGCGTTGAAGTGATCCCAACAACGGGAAACTTGTCCCCCTATTAGGCACAACGCATGAGATCGCATGAGACCGTAAAGTGGCGCATTCGCTGTTGCTCCTTTTTGGGATTTGCTTCCTTGGCAACATCCACCTTCAACCGCCCATCCGTTTGCGATGATAATGAAATAACTTCCTGACTCGTATTTTAAGCATACTAGAAGCTAGAACAAAGTTTAGCGATGTTTCCTGCAAACGCCGACGTGCTGACAGCTGGTCCGTGCCAGGCCTAAAAAAGAGGTCGCGAAACAAGCATCACCGATTTTTCTCGCTTAGCGGCCTGAGATCTCGGGCCAAGGAAAGGGGGGAGAGAAATAGAGTTTTCGGTTCCGTTTCACGTTCAGTGGCAGTCCCCAAATGGCAATTCCACCGCGGGGTTGAAATGACATCTTCAATGCCTCTACTACTGCTATGCCAATATGGGACGAGCACGGTGGACTTGTGGGGTTTGGGAAGAGGCTGAGCTCTCTTTGTTAAAGCCGAGAGGGCATGGCGATGAACAAGATGATTTTAATTCCTTGTATCCAGGACTTCTTTATTGTTTCAGTAGAAAGAAGGCTGAATAATTACGTCAAGTGAAGCTCGTCATAATCTGAGAAGTTATGCCTGTTCGTCTTTGCGTTGCGGTCGAGATGTCCGCGTTCAGTGCGCTTGAAGTTGTCTGGTGCAGCTTGTTATAAAGAGAAGTCCGTCAGCAAGCAAAGTTCAATCTATTCTCACTCAGCTCATCCAGTATCCCATCACGTTCGTTCTCCTACTCAACTCTCATTTTCACATTGCCTCTCAGCCTTTACTCAATCCAAATTACTCTTTACCATCGCCAACCAGCAAAATGAAGACCTCCTTCTCCACGCTTCTTTTCGCATTTTCATTGACTGGAAGGTATGTTCTTCATCTCACCCATCCCCCCCTCCCCTTCTCGACAACAACTAACTCTAACCCTAATAGGGTCCTCGCAGATCTCCACCAAAACGCAGTTTGCGTCGACACCATGGACGCCGGTGTAAAACCCCTTCCTTCCCAGACATACTCAATCCCACTAACAACACTTAGAATGTCCTCAACGAAACAGCAACAGCCACAGCTTGCGGCTACTACTTCATGAGAAACAAGGGAACCGAGCAATGGAACACATGTCCGGATTGCATTATGGTAAGATCTTGCTTCTCTTGCTTCAGTTCTCCAGGCTAATATGAAATGATAGCTCGACACTCCATCTATCCACTGCAACTCGGAAGCATGGCATATCGGCGGTGACGAGGTTCGCTCCCTTTCCTCGTGACTCGCTTGGAAAAAATGCTAATAAATCTCTTCTTCAAGATCACGTATTATTGTCAACTGGCTGGGGCGGATAATGCATTGACTAGTTAAAAGCTTCTTGGGACCTCGGGACGTGAAGAGATAGAAGATCTCTGCGATTGGGAAACTTTGACATCATTTTGAGTTTGGGGGTTTTTGGCGGTATAATGTGCTTTAAACGAATGCAACTGGAGTCCTACAGTTTCGTGATTATTTATGCAAGGAAGTACTTACGTCTCGGGTAAGTTCACATGGTCACCCTAAATACCCCAAAGGCTCAACGCTTCCCTCGAAACAAATTTCATCTTATAATTTTATTTTTATGGAAAATTGAACGCCATTTAATGATATCTTGTTACTCGGTTCTATTACCAATCTAGTAGTTGCTTGGCACTTTGAAATGTCTTGAGGGCACGAGCCGACATGTTCCCCGAGAGCTAGAAAGAAGAAAGGGCAAGGAGATTAACAGGACGTCCATATAGCATAACTTAAGTCAAAACGTAGTGTGTTTTTTTTTTTTTTTTTTGAGTTTTGTAGGCTTCAGGCAATTGGCAGAATACTACTTATAAACATTGGACTTATGACGCGGTGGCCGCAGAGGACATTGGCGCATGCTGAATAAGACTAAGCATAAGAAATAGTTTGGAGACATAATAAAAGGATACTGAGCATATATTACGCAAGGGGAGAAGATATGGACCCGGTAGTTGCTGGATTCTGGCACAAGAGAAAGCCGGAAGTGAGACTCAGTGATCTGTGTAGCATTTTGACGCTTGAGTATTCTAATAACGGCCTCTTTCTTGAGATAATCTCGAATAAATCCATTGTTGATTTCGAAATGCTCGAAACTAAGCCTACTGCGGTTAAAAAACCCTCCTTGAAACTCCACACTTCTCCTCGATGAATACTGAGAAGCACACTGGAGGGCATTCTGATAACGAACAAGGCATCCAGGGCCTTTTCATTTAGCTTCCCATTGACGAGACGTTCCCCAATCATATTAACATGTAAAGCGTTCCGGCTCTCTTCAACTTTGTGAGAATCCAGCATTATTCGAAATACAAATGGCGTATGACGGTCCATGAAGAAATAAACAAGACGCCCGATCCTTGTAGATGCTGGTAATAAGGCAAGGCATTTTTGAATTCCCTGAAGACAAGCCAGTTTCCTACCGTCAAGATTAGAGGGACCGGAACTTTTGGACGCTTCAATCCCTTCATACAAGTAATCCACAAGGCTTGCCGCTGCGCTCCGATTGTCACGTTCCTCGTAGATGTACGGCCGGAGGATAGTTGCGAGTTCTGAGTGCCCGAGGTTTTAGTTGTTCCCTACTATTGCTTAAGCTGTCCCCTATTATCAAATTCTGCATATGCTCGTTTATTTAGCTAATCCCTATTATCCCTTAAGCTATCGCTACTACGGTTTAGCATATGCTCTCCTTATGCTCTGTATATGCACGGCTAGGAAGGTTCGGGTTAGCCCCGAGCTTGCGAGGGGGCCTAGGGTCAGGAGTTAGGGTTCAGATTAGTCCCGGGGGGCTAGGGGGCAGTGAGAGCTCCCCGTATAATAATATATTTGAGTATAAAGGCCTTACAGATTAGGGTTAGCAAGCATATATTAAGTATATGGGTTCTATATACCGAGAATATACTGGAGTAATAGCGAAAATAAAGTAAGGTGTATTCAAACTTACTTGTATACTTATTAGTTATAAAGGTCGAGTATATACTAAGTATAGGGGTTCCATATACTAAATATATACTAGAGGCAATAATAATAGTAAATTAAAGAGTTCTTAGTAGTAAAGGTTTAAGATATACTAGGAGTATGCCTGGCGGGCCGCTGGGAGGAGGTCAGGGTAAAGGAGGGCGAAAGAGAGGGGTGTTCCTTTAGTAAAATAAGTATCTATTATATCTTAAGGTCGAGCCTATGCAAGAAGCTGATTCCTACTATAGAAAATACAAGGGTATTTGAGCTAATTCATAGTAGGGAATAACTTAAGCGATAGTAGGGCTCAGCTACTGGCTCTGAGTGCCCTTGCACTTATGCTGACAACTACGCAGCACAGTAACTGTATTCTGACACTTCTATAAAGTAGTTGTTGCCCCGTTTCGATCCTTTCTTCAACTCGGCCTTCTTTTTCGCAGAATATGAGACATAGGAAGTCATGTCAAGGGTGTCTCTGAGGAGCAAGACCGAAGAGAGTGCACATGTTCTCGCAGACAACACCATACGATCAAAGGAATAACTCGGCTTGGTTCAATCAGGTCGGTTGATATGATTGCGAGAGACGTTGAGATCGAAACCAGCATGAGTCAAATTTAGATGATGTGAACTCACCTCATGTGAAGTCCAGTCGGGAACCTACTTCGCCAGGTCGGGCCGGCGATGTTCTATATCAATATCTTCGATATAAGCCATTGTCCTGAACAAATCTGCAGCTGATATGCATTTCTCAGCAAGGGTTTGAAATGTTTGGGCGGTAGTCATTTTGTAGTTAACTTCGAGACCGAGACCTTCAATTAGCTAGAAAGGGGCATAGATCAGTTTCCAGGAATCCGATACCCCAAAGCCACGCCTAGAAGCTAAGATATCAATCCATTGATCGAAAGGACCTACCTACATGGCCTTCAAAGCGTTTCGTGAGGCCAATGTTTCAGAAGCAGATTTCGAAGCCGATGGATTTTTGGCTCGCCAGGTCTGGTAAAATAATACCAGTTCTGGGAGTCCTCTGGATGGCCTTCAGGAAGTATATTTGGGGAGTTAGAGCATTGCCGTTTTTCGATCAAAGATCTAGCATTTCACTTTACTAAATTCATCCGTATGACAATATTGATCTTCTGACACAAGTTGAGTTCCACTTGACGTGATCTGTTCGAATACGAGGACAGCAAGATGCTATTATGTCCTGCTGCCTCTAGCCTCATATATTGAAGCGTGTTTGCCATAAAACTTGCGACGTTGCAAAGTGTGCTCCAGGGAAATCTGATATCGCTGTATTGTATCATTGGATCCCTTGAGAGCACCAGTTCCCTAAAGATCCACACACGGTAGAGCCATGAGCACACCAGCAGATGATTTGATGCCGCAGCTATTTTGTCATCTTCTTCGAGAGGAATAAAACAATCCCCTTCCGATTGCGACAGAAAAAAAGATAGCGAAGATTCGATCGAGCCATCTCCTTCGCCGAGTAAGATTACCGTGTGAGTTGCAATTTCATACACTGTCCCCATGTGCTGAACCTGTCCACCCTTCTCGGCCTCGTCTTGCTGATTGATACGTACGCCATCGGCCCGTACATTCAAGTTTCTTTTCTCATCCCTTAGAAGTCGAAGAGTGTGTCCATTAAGTGAAATGGCAATTTCATCGTTTGCATCGCCCCAGACGTAGGAAAGAGCGGTAAAATGGTCGTATATTTCTACTCGAGCTTACCGAAGTGTGGTATGGATGATCTCACATTCGACGCCGGCAGCCTCGTCTGGGGATAAATGGAGGACGATGAGGCGAATGCAGTCACCACCGGTTATGGGAAAGTATTGATAAGGTTTTTGTGTTGAGTTAGCCATCTTGATGTAGTTTTGTGGTTGTTGAAGATTATTGAAAGTGGTTGAGGAGAAGAAGAAGGCCATGCTGGGAAATGAAGGAAGTTTCGATCTGCCAATAACGCCTGATTACCTGAGCTAATAGGAGTAGGAATCCTAGCTCTTTACTGATATGAGTAGGAGTAGACGAAGAATTGCGACTGCAAGAAAGGAAGATGAGCCAAAACAAACAGGAGCTGTGCACAAACTCTCCTGAGTTTTTGTGTGCTCACAAGCCAGATTGACTGTGACAGAGAGTCAAAGAGATCAATAGGGACACTCGACCCCTCAACCCATTCACAACCCACAGCCTCTTCACGCAAATATCACTCCTAACCCATCCTCCAAGCCATGACATGCTCCTCAGGACAAGCCTCAAGCCTCCTGCAACGCCTTCACAACATCCTTGACTCTCTTCCCAGAACCAGTCTGTGTCAGTTTAGCCGACTGAATAATCAATTGCAGGTACTTGAAAGTTGAGGAACGCTTCGAGGCCAAGAGCACTGTTGCTCAGTGGGTGGTCGTGGGACCATCTCTGTCCACGTGTCAAAGCTTGATATGGGAGGTGAGTTGTGGCCAGGGTAGGGAATAGTGTGACCTCAGTCCAGTGCCACTGGGGTGGCACCGCAGTGGTGCGGTGTAATATAGCCATAGTCTAGTTTGGTGGAGGATATACTGCACCGCGGTGAGTGCGGTGCAACCGCAGTTTAAGGGGTAGTCTTGCTTAAAATTACCCAAGGATGTCAAGTAACTTATAGTAAATAGAAAATAGCCAAACCTCAATATAATTAATTAATTCTTTTATTATTAAAAAGGGCGGATCTAGGGCTTTTAAAGGTATTAAAAATCTTAATTATTTTAGCTATCGTAATTATAGAAATATATTTAAGTGCTTAATCGGGAATTCTTAAAGCTATTTACCGAGTTCTTGCTCCGGTATCCGGAGAGAATTTTTCTCTAATTCTAGCCTCTCTTGAATTTCTCTTAATCAAAACGCGTCCTATTAATTAACTACTACGTAATTATGCCTCCAAAGGCCCAATCAAGACCCCCAAAGGATGGGAAGCTAAGTCAGAGTGATTAGAGAAAATAATTAGTATTGAAGCTGTTATAATCGGGTAAAGTCACGTGAAACTGGTAAACTGCAGTTTAAACCGCGGTTTTGAAGATATAATCGTAGTTTAGTTTAGTGGAGAGATGCCTCAGTTTAGTGTAATTGAATCGCACCGCAGTTTGATAATAAAAATCTGCACCGTAGTCTGAAACCGCAGTTTGCACTATACCCTACCCTGGTTGTGGCTATGTGTGCGAAATTGCAGAGCAGAGAATATGGGAGCCCTATTCTTGCAGAGCCCCCCCATATGAATACAATAAGCAATTCGTGACATCTGGTGTCACTGCTATTTGACTTCCTGCAAAATAACCTCACTTTGGCTTATCGCGATGTCACATTGTCTCATTAACTAGAGCAAACATTAGCAATAAGTCGGTCCGAACTAAATATTGGAAAACTCTACTATCCTAGTTGATATGAGTTGTATTAATAGAAATTATATTATATCTCGTAGTAATTAATTATTTGTTTCCGGATTTTTAATAATTTCAATATTACTGAAACTAAAATGCATATAGTTTCTTTTAATATAAACTTTATATAATTTTATAATTAATTTTTGTTTTTAAATATTATATAATTAATTCTCTTTATTAATTATTCTTTATAATAATATTTAGTATTTTAATAACTATTTTACTAAATAATACTTCTTTTATATATTTTTTATAATTATTTCTATAAATATTAAAATGTTTATAAATATTTAATTAATAATATAAGATCTAATAGTTATTGAAATGCCATAAGCACTCTTTTATTAGTAGAATTATATGATTTTCAAAATATATTTCTGCGCTTTTTATAATTAAAATACTATAATTAATATAATTCGAAATCCAATTACAAATTAATTACAAATCGTATTAAAATTCGTATTAATACGTTTTATTTGCTTAGCTCTACTCTATTTTTGTCTTTATGAGTATTAATTTATTAGAGTTGTGGTTAAGAAGTTATTGTAGTCGTAAAAGGGTAACCAATTTGCGGGTTTTGGGTTGGGTCGACTGTAGAGGAGCTTGTGGTGAAGCTTCCGCATCTGCAAGTCCTCGAGCTTTAGCGAGAAAGCCTTCGATAGGTCCGAGCCACATTGACCGCCTCATGGTTTAGTGAAACAAAAAACATGACTACACATCTCTTCAACATTTACCTCTGTTGAATTCCGCACTCTTCAATTGGGAAGACAGCAATCATGTCTTCCAAGCCCCAGAGCGTCAATGGCTCCGAGAGCGAGTTCGAGTTCATTGAGACCCCCAAAGCTCCCACCCCGACCTTCGAGAAATTCGAGGACTGTGGTGTTAGAACGACGTCGGTATGTGAACAGGCAGCCACAACGATCTGCGAAAGCATCTGTGCCGCCGTAGACCTCAATTGAACATATGCTAATATTTGCGCGCAGTACCCGGCAATCAAGAATGCTCCTCTGCCAGCTGATGGTCCTGGCAACGAGAGCTTCTCCAACATCCTCCTCATCTCCCTCATTACACTCGTCCCATGGTACTTCTCCTGGAAAGTCGGCGGCGGATTGAAGACCAGCATCTTCTTCGGTCTCTTCACGACAATCCCGATCTTGGCCAGTTTCTGGTACCTCGCCTCGTCCTTCAGTCCGCGCAAGAATGAAAAGGCCACCATTCCAGGCCGCCCCGTCGAACATTACCTTACCTTCAAGAACGAGGCCGACAAGCTCAAATACCGCGGAGCCAATAAGATCCCAATGGAGACATTCCATAATATGTACTTTGATGGTGATGTTGACTTCAATGGGGATGCGCTGGAAGTTATGGAGTACAGACATGACTGGGCATCCTTCAGGTTCACATTGAGCTTGTTCAAGTTTGTTGTCTTCCAATTTGCACCTGAGGTTATCATGCATACTCGATCCCAAGGTATTTTTCTCTGTTCCGGTGCAGAAAATCCATCTAATGATTACCGGCAGATGAGGAGCAAGTTCGAGACCACTACGACCGCGGTGATGATTTCTACGGCTGGTTCCTCGGCCCGCGCATGGTCTACACTTCTGGCATTATATCTGACCCCAGACAAGAAGAGACACTCGAACAACTCCAGGATAACAAGCTTACCATTATCTGCGAAAAAATTGATCTCAAGCAAGGCGAGAGAATGCTGGACATTGGCTGCGGATGGGGTACCCTTGCGAAGTTCGCCAGCGTCAATTATGGTGCAAAAGCTACTGGTATTACTCTTGGCCGCAACCAGACCGCATGGGGTAATAATGGACTTCGCAAGGCTGGCATCTCTGAGGAGCAAAGCAACATCCTCTGCATGGATTACCGTGATATCCCGGTTCCGGAAGGCAAATACAACAAGATTACCTGTATCGAAATGGCCGAGCACGTTGGTATCCGACATCTTACCAGCTTCTTGAGACAGTGTAACGAGATGATGGATGATGATGGAGTTTTCTTCCTGCAAGTTGCTGGATTGAGAAAGAGCTGGCAATACGAGGATCTCATCTGGGGTCTTTTCATGAACAAATATATCTTCCCTGGTGCTGATGCCTCTACTCCACTCAACGACTATATTCGATCGGTTGAGAGTGCTGGATTCGAGGTCAAGTCAATTGACACTATCGGTGTTCATTACTCGGCTACGCTGTGGAGATGGTACAGAAACTGGCTCGCCAACAAGGACAAGGTCTTGGCTAAGTACGGCAAAAGATGGTATAAAGTAAGTTTGATGTGAAAGCTTACAGACCATTTCTAACAGACCTAGATCTGGGAGTTCTTCCTTGCCTATTCTACGATCATCTCTCGTCAAGGCTCCGCAACCTGCTACCAAATCACCCTTGTCAAGAACTTGAACTCCACCCATCGTATTGAGGGCATTGATACCCAGTTCTCTCTGTCCGGGGCCCTTCAAGCCAGCAAAGCCGCCAACAAGGCATTGTTCCCCAAGAACAAGAACTAGTTGGCAGCTTCGCCGGCACGCTTACTTGATTTGACGGGGAGACGAGGGTGAGATGCCCACTCGGTCGGATGTCCACTGTGAATTGCTACTCGGTGTAATGGATGACGTTCGGAAGACATAGAATTAGCTTTGTAATTATATCTGAGCTGGGCAATATCTGCACAGCGAAAATGAGGGCTTCATGTGACAGAAGTCGAAGATAGAGATATGTAGAGGATTTGCAGGTAGCACTGCTAATCCAAAACATGTATATACCTCTCAATGAGCAATGAGTAAATCGACAGTGAAAATGTGCAAGCAAGACCAGGTCCTAAATAGTCGCTGCTTTAATAAGCTTATCCGCTGGTGCCTGTAACCTGGTTCCCGCTAGAGCCGCATCTCTCCGACATTCTGTGTGGCCAAGCTTCGTCATTTATCCTCAGCCACGCGTAGGTTGATCGACTATCACAACCATCCTCCAGCGCAGCATAGCATTTCCTGTCTAATACCATCTTTCCTTTGCACGTCTTTGATATTTTCGCATCATGTTCTCCGGGTCCAACTCCTACCTGGGGGGCCAGAGCGGTCGCCCGGGCGGGCCTCAGCAGTATGGCTCTTTCCAGCCTCAGCAACCACAGCAGCAACAGCAACAACCACAGCCTCAGTCGAACTTCATGAATCCGAATCCGACGGGATATGGCCAAGCTCCATTACAGCAGCAGTTCACCGGCTATCCTATGCAGGCGCAACCGACAGGTTTCCAGCCGCAACAGATGCAACAACAGCAGAGTGGCTTCCCAGGACAGCAGAATCCATCTCCATTTGGCAACATGCAAGCTCCGCAGCAGCAGAGCTTCCAGACTGGAGCTCCTCCAATGCCTCAAATACCTCAGCAATTCCAGACCCAAGCTCCGCAACAGCCGCAGCCTCCTCCCGCAGCCCCGATGCAGAAAGCTCAGCCGACGGGCTTCGCAGCAATGGCAGATAGCTTCAAGTCGACACCGTCCGCACCTGCTCCTGCGAGAGGACGCAGAGCATCAAAGTCGAAGGGCACGAAGATTCCCAACATACGATTGTCGTTCATCACTGCGCAGGACCAAGCGAAGTTTGAGACTTTGTTCAAGTCTGCGGTTGGGGATGGCCAGACTCTATCTGGCGACAAATCGAGAGATCTGCTAATGAGATCGAAACTGGATGGCAATTCATTGTCACAAATATGGTAGGACAGCGAAATTCATCACAATATCCGAACATACGAAGAAGCTAATGACAACGGCAGGACTCTTGCAGACACCACTAGATCCGGCCAACTGCATTTCCCCGAATTTGCCCTCGCAATGTACCTCTGCAATCTGAAGCTTGTTGGGAAGCAATTGCCATCTGTCCTGCCCGATAACATAAAGAATGAGGTGTCGAGCATGGTGGATATAATCAATTTCAACGTCGTGGATGACGCTCCGGAGCCTGCTCCTCAAAGGACCAATGCTCCAGACTTCACTCGACAGACATCCCCACCCACGATTCAGCAGCCACAACCCATACAATCGAACTCGGCTCTGTTGACGGCACAGATGACTGGTTTCCCGGGACAGCAAAACCATTTCTCCGGAGGTTTCCAGCAGCAGCAGACTGGCTTCCAGCAGCCTATACAGACTGGATTTGGTCAGCAGCAAGGCGGATTACAACCGAATCCGACAGGGTTTCAGGGCATGTCGAATCCGTCAGCTCCTGGATACAACGGCCCTCGTCCGCCAATGCCTCCAATGCCTACTGGATTTGGACCGAATCAAGGTCTTTCGCCCGCTCAGACTGGCATGGGAGGTATGATTGCTCCATTGAATAGCCAACCTACTGGACGACCAGGCCAATGGGGATTAGTCAATGCTCCTGCGAGCGGATTACCTAATATCGATCTGCTGCAATCCCGAATGATGCCACAGCAAGGCCGAGAGCAGGGTAACTTCACCACAGCTGGTCTATCAGGAAATGCTGTTATTCCATGGGCCATCACAAAAGATGAGAAGACAAGATATGATTCTGTTTTCAAAGCGTGGGATGGGTTTGGCAAGGGTTTCATCGGCGGTGATGTTGCCATTGAGGTTTTCGGACAAAGTGGTCTTGAAAAGCCAGATCTGGAGCGAGTCTGGACGCTCGCTGATCAGGGGAATAAGGGCCGCCTCAATATGGACGAATTCGCAGTGGCGATGCATTTGATCTACCGTAAGCTAAACGGATACCCACTTCCCGCTCAACTACCACCCGAGCTTGTCCCGCCTTCCACCAGGAACTTCAACGATTCGATTGGCACGGTCAAGTCACTGCTCCACCAGGAATCTGATTTCCGCAAAAACTCTGGAGCAGCTCTGTTGCCTCAGAGGACTGGAGTCAGCTACCTGAAGAACCACTCATTCAGAGGGGATTCTGGCCCAAGCGGATTTGGACGCAAGGATGCCACGGTTTTCAAGAATAATGATGACGATGTGGGATACAAATCTAGTGCACGCAGGAGGCTGGGTAACGGATCACCTCGACCTTCCTCGCCATCATCAACAACCTCCAACGATGAAATATCTCTGGACCAATTGAGGAAGAAGATTCGTGAGAAGCAGGTGCTTCTGGACGCAATTGATTTCAAGGATGAAAACGCGGCCGATGAAGACGATGCTCTGGATAGACGGGACCGTCGCGAGGCAGAAGACCTTTATCGCCGAATTCGTCGCATCCAAGAAGATATCGACGCACATCCTGATGCAGCACTTCGCAATGTGGACTCGGGCGCAGAACGCCGTATCCTGAAGCGACAGCTCCAACAGCTCACCGATAAACTCCCTGAGATCGCATCTGACGTTCGCAAGACCGAGCGCGCTATCGCCGATGCGAAGCTTGAGTTGTTCCGTCTTAAAGATGCTAAGGCTCATCCCGGCAGTGCGTCATCAATTGTTGGTACTGGTCCAGGCGGCTCTGTCACCGAATCAGATCGTCTCAAGGCCAGGGCTAAGGCTATGATGCAACAGCGGTCTGCTGCTCTTACTGGAAGAAAGGTCGAATCAAGCAATGAGGACTTTGACGCGCCGAAGAGACTAGAAGAGGAAAATATCAAGATAAGAAATGAGAAGGAGAATAATGAGCGCATGGTCAAGGATGTGGAAGACAGCGTTCGAGATTTCTCACGTGGTCTCGAGGACAGCCTCAAGGATGGTGCCGATGATTCGAGCAGTGAACACGAGAAGCGCAGATGGGAAGATGGTCTCGGAGTTGAGGATGAGGTCAAGGATTTTATCTTCGATTTACAGAGATCAAGCCGATCTGCCAGAGTCAGGACGGATGACCGAAGTCGTAGCACTAGAGACACACCACGATCTGAACCGTCTTCCCGTTTCGACAGCCCAGCTGCACCCTCGCCCGTCGAGGCACCTTCTGCTAGGTCCGCTCCTGCACCAGCCCCTGGAGGCACTTACTCTCAGTACAAAACCCCTGAGGACCGAGCAGCATATATTAAGCAGCAAGCCGAGCAACGCATGGCCGAACGTCTTGCTGCTCTTGGCATCAAGGCACCGACAAAGTCTGGAGAGACCACCCAGCAAAGACTGGAACGTGAGAAGAATGAGAGAGCCGCCAAAGTTCGACAGGCCGAGGAAGAAGATGCGAAGCGTGAAGCCGAGAGACAGGCCAGAATCAATGAAGAGCAGGGCATTCCTCCCCCACCTCCAGCTTCAACTGTTGCGAAGAGGCCTCCTCCGCCACCCTCGCGGAAGGCGGCAAAGAGTGATGCAAGTGAGAAGAGGGCCGAAGAAGAGCAACGAGTTTTGCAAGAGCAGAAGGCGCAGATCATTGCCACTTCAGAACTTGAGTGTGTCAGCCGTACTCCTTGTAGTGACTCTTTACTAATACTGTTAGGAATGATGCGGCCAGACAGGAAGCTGAGCTCGCCAAGGAGAAGGAGGCTGCTGCTGCTCGTTTGAAGGCACTCGAAGAGCAAGTCAAGGCCGGCAAGGTCAAGAAAGAAGAAGAGAAGCGAAGAAGGAAGGCCGCTCAAGAAGAGGCTAAGAAGCAAGAAGCAAGATTAGCTGCCCAGCGAGCCGAAATTGAAGCTGCTCAAACCCGTGAGAGGGAACTGCAACGCCAATTGGAAGCCATCGACGATGATGATTCTTCGGACGAGGAGGATCAGCAGGCTACACCGCAAGCTTCAACACCAACAGTCAGCAGTCAAGAGTTCGAGAGGAAGGAAGTTTCACCGCCCCCACCGCCGGTTCCGATGATCGTCCCACCAATCCCTCAAGCAGCACAAACTACTGCCCTCCCCGTTGTCAGCCCCCCGTCTGATACGGAAACTAGGAACCCATTCAAGAAACTGGTAGCTGGAGGTGACACAGCCTCGCCATCGTCCCAAGCTGGTGTCGCAACCAACAACCCATTCTTCCGCCCTCAACAACAAGAAACCGCACGTGCCCCTGAACCCATCCAAATCCAACCAACCGGCCGCACCTCTCGCGTCCGTCCCGAAGAAGACGACTGGTCCGTCGTAGGCTCCGACAAAGAAGACGACTCCTCCGACGAAGAAGGTCCTGGCGCCGGCAACGCTCGCCACCTCGCATCCATCCTCTTCGGCACCATGGGTCCTCCCCGTCCTCTATCCGCAGCTGGCGGCGCAGGCTCGACACCTACGAGCCCTGCACCGAAGGTTGATTCTCCCGCTGCTCCTCCGCCACCTCCGCCCATGCCAACTGGTGGAGCTCCACCACCACCTCCTATTCCAAGCTTTGGGGGCCCGCCCCCGCCTCCCCCAATGCCTGGAATGGGCGCACCTGGCGCTCCTCCACCACCTCCGATGCCAGCGCCTGGAGCTGGAGCTGGAGCTGGAGCGCAGAGACCCGCGGCGTTGTTAGGCGAGATTCAGATGGGGAGGCAGCTGAAGAAGACGCAGACGAAGGATAAGAGTGGTGCTGCTGTTGCGGGGAGGGTGCTGGATTAAGTTTCTTGCACGGGGATGTATCAATTGGTGTTGAGTATTTAGCATTTGAAATTCGAGGAGCGGATTGAACAATGGATGGGCGTGGATGGGCAAGGCGATAGGTGACAGGGGAAGAATTGGGGAGGTGTATATTACGTTCAGTACCATGCAGAAGGTAGATTGCGAAAGGGGTTGAGCTTTAGCACATATTGAGATTGAGATTGGAGAATTGCAAATTCGATGCGCCTTTGTTACTACACCTGCTCTCGGGCTGGTTGAAATTTTCTTAATACTTTTTTTCTGTAAAAGTGGCATGCAGGTTTGTTTGCTTGGTGTGGCGCTTTTTGAGATTGAGAATTGTGAGGTGCGTTTGCTACTCCTGATTTCTCAAAAGTGTTTGTTTCGGGTGAACTGACGAAAGCGCTTATGTCTGCTCTTCGAGATAATCCATCAAAGGCCTCCACTTCTCACGTTGTGAAGGTGAGGTTCCACTTTGTGAGATGCTTTCTCCCATTTTGACAACCCTGTCGGGGACACCAACTTATCACAAGGAGTCCCACGCATGCCTCAACCACGCACGTTCCATTTAAGATCGAATTCATGAATGATACCACACCTCAAGGCATTTCTTGGGCTGTTGATAAGCACGGAGATGCAAAAGCATAATATACCTTGATGGCTGGATTAACAGTTCAGCCTCCTCTCCTGTGAGTTGTCGAGAATGGTGTTTTTGACGCGAACTGGCAGTGATTTCAATAACCCGCATTTCCTTGCCTGGCCATCAGGTAAGGAAAAGCAGGGTATACACGCAGGAAAAGGAGAGGCCAGGCAGAAGCTAGAATTTCTGGGGAAGGAAAGGCAAGCCGAGGAAGGACAGAGACCAGGAAATTGAACACACTGCGAACTGGTGAAAATACAAAGGTCTGGCTCCCCGAGGAGCTACCACACCCGCCTTGAGTTGACTGCTACAGTGCTGTAGACCAGTCTCCACCTTCTTACTTTGTGAGTTTTGGGTGGAACAGGCTTCTCATTCGTACACCAGCCGAACGAAACCCTCGCTTTCGTCGCCCACCTGGTTTCAACGCGTGGAGGAGTTGGGCATTTTTATTTTGCGGAAGGTTTCTACCGCTTTCAAATCGAGCTGACGTTGCAAGTGTAGAGGCACAAGTGCAACAGTGCAACAGACTCGCGGCAGGGCTTGCGGCTCGCTAATCTCGTTCAACGTCAAACGGTCTGTTCAACACCAGCTTTCCACCACCGGTGCTACAGAAACGGGTACCTATCATAAAGGTCGACAGCGTATAAAAGACTGGATATCTGATCTCTTTCGGGAAGGTGCATTCGAGAGAATAATTGCACTGCATCTGCATTTCAAATCCAGGTGATGTCGATCTAAGGCAGTTTCTCGGTAAGATATTATCTCAGATGTGAGAGACGGAGCTGTTAATATCAAATAGGACATTTTGCGAACATTTACGCAACATGTATTGCCAACTTTTCACGAGGACCTATCAATGCGACTTGCCACGAGTGGTCAATTCTGAACCTGTCCTCCTTGACTGAAATGTCTCGGTCACGTGCATGAATCCGTTTGTAAGGCAAGGCAACATGCAAACGGATGTTACTCGATGTCGTCTGGAAACCTCTTTCTCTTCTTCCTCTTCCTCCCCCTTTCCTTTCTCGAGAATTTGTCCTACTCCAACATCCTTCCGGAACACAGAGAAACGGCCGCTGCTGTTCACCTGCGCACCCCTTTGGAAATCCCGTGAAACTGGATCGACGTTGTCAACCGTTTTTGTCCAACGTTACAGTACACGCTCTTTCTTGCCCTGTATCTCGGTGCTTTCTTGGCCTCGGCATAAAATCACAAGATTTTTCAGTTCGTGGGTTCACTAAATTATATCCGGAGACTGGGAGGCGGAGACGATCATCGCCTTCCATAGAGGGAGGACTTTTATATCCCTCTCGCTTGTGTGTACATATGACGAACCACCCTCTTCAACAAACACCGAATTCCTCCCTCGACAACACCGTCATCAAGCAGGCCCTCCAGAGCTTGTAATGACGCTCACCAACTTTTCAGAAGGCGAATCCACATTAATCATTTCGGCGAAGAAGGGCGATGAGGAATCAGGAGAATTCAGTGCGACGACGGCGAGTACTGGTGCCCTGTCTAGGACAACACAAACGACCGATAGAAGCGACGAATTTCCTATCGATGGAGGCTTCGAGGGTTGGACTTGTGTTATCGGTGGTTGGTTTGCACTTTTTGCTACCTTCGGGTGGTTGAACTCGTAAGTCCCCTCCGCCTTCTCCCTCTGATTTCATCATATGATAGATTTGTCTCACCTCGAGTAGCATGGGCCTCTTCCAAACGTACTACGAGGCAGTACTCCTGTCATCCTACTCCGCCTCTTCCATCTCCTGGATCTTCACAACGCAGCTGTTCCTCATGTGAGTCCCATCCCTCCCCCGTGACTCACCCACTGACGTTATCGTATGTTGCAGGTGGGCTGGCGGCGCACTTTTTGGCCGAATCGTCGATACGTACGGCACGAAATATATCGCCATTGTTTGTACGATAGCTTGTACGTTTTTCGTTGCGATGCTGAGTCTTTCGACGGAGTACTACCAGATCTTCCTTACGCAAGGAGTGGGCTTTGGTCTCGCTGCGAGTGGATTGTTTTCTTGCGGCATCGTGTCGACAGGACAGTTCTTCCATAAGAGGAAGGCTTTGGCGTTGGGTATCGTGCTCGCTGGTAGCAGTACTGGTATGCTATATCTCGACGTTGTCAAGTATTCAGTTGTGCTGATTTCGGCATAGGAGGCGTCATCCACCCCATCTATCTCCACTTCCTGATCCCGAAGATTGGTTTCCCAAATGCTATCCGAGTCAACGCCCTCGTCATCGCTAGTTGTGGAGTAGTGTCCTGCTTCCTCATGCGTACGAGGTTGCCGGAGAAGGAATGGGATCCGAAAGCCAAGTTTCTGGATTTTGCGTTGTTCAGACAGCGGATCTTCGCTGTTTATTGCCTGGGCACCTTCTTCGTTGTGTGAGTTTACCTTATGCTTCCCACCACATATTCAAGGTATGGTAACGACTAACTTATAGCAGTTACGGTCTCTTCTCGACCTGGAACTACCTGCCCACCATGAGCCTCCGACACAAGTTCTCCGACAGCCTCGCAATATACACGATAGTAATCCTAAAGCAAGTTTTTTTTCGCAACTTTCCTTCCCATCTCACCTCCTTTCTCCTCATTTGAAGACCGGACCTGATTCCTTCGATTCAGCGGCAGCTCCATCATCGGCCGTATCCTCCCCGCCTACCTCGCTGACCGCTTCGGCCGCTGGAACTCGATCTCCATCGTCTCGCTCATGAACGCCATCCTCCTCCTCGCATTCTGGCTCCCACTCGAAGGAAATCCGAATACCACGCACGCACAAGTTTTTGCCCTCAGTGCCATGGCGGGCTTTGCGACGGGTGCTTGTATTAGTGTATTCATGCCTTGTGTTGCGGAGCTGGGGCCGGTCGAGAGTCTGGGTACAAGGTTTGGCATGTATCAGACTGTTATCGGGTTTGGGTAAGTTAATGTTTCCCTCCTTCCTGGAAGGCGACTGACGGCAATACACAGCGGCTTAACAAGTCTCCCAATCCAAGGCGCGCTCATCCCACAAGACCACGGCTCCTTCTCCCACCTGATAATCTTCTCCAGCGTCTGCATCCTCGGCGGCTCTATGATCATCTCCCTTGCAAGAATGCTTCGCGTTGGATTTAAGTTACGGGGATAGTTTCTCGTTTTTCTTTTTTACTGTGAACAATGATCATGGTAATGGTTTTGGTGGCGACCGGCGTGGGAAAAGTTGCGATATAAGAGATGGGATGTGCTGGAAGTATATTTATGGAGGGAGCAGAGGTGGATTGGATACATACGGATATCGCGGCATAAAGTGATGGGATTGACATCGGTACTAAAACTCCACTGTAGCACTCGTTTCTAGCGAACTCAGCCACTGAAAGCCCTTGTATTTCTAGCCTACCCTGAAAATAAGCCATACTTAGTAAGCCTCTGACAAGGGGTGCCACGCCTTTTAAGCTTATCCCTTGTATTTATCCATCACTTGATGCCACGATCTCCGTACATTATATTTAGTTATTAAGTTGTATATTCAATACCTTTACGGATTTCAGCCGAAGTCAGATTTTTTGCATATGATTTTGTTGCCTTGCCCTCTTGGCGGGAATCTTAAAAGCTGAGGACAGGAGGAAAACAAAATGAGGAGTTTCATTGGCAGCCCTGCGAACATGGAGCATTCCCCTATGGAATACCGATACGAGCCGTCTGACATGATTTGGTCTTATATGTGTGGTCGAATTGTGATCAGACCACTTGGCGCTTTTTAGTTACTGCGTCATCTCACCCCTTCAATTCGTGGTGTGATGTGGATCATCTATTATAACTCGCCCTTCCACTATCTGAACGGGCCTGCATCTTTGTTAAAAATTTCTCTTGAACTGGCACTAAGTTTGTGTATTTGGGGTTTAAATTGAAATCAAGATGATCCACCACGACTTATCGTTCCTCCTTGCCTTGGTGATTGGCCTGCTTATTATTTTGTGGCAGTTGGGAATCTTACAACCTCTTTTAAGTACTCTCTTCAGGAACGCGGAGGAAATCTCTACTTAGAAGTAATCACCAGAAGCACAGACAGCACTGAGTAACGAGACCGCGGGGTGATTTGAGACCAAGATCCTGATAGAGGGCTGTGAAGATGAGAATGGACGTTGGCAATGGAAGTTAGCAATATCGGGCAAGGAGAGAACCTAAAGCACAGGTGTCTTTTTGCGCAGTGAAAAGTGAGTACATTGACACCCAAAGTTCGCGATCATATGGTCTGATATGAAGAAGGACGGATGTTCTTGACATGGATGATGTTTGCTTCGATTTCGCAGCTTCTGGATTGAGAATTACGAGTTTTATCCCGGCCTACTGTAACATATCAAGAAGGAGTTTAGTCGGAGAAGATGCATTTGGCGCTGGAAGGGTAGTGGTGTCTGTTGAACTAGCTAAAGCAATATAGCTAGGGTCACGTGCTTGCAATGTAAACCAAGTAAAACGTACTGAATTGACTGCTGTTCTACAGTGGTAAGTAGCCCGTATATATAGCCCTGAACCCCCTAAGTCACATGCACTAAACCCCTAAACCAGAGAGCCTTATACTGAACCATTCAACCTCAGCTGAACCGATTTAGCCTTACAGGGCATAATCTACTCAGTAATAAGCCTATGGCTTAAGCCCCATTAGTACACAGCCCCTAATTTCAACAGTGTCGGAATAGGGGAGAGAATCACGTGATGACCACAGTATCAAAATCTCCATTCACTTTTCAAGAGTAGAGCTTGTCGTTAATGGTGATAATTTAGTCACTGGCTCTAAGATCTAAATGTAAAAGGCGATTCTTTGAATTTGATAGATAAAATCTACGAATATGTATCGAAGCTATTCACGTTCCAAATGGAAACCGATAATCTTCACGTCATGTATGATGTTCTGTAATTCCGAACCTCCATTTACCCGTGATAATCCATATTTTCGAAAGTAGGAGCTTATAACTGTACTCCGATGTTTGAGAGGTACGGGATCTGTATGAATTGCTGCCAACCCGGCCCCATAATGTGGATGCCGAATGAGTTATTCTGTCTCTGAATCATTTGTCCTCCTGGAATCAGTTGTCCTCCAGGATTGAGCTGGCCCCCAGGCATGCATGTCGAGCAGGACATATTTCCAGGGTTCTTGCGTCTGTTTTGACCAAGGCCCCACTTGTTCGGGTCTATTTTCTCCCCTCTAGTCTGCGCCTGCACCATCTCTCCCCATAAGGCAACGTCACGGCCCATAGGCAATTTGATGTCCATCAAAGTAGAGTGATCGGAAGCTTTCTCCAACGCGTAAGCAATATCATGCCAGGCAGATCCATGCCCCGTATAACCATGTCCATTATTGAACGACCGACGTTCCTTGTTGTAGCGCGGGACCATATAGATCAGCAAGAATCCCTGAATCATCTCATGAAGCAAAGTTCCCATATGCCTCAATATTCTATTTTGCCCGTTGTCCATCATAGTATTGACAGCTATCTTTGCCTTGTCACGGCGTTGGCTGTCAAAGTTTGCCCATCCATAATTTCCTTCCTGGTTTGCCCATTTGCCTGTCGCAGTTATCTTTAATCGACCTTTTAGGCTCCCGAGAAAAAAAAGTTTGTCGAATATCGGTTGGTAAAATTTTATGAGTTCGTAGGTGGATTTGCCGCTGCCTAAAACCTGCCCTTTTGAGGTGGCTCTCAAGGCTTCTTTCTGAAGGGATGTAAGACTGTCTCCTCGGTCTCGAGAGTTCTTGACGATAAGCATCACTAGTTCGTCGAGTCTGTGTTGTCCTGGAATGAGCTTTAAGTTCCCCTGGGTTCGCGATGTACCATGTATGGTAGAGCTCATTTTGGCAGAACTGTGTGACGCCCCGTTGGACCGAGAGGTTCTGGGAAATCGAAGGGTAGAGCTATCTCTGGTAGAATTCCGAAATGCTTTTACTGGATCTGTTCCGTCCTGTTACTCCCCTCTTTCCGTCCCGGAAATGAAATTTGAGTAGTGGTAAGGCTGTCTCTTGGAGTGCTTGAGATGTTTGATATTTTTTGGTTTCGAAAGAGTAGTTGATGCAAGCGTGCTGTGATAAGTCAAGAAAGGTGATGGTCTGAGAAGATAGAAAAGGGAGGTTGGGGGGAACAGAGGGGAAAGGTAGGTAGCTTTAACAAGTCTTCTATTCTATGCACTTCTTACTAACTTGCTTCAAATTAAATCTCGAGTGTGATTGTCACTTTTCCTCGTGATTGGTTACTAGAAAACAGAGACTATCTGTTAAGATTGTTTGGCTACCTCCAAAGTCTCAGACGACAATTGCGCTCACCAAAGTACATTTCCGTCTTTGGACCGGAACAGTCGCTGCTCTAACCTGAGCCGAACCCTGAGCTCTGAGTACGCTCATGAGTCAGCTGGATCATGCTTAGGGGGTCCTCTTCTAGCTCCCAAGAGAATCGGTTACAGTTTCCATGTTTTCTAAATATAATATCAATGCCTGGAATACAGCCACCCTTAGTGTGTCAAATAATTTAATTAATTATAATTATTGGCCGGTAATCAAATTAAATTAAGTCAGAATCGTAGTAATTAAATAATAATTAATTATTTGCTTAATTTAATTAAATATAATTAATTACTGGGTCACGTGTTATTACACGTGACTACAAAGATAATATAAGCATTATGGCGCAAAAGTAAAGCATATTTTACCCTAATTTAGATATCGCCTTACTATTATAGGCTTAATAGCTAGTATCCCGCCTTTACTCGCTTTACTTATCTTTGTAAATAAGTACTATAGTAGGGGTTTTGACTTCTCTAGTCACGTGAGTGCGGTCATATAATATATAGAGCAAATAATTCACATATATATTACCTTGCTCTCCTTCTCTCTTCTTTGGAAATCAATTAACCTTTACTCTCTTTATAACGGCTGGCGTAAGGGCATGATCTGCCAAGGACAGGATATCGGAAACAGGCACAAAACGAAGCTAAGCCAGAATTGCTTGGACGGAATAATACTAAAGGTCGAGGCATCCTTCCTACTTTGTTCCATAGCTTAGTATTTTCTAATATATAAGATTCTTTGAACTTTGCGCCTTTAACTATTATATTAATCCCGCTATTATATAATACTAAGCTTACTCGACTCGGCCTATAGAGGCGATATAATACTGCCGGCAAAAGACTTATATTTATCCTTGGAAAGCAAAGACAGAATACCGCTTTTAATATTTAATAACCTCCTCGAACTATAAAGAACCAGAGAGCTTAACTAGAAGTACAAATGTCCTCTATAACCTAGTTAATCTCGGAGCCTGACCCTTAACTAGAGCAGATAATATTCCCCTCCCAGTAATTAGTTCTCTACTAATATAAAAGAAGAAAGATATTATTCTCTATAATCCGGTTAATCTCGGAGCCTGACCCTTAACTAGAGTAGATAATATTCCCTTAATACTAACGAGAGTAAAAGAACCGGCCTCTTTCCCTAGTATAGGAAGAATTAGTAGTAGTCTACCGATTTAAAACAAGAAAAGATAATAGTCGGTTTTAGTCTACTAACTTAAAACTAGATAAGATAATAATTAGTTATAGTTTACTAATATTAAATAAGAAGAACTTACTTAGTACTTACTTCTATAGCTAATACCCTTTCTAAAGCTACTATAAATGGCCCGGGGCCAAGTACTACTACTATAGGTATATTAGATAAGAGGCCCTAGTATAATAAAATAGAAAAGCCAGACTTTAATATTATAAACTTATATTACCGGAAAAGCTATTATAATACTATCTCGGAAAAAGATATTAAGAAATAGCTAGCTAACTTAAAACTTAAAATTAGTATAAATATTCCGAAAATAAATAAGGCCTAATAGAGATTACTTATATAAGATAACCTTATTAATAAATATTACCTTATAGCTAATAAATAAGCAGAATACTACTAGAAATTCCACTTATATATTAACTAACTTACTAAGAAAATTAATAAGCTAGAGGTAATTACTAGTTAATTTTATATAAAAGAAAGATTAGTATAAAAAGAAGTAATAAAATAGAGATCCAAATAGGCAGATATTCAGGAATATTATAGATTCCTATTAGGAGAACTATTTGGGAACTAATACTAAGGCTCTTTTCCGCTTTTTATTTATAGTAATTAATTATGGCTTATTAGAATTAAGGATCCTATTCTATTTATGAGTAAAAATAATTACTAGATTAATAACTAGATATTTAATATAAGAAATAAACTAATATAGAACTTCTCTGAATTTAATAGCAAACTACTAAAGATTACTTATATAATATAATTAGTTACTAGAAATACCTGTAACTTTATCTATAATTAACTAGAACCTGGATTAGTTAGACAGATTTTAATTACTAAATAGATCTTTAAGATTCTCTAGTAAGCTTATAATAAAAGCAAAGAAATAAAGTACTAGGAAGCAAAAGAGATATACTAGTACCTGAGATAAGAGAATAAGCTATTTCCGGTATTCTGGGCAAAGTTTACTTATTTAATAATAAAACTAGAGAAGTTACTAGATAACTAATATAATAACTTAATAGATAAAATAAATCTCGAGCTATTTAAAAGCTTGGGTAATAAGAAGTTTAATATTTCCAGGGACCTTACTAAATAATATATAGAATAAGAGAATAGGCTTCTCTTAATTAAAAATTAGTAATTCTAGGAGAAATAACTAGTAGAAACTACTTACTACTAAATATTACCTCGGGCTAGAAAGCCTACCGGAATTCAAGAAGCTATAGTAATCCTATATCTAACGGATTAATCTTAGTAGCCGGTATTCTTATAGCTAAAAAAGGCAGTCCGCCGAGAATTTAAGAAGAGACTAGACTAGCTAGAAGGCCTTTATTATTATAGCTATAGAAAGCCTGAATATATAAAAAGTACTTATCCTGACTTTAATAAAATTATACCTATTAAAAAGAATTATTTAGAGAAAGCTAATAATTTAGGAATAAATAATAAGAATACCGACTTTTACCTATTATCTAATAAGAAGTATAATATTAATAAGTCGGGAAAAGTCTAGCTCTAGATATAGAAATAGATCTCCTAAAGCAAGAATTTTACTAAGAACCTATAGATCTTACTTAGCTAATTAGCAGGAACTAGTTCTTTATTAATTATTAAATATACTAGAAAAGCAAAACTATAACCTTCTAATACTTAATAAATACCAGAGCAAATATATATATTCTAATTAATTAAAAGCATATTTGCCCTTTAATAAAAGTACTATAAATACCCTTATATAAACTCAAAATCCCTGTTTCCTTATAAGATTTTAATAAATAACCTAGTAAAGCTATTTAATATCTAGCTACTATAGATCTAGCTATTAATTAGTACTCCTAAACTTAATAATACCTACTTACTACTAACTTCGGCTCTTATAATATAATCCTGGAAAGGAAATAGCTAGTAAAGTATAATATTTTACCGGACTATTAATAGAATTAACTCTATTAGCTAGAGAACTATAAGATAAATTAGCCAGATCTTACTTAGAAAATCTAATATTTTAATAAGAAATATTAAAAAGATAACTATTCTAAAGATACTCTAACTAGGATCCTAAAAGGAACTAGTAAAACCAGACCCGAGAAGTAAAAGAATATACTTCTTATTTCTTTATAAGACCTTTTTATAAGAAAAGCTAAATACTAGGTAAGAAAGAAAGAGCTAGACCTTAATACTCTCGAAATAGTCAAGCTACTAGACTATTCCCGCTATTTTATTAAAGCGGCTGCCTTCTAATTAAATACTAAAGACCCCGGTAACTTGATCGGATTAGTTACTATTAATAAGATTAATTATATACTTGAGAAATAGGGTTATAAATTAAAGAGATATCTACTACTATCCGTAGTAATTAGATAACTAATACTATAGTTTACCGGATACTATACTCAAACTAGTAACCTAATATATTCCCTAAATATAGACAAATCCAATACCCTTAGTAATATACTATTTTTTGACTCTAAAGAACTTTAAGAACTCCGGATATCTCTTCTTATATAGCTATATAATATAGCCAGGGCATTTTCTAAAAAAGTAGTAAATAAGCTTCCCTAGTCTTAACCCTTTAACTATAAGCTCTACTTTAATAGACCAGATCTCTTAATAAGAATAGCTTACTTCTATAAGATAAGCTCTAATAAACTCGAAAAAATAAGAGAGTATCTTATTAAGAACCTAAAAAAGAATTTTATTAAGCTATCCAAATTCCTTTTCTTATTACTAGTCTTATTTATTAAAAAGAAAGACAATAGCCTATAATTTTATATTAACTATTAATAGCTAAATATTATAATAAAAAAAAACTACTATTTCCTATTACTTATTACCGAGACTTTTAACTAATTAGCTAAATTATTAGTATTTACCAAATTAGATATTTAATATACTTTTAATCGAATTTATATAAAACTAGCTTCTATAATATAAGTAGCTTTTAGGACAAGATATAGATTCTTTAAACTAGTAGTTCTACTATTTAGACTTTATAATAGTCTAGTAACCTTCTAATAATATATTAATATTATTCTAATAAACTATTTAGATAATTTTTACTTGGCCTATATTAATAATATACTAATCTTCTCTAAAAATAAAAAGAAGTATTAATAATATATTAGAACGGTCTTATAAAAGCTCTAGGATACCGGATTATAAGTTAATATTTATAAATACAAATTTAAAATCTCTAAAATAATATTTTTAGGATTTATTATCTCGGATTAGGGTATATAAATAAACCCTACCAAAATCTCTATTATCCGAAACTAGTATTAATCTATAATAAAAAGGGAAATATAGTTATTTTTAGGCTTCTATAACTTCTATTATAGGTTTATCTAAGCCTATAGATATATCTCCTGCTCCCTAAACTATCTAACTAAAAGAGATATTCCGCCAAAGTTTATACTTAATAAAACCTAGCTAGATACCTTTAATTAGTTTAAGAATCTGCTTTTCTTTATTCCTATACTTCTCTATTTCAAATATAATAGGGAAACTTGCCTGGAAACTAATTATTTAGACCTAGCCGCTATAGGTATATTCTTTTAAAAAAGTCTAGAAAACGGATAATAGTACCTAGTCTTATTCTATTCCAAAGCTCTTTAAAAAGCCGAGAGCTACTATAAAATTTATAATAAGGAACTTCTTACTATTATCTAAGGACTCCGGAAATAGTAGGTAGAACTAATTAGCTTACCTAATTTTCTAATTATTACTAATTATAAAGCTCTCGAGTATTTTGGTACTAAGAGGCCCTTAAATAAATAATAAATCTAATAGATAAGTTTCCTATTATAATTCTATTATTAGATTACTTATTAGCCAAATAAAAATAATACTATTACTAATATCTTATCCTAAAAGAATAAGCTTATACTAACCCAGAAGCAGGCTAAGGAAGCTAAAAGAACTAGATAAGTTATCTTATTAGATCTAATTCTCGCTTCTACTAAAATAAAAGATATAGCTTATATTTCTACTAAGGTAAAAGAAATAGATAAGCTATTAGTTATAGTTAAAGTCCTATAAGCTAATTGGACAAACCTAGTTCTAGAGAACAAATATAAGAAAGCCCGGGAAAATATAGATCTATAAAAAATATTAAATAGCTATATATTTTATAATAAAAGACTTATTATACCGGACGGATATAATAATCTATAAACTAGGCTCCTATAATAAATTTATAATATAATAACTACTATATATCCCGGTTAAAATAAAATAAAAATCCTAGTTTAGAAACTTTACTAGTAGCTTACTCTTTCTATAGATATTAACCGCTTTATAGTAAACTACTATAAATATTAAAGGTCTTATAAGCTAAAAGACAAAATACTAGGCCTATTATACCTATTACCGGTTTCCCTAAAAATATAAGACAATTTGTCTATAGACTTCTATATTCCTGGCTTTATAAATAAGAGATATAATAATATATTTATTATAGTTAATTAATTATCTAAATAATATATAAGCTTACTAATAACTAAGAATACTATAGCTAGAATTACTACCGGCCTATTCTATTATTATATCTAGTAATTCCGAGAATCTCTTCTTACTATTATAAGTAATTAAGAACCCTAATTTATTTTAGACTTTATAAATAAACTATTAAGATTAACTAGAACTAAGCTAAAGCTCTTAACTATAGAATATACCCAAACTAATAAATAAACAGAAATTATTAACTAGATTATTAATACTCGACTTTATTTCTTTATTAATTACTTCTAGAATAATTAGGCAGATTTACTTCCGGTATTTAATACTATAGGTACTACCTATCTATATAAATTAACTAGCTTATTTCCCTTAATAGTCGACTATAGATATAAACTCAGGCTAAACTTTAACTAGATACTATTAATAATAGAATTCAAAATACCGAGAAAGAAACTTAATTAGAAAAAAATATAATAGTAGGCTAAGAGAATTAATACTACTATTAATTATACCCGAGAATATATAGTGGTAGCTTAGGAGTATTAAGCCAAGTAAGCTAATAAGAAACGGTAAGAACTAGACTTTAATTCAGGAAATATAATCTATATAATTAAAAAAACATAAAAAACGAACCGTTTATCTAATAAATTAGACTACTTCCTTACTAGACTATTTAAGATTAATAAAATAGTCGGCTATTTATATTAATTAGACCTTCTCCTATTATATAGGATTTGGCTAATTTTCTATATAGATAAGCTTTATAAGAATCCTACTAACCTATTATCTAGCCAAACTAATAAAGAGCCTAGTTCTACTAAAGTTAATAGTAAACTTAAATAAAAAATCGAAAAGATCCTTTTTTCTAAAGTACTTTATAGTAAGTTTTATTATAAAATTAAATAGAAGAAATAGGATATAAATAATAAATAATACCTTATATTAAACTTTAAGAACTTAGTATTTAAACTATATAAATTTTATAAGTAGAACTCCGGTAAAACAGGACCTTTTATCTAGCTAAATAAATAAATCTAGTATACTAAAGAAAATAAGTTTAATAAAGACTATCTAGATAATAATAAACCTTAATAATAAGGTCTCTATAACTAGAGAAAAAGAAGAAAAACCTAAATATTTCCCGGATTTTATTTAAATCCTAGTATATTTCTTTTATTTTATTATATTAGTATTTATTTTCTTTTTTAGAAATCTGGGCAAAATATCTTTCTTTACTATACTAGATTATACTCTATTATCTAAGTAAATTATAAAAAAAAAAAGTAAATTCTTAAAGCTAAGCTAAAGATAAATACTTACCTATATTAATTCAAAATATTATTAAAAATTAAGGAAAACCTTTTTAACTACTTTAATCTTTATAACCTTAACTATTTATACTACTACTACTGCCTTAATAGAACTATTAATAAAGACGAAATAGATAAGAAATCCCGGTAATATATTATCTATAGCCGGACTAAGTAAGGCAGCTTACTAGATCCTAAATAACTTAAGTAATAATAATAGTATCTCAAGTTTAGTAACTATTACTATTATTAATATAATTACTAGCCAAACTACCTTTATAAACGAAAATAGTAATTTCCTTACCTAAGAACAAGTTAATATATAAAATATAGCCTATATTACTCTTGAGAATATACCTGAAATTACTATAGAGAATATCTTAGCAAAAAGTTCTAAGAATAATAAAATAGAGGTTTTAGTTACTAGTAATAATAAGCCTAATAGTCTAATAAGCGGAATAGATAGTACTAATAAGGGCTTCCTTATTAATCTTATAAAGCCAAATACTAAAAAAATTAAAAAGAGTAAGGCTAGCTTATTCAAGAAATATAAGGTATTAGATAATAGTAAGGATTCTAATAATAAAAAGACTAAGGATAAAAAGACTTCTAGTAATAAAGAAAACTCTAACTATAATAAAGGTAACTAAACTAGTATTAAGATACGTATTATAACTAGAAGATATATAGTACCAAGTACTAGTTATTATATAAAGTACTAGTCTGAAACTAAGAGCTAGAAAATAATCCTAAATACCAAATTAAAGAAGTAATACCTTATAGATATTAATAAATTAGTAAATAATATTATTTAAGAAATCAGAAAACCTTTTAGAAGCTTCTATAAAACTAAAATCATATAGCTCAAGGCCCGGGAATTTAATAATAAAGTAGCTCAAATAACCGCCCTTAATATATAAGTCTTTACTATAGAAGAATAACTTAAGGATATATATATTAAGCTCGAAAAGGCCCAGAAGTTAATTAAGTAGCTTAAAAACGGTATAATTAAGCCAAATACTACTATCCTAACTAAGAAGAAAGGCAAGCAAGCTACTATATTAAAGCCTATATTAATGAATAAACTCAATCTGCTATCCCTATTTAAAGACCGCCTAATAATAATAGTCCTAATATTAGCTATAGCCTATATAGTACTCCTAGACTATATTATTAATATGGGTATAGGTATAATGCGAGCGACGGATACTAAGGACTAGCCGGAACATACTAGGAACTGGGTTATTCTGGCAGAGTCAAGACCATGCTTCGATTATAAGTAAGCTATAGAGATTAGACGGAATAGGGTTAATAGCCGTTATTTCCTCTTTTTTCTTTTCTATACTACGGCTAAATAATCCCCTAAATAAGGGCATTTAGACTTCTCTTTAGGGGGGGGGGTAATATAACAGCTGGTATAAGGGTATAATCTGCCAAAAACAGGATATCGGAAACAGGTATAAAACGAAGCTAAGCCAGAATTACTTGGACGGAATAATACTAAAGGTCGAGGCATTCTCCCTACTTTATTCCATAGCTTAGTATTTTCTAATATATAAGATTCTTTAAACTTTGCGCCTTTGACTATTATATTAATCCCGCCGTTATACTCTTTATAATTTAGTTATATATTATTTAAAGAAAAAGAAGAGAATTTATTACTTATATAACTTTTATATGGGTTTCATATAATAATTAGAAATAATTAATTATATTTAATTATAAATTTTCTAATAATTAATTTTTTTTTAGAAGTCGATAATCAAATTATAATTAATTATTTACTTGATTTAATTAAATACAATTAATTACCTTAATTATTTTTTGATATACTGGCCACCCTTCCTAATCTATTACGACATCGTGGCAGTATCCGTTCTCGTTCTCTCTGTCAAACTTACAAGGATGCCTGCCGGGGCCGATTTTGGATCTGTTGGAATTTGTGATTTCAAAGGGTAAAAAGGAGGTAAGGTTTATTTCCTGAGATACGATCGGGCTTAAATCCTTGGCCCTAATCGCACTTTACGTAATTACACGTGCTCTGATTACATATAAAAGCGTGATCAAATATTATAAGGGAGTATCTTCAAAGTCAAGTAAATGGCTTCCAGCGCACCCCACTCTCTCTCCCTTCCTCCCTCCCTCTCTCTAGAGGCCCAGTACTCCCTATTTAGTACTCCCTATTTAGTACTCCCTATCTAGTACTCCCTATTTAGTACTCCCTATTTAGTACTCCCTATTTAGTGCTTCCTAGAACACCCAGTGAGAAAGCAGGACTGAAGTGCACTACAGGACGATTTATAATTTTACAATCCCCCACATTGATCATCAAGCTATTGCTGATGTGTCTTTATTTCAAGCCGCAAACAGCGGTTGTAAAGGGATATCTACCATCAATCAACAACCACCATATTTCAGCTTTATCGTTCGCCAGTCCTCCTACCAAGTTCTAGTCCTCCTTAATCCGTACTCTCGCGTTCTTCATCGTCCTTATTATTTCAGAAGTCTGTGCCCTTGCTGCCAGACGGCCACTAATCCCCTCTTCTCCATCCATCAAGAGCTTGTGCCTAGCGTCAAAGAACGGAAAAGCAGATACTGGAAATGTCAAGCTCGATCGTCGGAGGCACGTCCATACCAAGACGGTCCACACGAAGACGAGCACCAAGCCCTGTAACACCACACAAAGGACAAACATCGCATTATCGAACTTCAACTTGACGTATGGCTCCACAATCGAAACCGTAGTATAGAACTGCGGCGACAAGCCAGCCTCAAGCATATCGGACTTGACTGCTATATTCCCCCAATTATTATTGTTGAAAAGCCAGAAGGGGAAGGCGACTATGCTCTGGAAGTTCTGCTGAGCAATGCCGTACGTATACGGGCTATCGAGCTGGGCGTACGAGTTGAAGAAGCTCTGGGCGATGGAGGAGGGTGCCGGGATGTCGGATGCGGTGTAGTTGAGCAGCCAGCGCAGGACTTCTCTGTATGCTGTAAGATCAATATCTGTCACCATCTCTGGTGACGTGATGCTCTCTACGCTGACAATTGTGTAGTTAGAACGCGAGGCGATGACGGTCGCCTCGCGGGTATAGAATTCGATACGGGTGGTGATGTTGTTCCATGGTGTCCCGATATCGCATTGTCCATTATTAGTGCCGTTCGCGCAGACAAAGAGGCCTGTAACAAGAAGGCGTTAGCAAGGAGAATCGAACTAAGCTATATGGAAATCAACGTTGAGTGACGCAGACAGACCTGCTCTCAGTGCGTTCGTCACTGCCTCGTCGTTGACGACGCAGAACCGCATTGCAATGGGGCTGTCTGACGAGCCAAACTGGTCGCAATCCGCATCTGTAAATACGTCTGAAACAGGACTTGAAAAGTCTATCTGAACGGATGGCGTATTGTCAACCCTGGCCATCTGATAGTCCTGATAGTCTGAGAATGTTGCCGAATCCCATGGTTCGGACTGGGAGAGGCCGCCTGAGAGAAGATACGACACACAGCTCTCGCCCGAGCAGTGGACCGGCGTCGAGATTGTCGAGATTAGCGGGTTGATAACAAGGATGTACACTGCTGCAAAGTATTGGAACGGCAGAAGTGTATACGGATCGCCCGGGACTAATGTTTTGAGGTTAGTGAAGAAAGGTTGTACGAGTGTTCCATTGAAAGCTCCTATGCCTGCGGTGACGTTGTAGGTGGTCGCAACATCATACACTGTCAGGAAAGACGTGTTGACTGATTATTGTATTAGATAACTCTAAGCAGAAAGTGCCGCAGGTCGATTGAGCTGGGAGCACATACAAAAGAGAACCAGCCCAGATAGCCACTGAGCCAAGTGAAGGAAGAGCCTGCCAAGTGTAACATTAGCATAAGGAGAAGGCAAAGAGGTTAAGTACGGCATTACCGAGACCATGCCCAGACTCTGTCTTGAGAATTTGACGCGGACGAGACAAGTAGCCTAACTGTACCCCATTGCATAGTTGATGGAGAGAGGGCCAAGAGACTTAGGTACGAGATTCCTTTTGGCGAGTTCATCTGCAGCCACAACAACAACATAAAGGCCTCGTTGAGCACATAAGTCATGCATATGTACAGGACGCCTTGCGAGGCTCGGACAATTGCTAGAGTAGTACTACTGTCTGTCTTTGAGAGCCTATTAAGCGGCAGGTTCCTGTTTGAGAGGTCCACGGCGACATAGGCTGATTGGACGAAGAGAATCACAATTGCGAGAAGGGCGAAGGCTAAAGTTGCAATAATGAATTGTAGAATGGTCGGCCCCTTTGGCTGAGAAGTTTTTGTGTCTTTACGTTCAATGGAGCGATCGACGAGCTCGGAATCTGCCTCAGCCGCCATATTGATATTATATCTGATCAGAGATATAAATCTTGTTGCAAGAGCGAAGGCATTGTTTTTGTTTACGCAAGCATAATTGAGAAAAGTTTCTGAAGAGCCTGATGATCTGATCCACCCCGTTCGTCAATACGAGCGATTAATTAATCGCACGCTACGATTAATTAATCGGAAGCCCGATTAATTAATAGGGACGGGAATACGATTCGGGCTCCATAGTGGGTCCCGATTACCCAACCGGGTAATATTAAGGCCTCGGAAAGAGCAAAAATAGTATATATTAGAATATTTTATCCAAATTAAGCTTTATTATATATGCCTCCCGCTTTGTCTAGGTACGTCTATAGCTAGCCTAGCCCTTTTTAGTACCCTTACGCCCACTTGATTACCTGGTTCTCCTTCTCTAGCTCTATTCTCACGTACTTACTTAATAGCTACTCTTTTCTTTACTTTCTCAGATATCCTTCTAGTCTTCTAAACTAACGAAATTAAATCCTGATTATTCTCCTTTATTATTATTTTAGAAAGAGTAATTTTCTCTGTTTTACAGGCTATATTAGTAATAGGCAAATCGGAATAGGTTACTTATAAAGTAACTTTATTAAGAATATTATATAGCCAGAGAATTATAAGTTTGCTATATTTAATAATTAACCGGTAATTCTATTTTTAATTAGCTTTTATTAGAAGTATATTCTCAGAAATTATATATCTTTAAAATCTTTTCTAAAACTCTTACTAGAATTCTTATTATTTCTATACTAAATTAATATTATTTTGGAATCTATAAAGTTATAATCTCTTAAATATTATATTTAAAAACTTTAATACTTGCCCTTTTTACTATATTCTCTTACTATTTTCTTATATATTCTATAACTCTTTTAATTAGTTTAAATAAAATTATCTTTTTAGCTATTTTCTTCTATTTTATTTCTTTATTTTATTTAGAAATATTACTTTTATTAATATTAATTTCTTTTTTTATAGCCTCTAGGGCCCTAAGGGCTATATATATATAGTAAGTATTCTTTTTATAGCCTAGGAAATTAATAAATAGCTTTTATCTAAATTAGATCTTATATAATATATTATTTTTTAGAAAAAACTAATATAATTATAGTATTAATTACTTATATAATTAAAAGAAGTAATTATATTTATAATTAGATACTAGTATTTACTTATAGCCCGCAATTATTTCTTAAAGATTTAATTAATAACCTTAATAGAGTTCTAAAATTAGAAATAATAAATTTATCTATAAATAATCTTTATTTCTTTTTTCTTATAAATTTTAATTACTTTTCTCTTAAACTTATTCTTATTATTATAGGCTAAAATAGTAATATATTTATTATTATTTAGCTATTTAGTAAACTTGTTTATATCTTTATTTATAATCTTAGCCTTAAGATTACAAATTTAAATAAACTTGAAAAAATAGTATTTTAATTACTAGATTTATATATATTCCCTATCTGAATTATATTATAATAATATTAGTAAATAATATAAATAAAAATTATTAGAATTTCCTGGAAATTTTCTAAAAAAAAATTACAAAAATCGTAAAATTATAATAAAAGCTTAAAAATATAGGAAATATAAAAAATATAAAAATAAATTATATAGTTTAGGAAATACTTATATAGAAATTTATTAAATTCAGAATTATATACTAGCTAAAATAATAAAATTAGATAAGTATAATTCCTGTATTATTTTTTTTAAATCTTTTTTTTATTATAATAAGTATAATAGGTAATTATTTAAGTATAATTATTATGAAATAAGTTATACTAAATTCGCTTTATATATTTAAATATAATATTAAAGGCTATTATATAATTAATATAAAAATTAATAAATTTAAAGAAATATTTACTTATATATATTAATTTTTTATAAATAGTAATTAAAATCTCAAAGGTATTATTATAATAAAGAGTATATTAAACTAAAAGAATCTTATTATAATAAATATTATAATATTTCTTATAATATATCTAATTATTCTAAAGCTTATATAATTAGGATTTATATTTAATATTAGCCTAATAGTATTTCTTTACTTTAGTTTTACTAGAAAATAAAGTATTAGGCTTTTATAACTATTATTTAATATCTATATATTTCCGAATAATAAGAATTTTCTTATTACTTTCTTTAATAAGCCTTTAATTCTATATAGCTTTATTTTTAGTAAACTAATTATTAGTAAACTAATTATTAGTAAACTAATTATTAGTAAACTAATTATTAATAGACTCTTTAGTAATAGGGAAAAGTAAAAACTAGATACTAGAAAAATATATTTCTAAAATAGTAATATTAAAATATTACTTTACTTGCCTATAAATACATTAATAAAATGTATGAGAAACTAGAATTAAATAAAGAATTAAAAGAGATATATTAGAAGTAAAGTAATTAATTAATTAAAAAATATAAAAATTAATAGTTATATTTAGTAAATTAGTATTTATAATATTTATAATATAAATTATATCTAAAAAAAAATAAGGAAATAAAGGCCCTATATATATCTAGAAGCTCTAGAGAAGTGTTTTTACTTCTATTATTACTTCTTTTAATATCTAGAAATTTTTTTAAATAAACTATATAATATTATAAATATAGTATAAATAAGTAAGATATAAGCGAAATAAGAAAATTAGACTTGAGGATATCTTTAGTATTAAATATTAGAAATCTATATTATAGTATAAAGAATAAGGCTTAAGCAAAGTAAAGAATATAGAAGTAAGGATATATTTAGAACGAACTAGTAAGTAAAAGATTTCAGCTCCCTTAGCCCCGAAACCCCAATATTATGTAATTAATCAATCGGGTATCCGATTAATTAATGGGGACCCACTGTGGCTTCCGAATCGTAATCCCCTCTGATTAACTAATTGTAGCGTCCGATTAATTAATCGGGGGGGCCGATTGATCAATCGCTCGTATTGACGAACGGGAGTGAACAGATCGAGCATTGACACGCTAGAGACTGAGAAGTGTGTGCAGCAGCAACTGGTTGACAATACCTTGCAGCTGCAGCTAATATTGGGTATGTCGGGTCGTCAGTGGCTGGATAGCTCAACTGGCCTTTTCAGGCAGGTTACACAAGCTATGAAGTAGCAATCTAATCAGATATGATTGGCCTGCGACCGGAAGGATTCATGTGGCTCGGAGAATGCAGCTCGTTCCATCGACGAATCAAGGCATTCGTGCTTACCAATCACATAACCGAGATCCCTAGTCAATGCACACCCCAAGCGAATGCACACCCTTTTCCCACCAAAACCACCCATTTTTAGACCTTAACAATTAAGTAACTAACAATTAGATTAACTTTAAAATTCGTATATCATTAGTTTTATATATACTAAGTAAGATTATAGTATAAAGTTTACGTAATATTGTATATTGCGTATTTAATATTAAGCTTAAAGTTTATAAATTACCGGGATTTAATATTATTTAAATAAAATCATAAAAAAGATTAAAAACTAAAAACTACTTAATTTTATAGTAATAATAAAATTTAGTAAAGGCTTTTATTAACTGGTTTTATTAATATATCCTTATAATAATAAAGTATATTTAATTTTTTTTTTTGAAAAATATATAATTAATACTTATATTATAGAGGTTAATTTTAAAACTTTTAATAAAGACATTTATTTTTATAATATAAAAAACGAATCCAAAAGAAGTATTTAATTTTATAAGAATTTATAATATATTTCAAATTTTTAAGTTTTAAAGTCAAATTTATATTCGAATTAATTATATTATATTAAATAAAAGTGCTTTTTATAAAACAAAATTTATAATATTATAAATTAGTATATAGAACATAAAATAAATTAATGGTTTTATTAAAACCGGGCTTATAGATATTTTTATATTTAATAAAAGCTTTTATATTATTTTTTTACTAATAATATTATACTTATTATAAGGTTACATAAATATTCTATATATTAGAATAGTTGCTTTTAGCTAGCTTTATATAAAGAAGATTAATTTTAATTCTTTTTAGTTTTTAATTTAAGTTTCTTTTTTTTTAAAAAAAGAAATCTTTAAATAAATTTTATATCTAATATATTATTTTATATAAAAATAATAGTATTAACTTATAGCTATATATAAGATAAAGTAAATTTACAAAAATGAAGCTAAAAGTATTTATATATATAAAGATATTAAGTTTTAAATTTAAGATTTTAAGATTTTTAAAATTTTAAATAAAAGCCAATTTAAATAAACTTAAAATCTAAAAATAGCTACGTATAATATATAAAAGAATACTCTAGCTTCTTCTCTTTTTAACTATTAAAAAATTATATTATTATTATTATTATTAATAGTTGTTTAGTAAATAACTATTTAATAATATAGGTTCGGCTGAAATCAGGGTGTGCATTCGCTTGGGGTGTGCATTGACTAGGGATCTCGGTTACGGTGTACATTTCAGCTCGAGCCTGATCAGATTACCGCCCCCAAGAGCTACCATTGCCCCTCATTCATCCCTCCCATCGATCAGATGATAGGCTGGCATTGATTTGCTGGTGTGGTCAAAATGGTAGAACAAACGCCCTGAAAGCCCTCACCGCAGCAATGCATATGCAATGAGGTCTTGTGTGATCGTGGGCTGCGGTTCAAATCACATCGATTCTTTCTCGGTGCCGAATCCAGTTTTGCAACTTGACACACAACCATATAAGTGCTGGCCGGTAAGGCTCCTGTTTGGAAGCAATTTGTTATTGAAGTCAAGTCCCCCTCTTCTGTGCTCTTTATTCTGTCTGTGAAAGCCCCTCTATACGATGCTTCAATCCCCTTCTTTACTGTGGGCTACTTTCACCACACTGGTTACCTTAGCACGGAGCACTGCATTGTTCACTAACGAATCGCTCACGTGCTACTCGGACTGTTCTCTAGATGAAGTAACTGCTGGTTCCGTTCTAATTTTCGCCTGGGCTAATTACAACGGCTTTGTGGATTCGGACGAAGAAGTTTATTGGACTGTGACCTCGTCAGCTACTGTCGTAACAGTAGTCAATACCGTACTGGACACGACAGGTCTACTTACTGAATATCCTCCTGATTACCTGCCGCCAGCAACGAATGGGGAGGGAACAAGGGTTACTACTATCACCTACACTGGATTTTCGACAACCTACACAACGGCACTGTATGTAAACAGACTCGAAATCTTCCTCCCTACTTGACAGACACCTATATAGAACAAGCACTAGCTGACGTTACTTATAGAGCCTACCCTACTCCTTTTGTCTGGTGGCCAGATGTATACGGATGGGCTGGGACGCTTCAGGTTGGCTCAAATTGTGAAACTGTGGCCTATACAACCTTCACGACTTTTCCAATCACCTCAGCTCCTCAACCCACAAACTCGGCTGACCTCCTGGCTGTATATCAAGCATTTCCTGGTGTGACTGACTTAGCGGTATTCTCAGAAGATCCAGAAGGGCTGTCTTACAGCGTAATCATCGATGGCGGCGACGATTGGGAGTTCATGGCTTTATCAGATCTCTTTCCCGACCAGCCTGCTTTGGGGATCTGTAGCGGTAATGGTGGAGGGCCGAATTGGGGTGGCTTCACGCAGACTTTGTGGAATTATACTACTGCTTCGACCACTAGTTATGTCGGGGCCGGAGGAGGAGGACCTTCGAAATCGCCGCCTCCTTCTCCTACACCGCCTCCTTCACCAACTCCGCCACCGTCTCCAACGCCAACACTTTCTCCTACTCTACGCAAATCTATCAACGAGCCTAACGAACCATCCCAATCCTTAGGTCAATCTGTAGGTTCAAATCCATCTCCAAATCCATCATCAGGCAGTTCAACCACTGGTAGTACTGGTAAGTCACTTCCTATCCTAACTTAACAAAACGTAATTTCTTACGATCGAACAGGTTTAGGCTCGGTTTCTCTAGGTCAGGGGGCATCTGGTTCTGGATATGGTTCATCGGGCCAAGAAACCTCAGGCTCTGGCTCCTCGGGTCAGGAGACATCAAGCTTAGAGGGTGAAGGCACCGGCACTGCGACTGGAGGCACAACACCAGCTCCAAGCCAAGTCGTCTTTACAGGGAAATCGACTTCATACGGGCCTCCTTTTATGCCTTCATTATTACTCCTTTGTTTATGGGTTCTGTGTAGCTTTTGACCTTTTAGATAAGTAACTTTTATCTCTAAAGTAGAATTAATACATAATATATTATGTACTTGATTAACCTACCTAGTTAAGTACTTTGTGCTTTTCTCCCTCTGCGGGTGAGCGGGGGGCCTGTTTGGGTTCTGGGAGCCGACTTGGTCCCCTTAAACAAAGTCGTGTAGAGTTGACAACTCTCGCACAGTAGAACGGAATAATAAGCAAATTATAATTGGTCACTGGAAGGGAGAGCAGGAACATGACTGAGTAACCTGAGTAGAGGGTGAGGCGAAGGTGAGTAGCGCCTGAGCAGGGCGGCGACACTGACTAAGCGCATTGGAAGTGAATTTGAAAAAATGTCGTCTGAGACTTCCTGCAAAATCCAGACTCTTCTCCAGTACTGCCGATATAATAGCCTTCTGATAGGCCTAATGGCACTGAGATCGAGGTAGCCGTTAGGATTTATTTGCCCAAGAGTCTTATGAAGGAGGGGTTGTGCTAATTCTTCAATCACTTTGAGGGCAATTTCTGAATCATCTCGATGAGGCCCAAGCCAAACCAGAACAGTCGACGCCGACTGTAAATTGCTCTCATTTGTTCCACCTGGTGAGAGCGCTCTTCGGAGTCCGTTTCATTGATGCAAATTGCATCCACCCACAGCCCGCGTACCGAGTTTTGATTCCGAAGATATTAAGGCAAGTTCAAGAGATGCGGTGATGGGGTGATCGAGTTCGTTAAGACTTATCCACTTTAGATGTCGAGCATTGCCCCATGTATAGGAGAGTGCCTCGTACTGGGGCTTGGATTCAAGAGAGCTTTTTCTGATTGAACAGGAAATCTTGCCTCCGAATAGTCCTGGGTGGAGGTCCAAAAATCCTAAACTCCCCGCTAGCTCGCTGAAGAGCTTGATATGGAAATGCGCTGCGTATGGTGTCCGCTACTGAAGGAAAGAGATTTGAATAGCTATCGCTGTTCATTGGGTATCGTGAGTGAAAGCCGAAATTGAGTTCAACTGGACTTCACCCAGCGTCGGCGGGAGTCGTGGCCGGGCGGTGGCTGAGTGTTAACCTCGTAAGATGAGATTGACACGGGAAGCCTAACGCACGCCTCTAATCGGATCCTAAAAGCCGCATCATATCACGGTCCACGCTGGCAGCGGCTTACCGCGAGGCGAGGCGGGTTTTGATATGTCGTACAGTACAACAAAAATGGGATCTGTGCTTAGAGACAAGATGAGGAAGGTATAACCGAGCATCAAGGGAGCCAGAACGAGCCCCTTTAGGAGCTAAAATGGCCTCGCATGCTCAGGTTGCTCAGGCCGAGCTCAGGCCGAGCTCAGGTCTTAGTCTCGGCTCAGGTTAAAGCGGCAGCTGCTCACGTCCAAAGACTAAAACAGAACCAGCGAAAAAAAAAAGTTGAGTCTAACTTATGTGGTAATTGAACTCTAATCTCACGATCCTCGTTCCAAGGTCGGTTAGGAAGCCTGGCCGCTTCTACTCAGGCGCCAGTCACCCTAGGCTCACCCTCGGTTCACCCAGCTCACCTGAGCTGCCTGAGCAACCCGAGCAACCCACTTGACCACCCTGAGCATTTGTATTAGAAATTAAAATAAGATTAGAACTTGATTTTCGTAATAATACTTTCAATTCAATTTTTATTATAAGCACTTACTATACTTTAAAGCCCAGTAGCATTTATATTATTATTATAAAAGAGATTTTATATATTGGACTTGTTAAGATGTAAAGTAGAGGTATACATACTATCATTGAAATACTGGGACGAAAGGGAAATTTATTACTTAGAGAACATCGATCATCTCACACAGTCAGACGATAATCACTTCCCTCGTTATCCAATACGATCTATTAGTGGTTATATCGTGTCGAGCGTCGTAAGAGAAAACGCCAACTCTTTTGAATTTGCCATCCTCGACAGGCTGCAGAATGACTCCAGATGAGCCAATGTAAGGATTGCCTTTGCTATATTCCGTGTTATGAATCACCCTCAGAAGTAAGTTGAGACTCGAGGCTCTTGATGACACATCATCTTGTTTTGGTTTATATCCTGGACCCGAGAACTCGCCTTTGGTAGCTCGAGTCTCGAGGCAGGTCTCTCCGCGGATAATTAGAAATCCCTCTCTGACTTGCCCGAACGGAACTCCAGGATCGACAAGGAAGACCGTACAGCTGAGTATCTCAGCAGTCCATCTCCGGTCGTCATAGGGGCAAATAACTTGTTTATTAACTGAAGCCCAGGACCAGCTAGGAGCGATGTTTTGCTGAGAGACAGGGTGAATTTCATCATCTTCTTCTAACACCTCCCATAAGACATCTTGCTGCAAAAGCTCTACCCAAATACCAGCAGCATACGAGTAGTTCCATTGCTTTTTCAACTCTGCTGCTATGCCAGCGATCGCGGGAAGACGGTCTTCAAGTTTTGTGAGTTTGCGGCCGCTATATTCTTTGATAATGTCACTCCATACCCTCTGCCGAGTCTGCCCGCGGCCAGATATGCCTTCGTGAAGAACGAATAGGCTGCCGCCTACGAATTCTGGCTCTTCCGATGGAGATGGAAATAGAACGGAATCGAAACCACGTCTTCGCAAACAATGCCATCGGACATCCCCGTCATGGCCGAAGAGCAGTAATCTTTTGGACAAGAGAAACTCTTGAAGTGTCCATCCCCTGGATTCTAAATACCCAGGTTCCCATTCGCGGGGCCGTTTTTTTGACACACTGATGTTTCCGAAAGTCCCATTTGGAAGAAGAATGGGAAGGAAGAATTTACTAGCCGGTTCAGGTTCTGCCAGTCCTTGCATGGTGTAGCGGGCCTCAGTAGGCCTCTCCGCCTGGTCGATGGAGTACTTTTCCAGAAACCCATCAGCTGCGCGCTCGGATCTCGTTGCGGCGATTGTCAAGGTAGAATCTGTATAAATACTCCCCATTTTATTTATCTCTCTCGCCACATCTGTCGGACAATCCTGGATAATACATAATGCATCCACCCAAAGATATCGAATCCCAAGATGACGAGTAACTGTAATTGCGTTTTGCACAGACAGTGACAATGTACTCATGGGCATACAATGCTGATGCTTTTCTAGTGTAGCCTTCGTTGTCGTGAGTTGCCCTAAATCGCCCCAGCAATAGCTCAGAGTTGTATAAGGCACTTTCTCGGTGTGGTCAGAAACGTGGAGTTTAGGTTCAATGCTACTATCTGCCAAACCCACATCGATAACTCGAGATGGCAGGGGGGGAAGATGTCGACTTCCGCACTCATGATGTTCAAGGCACTCTTTCAGAAGTTTTTTGTAGTGTTTAGCCACGAAGGCGCTACCAGTATCGTAGGACAAGGGGTCAATGTCAAGATATGAAAATACTGGATCGTCTATGATAGATGTCATGTGAGCTTTAGATTATATAACAACGCAAAGCATGTGTGCCGAATAGTGAACTCACCTGTATAACCCTGAACGCGGATCGTTATCGTGTCCCATTTGACCGACAAATGCCCCATGGAGCTGATTTGGGATGGGTACTGTGTTATCACTTCAGGAATGTCTCTTGCTGATCCCTGGAGAAACAATGTTCCATGGGGATAGTCGGGTGTGAATCTGTAGCGCAGGAGCTGGCACATATGGCAACCTGCCTTAGCGTGCTCATCGAGCTCCTGTGGACCATAGTGCGGGAGACCTTGGCTCGAAACCAAGCTCCTGAGATTTTCGATCGTTGCGAAGATTAAATTGCAACGTTCACATAGCTCTGGTCGTTTTGGGACACTTGGATGTTCCATGCCCGTTGCTTGAGGATAGGGCTGTGCTGGGAAGTGCTGAGCTGTCGCAGGCTCGTTTTTCGCCTGCTTTCTGCCTTGTCGCAGTGAGATGATCTTCTTGCAAAGTTCTATTGAGTAAGATTTATTATCGCGGTAGATGCGTGTATAAGAAGGGATGAAAAGCAGAGAAGGAGTGAAATGGGGAAGGGTATGGACGAGGGTTGGATAGACGTGGCGGAAATAGAAGGGTTTAGAAGTATCCACTAGCAAACCGCCCAAACCCCCATCCGCCCACGCCTAAAAGATCGATTTTTAATCACACCTTTATTATAATTACAAATCCTTTAATATATTAACATCCTATAGTATTTTCAATATCCTGACAACTATATATTTAATTTAATCTTATGGTACGGCTAGTATCGCCTGCTAATATTAATTTTTTTGATTTTCGGTACGCGGCCGCATCTCATAATTTTTAGTGAGCGCGGCCGCACCTAATAATTTTTAGTAAGCCGGGTACGTACCAAAAATCAAAAAAAAAATTAATATTAGCAGGCGATACTAGCCGTACCATAAGATTAAATTAAATATATAGTTGTCAGGATATTGAAAATACTATAGGATGTTAATATATTAAAGGATTTGTAATTATAATAAAGGTGTGATTAAAAATCGATCTTTTAGGCGTGGGCGGATGGGGGTTTGGGCGGTTGGCTAGTGGATACTTCTACCCGACAACCGCCTAGCCAAGAACACCAAAAGAAATTACGATTTTTTCAAAGTGCTTAGAAAATTCTAAAAACTTCTAAGATGACTACAACTAAGTCTTAGATCACGATTATTGACCCCTTTTCTTCATTTTGTTGCGTTATTGTAGTTAAATTGATATTTGGATGCATTTTAAGATGAGAAAAGTTGTTGCCATATATTTTTCCACGATGTTTTTACGTTCTTAGTACGTTAATTATGTAAGGTACCCCCAATCAGGATCCCAAATCGGCTCTGGCAGGAATCCTTATAAAGGGAGCAAATTGGGTGTTCTGGCAAACTTGGCTAGGAAACTGTAGCCTAGTGCACAGGGTGCCAAAATGGGACCCGCACGATGATCACTCAGGGCAAGCTTAGGATGCTCAGGCTCTACTCAGGTATGCTCACCCTCGGCTCAGGTTAAAGCAGCAGCTACTCACGTCCGGAGACTAAAACGGAACAGGCGAGAATGAGATTAGAGTCCAACTTTTGTGGTAGTCGCTGCTTGATTTCGACACCGGTAGCTTAGATGGTTCTGGCATAGTGTCTTCAAGTTGATTGTGAAATGTTTGATATGGCTTTGGTGAAGTTCCGTCAAAAGGACATTTACTGCAGTGGGAGGGTGATTGGGCCTTGAGGCACTGATGCGAAATAAATGGAACAAACGAAAGCTACGAAAACGGAGATCGAGGTATTAAGTTAGATCGTAGTGCGAATTACATAACTGTTTGTTAAGGATTCACTTTCGAGGGAGATTTGCGTAAAGGTTGACGAGTTTGCATTTCCATTTCGCGGACGCTCTGAGGAATCAGAAAGCTATGAAAGGCACGTTACTCCCTGCCTGTAGCCGTTCCTCGCCTTTTTCCATTATGAATGTCTATTTACGGCGTATGATACGCTCGAATTTCTCTTTGAGAGTGGGTTTGTATATTACCGCGCAACTACTGCAAAGAGGGTGAAGACATTTCCTGCCGATCACGTAGTCCGTATCAATTTCGCGGACAAACTTCCTGTTCTCTTGTGGGACATGCTCCGTATAGCACTATTTAGAGAAACATCAAGATAAATATGGGAGTCAGAAGGCGAATGCTGTGTCCTCACTTTGCAACACACCCAACTGTAGATTTTGCTCATATCCAGATCGGAGATCTTCGAAGACATTCGATTCGGCACAGTTTGTCTTTTGGGATGACTATGTAGAAAGCTTGTGATAGGGCTAGGTATGTGGAAACGTTTTGGTCTTGTTAAAGTTTGTGTGTATGAGCGGGAGATGAGGGAAGCAGTCGTAGACGACGAGAAATGAGCCTTTTTAACGAGAGCTTCTGCTAAATGTGACTCTCATCAACTGACTTAAGAGAATTATCATTTGCATACAATTTCAAGTTATCGATTCACGAATTAGCAAGATCTTCTGAATCATCTTCCTATTACTCGACGAAGTGTTTCCCCCGGTTCGTCAACGCGAGCGGTTGAGAAGCAGCTGCAACCGGTCACCTGAAAAGGCAGAACTCGTTGGACCTACAAATAGTTTCATGAACAAGAAGTCAGGCATAGAAGGCACTTCTCAAATAGTCGATAGGATCTTCAACGCACTTTGGTGACTCCGCTAACGTGTGAGAAAATTTAATATAAAATTTCGTTAAAGCCCCTTTTCCTACCGTTAGGAGGGAGTTAAGAAGTGAACAGGGAGAATAGAACCTAATTGAATTTCATACTGAGAAACCACCTTTGGTTGCTATTAACGAGAGCGTATCTTTTCACACGAAATACGGAGAACTATAAAGAGATGGATTGGCAAACGTTCTCTTAGCTACTAGCCATGCCCTGCTCATTAAACGTAGCGATATCTCAAGCCACTTTCTCTCATTCCCTTCACACTCCTTAGATATTTCAACCCTTTTGTCTTTAACTATACAGTAGTCTTCCGATACGGAACCCAAACCTATCATCTACCATGCTCTTTCAGCAAACTCCACTCAAAATGTCTCGACGACAAAAGCAGGATACTCAAGTTAGCGCTAGATACTCTAGTTCCTCTGCAACCTCTTCCTGGCTATGTGGATTGTTTTTGAGCCACTTTTCATTCTGCTGGAAGGCATTTGCAGCTTGTGCTAGACGGTGCTCCCACTTCTTCTTATCTCTCTTCTTCCCTTCCAGAACCACCCGACCATGTTCGATCTCCTCTGTCAGAGCCAAAACCTGCTTATCTGCAGTCAAATAGGCCTTCTTCAATGCACCATCGTAGTCGTTGATAGGAACGAAAGCGATGACTCTTTGTTTGACGTTTATTTGAGGGTCGTCGCAAACTTCTATTGGAAGAAAATCTGGCACTACTTCAAATGCTTTGACGGTATTTACACCGTCATTGCCCAATCCTCTGTCAAGAACATCGAAATGGTATTTCTCGAAAATTACGAGGGTTTCGTATATCGCTGGCTCCTGTCCAATGAGATGGGTGGGGATGAACCCTTTGTCAATCAGGTGTTCGTCCTTCAAAATGTGTTGGGCTACCGCGGTCCACATCTTTTCTCGAGTTTTTGGATCGTGTTCTTTTGAAGCGTCGTCTATCCATTCGTCTATTCCAACATGTGCGACCGAGTTGCGGTTTTGGTACTCAGTGATTTCGAAATAGGCTTGTCGAAACGTCCAAGTTCGAGGGCGGCAGCGGTTCCCAACGGCGGTAATGAAATCAGTGAGCTTCTGCTTGGGCCGCTCTCCTGACTTGTGCGACAACCACGTCTCTCGTGCCCGTTTCTCCTCGTCTAATTGCTTGATGATATCCCTCCACTTCCTATTGCTAATGAGATTTTCCTTGCGCTTGGCTCCCTTCTTGCCTTTATTGAACTCGGAAACATATGTGCTGGCGGTCGTTCTAAAGATATGTAAATTGGTTTTATGATAATCGCCAAGACTCAGAATACGACTTTTGTTGGTGAAATTTTCGTTCGAGGCTTGCAGTTCTGCGAATTTCTGGTCTTTGGCGACCATCTCGGAAAGGAGCATTTCGGAGCGGAGAATTTCGGCCTGCTTAATATGATATGTTGCTGAATGCTTTTCAAGCTTTCCCAGCATCTCGAAATCATCGATAAGAAGTTGATAAACGCCTTTCGTGCTTGGACTCATGCCTTCTACCTTCATGAGATGGCTCAACTCATTGTAGCTGGCTTCAAAAGAGCCGGATTGCATGGACGTGCGATATCGTCTCTTTCTGGCGTTTGAACCTTGAGCAGCTGTTTCAGGTGCATTTTGTGAGGGCATGGGTGCATCTGACTCTCCCATCTCCATGTCTCCGTACTCATGAGGCATTGTCGCTTTTAACGTGGCTGGTGAGTGTGATTGAGGGTGCGATTCGTCTGTGATCTTGAATTCTTGATCGTCGTCGAGAAATTGAATGAAGTGATCAAAATATTCGCTCTCGGAAGTTGGAAGGGCAGCTGATCTCAGATGGTGTTCTTTTATCTTGAGGATTGTCTTCTGAACTGAAGGGTATTGCTGACGCATACATTATGTAACGCACCACTCAACCAGCCGAACGGGAAGGTTGTGTAACATATATCACGTGACAACACCCTTCTCTGACTCCAATCCCCAATTCTAGACAGGGCATCTGCGAACACATAGACATGGAAACACATCTGGTGGGACGCTCAAATGTATAAGTCATGTTATTATAGTATAGACGAGACTTGATATACTCAACGGCCGAGAACGTCGGCTTAATTAACTAGGCACTATTCGTTAAAAGCTCACTTTTGCAAAGAACATTAAAACAATAACGACCAGTTATTTGTGAAAATATAATCACCATCGCCGCTCTTATCAGAATCGAGGTATGTATACCCTGGGCTGGCTGGTACCCTTTTATCCTCTCCCACAACGAAGTCACGTGAGAAGTCCACATTCTCGAAGGCTGCGGCCACGACACACAAAATTCCTACAGATTAGTAGTGACAGCGGATGAGCGATGTCTTCGGTAAATGTTTCGTCAAGGCACTGTTATTTGACAGATTGGCATACTCATCAGATAGAGGAATCAAGTGAAGTTCTTACTCGGCAACACTCCGACTAACGGGTGAAATTGTGCACGGCCGTATTATAGTAGCTAATATTAGGCTCTATAATACGTACTCTATATAGGATCAACCTTTAATAAGTATTCAGGATCGTGCCGTACTATATCGTATTACTGTCCCGTATCCTTTCGTCCGGTGAGACATGTCCAACGCCAGGCATCACAGCTAAGCGGTACGTACCTGGGACGGTTTTAGCTGTGATGCCTGGCGCTGGACATGTCTCACCGGACGAAGGGATAATAGGTTACTCCATATGCTTGCCCACGTGACACTATATAAGATAGTTACTAATACTTCTTTTTATATCTTAGTTATTAAAGTATGTATCTCTTCTCCTTAATAGATATTGAAATTAATAGTCTTAACCTAAAAATTAACGCGACTTAGGTCGTGGTAAAAATGGAATTGCATGTGCTTTAGAAGGTGCTAGTACGGGGGTAAGCTACGTGGAATTCAGGCATGATGTAATTAGTACACATGCCGTGATATTCCATATTGTTATGTGCATTTTATATAGCTAGTAATATCAATTATTGTGCGATATATGGACCAGAGCTGAATGTGCACCACAACTTCCTCTGCCATTACTTGTATCTAAACTCGTCACTCCCACATCGTATTTATGCGCTGGTCGTGGTCAAAGCCACCTTTTCCCACTTCATCAGCGCTCCACTAACAAAACTCACCGCCCCAGCAACAATCGGGATGATCCAAATACTGTTCATCGTCTTGATAATCGCCTCCACAGCTTTAGTTTTCACCACCATATCACCACCCATAAGCACCGCGCTCTGCGCTCCCGCGAGCGCACCCCTCAGCTCCTGCTCGCTAAACCCATAGCCCTGCAGCGCCTCCTTCAAGTTGATCAACCCGCGATTCTGGAAAATCGATGCAGCGATAGACAGTGCAATGGCCATCGTTCCAATTTGAGCGACGTTGATAAACCCAATTGCGTTCTGGGTGTCGTGATGCTTGACTTTGGCGACAGAGACGGAGTACGCTACTTGCATTGTCGCGCCGATTCCGATCGCCGCCAGGACTTCGTAACCGTAGATCGCGCCTGTGGCTGTGCCGATATGGATTGTGTGCATGAGAGAACTTCCAATGAGTAGGAAGACCCCGGAGATGACGTACAGTGGTGAGTAGCGGCCGAGGATTGGGAGCAGGCCGCCGGTGAACATGATGAAGAAGACGGTGACTGTGATGAATGGGAGGAGACGGACGGAGGCACGGATCGCCGAATCTCCGCGTGTGAATTGGAAGAAGAGCGGGAGGTAGTACACCGCTATCACTAGCCCTGCCGATGAGGCTGCCGTACTGGTGTAAAGAAGGATTTGGGTTCTGGATTTTAGGAAGTGGATAGGGAATATCCGTCTTTCGGGCGTTGTGAAGAAGGAAAAGACTTGTTGTACGACGAACGTGATGAGCGAAGCACCAAATACTACCCAAAGAGCGATGGGTCCAGCTTGATTCCACTTCCAAGTGCTTCCGGCGAAGGTGAGAACAACTTGGAAGAGCGTGAAGACTGTGGCGTTGAGTACCGCGCCAACCCAGTCGATTCGAGCGAGTTTAGTCGGTCCAGGGGTCTGGGGTTGTGCATTGTGCTTTGGGAACAGGAAGATATAGACTGGAGAGAGCAGGGCAGCGAGAGGAAGATTGATGTAAAATGCAAAGCGCCAGGATGCAGAAGAGACTGAGAAGCTTCCTCCGATGATTGGCCCCAAGATACAGCCCAATCCCCAGCAAAGTCCAATAAGTGCATTGTAGAGAGGTCTGGTTTTGAGAGAAGTAAAGACTGAGATATACGTCAAGCCCCTGCGTTATCGAGCGATGAGTATAAGTTCTGTTCAGAAACGTAATGGGGAAAATGGAGTAGAAGACATAGAAAGAGCATTGACTTACCCAAGATACATACCGGCGCCGCCGATTCCCGCTATAACCCGGCCCAAAATCATCGCATTCATATTAGGAGCTGCACCACAAATGGCACTGCCAGCTTCAAATCCAACGATGGAACCAATCATAAGATACTTAATCTCGAAGACCGTGTAGCACCAACCTAATAGAAGGATGACAGATACAGAGCCCAGGGGAAACCCGATTCCAACCCATGCCAACTTCTCGATCTCACCAAGAGAAGCCAGAATAGGACCTTGCACTGAGGCAGAGATAGTTGTGTCGAGTCCGTACAGTAGAGCACCAAGGTAAAGTCCTAGACAAACGAAACCCCACTGCCATTGAGATATCTTGCGTTCGAAAGGCAAATCCTCTTCGGGAGGGTCATTGGAGGTTTTTTCGGTGTCGGATGGAGAATCTGAGGCTGGCAATATCCCAAGCTCCTGCTTTTGAGATTCTGTTGATGCCATTCTGAAACGTTTCTGAGATGGAGAACTTCGTTTAGTAGAGTGTGGAAAAGCTGTGAAGTGATGCAATGGAGCGTAGGTCAGAAGGGGCGGGTTGAGGGGATTGCGATAAATACCACTGTCGAGAGGTTTAGTTCTTATATAGCCAGCCAGAATGCCACAATATCAACAGAGAGGCGAGTAGATGTAAGCTGGCAGATACAGAAGATATCCAATCCAAGCCAGCGGACAGCAGGTTAGTCCGAAAGATAACTCCGAAAAGGATGAGAAATTCAGGCCGTCTAGCTGGGGCCGGAGGTCGTGGCACTGCTTTCTCAGACACTTCGCGTATCAAGGCTAATAAGACTCGATCTGTTGTAAAGCAGCCAATACTAGGGACGGCGTTGCTGGCGTCAGCCTCCGTTGATTGTATTCCTCTAGGCTGTTGATCTCGCACTCGGTTACGGGAGCCAAGTCTTTGATTGAGCGCAGCTGATTATTTGTATAGACCCACCAGGTGAGATTATAGGAGTTCAAAGTAACCATTTTCAGAGTATCCAGATGGAAACCTCGTCAGGCATCAAATTTCCTTCTATATAGAACAGCGAATAGGACACAGCTTTGCCGTGTCCAGTTCGCTATGGATTCATAAGTAACCCAAATGCTATTTTCCAACAATATTCCAACTATTTCTAACGTGTTCCTAAGCGGGGCCTCCCACCGCCCCCCGGACCCCCGGCGAACCCCAACCCCCTACCCAAAGCGATTTACACTGTTATAAAAGCGCTATAGATCCAGTTCTATCTTGAGGTTAGAAATTTCATTTTCTTTAAGTCAAAAATCAGGCAGAAATAACCCGGCGGGTCCTCGTTTCCCTGTAACCCACCTGGTGGAGCACATAGGTTTACCCGATGCGCTGCTTACTGCCTTTGATTTGGCAGGGATAAAAACGTCCCGAATGGGTAACTCTCGCGGCCGCAAGGCGGAGACACTAACAGCGGGCAGATTTACTAATCAAGAGAATGTAGAGTAATCAGCATTGTGAGGGCCGCCTTGCCAGCAGCTGCTCCATCTGAAACAAGAAATTTTTGCGGTTCAAGAGTGACTTTGAACACTTCAAATTCTTACTCTTTTACGAAAGGGGGGGCATCTTTACGACGGATTTTTATGAAATATCCAATCAAATTTAATTTCCTTTCGGCGCTTCTTTTGATTCAGGAATAGTTACGTATGCGGAAATCTTGATGTGTTATTGGTAGGGATGCGCAAAATTTAACCATTCAATTCAATAATAATCATCTATTCAAATATACAATGCGTAACTCTATATGCTTTTATACCAGAATTATGCTAGGCTAATGCAAATATAAGTATTATCCTAGAAGAAAATCTCGAGCCCCGTACTAAGTAAAAAACCCTAATTTAGATACGAGGATTGCTCAGGTTTTGGACTTACTAAGCCCTAACCCCACAGGCCCACATAATGTAATGCACGACGGTCTAGCCAAATCCTTAATTACGCCACCCCTACTTGTTGGTACCGGTATATCTTCTGGGTTTCCGGCTTCGTAGGCGGACGGCCGCGTTTAGTAATCATTGCGGGTTCTTGCGAACCGCAACACTTCAGTCGCCGTTGAACCCATACTTTCTCCCCAACTGTGAATCATCACTAAGGATTCGGGATTATTTTCCCACCGACGGGTTCTCAAATGGGCCCGCTTTCCGTCACGGACCCCTCTACTTCCCAAGCTTTGCCCAAAAAGGGAAACAAAGTCGCACTAGATTGCAACTTGCCGATCTTGTCAGACAGTCGTTGTTAAATCCATGTTTTGACAATCTCCCTAACCTACAATGTAACCTATGTCCGCCCCCCAACCGTGCTTGAAACCCTCTTCGGCCATTTCTCAGCTCTCTCTCATCCCCAAACCGCCGAAAACGTATATTTGAACAAAATCCCTAACCTACAATTCTTTCTTCTATCCGCTTCTCTCAACCTCTCTCAACTCCTCTTCCTCACCAACTCGCTCAACCCTCCTTCTCCCTCCTCTCGTCAAACGTCCCCACCAAACCTACCCACTCGACCTCTCTCTCCACCTCCTCAAACAAATCCAACCTCTTCCCCAGCATCCTCACCACCTTTCTCAACTCACTCTCCTTATCATTGAGATTCAGATGCACAACACCGTCATCATCTTCAGCTTCGGACAGAAGCTGGATCAACATATTAAGCGCTTGGCGGAATTTGGAGCGGGAGAGTTGGAGAGGTGACGGGGCGGCCTTTTGAGTTATCGGCTGGGGGTCCTGGGGGAGGGGAGTGGTTGCCGCTTCGGGGCCGGAAGGGTTTGTATCTACGAGCGGTTCGGGGTTCTTTTCTTCGTCTTTCGGGGGTTCCTCAGCCGCTGCTTCTGAAGTTGGATCTGACTCATTCCTAGCGGGATCCTTGGGCTCAGGCGAGACTTCCTTGGACTCCTCTTCTCCTTCCACGACGCTGGGATCTAGCGTCTCTTCGGTTTGCTCTTCCGTAATCTCTGGAGGGGTTTCAGCCTCGACTGGAGCAGTTTCTCCAACTTCTTTCTCCTCAACTTCATCAGCCTTCTCGGGTTGCTCTCCTTGAGCTTCTGGCTCAATTGTAGCAGGCTCCTCTTTTCCCGTGACAACATCTGTTGAACCTCCACCTTCGGCAATAGTAGGCTCCGCCTTCTCCTTGATTTCTTCCTCCGCAGTAGAAGAGGATTGCTCTTCTTTCTCAGTAACTCCACCTTCCTCTTCCGCCGTCTGCTTCAACGGCACATCGATAATCGGCTCTCCCGTCTCCACAGTCGTCGAAATCGAATCATCGTCCACTTCCGCTTCCTCTCTCTCTTCTTCCTTCTTCGACGGCTCGGAGACAGACAGATGCTGTACTGATTCTTCAGGCTTGTGCTCGGAATCTGTAGGAATCGGATCTGCTGGTGCTGCCTGTTCTGCCTCATCGTGCACTTCTAATTTTGACACCACTCCCTCTTCGGCAACTAGCTCCTTTGGAGCTTCGGACTTGCCAACCTCAGTCTCGTCGCCCTTCACCACGTCAAGCTCCTCATCCCCATCCCTTTTCTCTCCTACCGCAGCCTGCTCCTTATTCTCATCGCCACCCTTCAGCCCCTCCTTCTGATCGTTCTCAACCCCGTTCCCTCCCTCCTCCGGGGCGGAATCCTCCTCGTCCCCAGCCGAAGAACCCTCAGACGCCGTCACTTCCGAGGTTTCGATGGACGACGTCTCTGGATCACTGGCGATGATGACCGCCGAGTCGCGTTTGCTTTTTTGATTGTGCTCGTCGGTTGGCTTGGATTCCTCCGTTTCGGTATGGAGCGCTTCTGCTTCTTCGGACATGGCTGATTCGCGTCGCTGTATCTAGAGATAAGTATGTATGTATGTTGTCTAACCGAATGGCCGCTTAGACCTATCAACCAACCCACCCGTCTTTCTTTAACTATCTAGACCAGAGAAGAGGTGTGAAGGAAGACTGGAAGAGGAATTGGGGTTCTGGGGGAGCTGGAGGAGAGTTGTCAAACCTTGTCGGGCATGAAAGGGATTTCAGCACGCCTGACCGGACCTGACGTGGAGTTGTTGTTGCGTGATCCGCGGACGAGTGAGGTGTTTGTGGCTGCATTGCAGATGTGTCGCTGAGTTACTGGGTAACGAGGTAAGCGAGAGCGTGGGGGGCCAGTCACTGACTGGGCCAGAAAAGGGGCGAGCCAATAGGGGCAAACCGGAAGCGAGGGAGCGGGAGGTTATGCACGTGGCTGGAAGGAGACACTTTAACCACCTGGGGGGAAAAAATTGCCTCACGTCGAGCTCGAGAAAGAGTTTAAAGAAGTGATGTGGCTATACTGAGTACCGAGAACCTATTTCCCCGAATCCCGAATCCCCAGAAAGCTTAACTTTGCAGGGAGCAAGGAGTGGGATCCCCATTTTTTTTTATTCTCCGACCTCGCGATCCTCGTCCCAATGCACGTAGCTGGTGACGCCCCAATTCCACGTCGCGTGCCTGATCCTCTTGCCCCAGATATACAGCGGGACCCAGAAGATCAAGACTGCAGCTGAGATTCCGGCCATTGCACCGTAGGCATTGACATATCCACTCTGTTCGATCCACGGGTTGGTGTAGAACGAAAGCAGGAAGCCGAAAGCCGCTATTTCCATCATTAGCTCGAAGCAACTTGAAAGATTGAGGGGGGGGGCTTACACTTAAAGGCCATAGTCGTCAACGTAACCTCTCCGGCGATTGGGCGGTATGAATCGATGGTGTAGACCAAAGCAACATTCGTACCCTGCACGATACTAAAATTCAAAAGAGCCAAACCAACAGTGGGGCACATCCAATGCAACTTATTCTGAATGCCGACGCCGTACAATATCAAACTCAGCGGGGTGGAGATGAGACTAAACATCATGGCCGGCAATCGCATCTCGGGTTCTCTGATGCCGCCGTTCCGCTTGGTGAAGAAATCGGCGGTGCGGTCGCCCAGGTATCCGCCGCAGAAGATGCCGACTAGAGCCCCGATGAGGGCGGCGATGAAGCAGAGACCGGTCTCGTAGGGCTTCATGTTGTAGGCTGTTGCGTAGGCGGAGGCTACGTTTGAGGTGACGGCGACGATGAAGCCGATTGTCACAGACTGGACTAAAGAGCACCACAAAACCGGGGGAAGGAGAATGAGTGCGAAGGGACGGACGACCAGCCGCCAGAAGGTCTCTTCCGTGTAAGTGCCGGAAAAGAGCTTGAGGCTTTGGAGATAGGTTTTCTTGGGTGGGATGGAGGAGGTGGAAGACTCACTCAGCCCAGCGGTGGGGCCGTCGCATTTTTCGGTTAGGGTTGGTTCGTGATCTACATCGATTTCGATGGGGCGGATGAAGACGGTTTCGGGAAAGGTGAAGAAGGCGAGGATGAGGGTGAGGGCGATGAGGGCGATTGCTACGTCGTAGATCACTCGCCATGGATGGTTGATCGTGATTAAACTGAGGTGGCTGTGAGTACTACTTTTGAAGACACGAAAGGAGCATCTTACCCAGCAATAATGATTCCACCCGACACACCCGAGACGAGGGCACAGGTGTACATACTGTTGACTGTTTAGCTAAATTTCATAGAGCAGGGCAGACATCACTTACGCCATCACCAAACCTCTCTCGTGCAAGAAGAATATATCCGCAATAGAAAGAGGAGCCATCGTCTCAGCGGCGCCAGAGCCAAACCCCATGAGGATTCTCGAAGCCAAAAAACTCCCGTAGCCGGTCGTGACAGAAGCCCAAATAGCACAAGCAAGATAAATAGTATAACTAATAATATAGATCGGCCGTCGTCCATACTTATTGACGAGGGGCATCCAGATCAAGTTCCCAGTGCCCTGCATGAGAGCCGTAGTCGTGAAAAAGTAAGCCGTCTTGTTGATCGCAGGCCCAAGACCGCTGGGGTTCAGCTTGGAACTCGGAAAGAACTCCATGGCTGTTTCAACAATGGCAATGGTTGGGCCTGCGGCGAGGAAATTGCAGATCATCATCGCGAGGCAGATGATGAAGGCGGAGTAGTATTTCTTCCTTCGAGACCTGGGTTGGATTATGTCAGCGGGGGTCCGTGTTTGATTTGAGATGAGAGTTGACATACCAATTCAACGGATCATTGGGGTCTTTTGACGGCGTTGGGATGAGAATGATCTCGCCGGTGTGTTCGTGGCGATGGCGAACACTGCCGAGCGTATGGATGCGCTTCGTGATGTTGAGCTTTTGCTCCGTGGCATCGATCTGGACGGTCTTGGTTGGCTCCAGATCAGAATTTTCAACCTCCACGGAGGGAGGACTTTCAAGGTCTGTGGCCTTCGACATGATGGATACGACGGTCGAAGTCTGAGAATGGATCTGAATAGATCAAATGGTTCGATGCGTTTCTTGATCTGATCTATCCCGAAAGATCGCAGGCTTTAAAGAGGGAGGTCGGTGCAATGGGTTGAGATGTTTTTTGAAAGAGAGGACGCGCTCTTCTCTTCTTCAGCTCTGGAGCAACGGCGCAGCCCGCACCCCCCTGAGCCGACCACTCCGGCAAAATTGGGAATTTCCCGGGGTCCCCGCCAACCACTACCAATAGCCGGCCCCTCTTCTCCACATCCCGAAGTTGTGGGGATAGGAATAGAAACTATTGACTCGGACGCATCAGGGTGGGCGCTTTAAGGTTCACGTTGCAGTGTCGTGCAGAAAAGTGAAGCTGCAGAGTGCTCGGCAGGCGCAGATGTCTGATCCGGGGTGGACGAAACATTCCGATTGTGGAGGAGGTGGGGGTTTAGATGTTATCAAAATTTCTATCCACGTACTTCACAGCAGGACATCTTGAGAAGTCTGGGCTAGCAAAACCTTTCCATTCTGTATTGTGTTATTCAACATCTCTCCATCATGACTGTCACCGAAACTAAAGTCATCTACCGGGATTCTCCCACTTATGAACAAGCGCGTGTTGGACGAGTTTTCAACCACCGACGGCCAAACCGGTATCCTCACGGCGTCGTGGAAGCAACATGCGTCCAAGACATCACCAATGCTGTGCAATTAGCCAAATCCCAGAATCTGAGAGTGTCGGTCCGTTCGGGTGGACATTCCTGGGCAGCATGGTCTGTCAGGGACGATGCGATTCTCATCGACCTTGGGAAGTATAAGTTCATCGAGTACGATGAAGAGACGAAGATTGTGAAGGTTTCGCCTAGCACCACGGGAAAGATGCTGGCTGAACACCTTTCTGCGAAAGACAGGATGTTTGGAGGTGGCCATTGTCCGGACGTTGGGCTGGGAGGGTTTCTCCTTCAGGGTGGGATGGGGTGGAATTGCAGGGTATGTTTTTCCTGCTCCCGACTTTTCTGTTCTTGCACTGATACTCTCAGAACTGGGGCTGGGCGTGCGAGCAAATTGCTGCGATTGACGTTGTGACTGCCGAGGGAATCGCTTTGCATTGCAGTGAGCAGGAGAACGGTGATCTCTTCTGGGCTGCCCGGGGTTCAGGTCCAGGTACACACTTCACCTCTTTCTACTCTGACTATTCTTACTGATGTATGTATTTAGGTTTCCCTGCCGTGGTGACGGCATTCTATTTGAAGACGCGAGAAGCTTTCAAAGCCATGAAGAATTCCGTATTCATCTACCCGCTCACTGAATACAAAGTCGTTATGGATTGGGTACAAAAGGTGAGCTAGCACCTACATTGTCTCTACAAATGTTGACTTGTGAACTTCACAGGCGGTACATGAATGCGACGACTCGATCGAAGCCGTAGCAGTGGGGATCATCGACCCAGTGACCCAAGTCCCAGCATTCCTAACTTCGTTCCTCACGTTTCAACAGACGGAGGAGGCAGCCCTCGCGTCCCTCAGACACGTCAACGCAACCCATCCCCCAGGCGCAATCATGGAAGCCCCCAACAGTCCAAGCTCGCTCTTAAACGAATACTGCAACCAGGAGCTTGCAAATCCGCAAAGGCACCGCTACATCGCCGAGAATGCTTATATTAAAGACGATGCAGACGTGACCGAGGTCCTGAGGAAAGCGATGACCACCTTGCCGGAAGGGAGTAAGAGTTTCACGCTCTGGTTTCCAATGTATCCCTGCAGCCGGAGGGAATTGCCTGATATGGCACTGAGCATGCAGTCCGATCATTACATGGCACTGTATACCGTTTGTGAGAAGGAAGAGGACGATGAGCGGTGCAGAAACTGGGTTACTGATGTGATGAGGGAGGTGGAGAGGGAGAGTGTGGGTGCCTATTTGGGGGACTCGGATTTCCAAGCAAGAAAGACGAGGTTTTGGGGCGTGGAGCAGGGGAGGAGGTTGATAGAGGTGAGGAGGAAGTGGGATCCTGAGGGCAGGGTTTGTGGGTATCTGGATGAGGGGGACAGGTCTGGGGTCGAGGGGTTGGAGAATGTGCATGAGTGGCAGAAGTAAGTAGATAGAGAATTTTGACTATTTGCAATAACTCAAGAACCATTTTCCATTTTGCGTACTGTACCTGGATGATGATATAAGAACATTCCTTTCTAGCTTTTAACAAAAGTTTCACATTATGAAATGCCCCCCACTAGCCACAACATTCACCCCATTAATCCAGCTCGCCCTCGGCAAGGCCAACATAACAACCGCATAGGCCACCTCCTCAGTCTCGCCAAACCTCGCTCCGCACGGCGTCGTGTCAATAACAGGCTGCAACAACTTCATCATCTCGTCCCCGGCGGCCTTGAAGCCCTCCGTGTTCGTCGGGCCAGGAGACACGCTGTTCACCGTACACCCATACTTCGGCGGCAGCTCCTTGGCCCAGACCCGCGTCATCGAATCCACCATCCCCTTCGTGCCGGCATAGATCGTCTGCATCGGCGGCGCCGCCCGGGCACTGATGGAGCAGATATTGATGATCCTGCTCTCGCTCGCCGCCAAGTGCGGGAGCACACCCTGTGTCAGCAGGAAAGTGGCCCTGCAGTTCAGGTTCAGCAGCGCGTCCCAGTGCTCCAGCGTCTGCTCCTCGAAGGGCAGGTTGACCGCGATCCCCGCGTTGTTCACCAGGATGTCGATCGTCCCGAACCGGGCGACGGCGGCGGCGATCAGTGCCTGCGGGCCCGTGGTCGTGGACAGGTCGGCTTCGACGGCGATGGAGGGGGTTGAGAGGGAGGAGACCACGGCTTGGGCCCGTGAGGCGGTCGAGGGGAAGGGGTAGTTGATTACGATGGAGGCGCCGAGGGTGGAGAGCTCGCGCGCTATTTGGGCGCCGATTCCTGAGTCCGAGGCGCTGATGATGGCCACTTTGCCGCGGAGCGAGGAGTCGAGGGACATCGTGAGGTCAGGTGATTGGGGTTGAGGGGCAGCTGGGCTGTGGTGGTGCTGTTATGGAGGGGTTAAGGAGGGGAAGTTAAGGAGGGGTCTTGAAATGCCGGGTCGGTAGGTGGGGTGTGGGGGAGTGCTTTTGGCCCGAAGACGGTTTCGAGGGAAGAGAGAGTTTGTCAAGAATTGGTGGCGGAGGAGGTTTATGAAATGGTATCCAGTTAGGCGTTTTAGAAGTGAGGCGCGGTGGAAGGACAAAGAGTTGATTTTGGGTTGGGTTCTTTGCAGATAGAGAAATATGTGCAACTTGCTTTAATCAAATATGATTTGCTGTTTCTGTCTAATTATGAAGTCGTGATAGCAATATTGAAGCATGACGAGAAGTAACATGCGAGAATACGACGAGAAAGTAAGCAAACCCCTATTCAATCCTCCGCGCCGCCGCAACGTCAGGAACACCCACGCCCTCCACAACCTTGCCACTAACAACCTCATAAACTGGCAACTCCGCCAGCCGAGAAATAATATGGTGCAACGTCGGCAACGCATCCGTATCCAGCGGATCAATCTTGAAGCTCGCCTTGTTCGCCTTGAACACCCTCTTCGGCCTCGGCGTCGGGAAATCCTCAGCATACGGCACGAAAACAGGATATTCCGCCTCTGCCTCCCCTTTGCTTTCTCTCCCAACCTTTGGTATGTATCGATAGACTAATATCCCATCGTCGTCTTCGCCTGAGATCTTGCCCGATTCGTTAGATTGCGATGACTCGACGAGGTCGGAGAGGACGAAGTTCCCCCATATAGCACCTTCCCAGCCCGCGTTGATTCGGTAGGAGGAAGCGCGACGGTGGATATCGAGGGAGCTGTAGAGTTTCGGCATGCCCAGTTCTTCGCGCCCGGAGACGATGGGGTCGGTAAGGGATTCGAAAAGGAGAGGCATGTAGGTGCCTGAAATCACCGAACCGTCTTTCTTGACGTACTCGACGCCGTGGATGTACAGTCCGAGATGGTTGTACCCTGAGCCGCCAAGCCATTCCATCTTCCCGAGTGTGGTTTGGGAGAAGGAGGCATAGGCGAAAGTGCCGGGACTCTTGAAGCGATACGAGGAGCTGGTGTGTGGGAATAGGTTTTGCAGCATTGTCCGCGAGGTCTTGAATTTGATGGATGCGGTGGTGAAGGTTGAGTCTTCTGCTTGTCGTGGGTGGCCGAAGTGCGATTGTCGTGGTCCGGGCATGGGACCGAATGCTATTGGCATCCGCCAGTAGAGAGAGGGGGTGCGAGACCAGGTCCACTTGCGCAGTTCTTGGACCGAGTTGTCCCATTCGTCGTGGCCGAAGTTGTAGTTTGTGTATTGGGTCACTGCTTCTTTAGTCCCATCATCAATAATAAAGCGGGGGGGGCTTACTGTCATTCTTCACACCCTCTTTGAGATCACTTCCCGCAATGCGAGAATATTCCTGAATTTGATGGGCTCTCTCCATCCTAATCTTTTGATACAACTCCAGCCTCGCTGTAATCTCCTCCTTCTTCACATCGCCAGGGAACACCACCGCAAGAGTAGCAGCATCCTCGATAGCCTGTCCAGCACCTTGGCCCTGATGAGGTGTAAAAGGATGAGCGGCATCACCCAACAAAGCCAGTTTTCCTTTAACCCACGAACTCATAACCTCCATGTCCAGCAACTTCCACGCCTTCAAACTCTCCCTATCAGCTTTCGAAATCAGAGCCACCACAGCTGGATCAAATCCCTCATAAATCTTCAACATCTGCTCCAAACTTGCGCCCCTATTCCATGTATCCGAGCCGGCTTCGGACTCCGCTTCCGGGTGGATGCACACAAAGTTGAGGAGTTGGTTGTTGGTTGTAGGATAGACAACAAGCCGTCTGTCAGCGCCGTACCAGATGCTTAGTTCGCCGGTTGCTTGCGCAAATTTCGCTGTGATGGGATCTTCTTGCGCTGCTTCCCGACTGATCAGGAAGCGGAATGCGGACTTGCCGGAACCGTAGGGCTTGATGTCTCGTCCTGCCACTACTTTTCTGGTCACGGAATGGACGCCATCTGCTCCGAGGATCAAATCTCCTTGAACAGTGTTGCCGTTTTCTAAAGTAACAGTTGCGTTGTCCGGGTCCACGTTGACAACTCTGCTTGAAGTTGAAAGTTTAGCGAAGAGACCCTCACCCTCTGGATCTGTTGCTGCCTTTTTCAAAGCGTTGTGAAGATGGACTCGATGAGCAAGTAGCCATGTCTAGAATTATGTCAGTGACCATCTTGTTTTTTTCAAACTTGTCCATTCTCACATGCTGCCAAATTTCATTCGGCTGCACCAAATTAATATGCCTGGTCCGCGTTCCCTCAGCCGTATACTCAGTCAACTACCCCTCGTCAGCATGCCCTTCCTACCTCTCGCTCACTTGGAAACTTACAACTTCCATAGGATTCGACCCAAAGTCTTCAGCGTGAATCCCAAGACGCTTCAAAATCCCATTCGCGTTGGGGGCAAGATGAACTGCAGCTCCAAGCTCACTTGCAAACTGGCTTTGCTCAAAAATCTACATCTCTCATCAATATAACTAAATTCCCATAACCGCGGAGAGGAGAGAGACTGTACCAAAACTTCATGCCCCTGTTTCCTCAACGCAATAGCTGCCGTCAACCCACCGATCCCCGCTCCCACAATCAAAATCTTAAGCCCTTTCTTCTCTTCATCCCCACCGATCACGCCATTCTCCTGCGCTCCATCCGTTTGAGTCCCATTCGTTTGAGCAGTGCCCAGAATTTGTTCAAGCGGTTGCTTCATCTTCCTGAAGATACTCTAAAGAGACTGGGATTATGAAAAAGATTGACGATGGCCAGGAATTACAGTAAAGACCAAGTGACGGCGCTGCGGTGTTAACGTAACAGAAGCCCATCCGGCCAGCTTCGGCCAGTAGATCGCGATAGCGCCTGGCTCCACGTCTTGTCCCGCAAGTCGGGGAGGTGGCTGCGGTCACATGCTGGACAGCCTTCCGTCAATCAATGAATCTTGCCCGAGACCGACGGGGTGGTGGAGGTTGAGGTTGCGTGGAGGTGGAGCCGAGATATCTCAGAGGGTGATGGATGAAAACTTGAAAAGGTGTTGAAGGGTCGGTCCCCTCCCGGCCCCACGACTGAAACGAGACTTGTGGCTGCGGGGTAGGGGTCCCAGGGGCGGAATGTGGGTGCTATGCAATATCCGGATAATGGCAAGACCCAACGTTCTATGCAGGACGCTTGAAATCGATTTGACGAATGAAGCAGAAGAAGATTTCCAGGGGAACTTGCGCTTTGCCACGTGACTCTCCTCGACGCTAATTCAGGGGTGAAGCGAGGCTAAGGGACGGGCATTCTGGCATAGGATACGAGAAAACTATTTGAGATTGATTACAAACAAATAAATATTCTTCGCAAAGAGAAGACCAAACCCTCACTGAATCCACTCAAACTTATCCCCCAAATACCTATTTGCTCTCAAATCACCACTCCTCGCATGTCCCTCGAACAGTTCCGCCCTCGCCGCCCTCCCACAAAGTCTCCCAAGCTCACCACTCGCCTTCTCATCACTAACCTCCTGATACGTAACCGTCCTCAAATACTTGCCCACCCAAAGCCCCCCTGTATACCTACTCGCCTTCCTCGTAGGCAGCACATGATTCGTCCCAATAACCTTATCCCCAAAACTAACACACGTCCTCTCCCCCAAAAACAGCGCTCCATAATTGCTCATCTCCCTCAACGCCTCGCGGGGCTCCTTCGTAAAGATCTGCACATGCTCACTCGCGTACTCATCCGCCAGTTTCCACGCCTCGTCCAAACTCTCCACAACCACAACCTCGCCGAATGCATCCCAGCTCGTCTTCGCCAGGGCGGCTGTACTCAGATTACTCTTCTCCAAAAGCTGGTTCACGTATTCTATTGACTTTTGGCCCACGGAGGAAGAGGTCGTGATGAGCACGGCGGGCGTGTCAGGTCCGTGTTCCGCCTGGGAGACCAGGTCGGTGGCAATGGCGAACGGATCCGCGGCCTCGTCGGCGACGATGAGGATCTCTGTTGGCCCGGCGAAGAGGTCGATGCCGACTTCTCCGAATAGCTGTCGTTTTGCATCTGCTACATAGGCGTTTCCAGGTCCGGCGATGAAGTCGACTTTTGGGATGGATTCAGTACCAACTGCCATAGCTGCCACGGCTTGAACACCACCTAGGATGTAGATGTTGTCCGCACCGGCGAAGTGCATCGCTGCTACTGTTGCAGAGGGTATTTGACTAGCGATGGGAGGAGTGCATGCGATTACGTTGGGAACACCGGCGACCTTGGCGGTAACGATTGTCATGTGCGCTGATGCGAGGAGGGGGTAACGACCTCCCGGGATGTACCTACAGCAACCGTAAGGTCCAAAATAGCCAAGGGGGGTAAAGAAGGGGGGCATACGCTCCAACAGCATTAATCGGGATGTTTTTCTGTCCCAAATGCACTCCAGGTCTAATCTCAATTTCAAAATCCTTCAGACTTTCCCTCTGAGCCTGGGCAAAAGCTCGTACATTGGCTTGCACTTCCTTGATATCTTTGAGTGTCTGCTCTGGTACTGTTGCAATAATCTCCTCAATTTCGGATTGAGAGAGCTTGAAGGAAGCGGGTGACCATTTGTCGAATTTCTCGGAGTAGGTGCGGACAGCAGCGTCCCCGTTAAGTCGAATGTCCGAGATGACGGATTTGACGGTTGCGGTGACAGATTCTTGGGCTGCGGTTGAGCCGGCGGCTGAACCTGTTGATTTCTTGACATATTGAGGCATTGTGACGGTTGTGAGATGCGTGACGTGATGTTGTGAAGTTACGAGAGGGGGTTTGCTAAATTTAACTGTACGTTGGAGTAAGTAAATATGTTGTTATTTTATGCAGCGATGACGGAGGACCTGCTTCAAGCCTTCCATACTAAGGTCGTTCATTTGTTGACACCACCGAACCTTGCCGGAGGGGTAAACTTGGCCCTCGGCCCCACCATATATGTTACGCTTGCAATGGCGGGGCTGGCCTGAAAATTGAGGGGCTCGAGACGGAGAAACGGAAGCCGGCTTCCCACATCTCGCTCGAGAAGACCGATTCCGGCCGTTTCAGTATACAGATAAATCGCAAAATGGGGTTGGTTGCACTACTAGATGCTGGGGAAAGGGGGGACATTTGGAATATTGTTTACAAATTCATGACCATATTTGAAAGAGAAGCAAGAAAATATATAGGTCTACTTTTAGATCGTATAGGGATTCTTGTTTCGTGTCCTCTGAGCAACATTGCCTCTTCACAACGATTTCCACCTCACGGCACATCGTCAAAACAAAACAGGTCCTACTTCGAAGGAATAATAGGAAGCGTAACAAAATTCTCATATCTGGGCCCAAAATGAATATGGTTCATGCCCGCCAACTTCTCTCTCGGCCTACCCATCATTAGCACACTCCTCACCTACCAAAATTGAGGAACTCACCTATCCGTAGGACTTGTGTGCTTAAATCTCTCACAGCCCTGCGTATCCCCACTACTAACCTCAAACACTAACTTACTGCCCGGGCTCAACACCACATTTGTCGGCCAAACCTCGACATCAACTGGATACACCTCACCAGGAATAACAGGCAGCACATCAGACGAAAAGTAATCCCGATGCGGAAGCCACTCTCGGTGATTAATATGCTCTTTGTTTACCTTCCTCAAGCTCGTTCTAAGCCAGCCTTTGCAGAGGGGCACAGGGTTGCCAGCTGTACCTGTGTAGAAGACCTCTTTTCCTGCGGAAGAGATATGCCGCAGAGTGACAAAGAGATCAATCTCGCTGGGTGAAATGCCGGAGATGGTGGGGGAGACGGATACGTTTAGGTGTGCTGTGATGTGCCCTGTGATTTCAGTCTCGACTTCGAAGGAACCGGTGGTGAAGGAGACTTGTTGGGAGAGGTCGAAGGCGTCGGCGAGGGGTTTCCAGCCTTGAGATACGGCTCCTATTTCGCGGCCGTCGTTCTCTTCGAAGCCTGTTGCTACGTAGGAGACCTTGGAAATGGAGGCTGTGGTTGGCTTTGTGGGGGAAAGACCGAGAGAAGGGGCCAGGTAGTAGGGAGTGTATTGCGTACGTGCTATGGGCCACTCCGTTTCCGTTCGGCGAGTGTAGACTCGCTCTGCTGCTGCATCGTTGAATCCAACGTCTCCCTTGCGGAGCACAACGTCAACTGGAGGGAGCTTGCCGGGTATAGACCACCCAACACGATCGTCGTCCTTCAGGAATGCATCCAGAAAGCTCTTCTGGACCTCGACTTCCTCCTTGTAGTAAAACGGGAGATCGTGGCGGCCAGTAATGAAGCGGAGGTATTTTAATTTGGATCCAGCTTGCGTGTAGCCTTCTACATTACCCCGCAGGTGCAACAAAATTCCACCCCAGTTGGCAACGCTCAAAATAGGAACCGTGATGTCTTCCTTGTTGTACTCCTTGGATGCATAGTAACGCTGATCGCGGAAGTGGTTATTCGCGTTATCGATATTCTGGTCCTGGCGATTAGCCTTCAATTCCTCTTCACTCAAGTCGCCCTCAATAGTATCCGGACCCCATTTCCTCGCAGCTCTCCCGCCTTTCCCATATTGATTCGACACAATCTGCCTCTCCCACCAGAACTTGATGAATTCGTTGGACAGAATGCCTCCATGTCTGCATCGGTCGCGGTAGTAATCAGACATGCCTTCCCAAGGGACAATGGCGCTCAATCCCTTTGGCTGCTGAGCAGCAACTCGCCATTGGCTTCCCGCGAAGTATGATATCCCCAGCAAGCCCACCTTCCCTGTCGACCACGGTTGATCGGCCGCCCATTCTACGACGTCGAAGAAGGCTTCGCTGGTGCCTCGAGACATGGTATCCAGGAAGCCTGGCGATTGTCCCAGCCCACGCTCGTCTGCTCGAACCACGGCGTAGCCATTGCGTGTCCAGAAACCGGGATCGGGCGTCTCCCATGCTGAGTGTGGTGATTTGTGCTCTGGGTTCAGCTCTGCAAAGGAACCAGGATGGAAACTGAACTTGTCAGAAGGATTGCAGAGACAGCTGGCCCAGGCAGAACTCACTCTCCATAGTAGATGTCTTTGCCGTATGGGCCATAAGTCACCAGCACAGGGTGCTTTCCTCCTTTTCCTTCTGCATCTTTCGGGCGGTAAACATTCACACGGACGAGGCCGGAGCTAGTCTTCAGTGGGACGGTTGCATTTTGCTCGAAGATGTAAGGGAAAGACTTGTCGTCGACCGCGTGAAGGTCGCGGATTTGGTTTGGCATGGTTGATTCGGTCACCGTAGAACGGGTTCAATAGCTTCAGAGACTTCTTGGGAGCTCAACTACAACAAATAATTCTGGACAGAACACAGGTTTTGAAGAACGTCGGCACAATTTCCGCTGAACTTGACGATACTATGCTGGTACTGAATTTCTGCATATAAACCACTCACGGATTTTGAGCAAAGTCCGCAGTCCTTCAGCGGGGCCGAGATGGGGAGAGGAGATCCCCCCTCCACCTCCACCCGGAACATAGAGTTTTCCCCTCACTTAGGCTCAGGCACGGTAGGTTTTTAGGTACAGTAAGGCAAGGAATGGAATAGCAAGATATCTCTTTATCACGCTCTGTAACTGCTATCATTCAACAACAAACAGCTCAGTCCTCTCATCTCACCTCACAATGGCAGCCCTCAAAGACAACGGCCTCCCTCCCGTCTCCCGCGTCATCACCGACCACAACAACGAAGGCAAAGCCATCTTCTCAGCCGCCATCCCCGAGCCCGTAGTCTGGCAAGAGCTCGCAGACGGCGCCCGCTTCTCCCTGGGCTACGCAACGAACCAATTCCCCGCCGATCTCTCCAACGAAACAGATGTCAAGACCTACTCCCACTACCTTGAAAACCTACCTGGCATAGCAATACCCGGGGGTACAGTGCTGCGATATGTGGATATGATGCCAGGTGCTACGAGCCCGATGCATAGGACCGTGTCATTAGATTATGGTGTCGTGTTGGAAGGAGAGGTGGAGTTGGTGCTTGATAGTGGGGAGGTCAGGCTGTTGAAGAGGGGACATGTTGCGGTGCAGCGGGGCACGAATCATGCATGGAGGAATGCGAGTAAGACGGAGTGGGCGAGGATGCTTTATGTTCTGCAGGATATAAAGCCATTGGAAATTGGGGGGAAGAAATTAGAGGAGGACGTTACGACGATACCTGGATATGGAGACAAATAAATGAGGACTTGAGTCGTGTGCATGCAACTCGTATATGCATTTGGAAGTACTGCATAGCTCCATCCATGATTGACTCTCTAAAATGGGCAGTTCACCCTAGTCTCATTTTCAAGATCCACTACCATTCTGCCCCAGCTTTATGTCTCTACCATTTGTCATTTAGTTTTCCAGGTGTAGCCCTCCACGCCAGATTGGCCATCTATCTGTCTGTTAGCACCTCTTACTTTCCCTCCACCAGTTATTCCTACAGCCTTTATCCGAACTCCATTCAATATGTCAAAAATGAACACAGCCTCAACGCCATTCATACCACCAGGCCGCTGCTCCCGATCCAGATTCCGGTTCACGTTTCTATATGGCGGTACCGCTCCATGTTTTGTTGGCCAATCTACTGGATTCAAAGTCGATGAAGTGGAGCGTTTATTTGGAGTCCGTACAGACTGTGGACTTTCTGGGGAGCCGGAATTGTGGAGTTCGTAGTCTGAGGACTTCGAGGACGGATGAGGTGAGTGGATTAGATGTTATTACAAACACGCTGGCCGGTTAATTAATCACTACTGAGACGAGAGTCTACGAAGGCTTTCAGCGCAATTATGCAGTCCTGGATGCAGCCGCTGGAAGGGGACAAGAGAATCCCGTGACCTCCTCCACACTTCGGGACAGTGGGGGAGGGGTAGGATCAGCGGCTGCTTCCGATAGGGTCAAGGATCCCAGACGACTGCATGGGCCTTTGGACAAGGCCACTTGAAAGAATTACATCGATATCTCTTTCAGTTTGATCCTGTGTGCTGATGTTGAAGTTTACTTCTCTGCAAACCTTCGACCGCCTCCATGACAACTTCAATCGGCCGTCTCCAGGCCTCGAACATTGACGGCCGAACCCGAACACCGCGATACATACAAAACCAACTCCAAGCTCTGCATTCCTCACTTCTCAAAAATGCATCAGAGATCCGCCAGGCGATTACTTCTTCCTCGAACTATACGCCAGCTGAAGTCAGCATTGAATTCTGCCTCGCAGTCTCGGTAGTGAAGGACCAGTATGCATCCATAAACTTTGATCAGATGCTGGAGGAGGAGTACCGCATTGCGAATGGAAAGGATGCCGCTAATAGGAGGGTCGCGGCTGGGATTGTGTATATTGTTCCTTCAAACCATACACTTTTCTACTCGGTGATTGCACCGCTGAGCGTAGCGGTTGCTGCTGGAAATTGTGTTGTTATAGAGGTCTGTCTCTCCAAATGGTGTTTGAAGAATTGGGACTAATACTCTGCAGTTGAGCCCCACACTTTCAAAACTCAACTCTCTCCTCTACAAACTCCTTTCTCAAACCCTTGATTCGGACACTTTCACAATTCTTGACTCCGCACCAGAAGATACCAGTTTCCGGGATTCATGCACTCAACTACTTCCAACACCTTCCAATACTGCCACAGCAAACATACTTGTCTCACCCTCGACGTCTAGAGCAATTGCTGTAGTCGACCGTTCCAGCCATCTTGAATCCGCAGCCTCCGCTCTTGTAACCGCACGCTTCAGCTTCAGCAATCACTCACCCTATGCCCCAGATTCAGTTCTGGTAAACGAGTTCGTGATTGATGAGTTCAGTAACCTAGTTGTTCAGCACGCAGCAAGGATGTTCTCAAAAAATGTCTCGACTTCAAAGGCAGGTGAGAAACCACGGAAATTTCTCAGCGAGGAGGAACTCAGGGAAGATGGCACAACGATCGTTGTGAGTGGTGACGGTGGAGCAATACTGAGAGTGAAGAACAGGTAAGATTTCCCTTGAAGTACGTAGACAGGTACTAATGACCTTAAATTAGGCAGTCGAAACTATTACAGCGCAAATTCTCCGAGCCAATACTCATCCTCCACTCTATCAGCAGCCTCGACAACGCAATAGATTTCTCTAATAAAGGCAGCACTCCTCTTCTAGTCAGCTACCTCTTCGCCAACCCCGCCTCAGCTAAATACCTGGCTCAATTCATAAACTCATACCTCTCACTCGTAAACCATATTCCTGCCGAGCTCTTAGGTCAGTCCACTTCCTCCAGCCCCCCTTACATCAAAAGCTGACGAGAATAGTTGGACCTCCAGCCCCCCTCCCTCACCCCTCATCACCCTCCCACCTAACCCGGTTCAACAAAGAAATGTTCACCGTCCCCCGACCTTCCTATACCTCCCCGCCTTCCTCTTCATCAACCGCCATCACGAAACTCCTCGCCTCATCCACAACCACTTCCTCCAAAGAACAACTGGAGCTGGATAAGGCAGCGATGGCGGAGCTGAAGCCAACGGGTCAGAAACCAGGACATCACATCGGCTTCTTTGAGCAGGGTATTTTGACTGGGTTGGTGCTTGTTTTTGTTCCTGCTGCGGTGGGGACGTTAGTAGCTGTAGGGTGGGGTGTTAGGGGGTTGGTTAGGGGGGTTAGGCGATGACGGGGATGTGATGGGAGGTTAGGCAGTGAATTTGTAAATTAACGGCATTCACTTCCGCACATTAGGTGTATGAGAACAATAATTGTAAGCGATAGTCGATTTCCTCGTTGTACATATAATATTGTATACATTATCAGCGTTCAAGTAGAAGTTCTCTCATATCCACCACTTCACTAAGCACTCACCCACTCTCCAACCGTATACTGCGAATTACACATATTCGTCAGCTCCCAAGTCTCAGCCATCAACCTCCCACCTACCCCCCTATCCTCCTCATCCCCGACAGCGCCAGCAACAAACAACGCACTCATAAAATGATCATCCGTCGCATGCGCATCCCGAAACTGCGGATGCTTCATCAGCCTCGTCAAGCCTCTCCTGAGTTCCGGTCCCGAATTATTCTCCATCACATCCTGGACCGCCTGCCGAAACTCAAGCATCTCTCTATCCGGCGGTTGTTCCTGCGCGAACGAATCTCTATACCGCAACATGGAGCTCCATTTGTTCCTGTATAAGTTGTGAACGGCGCCGCCGGAGCCGATGAGTAAATAGTTTTCCGCGCGTAAAGAGCGAAGCGTGCTGCCGATCTTGAGGTGGAAATGTGGGTCGAAGCGGGCGTTCATTGATATTATTGTTGTTGGTGGGCAGCCGCTGGGGAACATTCGGATTAGGATCAAGTAGGTATCGTGGATCCAGTCGAAGGTTGGATTGCCCTCACAGTTGAAACCGGCAGCGCGGAGCATGGAGATGCAGCGATTTGCGGTGGAGAGATCGGGATTTAGTTTGTAGTCTATATATTTTGAGGGGTGGACGTATGCGACGGGTGACTTGGAGGGAGATGGGTTTGTTGCTACTTGGACTTTGTCGGAGAGGCAGTCCCAGTGTGCTCCCTGGTGCATGTAAGCTTGAGAAAAGTGAGGGTGGAAGAACGAAGTCAAGGTTTTTACCATTATGACGACGCCTTTGATGTTGTTGGCAAGCGCTTCATCACCACATTCTTCCCAGTATGCTGCTGATCCAGACTCCTCCCCTAGCATCATGGTTGAGCCATGGGAGAAGAAGTGTACGGGGGTCAATTCTGGACATTTCTGTCAGGATGGAGAGAATTCGGCCATTGGCGAGAGCAAAATTACTGACTGGTTTTCGCCATCATGGGTTGGTTCTTTACCTACTGTACCAGATACCTCGGAACTCTTTTCAACTCGAAGGCGAGGGAAGAGACATCGGCTCCTGTTTCTAAGAGTTGATCTATTCCAATTCAGCCAAGAGCTTCATGTTCGTACACAAGCAAGCAAGTGTTTGCGTACCGAGTCTGAATTGCCAGTCCGCCCATTTTCGTTGCCCTGCTACCCCGCTATTGAAAACCCTCTGGCCACACCGGCTCCACACACCCACCTTTCCGCACACCAGACGTCTAGGGTATTTGGGAACAGCGTCTTCGGCTCCACATGTTGACGACGCTCCATTCCTGCACTGGGGTACTTGGACGATGCAGGAAGCCTGCTAAAACCTTTATGCCTGACTTGGCATGGCGATATGAAGGCCGGAAGGCACGAGTCATGGAAGACTCCGCTTACGTAACTACCCCACAAATGCCTTCCCCGGACGAAGCTAGAGGGACGACAACACGTCTTCGGATGCCTTCACTATCTATCAACAACATCACTGTTAACGATGGCGGACAGTCTGACTCCGCACGTACCGGCAGACGAGGATCGTCAACTTTCCACAGGCTTCAATGAGCCCGAGAAGACCAGCTCTTACGTCTGCAATATCTGTAACCAGACATACACTCGAGTAGACCATCTTAGCCGGCATTACCGTTCGCGTAAGTGGAATTGAGAAAGAAGTTTTGTGAGGTTCACAAATGACTTTTATTAGATACTCGAGAGAAGCCATTCTCCTGTCCCCAATGTGGGAAGAACTTTGGTAGAACGTACGTGTTCAACCTCCCTTGGGCTATACTAGCGCTAACACTTGAAAGCGACCTACTAAAACGCCATACGGAAAGCCACACTAGTACGAAAAACCCAAGAAGACAGCAGCTGTCACAGACGCAGAGAGTTGCACAAGCTTGCTCAGCATGTGCTTCAGCGAAACTGAGGTGTGGCAATGATAAACCCTGTCGCCGATGTCAGCAGAAGGGAATTCCTTGTACCGCTCCATCGTCTCATGGGAAAGGCGGGAATGCTGCCCGAAGGACGCAATTTACGCAATTTGCAGAAAACATGGAGCCGGACATGCTGCAGAATCTCGATATTCAAATGATATCCGGTCAGAACGGAGCAGAGCAATACACAGAGTCACAACAGCAGAATTTTTCCATGGTTTCTAGGACCACCGATTTCTCTTCAACACCAAGTTCCCTAACTGAGTCAGCTGAAGATCTATCTCACTCGAATTTTGCCATGTCAAATGAAACTCCCATGTTAGACATCGACGACTCGTCCCTGGCAGAGTTTCTCCAGGATATCATGACGAGAGGATCACCGAATTATTTGAAAGATAATCCTTCAGTGGACCTTGTCCCCCAAGATAGCTCATGGGATGTGCTCAATTTTGGCATCGACTCCAGTCTGGACTTCAACGATATGGATCTCGGTTGGATGACCTCACACAATCAAACATCAATGTTCAATTACAACATGTTCACTGATTACAACGACCAGCCGCTCGACCATGGCCAGCAGACACCAGATGTACAACCTAGCATCAGCCTGGGTACTGAGGCATTCCGAAAGTCCTTGTGGAATTGGCTACCCGGACAGCTCGAGCATGCGTTTATGGAAGTTTCAAATCTGTCCCTGTCTCACAAAGATATGGAAGGTCTAGAGAGCCGCGGCTCCCCGGATATAATCGACCATCAACTAGAACAATCCGCCCGGGATGACATCCTAGCCATGGTGCTAAACATGAACAGCCAACAAAGTGGGATTTCTCGAGTGATCACATCTTTCCCCTCAACTCAGTTGCTAAATAAACTCATGCATCTCTTTTTGAGGTCGGAGGTAGCGAAAACGGATTCCTGGATCCATCTACCCACATTTCGCCCGCGGGTACAGAGGCCAGAGTTCAACGGGATTGTCATCGCATCTGGGGCCATCCTGTCCCCGGTGCCAACAGGTATGACCATCTTCTCTTGTCCCTTATTTACCAAGCTAACTTTTCCAGTGAGGAAACTCGGCTTTGCGATACAAGAAACAGTCCGATTAGCATTGCCTGCTATTGTAAGCTTCTAAAGCACCATACAAGGGATCAAAACTCACGTATGCAAAGATTGAGAAGGATAACAGCAGATCCCGAGAGCTACAGCTTCTCCAAACCTACGCTTTGGAGTTACATATTGGGCTTTGGAGCGGTAACAAGAGGAAGATGGAGATTGCGGAAGCACATGCACAGCCTTTAATCACTGTAAGTCACATCTGGCCATAACTTGAAGTTGATCTGACGCTCCTAGATGTTGAGGCGGGCTGGCCATTATCGGCGAACTAAACCCCAACCTGCCGCTCCAGAAGCAGGAGATGATAATACAACACTTGAAGGCAAATGGCGAGCTTGGGTGGAGTTCGAATCTTTCAAAAGGTTGTTCACCATCGCCCCAATCCCAGGGACTTTTGCTAACTTACGCTTAACAGACTAGCTTTCCACACCTTACTCCATGACGCACAAACTTCCATATCACTCTTGGTCCGGCCCCTCATCTCATACACCGAAGTCTCGCTCGAACTGCCCTGCGCCCCATCGCTCTGGCGTGCCAAAACAGCTCAAGCTTGGCGGACAGCTTATTTGCAAACCCCTGATCACTCCAACCGCCTCCCTTCCCTAATGAACTGTATTCACGATATCCATCCCCTCACAAAGCACCAAAATGTAATCGACGTCCAATACAGTAGCTCTATAATTCTGCACGCAATCTGGTCTCTCATTGCCGAATATCGGAGCCTAGAATTTGTGCTGAAATTGCAAACACAAGAACGACACTGGAATGGAGGCCTGATCTCCTCAAGCTGGCACCAAGAACTAAGTCAGCTGCTCGAGCACTTCAACATCACAGTAAACGAATGCTCAGGCGGCATCCGCCTCGAACAAACAATGATCAAGGAGCTGTTCATGATGAATTTGCACGTCTCATTTGAAGAATTGCAGCTTTTCGCTGGAAAAGAAGGGAACGAGGAAGCGCAAAGGGTATACCCACTCCTCAAAACATGGTTCGAGAACAGGAAGTCGAGACAAGCGGTTTGGCATGCTGGGCAGGTGATCCGAGCCGCCTTGGCCTTCCCTCTTAATCAGTTGAGAGATTTCTATGCCGTGGCACTGTATCATGCCAGCCTGGCAGTCTGGGTCTATGGTATGGTGTCATTGGGTTCTTCAAGGTCGCGAACAAAGAAAAATGAGAGTGTCAATATGAATGGGGGTGCGGAAAATGAGATTGTCTACTTAGATGGCGAAGATGCCGCGGAAGCCCGACGCTTTATCGCCATCTCGCGGGGTGTGCCAGCTATACACGAACTGCCTTCTCAGTCAGATATGACACAAGAAGACGGACTGGGATTTGCAAGGCTGGATAATCCGAAAGCTGTGATGGAGGTTGTGATTGGGATCTTGACCAGGAATTGCACAGCTGGTAATAATGGGTTGGCACCACTGATTGAGAACTTGGCACAGTTGGTGAGGGACTTGGGGAATGCAGCACGGACTATCCGGTAAAATTACTGGAAAGAGAGATAGATTTTATGTTGAACAGAAGTCTTGGGCTTTTGACCCAGTCGAAGTTATCACATCACAGCAGCTCTCAAAGTCTGCCTTAGCCTTTCTTGAGTATCGACCTTCAGCCGCTCCTCAATAGCCGTGCCATAAACCCCTTTTTCTTCTTCTTGTCCTTCTTCCCTGCCTCGTCGACCTTCTGTAGGTCCTCCTCGTCCGAAAGCCCACTCAGCTTATCGCACTTCTTGCACCTCGGGTGTTGGCACTGGACTTTCTTGATGAAGAGGGTGATGTAGCCTCCGCAGCCGGGGAGTTGGATCCAGTTTCCTTTGTGCCCGCACTACAGAAAACAAAGTTAGTTGGTTGATTGAAAAAGGCCGGGGAGGGCAGGGCAGGGGAGGGGGGAGGACTTACTTTGCAGCATTGCCACGTTGTGGTGTCCATGCTTTTGTTGTGTGTGGTTATTGTGTCTAATTGAAGTTGTGTAATGTAAGCGTCTTGGTTTTGGTTTTGTTTTTCTTTGAGTACTGGTATTTCGATGACCTTTCGTTGAGATCTCGAATGCCAACGCTCAGAGGAGGCTTCGGCCAGCAAGAAATAAGAAAGCTGGAGAGGGTGTTCACAGAAGCCAAGCAAATCATCAAAGAGTTCTTTGATGAAATTTACAACTGCGTAAAGGTGAATAATGAAAATTCGGTGATATTCAAGGTTTATATTTGTGTCTATTTCTTTGTTTCCTTTATTCCCACTTGTGAGTTCAAAAGGCAACGGCCTTCCCATGTCACTTTAGCTTTCGCTTGACAAGAAATTATTCAAAGTTAAACATAAGGTACACTATCAAAGAGATCTTGAAGGAGTCGTGCCTAAGCCTACCAAGCCTCTAGTAACGAAGTCAAACAGCGAGTATCCCTACGCTTAACCTGGGTCTGCTGCGTTTCATGGAAGCGAGAAGCGAGAACTACCCATGAAGGAGTTGATATCACGTGAACGAAGTTGGCACCTCACTCCCCGGGAAGTCGTGCTAGCTGGCATGTTAATAGACAAAGAGATATTTTCTCGAAAAATAATCATAGATCTAGGCTTGGGATCGGGAACCATTGAATAACATCCGCCGAAAACAGTTTGAAATAATTCATCGATGCGTTCTTTTGTAAACAACTCCGAGCCATAGACTTCCTTTTCCCTTCCTTGAAGCCGAAGGATTAACTGACGAGACGTCTAGCAACCAAGAAGAACTATTCTTGCAAATGCCTACAGTAGGCAATAATTGAATGACACTCGACAATTGAAGGAATACCGAGCTTCTCTGCTTCAAGAGTGGGCAATTCGTTCCGAAATGGAAAGAGGGGTAAAGCCCCACAAATCCCCCCTGTTCAACCACCCTGTTTTTCGTGGGGCCTCGAGGGGTGGACAGCGCAACATGTTTTATTAGACGGACTTTTTCAGATACACAACTTTCGATCTGTTATCCAGATCTCTTTCAATTCCGAATATACCTCCGCCCTGCTTATTATTGACAGTCCATGAAAGTAAAAATGCCAACACCACAACTCAAAGGTCCGGGCCTGCTCCTCGTCAACTCCAAGATTACCCGTCCCGACATCCTAGACGAAGAGATGTTCATAAACTGGTATAGCGCGGACCATATTCCAGAAATTCTCAACACGTCGGGCGTCGATTCAGCACTTCGTTTTAAGAATGCAGACGCAAAAGCTGAAAGACCATACATGGTCGTGTACCCTATGGGCAACATTGGCTTTACTCAGTCAGAAGAGTACAAGACGAAGATTAATATTTACAGTGATTTACTGCCAAGGGGAGGTCCGATTTACGATTTAGTAGATATGGATGTGAGGGTCTATTCATTTGTTGACAAATATGAGCCGAATGGTCCTGTAGAACCAGGTAAATAAGCGATCGAGAACTGATCGGGAAGAGGCTCAGTGTAGCAGGTCAAACCAAGTTGGTCGTCCATGGCGGATTTGACCTCGGGGATAAAATCACCGAGCAGGATTTTCATGACTGGTACAATAAAGAAGTAAGTGAATCAAGGGTATCTGCGAATCAACGACACTAATCTCAACTTACAGCATTTTGAAAACCTGGCTAAAGTTCCTGGATACCTACGCTCAACTCGGTACCAGCTGCTGGGACATCGATCAAACGGCCAGATGAGGGCAGCCGGGGGCCTTCCCCCTCGGGAAGAAGACGTTGACACTCCGACGCCGGCGAAGTTTCTGGCTTTGCATGAGTTTACTGTTGATGAGGCAGATATGAAGGCGTTTATTTCAACGATTGACACGGATTGGTCGAGGAGGATTTTAGGAGGTGCGGCTAGGGTTGAAAATCCCGCTTACTATCGTTTCATGCAGGGTTGTGGTGACGGTAGGCTCTTCCAATAGAACTTGCTGTTAAGTTGTCATTCTCCCGAGTGTGAATGAATAGTTGTTCTCACTGCGAGCAAGGCAGGGTATTGCTTACTACACCTTTTAAATATGACTCTTATTTGCCAAACACTTGCCTCGAGTGCCGTCGTGCAAATCACTCAATAATGCCGAATAATAAAAACTTACCAAATTCATATTTATAATTTTGTTCTCCAACTCGCACAGTCCCCTTACACTACACAACCCAAGAATTCTTCCCCAGCCATCGTACAACGGGACTCTAGCTACACTGGAAGCGCTCCGACGGTAAAGCTAGGGAATGCGAGTTCAGTTACCGTTCTCAGCAGTGCTTTTCTTCTGCTCGACAGGTGGAAATGCCGTCGGGCTCTAGTGGGAACCACCAGGGAGAATCACCAATACTGTTGATTGAAATAAGGCATAGATATTGCCCTTTACTTGCATTCCATAGTTTGAAAGTACTCTCGCTGTCCCCTCTACGCCTTACTAGCAATCAAGTACAATTTGTTTGGCCCGGGGTGGAGCCAGAGGATCAAACCGCGGTCCTCCAGAATGTCATCAACGGCCAGGGGGACAACTGGTCATTCTGCCCGGAGTACTGCTCCAGTACGCTGCCTCCATCACGATACAAAAGCAGCTGCTGATGAATAAAAGCCCAAATGAGTTTCTTCAAGGGGGATTTCCAGGTATGAACATTTTCGAAACATCGAGGAACTAGGTAGGATCACTTGACAGTCTACCCCGGAGACCTAATCACCAGTACTTTCACGCTAAATGCTTCTTCCGGGGTATGGCTAAATGGTGCATTAATCGCTCGTGGCACTGAGGGAATCGCAGCCGCAGAAACACCCTTCCAAGCTTCTTTCCACTTCGACCCTCGGAAATACCGTGAGAAACACCCTCTATTTTGAAAAATTTTAAGGCCGACATGTAATTGAAAATAGTCGCATCAAACCATTACCAAACGGTACACACATATCAACAATTGACTTGAATTGGTGCTGATAATACCCAGGCGTACCTCGTCATCGAGCTTCAGCATTGAGCACAATGGGACTGGGGGAAAGTTATCTTTCATGATATTCCATCGAGACAGAAACCGCAAACTCTACTTGGTGCTCGGCGTAAGTTAGATTCCCTCGTGAAAGATACTCTTGTTTACCGGGGCTAAGCCTGATAAAGATCCGCACAATGGCACATGGACTATGTCGACACCAGTTGCATTTCCGAAAACTGGGGCGACCACTTGCTACATTTCCAGTGTTGAAATGAAAGGTCGGCGAACGGGGCCTGCGGTCATGAAGAGATGCGTATCAAGTAAAGTAAGAAGTCTTCTGCATGATATCATTCCAAAATGTAAGTCCATATCCATCATCTCTGGCCTCCCGGTGATTCCGCCATTGGTATCGCAGGGCCTCCATCGTGAAGCCCATATAGTTTCTGTGTTTGCGGTGCGAATAATTTAGCCGGGCTACAATTACTATGAGGAATCGCTTCTAGTACGGTACTTGTGTGTATTGGGTTTTCAGAGGCGATTTTGTATACTTTCAAATTGCTCCTTCAATAATCTCGTGTTTCTGTGCAGCCTCATTAACAAGAATCCAATCCCCGCAATTACTGCAACACCCACCATGACAACGATAGCAGTTCCCGCTTTAGTACCTGTGCTCAAGCCTCTATTTCTATTTGTATTCGATGCTTTAGTCGAGGTGGATGAGTTTGACGGTGGTAGTTGCAGAGGCCTTTGCCGGGAGGAGCTCGAGGAGCTTGAGGTCGAAAGAGCGCTCGTAATTAATTCTCCCGGCCATGCAGCTCCGCCAATTGTGGTCATGTTTATGTAGCCTCCCGGGAAGAACTGAACAGTGCTATTTGCACAGCAAGCCGAGCCCAAGCTGAATCCAGGAGCCGAACAGCAGTAGTATCCATTTCCACAATTATACACCCGGTTAGGGAGTTTTTTTTTTGCGACTGCACTTGTGTCACGAAATTTCCAACTCCGATCTCCCTAAATCCTCTTTCAATTGTGGGGGGACACCGAATTCAACATACCAGATCTGCAGAATGTAGGGCAACCAGCTGGGTTCCACCCGCACTTGATGACACATCATTCGTTCTCATAATGTACGATAACACCACTCTAGATTGCACCAATAGTTCCCTGAAGATGCTCTTCCTTAAATTCATACCAGGCGTCCCACGACTGTTCTGTTGGGGCTCCGAACGGGCTCGCTTAAAATTCAGGGGCAGCTTCGCTAAACAATAATTTAGCGAGCCCCTCTGCATCAGCGGACTCATCGCAAATGGACAAGCTTAGGTTGTTCTGGAATAGTTCTGATCTCAGCTTCCAGGGAGGTATAGGTTCCAGTTTTTTTGATCGACACGATTACCAAGGTGGATCAAGCCCTCCGAAAGCCCCAGACTTTGATCTTTGGATCGTTTCGCCCTAAAATTGTGACCTGCGCCGTCGCCCTCAACACGAGAGACGTGGATATGGAATGCATTGACTGGAACGTGGGGGACTGTGAATGAAAATTGGTTTCGGCTGGGTAATCTTATCGGTCTCTAATGACTCCTCTAAATGAGGACGCCATCGCGAGCAGAATGTTTTCTCTCTGGCCACATATCGACAGAGGGTCACTTAATTCATCATCTTTCAGGGAGACATACCAAGATAACGGCGCCATCGACCTTGATCCCCGGTTTGGAAACTTGGGAAGAGCGGGCAACGTCACACTTTCAACACGGATCACGGTGGCATTGAACACTTTCTGGATGATTTCACGAGAAGCACGAGTGTCCGACCACTTTAAGCATGTCAATTGTGAGGCCGGGCTCATTCGAACCACAACTTCTATACCACTTGCCGTCAACCTGGTTGCAATCATCATTTGTAATTGGGCCTGGGCCGCAGCTCTGACGCTTACATCTCTCATCCTACTTTGCTACTAAGTCATGAATATCTGGTTCCATTATCACATCAGCACGCCCGATGTGCTGGGCTATGTCTCGTCCATGGCGATCGAGAATCATCATGTTCCCATTCCCGGCGGACATCCTGGAGTGAAAAGTAACCTGGATAGGCTTGAAATGGCGGAGTACTTAGAAGATATGAGGGTGAGGATTGGCGATGTACGGAGTGGTGAGAAGGTTTGGAAGACTGCGTTTGCTGCTGAAGGGAATGGCGTTGTTCTGCATGAAAAGGGGAGAATGGTAACTTGAGCTAGGTTATGCATTCAATAATAGATTTGCAATAGAGCCTTGAGGCCGAAAGACGAGAGTCTCAGCAACAAGACACTGATAGCATCACTCTCTTCCTCGCTTCCTGTCTGTCACTTTCTGACCCTCAAACTCGGCCCCCAAAATTTCAATATCGCCGCACCAACCTGGAAAGATAACACGACGGTGAAAAAGTACTGAAGTTTATATATAAAGCTTTTCTTGACAGCCATCGCACTTCGAAGTACCTTGGAAATATTGTTGATTAGGAAAAGAAACCCCGAAAGCCTCCTTCATCGCCTGATCATAACAAAACCAGTGTTGGGCATTAGGTAAGGTAATTTAAGTTCAACCTAGGTTATAACTATATAGGTAACTTACCTACAGGTCTTATATAGGTAAGGTTACCTACCTATATAGGTCGTAGGTTAGTATAGATTTAACCTATAATTTTCACGTAAATATAGTCAAATTAGCTATCCTGTTAATTCCATAATATAATACTTAATTATACTTTGTATTTCAGGAAAAAATAGTATTCTAATAATTTAATTATACTTCATATAAGTTAGGTTAAACCCTAGTGGCATAAGTAAACCCCAAATAGTCTTCCCAACTCCTTGAATCTTTATTATACTTATCTTCTCTACTGTTCTACCCACATAAGCTCTTACTAAATTAAAATTACGCCTTGACTACTAATTATAACTTCGTTATCTTCTCCATTATCCTCCTTTACCAAATTATCAAACCGTCATCTTTAGGGGTGATGCCCTAGCGTCTCAGGCGAATTCCCGAGTAATTCGTACGCTTGATTAATTAAACCAGATTTAGAGCTCTCGTGGGGATCAGGGAAAAAGATTCTATCGCTTGGGAAGCTCGACATCTTCATTTGTCAGCTGAAAAAAGGGGGTGCCTTTCAGGGGCTTGGTACAGCTTGATTAGCGCTATTTTTGTACGGTAAAAGCAACAAAAAGCACTCAAGTATATGGTATTAATTGAGGAGAAGCTGGATATTATTAAAGGTATTTTAAGAGATTTTCTTTTTAATTCTTTGTGGGCACCGATTCCGATGCCGGAAATAGTACCAAGATCACGTGAAAACCTGTAGGTTAAACCTACGGAACCTATAAACCTATAGGTAACCTACCTATAAAATCAATTTAGGTTAGGTTACCTACCTACAGAGGTTATAGGTAGCGTAGGTTGAACCTATTGCCCAACACTGAACAAAACCCAAGGCTTGCGGGCTTCGAAACTTTCAAGCCGTTATCAAGCTCGAGGTGAGCTGTATTCCCTTCTTAAAGAAGAGAGTTAGTGCCTTGGTAGGTTGAGGCTTTGACTTAGTGATGGAGGGTTGTGCTCACCTAAATTAATTATTCTCACCAGCATGAGCCAAATCCCCGAGAACCCAAGCCGAACCCTCTGTCAATCTCTCTCTTGGTGTGTTCAGTGAATCGAAAACCATGTCAGCTCGTCCAGATTCTCGGGAAATGCTTCGCCATTCATGATTCCATGGACGTAACATGGTCCAACGAGGCGGTAGTGGTCTCCAATCGGTCGAAGAACGAAGGGGACGCGCCCTCCTGCTAGGACGGCAATGCAATCCCCTACTTTGGCGGTAAATGGTACTGCTGCTAAATAGCCTTTCGCGGTGGTACACAAAGGAGTTGTTGAGTTGATGTCTAGGTCGAATAAATTCTGCTTGATACGCAGCTGTTCTACGTATTCCTCGTGTGTGCTTGTCGTTGTTAGCACACTATGCCATTCTCTGAAATTGTTCTCCATTTCCTTTAACGATAGACTGAACTGCCCATGGGTACTTCCGCTTATCCGATCCCAGCAGAGTGTTCTCGTTATAACTTCTCCCACTGGCTCCCCTGTGGGATACTTTGTTAATGAGAAGCCGACATTGCAAGACATGCGCCAGCTTTCTATTGTTTGTTCGTCCAAAAAATGTCTGGTGTATGCTTTCGGATCAGCAAGTGGCAATACTTTGACTTTGTCGAACTTTTGCCCCCTGATCCTCAAATTCTGGTCATCCGTGGAGATCGAAAATATTGCCTCGGAGTTTCTGCTCGCTTTCATTGATCTGTGACTCGTATACAATACTGCAGGGACATCAGACCAATACGGGACCCAGGAAGGACGATCAAAGTTTGGTGTAGTGCTAGTTGCATGCTGCAAGATGTCTAGTGACTTCGTCAGGTTCAAATGGCGCTTGGCCACATCTGTGAAGACCTGTGCGGTTGACTTGTTGTAATCTGGAAGTGGTAGGAAGGACTTGAAATTATCCGATAAGCCAAGTATACCGAATATGATATCGCGCGGATCTGAAGCAATGAGCTCTCGAGCCCATCGAAGAACCGCCAATGGCTTCGATTGTTCGACATGGGCATTGGCTACTGCCTGAAGATGTCTTAAGGCCCCGGAGAGTAAATTCCAGGTCAGAAGCTCTTTTCGAGTGCGACCTTGACAAAGGATATCCTGCCAGTCGAAGAAGTCGTCGTATTTCGCAGCCCGATTTGAACAGATCAGAGTTGCTGACCTAGCTAGGGCGACCTCTTGAACGACCCAAACACGAGACCACCACCGGCGTTGTATGATATCGTTGAAGCCACGACAGAGGTCAGTTAAGACGCCGCTAAAACATAACTCATACATCTGCGATTGGATCTCCTGATAGAGAGGTGACGACGACTGGGGATCTTGTCCTGAGCTCTCGATTCGTTTCATTTCTGTAACCATTCGATGCAAGTAGTCTAAGAAGAGATCTGATACTGGGATAGAGCCTCGGTTCAAAGATGGCCGGCCGTTCACACTGGTGGGGTTCCCATTATTTTGTTCTTGTTCGACCACAGTTTCCAAGATAAGGAGAGGGGTAGTGTCTTGTCCTTCGGCGGCAAGGGATTGAGCTACGGGATCCGGAGTTGTCGTTTCCTTGGACGATTCCCCCAACCAAACCAAGACTTCGGTAGCCTTGGAATACACATTCCGCATCATGCCAACCTGATGGCCTCTCTCATTATTATCTTTCTGATTAATGCAAATAGCGTCAACCCACAACACCCGGTTCGAATTTTCTTTGCGAAGATATCGAAGCGCAAGTTCACAGTTTTTGGTCACCCAGATTCTAGTGCCGTCACATCTGATCTGGCTAGATCGCTTGCGGTCGCCATCTTCCGTGGCCCAAGTATATGACAAGGCTTCGTAGTCATGCTCCTCTTGAGATCTGACTTCAGCGAGCGATATTTGGATTGGAGATGCGAAGTCTCCGGGATGCAAGGTCAGAAGCCTGATAGAGTCTGAATGCGGTAATGGCGTGTAGCTGTACGTGCATTGTGACTGCGGCTTCCTCGCCCTCGCTGCCCGAGTCCAACAGGACCTCGCGCTGGGACGGCGTTTCTCTGATTACTTGTCAGTATATTCTCGAGTGAGTGGATGAGGGCAGCGAGGTGACTGACTTCGTAAGCCAGCCTTGGACTCGGGAAACTTCTTGAGAGAGGAAGGCTGAGCAGGCTTTGCAGTCCTTCTGGCCATTTCTTGTGAGAATGCGCGATGCTGCGGCTTGCGAGAACCTCAGAACTGATAAGCACGAAGCAATAGTTGTTTGCGAAAGGAAGCAGAACAGACAGGAGGTCGTGAGATGAGAAATCAATGATGGAAGGTTGATCAGGCTGCGAGGGTGGATTTTTAGGCTTTCCCAGCTGAGTGTCCGACAGGACATACATGATTGGATGGCGAACTTGAGACTTGTACCGCCCGGTGCAGAGCTTTCCCCACCTACTGTTCAAGTATGCAAGAACCCAGCAAATAATTTCATATAGGCATTAGACGATCCGTTGAAGACGCGAGCGTGAGAAGAAGGATTGTGAGAACGGGGGAGAGAATACATCACGTGACTTGTGAGCATTCCTTGAGACCTTGAACACATCAAGATTGGGAGAACTTAGGTCCCCACCAATGATATTGCCGGAGTATAAGTGGAGAGCGACTTCGATCTCCTGATATCTGATGACCTTGGCAACTCTTATCTGGTTAAGGTAAGAATCCATTCTCTTTGCAGGCTCAGGCAAGACATCGAGTTGACGCGGAGTGTGGATTTTAGTGGTTTGCCTTGTAGGACGACTCCCTGTTTCACTATCTCTTTGACTCCCAGTATAGTGCAGTAACGATAAGGCCGATACATAGTCCATGTTTCCCAACTTGTGAAACCCCTCGATAAGACCCCGACCCCTGGCCTTTTCAGTTCTTTCTCGGCAAACCCCCACCCATTCCTCGAGGTCTCTCATTCATAAATCTCCTCAATGCAGCATCTGCCTCCCCTCTCGTTATATATACTTGTGACAAGTCCCAAATGTGATAAAGGCCGTACCTTGCGACATTGTTAAGTGTCTTCCGCGGCGACATATTATTTGTAGCGTTCGTTTGGGGAGGTTCATCGTTTGGGAATTTTGGCACCTTCATGACTTGAAGGATCTCGTCGCCCAAGTAGAAATATTCCTTCGTGTCGTTGGTAGTGATCCACAAAGCTGTGTCCGTGCTTTTCGGCTTCCCGTCATTCAGCTTCCGCCACTGATGAAATTTGTTGGGCGCAGCAGAGATAGCAGGCGGATACCAGTCGATCTCCATCTCCGAGAAACTTGATGTTGCCAGAGCGTATGTGAGGGCAGCTGTAAAGGTTGGGGATGGATCTGTGATACCATCGGTGAGCCAATTCAGGTACCACATCGGGGCATCGCATAGCCTTCTGCCTTTAAACTTGCCAAAGGGCAGGGTGAAGTCTGCGAGAGGGGGTTGGATTTGGAGTTGCGGGGTACCAGGCTCGGGAGGATAGTCGCCCATGACGGTGTCGCCTTCGTAATCCGTTCCCGCCATACTGGAGGATGAATATGCAAGGCGCGGAGGTCTTGTGGTTGTCGTCTGGAGTTCAACTAGAGCCGGTCGGAGTTCTGGGTTTGTTGAAGGTATGGCGTTGTGATGGGGCTACCGATACGTATAGGCGGAACAGCTCTGAGAAGCTGTCCCTTGGGCTTCGCAAAGTTAGTGCGGAGTGGTTTTGCTTGCGTAAGAACTGGATATATCGTGGAATGAAAAGACGTTTGATGGAAGAGGTTGGACGCGTCGCGTCGATGATAAAGGTGTGCAGTGCGATCGCGGAGTTGGAGCAAGGCTGAGCAAGCCACATCTTCTTTCGTAACCCCTGTAAGGAACGGGAGCGCTTTTGGGATCCTTCCGATTGGATCGGTGCAGTTTCCTCTGAGCCTCCACGAGATCTAATACGCCTGAGCAGGCTTTGCACCCTCTGGCCATTTTTGGAGCAGCAGTTCAATAAGTTGTCCCCAGACCAGGCCACCAAAAGCGCAGGGGTAGGTGAGCAAAAGAGGAAGCAAAATGCAGGAAAACTTGACAGGCATGCGCGAGAAAGTCAAATTCGAGAAGGTTGGGCAGGCAGACATCGCATATTCTGCTGGATTTGTGATTCTCCGGGCCGCCTGAGTGGCAGACTATCCCGCAGCCAACGCCCAATTAGGGGAGTATCTGAGGCTCGAGGCTTGAACTATCGAGTTCCTCGGCCAGCCATCTTCACAAGAAGCGCGTACAGACGTGCAGGAGGTTTTTTGACATCTGCAAGAATTGATGAAAAGTTGGGAAAGGGGAGGGCGGGGACGAGTCATTGAATTCGTGTCACGTGAACACAGCCACTTCATTCGGGTCTAAACCGCATTGGAAGGGTGTTCCACACCCCCTGCGGAAGACACATCAGCAACACCTTCCCTGAGCTTCCTCAACGACAACTCAGCCTTCCCCTCTCCCCTCCGCTCTTCGTGTTTGCAGCTTTGCAACAACTTCTGCACAAATCAAACGACCACGATCTTTGATCTACGACTGCAGCTACTATTGACGCCGCATCCCAGCGCAGATCTCCATTTGCCGGCCTCCTCCTGAAGCCCCAATCCTAAATCTGATATGTTCCTGCTCTTCCTAACGGCACCACCCATACGTAGTGCCTTGCTAGTCTATGTCCTACACGTCTCGGTAGACACTCCGTTCCTCCACCTTTTCCCCATATGAAATTTAATCAGGTTAGACCTTCGGGTCACTAATCACCCCGCGTAGAAGGAGGGAGGACAGGAGATCAAAGATAAGGCCATTGATTGATGGCGAGGTTATGATGCCCAGTACTGTGCGGGCATGTGCGTACCATACGGATGATCGTCGGCTTGGTTCTGATGAAGCTCTTGGGTTTCCGCTTTGGGCTGAGGGTTTTCGAATTTGGAAACCTTCATCGTAGTATCGGGTGTTGATTCCTTATTCCCATACTTTGGATATGGCATCGGCGATCTGCTTCATGCAGTAGCCACCTTGATGCCGCAATGTCAGTCGCCTAGCTTGCATGGATGCAATATGGGCAACTCAGAACGTTCTAATGTGGCAGAAGGACAAGGAACAGAAGTCCTCTGGCGAGCAGCTGGAGGGTTCAAACGAATCGACCTCCTCGGATGCCTGGCAGAGTATCTTCCCCAGATACCTGAATGCGTTTGGGGCGCCTCTGTGCATCGCAGTATGTGCTTACCTGCCTTTTCCATCCTCTCTCGATGGGTATGCCAAGCGGTTCAACATGTGCCGGCTAACTGCTAGCTCACTGCCGTTCTCCTTCCACCTCGGGGTCTAGTCCTTATCAGTTTTCTCTGCCACGTCTCATTCGTCAGCCCTGCCTGTCCCTTCACGTTACTGCCATGGATCAGCGACCACCTTGTAGTGGAGGTAATGTTCTCACTCGGTTCTGTTTATCACGTCCTTGTTTGGGAGCAGCTTTATTGAGCTGCAAAGTTGGCAGTCTTCTGTTAACTGGATCTGGTCGCTGACTCGAGCTGCCTTATCTTTCAATCCCAAACACTTCGAGACAAATGACGACGGTGAGGGCTAGTTGCTGGCTATCACTGCTGCTTTCTATGTGATCGAGATGGATACCTCCTTTGCGTGGAGTGTTTTGGGTATAAAGAAGTGATCTCGTCGCTCCTGAAATCTCTCTCATCAATTTATTCCCATCTTCAAGAACCATCATCACAAATACAAAACTTATTTCCATTCACCAAACCATCAAAATTCAATTCCCTGACACTATCAATACGTCTGTCTTCGGAATAGCATCACCTATTCCAACCTCGATCGATGACTTCAGCACGGTCTACGCTGCTAGTGGCCAGGCTGCTGATTGCTGTACAATTTCTTTGGAGAGTTTTCTCTATAGGACAATATCTCTTTAAATCTTGCTAATGATACGCTCCTTTGCACTTCTCCATAGACTCGCATTTCAGCATACGAAGTCGAAGCGACAGCACAGGGAAACCGGTTGGGGAAGTGAAATTCAACCTGTAGCTGATACGCCTTAAGGCGATGCTGAGTCAAAAAGAACGCGCTTATAATATTCTTGTAACTATTTCAATGCTCAAAACCTCTTCATTCCTTTCGTACGCTTGTTCCATCTCGCTTGGTGAAGCCGCATGTATCCGTGTCCGAGTCGACCGAAGGCATCCAATCGCTCGGACCGCTTGCCGAGCACCCCGGCGAGTCAGGGGTGTCATACGACGAGGGAATTTCGGTTCGAATGCAACATTTTAAATTTTATTTAGAGCTTGAATTTTCATGGTTTTTCATGTGAAAGTTGAGGAAAGGTGGTCCTTTCTAATTGGGTAGGTTTGAAGTGGGTTTTTGCTAGTGACGAGGCCTAGTGGCTCAGCTCAGCTTGCGTTCTGATCTGCTGGAAAGGGGCATTAAGCGAGAGGTGGGGTACTAGTTGAGAAAATGAGATGTGGATTGGATCTTCGAATGGGATATGGGAGGGTGAACTACTTTCTACCTTCCCCTGACATCATTTTGTCTGTTGTGGTTCGGCAGGAGATAGAGGTCTTTGTGAGGGATGTAAGGGGGTAAGTCGAGGTCATGTGATGTTTGTTCAGTTAGGTATGGAAGGGAGAGTCTTGAAATAGAAGAGAACGAGGAGAAAGCTGGGGCTGATTGTTACTTGGGGTGGGGCGGGGTATCTGGAGATGGATGAGATTATACTTTTAGGAGATACCTGGCGTGTCAAGTCATCAGCTTGCATAGAGTCGCTCGCTTCAACAGACTGAGTCCAATCAACAAATCAATAGAGTTTCAATCAGTACGTACTTGAATGCAGAACTGCTCCGCAAAATAGCAGACCTAAGATGGTTGTCTAGAACTGGGCTATTTTTAGGGTATGAAGCCCCCCATATCTCGAAAATCCTGGAAAAAGTCTTGTCCTTGCTTGAAACGAAACTCTATCAGGCGGCCGTATCAAGGACTAGAATTCGGAACACTTCGTTGGGTTGAAAATACGAACTTCTAAAGCAGACGGAACTCTCCCATCCTTGAGACATTTTTATTTAATCGTTGTGTATTTCACTAATATCAACAGAAATTATGAGGCTCCCCCAGGGATGATCATCACTGGTCTCACTCGGTTGTCCCTGGTGTTACGTAGCCATATTAGAGCACAATCTGACCAAACAATGAAACCCCAACGCCAAATATAAGTCTGCACCTCCCCAGAGGCGCCCTATGGATGAAAAACATTTGTAAATAAAGCGAGAACATAGAAATTCTCGCATGTTGTAGAATCCCCCTTCCTACTGCCTCGTCCAGAATGACGTCCCAAACTAGGACTAGGGTGGCTCAAAACTCGCGTGCGTGCGTGCTGCAGTGAAAACGCTGCAACTCCAAATCATCAGGATAGCGAGAGCATGAGGTGAAATCGCAAATCAATCACCACGCCGCAACCCCACGCAAATCCATCGATCTGAGCACGGAGCCCATCTCCAGAGACCCCATTAAGACTGGCACCACATCCGTTTTCTCGAGAAACGGATGTCGCGATCGTACTATTATGAGTGAGGTTGGGGTTGCCGACCGCTCACGGCTTTTGCGATCAAAACGAGCCGAACTCAGGTACATCAATTATTCCCTTGGATGCATTCGAGAGCGCGCGAAGAGGCGCATCGATGCATGTAGGTATCATGGTGCTGATAATTGGCAGTGGAATTGTTACATCGCGCAAGAGGAAGCTTCGCGAGTTCTTTGCTGTTTGCGACAATGACGGGCCCATTCCCCAGATCAATCTCTCGAACGTTGACGCGCCGCCCACCAACGCTGCGGAGGCGCACTTCCTTGAAGTCACAGACATCCTACAGTATGCTGCCCTCTCGATCCGTGGTGGTTTGAAGTCCCAGCGATTTTTTGTTGGGTTGCTAGGTTCCAGATTGCTGATTCTACATCTACAGAGATCGACTCTTCGATGAATCAAACCTTCCAACGCGTCGACAATTAAGGTCGGATACATTGAAACAGCGATCTCCTATCCGGAAAGCAAGCCCTGATGCCCGCCCTGCTGATGCGTCGCGAAAGGCGGCCAAGGTACAGCGTGATGGGTCGAGATCGAGGAAGAGTCGAGCGACCACACCCAGTGCACGGAGCGATGGAGGGAAATCTACGACCGCAGAGCAGAATGAGACAGATAGCCAAGCTGTCCAAGCACCACCTATGTCAAGATCAGCCTCGAAGGGCTCGCAGACCGATCTTCCAGCAGAAGCAGCGGCCGTTTTGGACGAGATAGTTGAGGAGACTTTCGAGAATGCGACGCAACGTGACCCCTCGATGCCAGACGAGATTGTACATGCGAAGGACCTGGAAAGTGACAGGATACGGACCGTATTGCAAAGCAGGCCGAACAGTCCTGGGGTGGATCCACGTCAAGCATTACCAATATCTGCTGAGGATGCTGCTAACCTGCCAGAACCCATCGTTGACGGACTGGGCTCGCATGATGGACAACACAAGGCCAGGACTGCGCATCTACCGTCCAAGGAAGTCCAAGAACAACATCTTCGGGAAGCACACGAGGCACGCGAGAAGAGAGAAGACCAAGCACATTTGTCTATCAATCTTCCTCGAGATGGGGCCCGAATTGCCGAAGCTCTATCCTCTCCAGGGTCAACTGTTGATGCCCACTCTGCTACGACACCTGCCATGCACGAGGCCTCGACCGATACCAGTCCTGATAACGAAAGTCGATATGATGCCGAGAGAATGGAAACCCAAGAGGAAGAACCCAAAACACCGCCAGAACTACGACCATCACCGGAGAAGGTTGCTGAGAAGGCGGAACATGATCGGATACTGGAGGCACAAATGGAAATTGCCCGCAATGAAATATTCAAGAGCAGTCCTGGTGCTGTTCATGAGGATCAAGAAATGGAAGAGCAGCCAACCGCTCTTGCCATGGAGGATCAACAAATGGTCGATGATTCACAACCTGAAGCGGATGCTGAAGTGAATGATGAAGCGGATACTGACCAACTCACCAAGGAAGCCAGCGAGATCGTCCACGATACGGCCGAGGACGAAGATGAAGTTGTTGGTGTACCTACCTCTGAGGAGGAGGAAACCCCTGAAGTGGAAGCATTACCCAAGGAGTCAGAAGCCAAAGAGCCAGAAGTGCCAGATTCGGAGGCAGAAGACCAGACTCCCCCAGTTGATGAAATGGAGGTGGATACGACTACGGTGAAGGATTCATTTGAGAGCAGTGCTGGACTCGAGAGTCAACCTGCAACATCTCCACCTGCACCCGAACCAGCTGAACCAGCTGAACCAGCAGTGAGGCCAGAAGTTGAACCAAAGAAAACATCAGTCACTCCTGCAGCATCAACACCTCGAAGGGCACCTTCTACACCTGCCCCGGCTCCTCCAACATTGGAACGGATGACCACGAGAGTTGCTTCTGGTGCGATGAGACACAAGTCTGTATCCGAAATTCTGGGAGAAACACCGAAGCCGAGCACCTCGAGTTCAGAAAAGAGTCCAGCAAAAGAGGATTCACAGACTGGAAACTCTCACTCTCCTTCACGGAGCACAACTCCTCAATCTCCTGGAACCCGAATACGAAGTTTGGCAGAAAAGGAAAAGGCACGAAGTAAGCTTTCAACGGTTATTTTCCCAGGAAAGCCACCAAAGCCTTCTCAAAATGCTGTTGCAGCAAGCGGGCCAAAACCAGCCGAATCATCGAAGCAGGACTACTTTATGCCATTATTCCTCGCTACTGCTTCTGATTCCAAGCGGGGTGTCCCACCATTGGACGCTTTACTGGCGTCTGCTCACAAGACCATCACCACCGCAAATGCCTACGTTCCCATTCACGAGAACCAAACAGCAAAGGTGCTCAAACGAATCTACAATCTTCAATCCTCAAACAAATGGTCATTGAGGCAGCCCAAGCGTGCCCCGGAACCAGTCAGAGCGACCTCACATTGGGACGTCGTTCTTCAAGAAGCCAAATGGATGCGAACAGACTTCCGAGAGGAAAGGAAATGGAAGATGACGGTTGCTAGAAATCTGGCCTATGCTTGTGCCGAATGGGTTGATTCCAGTGTGGAGGACCAGAAGCTATTACAAGTTAAGGTAGCTCCACCGAAACCTGCAGCAGATATCGAGATGGTCGAAGCTTCAATTCAAGACCATCCAACCCCTGACCTGGTTGCTTCTGGAGAATTCGATTCGCCGATGGACGACCTAGATGAGGAACCTCGCCTCAATTTGATGGAGACTGTTTCTCCTACCGCTATCTTTGCTCTTCAAGACGACGATGTTGTCTTTGGGCTGAGACGATCACCTACCACCGACAAATTACTGGACGAGCTACCAATGTACGGTGCTCCCCTTCGAATACCACAGTCAGACCTTCCCACCTCGGATCTCGATCCTGATAGGATGTGGAGACGGGAAGCTTTGCCCCTGAGCAAGTACGTCGAAGGCAGATTGGAACTTAAATATGAGGGTCCACCCAGGAAAAGGAGTCGATTCGAATATGAAGAAGAAGATGAGGATGAAGATCAAATCGTCTTTGGTGAGGAAGGGCGGGGGCCGAAGAAACCGATCCTCCCCCCAGAGAAGACAGACGTTGCATTGTTCAACCCGGAACACAAACACATTCGCGAACGCATCCACAACTCACACCAGTTCCGACCGCCATCCGAGTTCCCCATGCCGCTTCAAAGTTTCTTCGAACATCGCGCTCCTTCGCAATGGACTTGGAGCGAAGACGACGAACTCAAGGCTCATGTTCGGGAGTTCTCCTACAACTGGTCACTCATCTCCAGCATGCTTCAGAGCAAATCTCTCTACACCTCTGGCGCTGAACGTCGAACTCCTTGGGAATGCTTCGAGCGATGGATACATCTTGAGGGCTTACCTGCTGACATGGTCAAGACGCATTACTTCAGAGCTTACACGCAACGCATCGAGACAGCCAACCGCATCGTCATGGCTCAAGCCCAACAGATGCCACAGCAACCCAACGCTAACAGCCAAGTACAGCCACCTCCGAGGAGAAGACCCACTACCAGCGTTCGAGTTGAACGCCGTAGGAACCAGAAACACCTCACCCTTGTTGATGCAATGAGAAAACTGGCCAAGAAGCGTGAGACCAATGCACAGAAGCAACAGCATGCCCAAGGCATGGCTGCAATGCGAAAGGCAAATGAGGTTCCCCAACAAGCTGCGAACCGCAATGGTGGTGGACATACCCCCCAGGACTTCAGTCGCATGAAGGCCGAGCGCGACGAGGTTATGAAGGAGCGCATGGCTGAGCTCCAGCGGCGGCAGGAGGCGAACAGAAGAGTAAACTAACCTTTCTTCTCATTTATATACACAATTTATCTAACATGTCGATTACAGTTACAAAGGAATGCCGCCCAAAACCCACAGCAGGCAGGTCTACCGAATGGCGTGCCTCAACAGCGCGCCGGAGGAGCTCTAGCCCCGAATGGCGCTCCTGTTGCTACCGGTCAAAATCTTACAGTTCCTGGTCAAAACCGACCTCCTCGCCCCATGCCCCCTCAAATGCCTGGTCAACCGATGCAGAATGGCATCCGTGTTCCCCAGATTCCTCTCAATGGCGTTCCTCAAGCACCGATGCAAGGCCAAATGCCTCTGCCGAATCCAGCTCTCGATGTGGGTCTCGTCACTCGCGCTCATCAAATATCACAACATCAACAAGCAATCTTACGACAACAACAAGGTCAAATCCCAGGCCAATCTCCTCAAATGCACAATTCCCCTCCTCGAATGAACGGCATGCCAGCACCAGGCTTCCCATTGCAAAACGGCATGATGCCGCCTTTCAACCCCAACGTCAACGGTGCCTCCTCATCTTCACCTGGCGGTCACGCCCCTTCACCCGGCCAAGCCGGCTCCCCACGAATGGGCCAAAATCAGCTTCAACATCCCAACGGCGTGTCTCACGTCCAAATCCTCGAGCACCAGATCAAGGCCAAATACCCACAAGCTACCCAGGAGCAAGTCATGCGCATGATTTCCGACCAGCTTGCAAAATCCGTTCATCAGCAACAACAGAGACAAGGTATTGCGCAAAGTGCAATGAATGCTGCAGCGGGTGGAGCGGCGATGAATGGGATGGGTCCAGCTGGACAAGGGACACCGCAGCTCTATGCGCAGATGCTGCGACAACAGCAGGAAAATCAACAGAAGCAGCAGCAGGCGGCACAACAGGCTGCTGCGGTGGCCAATTCGGGGAATGGGACGGGCAATGCGGGGCAGGGTCATGCTCATAGAGGGAGCTCGGGCAGCGTGCAGAGTGGGAAGTGAGAAGCCGTTCCTCGGATGAGAACAGCATAAGATATAGGTTTGAGTTGGGATGGAGTTCCTTGTTGTATTCTCTTGGGAGAAGAGCAATTGTTATAGAGTAGATTCGGGTTTGGGTCGCTGTACCGATGGTACAGTGCGGTTACGTTTCAGCGGGTGCATAATTGCTGGATTGGGATGGGAAGGAGGGGAGTCGATGGATTGCGCTTGGAATGCAAGCAATGCACATATATTAATACTGAACGCTCGTCCACTCGTGAGAAAAGAAAAGAAAACCTTCACTCGCTGTCTTGTTTCTCTAGTGAGGTGATGTGTTACCCCTTTTCTTGTCGTGTGAACCTTCATCACGTGCTAAGAATTGACTGCCTCGTATTTTAGGATCCGGATGCAAACAAGCCAAACACCAAAATTTATCGGGAATTTCGAGATGGAATTGAGTGTTGCCTCCTCCCTGACTCTCCCGCCTGATTCCCTCCCTCTCACCCACCCACCCCGACTCCACGACCTCGCGGCCTCCTTTCTACCTCCTAGCATACGCTCGTTACATCGTGTGAGGAAAATAAGGTGTTCGGCACGATGTCGCCCTCCAAAGACGGCCCAGGATCGGGAACGTCGACGCCAAAGATTGCAATAAAAGGCTTTTCACTGTCCTCGAGATCCTCCTCTTCAAAACCCGGCGCCAAACCCCTCCCCTCATCTTCGCTTGGAAAGAGACCGCGCTCTCATTTCGCAGCGCACGACGATTCCGATTCAGAAGGCGAGAATGGAAAGGCGAAGCATGAAAGTGTTGTGGCGTTTGGTAATGGACGCGCAATAAAGCATGATGAGAAGACGAAGGAGCCGCTCGTTATTCAGAGAGTGGGGAATAGGGATTGGAAGAGTGAGGCGAGGAGCAGGATACAGTCTCATCATGGGAGTAGTGGTGGAGTGCGAGGAGGGGTTGGTGAGGGGGTGGGGCAGATCAGGGAGAGGAAGAATTTGTTGCCGGAGGAGGTGCAGGCCATGCGAGCAGCGCAAAAGAATGGAGAGAAGAAAGTAGAAGGCGTGGATGTGGTTAATAGTCAGGATGGGGAGATTAAGTGGGGGTTGAGTGTTAGGAAACGGCCTGAACCTGCAGCGGAACTAGAACTAGCTCCCTCATCTACAGAAAATGGCACAGAGAAGGACGAGAAGGACAATGAGGTCAAAGAGGAAGAGAGGCCCCGCGAACAAACAATCGACGAAGAAGCCCTAGCCGCCCTTACAGGAGTCCAAAAAGAGCGCAAAGGCCCAGATCTCATCATCCGCGCCGAACCCCTCACAGAAGAAGAGGCCTACCGCCGCTCCGTCGCGACGGCGCCTGACCCCTCGACACTAGAAGACTACGAGCGCGTTCCAGTTGAAGAGTTCGGTGCTGCGTTGCTGAGGGGGATGGGTTGGAATGGCGAGGAGAAGGGGAAGGTTCGGGATGTGAAGAGGAGGCAGAATTTATTGGGCCTTGGGGCGAGGGAGTTGAAGGATGCGGAAGAGTTGGGGGCGTGGGTGGGGAAGAGTGATGTTAAGAGGTTGAATGGTGGAGATAGAGGGGGTAGGGGTGGTGGAAAGGGGGGAGAGAGGAGACCGAGGGTTAATGAGTTTTTGAGGGAGAAGGAGGTGAGGGATCAGAGGCGGGAGGAGAGGGGTGGGGGAAGTTATAGGAGGGAGAAGGAGAGGGATAGGTATGATAGCGGACGGGACTCGGGGAGGGAGAGGTATGATAGTGGGAGAGACAGTGGACGGGATAGTGGAAGGGATAGAGATGGGCATCGAGAGCGGGAGAGGGATCGTGATCGAAGACGTTAATCGCCTCTCCCGCAGTCCCCTCATCCTTGCAAGTACAGGTACATGGAGTTCGTATCGTAGTGCACGTGCGAGTCTTCGGGCCTCAACATAGATAGCAATGGAACACTTCAAAGAAGCGGTCGAATTACACCTATCAACCTAACCCTCGTGTCTTGCATCCGCATTCCGCTAAGATGGGAAGTTCCCGAGTCCACGGTTCACCATACACTTACTTACCTCACCTATCAACTTCCCTTTCCCATCTCTATCAATCAAAAGGCCACCCATTCCCATGATCCGAGCAAATCGCACCCCCCTACAAATCTAACCGCTTCGTATCCCGCATTCGCACCCCTCTCGGCTCCAAGCCCCAGATCCGATTCCTATCCCGAGAATCCGGTCTGGCCTTGCGCAATCAGCCCAAATAGTCAACGAAAGCGAAACCGAAAAATCAGATGTGCAACGAAAGCTCCGTTTTCCCATTTCCAAGGGGCATGATTGGATCAGTAGAGAGATAACCGGGGAACGGATGGCGTAATTGCACGGCGATGGGGCAGAAAAGGGACATATTTGATGGGGAGGGAGGGATGCGTGATTCAAGGGGGCGGCTTAATTAGGTGCCGCGATACGGAATACGATGCGTTGGAGTAGGCTGCTTATTTTTCTCGGCGTGATTCTTAATTATCGTGGACGCCGCCGTCCACTTTGCACTCTTGAGACAACATAGTACTCTTCAAAAGTCTTTATTTATAGAAGTCGGGCGTTGCTTTAGGAAGGCTTTAGAGTGAGGCATGGAAAGGAAATGGGGCGTAAGAAGTAAATATCAGCCGTGCTGGGCGAAGTTGCCCCGCCCCCACGTTTCGGCTCCCTTGTCGTAGACTCGATGGGGCGAGTTGAGGAACCTTAAAAATGAAGTCCGGTTCGCAAGTCAAGACGGGCTCGTCTTGAAGCAATTGAGTAAGGCTAAGTAAGCTGTCTAATCTCCTCCCCAAAAGTGTTCCGTTCCATACTATCCTGACCAGTCTCATCTTCGAAGACGAAGAGTTGATAAAGTCCCAGAGACATCGTCAATCTACCCCGCAATGGATATCCAAACCCTCCTCAAAACCCACAAACCTAGCCTCGCTCCCTATGAAACCGTCTACAAGAATCTCCACCAAAATCCCGGACTCTCGCTCCAAGAATACCTCGCCGCCGAAACAGCCGCCTCCCACCTTTCATCCCTGGGCTACGAAGTCCGCACCTCGATCGGCGGCACAGGCCTGATCGGTATCCTCTCAAACGGCCCAGGGAAGACAGTGCTGCTGCGAGCAGACACCGATGCCCTGCCCGTGGAAGAGTTAACCGGGCTAGAGTATGCGAGCAAGAAAAGAGAAGTCGATGTTGAAGATGGAGTTGAGAAGAGTGTGATGCATGCGTGTGGACATGATATGCATGTCAGTGTTATGATGGCTGTTGCTGAGACGCTGGTTATGAGTAAAGAGGAATGGGAGGGAATGGTGGTGATTTTGTTTCAGCCTAATGAGGAGAGGGCTGGGGGTGCGAAGTGAGTTCTTTCCTCAAATCATCGGAGGGGTATGGGGTTTTGGCTAATGTGGCAAAATAGGGCTATGATTGCAGATGGCCTTTATGATGAGCAGAAACATGCTTGCCCGATTCCTGATGTTGTCTTGGGACAACATGTCATGCCGCTTCCTGCTGGAACAGTCGGGACCCGGGTAGGTGCATTTGCCTCAGCTGCAGATTCTTTTCGCGTCACGATCTATGGAAGAGGAGGCCATGCTTCTCAACCTCACCGGACGATTGATCCTGTCCTTATGGCGGCTCATATCGTGGTTAGACTTCAGAGTATTGTGAGCAGAGAAGTTGATCCGAGGGATGCCGCTGTGGTGACGGTGGGAAGCGTGGTTGCGGGAATGACCGAGAACATCATTCCCGGGGAAGCAACGATAAAGATTAATGTTCGAACGGTCACGCCGGAAACACGGACGAGAGTATTATCAGCCATCAAAAGGATCGTGAAAGCGGAATGCGAGGCGAGCGGTGCAACGAAAGAACCACTTTGGATCTCAACCTCCTCATTCCCCTTTACTATCAACGACCAGGAAACCACAGAAACGGTTGCAGCGGCATTCTCAAAGCATTTTGGGGACAAACATGATCCGGAATCAGCTCCTTTGGGAGGAAGTGAGGATTTCTCCATCTTAGCGACGGAGGCGCCGAATAAGAGTGGTGGGAAAGGGGTTCCATATAGCTATTGGTCCTTTGGAGGGAGTGATCCGGAGAAATATGAGGAGGCAAGGAAGAAGGGACGGCTAGAGGATGTGCCGATTAATCACAGTGCGTATTTTGCGCCGGTTATACAGCCGACGATGAGTACGGGGGTCGATGCTATGGTTGTTGCTGCGTTGAGCTTTTTGAAGTGAGTAGGTGTTGTAATAGACACAACATGAGAAACAGGATCAGGTAAATATCTTGGAGTAAGTTAATTCGACTTCAATACCAAAACCGAGCGATTTAAAAATTCAGTTGGATTGCGATCGAAGCTAAATGAGTTCAATTCGATTGTCATAATCCACCCTAGGATATTAATAAAACCAGCCACTGTGTATCCCCCAATTACCGGAACCACCAGCTGTTTCTTCTCCGGCTTTTGGTTCGGGCCCGACGCCTGGATACCCTCGGCTTTTAGTACTTTGTCAACAGTTGTCATTGGGAACTCAAGAGTTGGCCACGCACAGTTTCCCATTCTTCGGTTTTCGTGGTGTTCTGAACTTCACGCTGGTATTGACTTCTCATTCCCTCATCAGATTGACAAAATGCGTTGCTTCTTGCTTTTTCCTCTTCGCTTTGATGCCCCTTCAGTTTTCTCGAATAGCCATCGTTGATGTGTCTTGACCCTCTCATCTTGGTCGTTCGCTCGTGATGTGCAGGTAGTTCCAAAGCATACGGCAAGTATGAAGTGCGAGATCGGTTGCGACCCTTTAGTTTGGTATATAATGTAGACGATTGAAAGAAGCAGCCAGGAGAAGTCAGCTGGCTTCCAAGGTGGCGCTGCCGTTAAAGGACATTTGCAAGGGCATAAAAGCACGCGAAAGATGTTGATCAGCAGTGATAGGATAGAAACTTTTTGTTTGAGTTTGGGACAACGTCTTTGATATTTCACTGGGATATTATGAGAATATGTGGAAGCAAATTCCTTGTTGTGCGAGCGAATATCTGATTCCCATTTTCACGGTACCAAGCAAGTCCCCCGAGCTGAATTGGCCGTGACAGCTTTGTACCTAAGCCATGATACCATGTTTTCTAGTTATCTCCATCCATCTCCTTATAGCCCTCAGTATCTTTAAAGTCCCTTGTCGGATCATATATCCCACAAGCAGCTCTTTCATCACTGTGGTCCCAAGCCCATTTCTCAGCCAGTATAGGATCTCAGTGTGGGCTCCGATAAGCTCGATAAGCGACGATTAGATAATCGATAATCGACCATCGATTACGATAATTATCGAACTAAGGCCTTGGCAATACTACAGGGCCACTACAGGGCCACTATAGGGCCAATGCGCTATATTTATAGGCCTCATACCACCTTTTCTTTACTATAGCAGAATTCCGATTTAGTAAAGGCGGTATAAGGCCTATAAATATAGCGCATTAGCCCTGTAGTAGCCCTGTAGTACTACCAAGGCCCTGGACCCACTATTATTAATAGATTTAGTACTGTAAAGGCGGTCTAAGGCCTGTAAATATAGCGTATTGGCCCTGTAGTGGCCCTGTAGTGGGCCTGTAGTGGCCCTGTAGTATTGCCAAGGCCCTGGGACCCACTATTATTAATGGAATTATCAATGGGCTCGCTCAATGGCTGGCGGGCCCACTTTTATCGATGGAATTATCGATGGGCTCGCTTAATGGCTGGCTGGGCCCACTTTTATTAATGGAATTATCGATGGGCTCGCTTAATGGCTGGCGGGCCCACTTTTATTAATGATTATCGAGGTGATGGGGCTCGCTCAATGGCTGGCGGGCCCACTTTTATCAATGATTATTGAGGTGATGGGGCTCGCTTAAGGGCTGGCTGGGCCCACTTTTATCAATGGAATTATTAATAACTGGATTAAATACTAGCTAGTCTACCTTATATAATAGACTATTAAATGGAAAGTTAAAAAGTCTAATAGTATAGTAATAATAGTTTACTTTTATGCTAATCTTAATACTAATCGGTTTATAATTGAACTAGAAAGCGAGATGTTCATGTAATGGGGCTCGCTGGCTGGCTGGGCCCACTTTTATCAATGGCATTATCGAGGCGATAGGGCTCGCTTAAGGGCTGGCTGGGCCCACTTTTATCGATGATTATCGAGGTGATGGGGCTCGCTTAATAGCTGGCTGGGCCCACTTTTATCAATGGAATTATCAATAACTGGATTAAATACTAGCTAGTCTACGTTATATAATAGACTATTAAATAAAAAGTTAAAAAGTCTAATAGTATAGTAATAATAGTATACTTTTATACTAATCTTAATACTAATCGGTTTATAATTGAACTAGAAAGCCGTAATGGGGCTCGTTTAATAGCTGGGCCCACTTTTATCGACGATAATTATCGATATCGATCGTTTATCGATCGCTTAGCTGATAACGATTACTAATCGATAATTTCGATCGATAATTTATCGGAGCCCACACTGTAGGATCTAGCTCGCCTTGTAGCATTTGGACTACGTACTTCCCAATATTTGCAATGAATTTCCAGCCATGGAATGAACCGCCCCTGCGACATAAAGGCTCTTGGAATGTGGATGTTTGCTGATGATGAAGTCCTGGTTCGGCGTGACAGCATCCCTGATTTATCTTCAGCATGATTCTGAGAAGGCGTGGGAATTGGAAGGAATAACAAACCAGTACATTCTATTGTATTCTGGCTTGAGACTTTCAATCCAGCTCCCATATATCTTCCCACGGAGGATCTCAACCTCATTTTTGAGTCCTTCGGGGACGTCTTGACTCCACGTGCTTTGTGTTACTCGTTTGGGTGGGACAGAAATCGTTTGCTTCGAAGCCTCATGGTAGACCTTGTGAGTGAAACTAAGTTTGTGGGTGCATTTTACGAGGCCAAGTTCTCCCGGTGGAATGCTTTCGCCTATAATTGTTGTGAGTCTAGCATTCAAGAATCAGGTTGGTGAAACCAATCAACGAACCTGGCGTGGATCCCATTGGACTGACGATAATGGGTGCATTCTTGAACTTATGCAACTTATTTTCTGGAACCCTAAATGCACACATAATAGCCGCCGCCGCAGTCATCCTACCGTTGACTTGAAGCTCTGTGTTTTCTGGCGCACTTTCTGCGATCAGCTCTGCGGTGCGTGCTCCCGCGCACAAAACCGTATGTTTTGAAGTGAAAATATCTCCAGCAGTAGTTTCGACCCCAAGACATGTGCCACTTGCATCAAAAGCTATCTTGGCGACGGTGGCTTCCACGTAATTCACACCAAGATTCACCGCTGCTTGAATCACACTCCTCAACACATTCTCAGCCTCCCCCAACCGACCGTAGGATTCCAGGTACGACTCATTACACCGAGCTTGTCCCATGGAGCATCTTGATAGATGCCGTCAAAGCCCGCCTTCGCCTCATTGAGGTTGATGATTCTAGCAGGCGAACTCCCCGTAAGAGCGTTATAGTTCTCAATGATGGTCTCACCAGGACCTGAGGTTCTAGCAAACAGAATGCCCGATAATAGGGTTTGAGGATGGGATCAGTGCGCCAGAGCGACTGAGCCTCCAGAGCCAGCTCCATGTAGACTTTGTCTTCATACTCAGCGCAAATGATCTTATTGAGATCATAGGCTGCTGTTGAAGGACATGGGAATGGTATTCGATCAATCAAAGTGACAGACTTTTCCGGAAACGCCCTTTTGAGGTAGAGGGCTATGGACGCGCCGAAGCAGCCTGCTCCAGCGAGTGTTTACAGTAGTCCGAGTTCTCTTGGGAGGCTACCATTTTCGAAGAAAAGTAGGAAAGAATGCTAGATAATCAAGGAGGAGAGAAGATAATCAATTGATGAGCTTTGAATTGGGTTCACTTTGTCGTGCAGACTTTCAAATGACAGGATGAAAGAAGGATTTTGTGGCTGCGAAATCTAACGACCTTGTGCTTCGATTTCAAGGCCATAAATCGGTATCGATCCCTCGCAAATAGTTCGCTGCTTTGCAGTTTAAGCTAGCTGAAACCTTGGGCCCGGGGAATGGCTGTCCAGGTACGTGAAAGGAAAGGACAACGAAACGGCTGCGATAGAGACATGCACCAACTATGGCGGTTGATCGCGCATCGAAGGTGGAAATGGTTTCGAGGCAGATCGTTCGGCAACAAGTTGACACTCTGAGACTCGTATTACTCACTGCGTGTTTATTTGGGTTCGAGCTTTTGAGAGGTTTCACTAGGCAACTTGTCAGACACTGATGGAGAATGGTTTTGAACGTTGATGAGAAGCAGGTTGGTGGCAGCAAGATATGGGGTATCATTAGTCGCTATCAGAACTACTTTCCTCCTCCCCGTCCTCAAATCCCTCGAAATCATCGATTTCATCATCTTCTGCTCCCTCCATTTTTGGTAACATGACGAACGATTTCAGACATGTGACGCGGTTATTCGTTTCGTATGTTCCGAGTAGCTCGCCAACTTGTTTGGCCTTTCCTTTGTGAGAGGCAACTTCGGCAGCGGCGAGTTTCCAGATCCTTAAGGCGCCGTCGCTGCCTCCTGTGACGACTATAAAGTCTCTGGCAAGACCCTCTCCGTTGCTTAGGATGCTAAAATCTTTGATCCGTCCTGAAAGTCCGGCTTCTTTTCCGCCAAGTTGTGCAAACATTTTTGCTGAAGCAAGCGGGGCTTCTTTCCCCTGTGCTGTTGCTGATGTCACCAAATCTGCTGGTCTCGTAGAGTAGAACAGTATTCTCCCATCTTCTGTCGACACTACCAGGAGCTGAATATCCCCCTCATCTCCCAGTTGTACATAGCATAATTCGTGAATCTTCGTTCTCGGTTCGGGGACGACTTTGCATTTCGGCTTGCTGTCCATCCCGAACACCAATATACCCCTTTCAAAACCAACACAGAACTCTTCTCCCACATCTGTAGCTCCCCAAGCAACTTTCCTTCCCTCTCCACTGCTGTGTTTGCCTTCTCCAACTTCGCCCAGTATCCCCCTCTCGAAATTCAACACACCCGCCTTCTTCCCGGTGACCAGGTTCCATAACCTCATACATTTCTCTCCCTTCCCCACAGATATCATAAGTTTCATACTCGGATGAACAGCAAAATCATTAACCCCACTGGGAGCACCACCCAACGGCGCCGTATCCCCACTCGGTCTACCAACCGGCTTCGGTATTGGCGCCTTAATTGTACTCAACAGACTCCAGTCCCTCGTCCTCGTAACCGCAATCGTGCTATCCTCCGCCGAGCTCAAAAGCTTACTCCGATTCGGAAAATGTAGCGCCGTTATCGTGCTCGAATGATGCAGCAGACTTCCCAGCTCTCGATTTTGCGGATTCTCGACAATTGCTTTGGGATTCAAGCTAGGGGTCACCGGGACGGAGATCTTGGAGGGGGCGTGGGCGGAGAGGTGGTAGAGGTTTATTCGTTCGTCGGTGCTGCCGCTTGCGAGGATGATCTTTTGCGTTTGCTTTGGGATGGGGGCGGATGGAGGTGAGAGTGCGAGACAGCGGATAGCGGAGGCGTGGGCATTGAAGAGGAAGGTATCTGCGAATTCGACTTTGTCTTTGTTCTTGAGGTCGATGGTAGCTGTGACGCCGTGGAGGATTCTGTCGTAGGACCCCGCGATGACTTGGATGGTGATGGGATACTTGGGAGTCGAGGATGAGGTGGATTTCACCTTCTTGCTGGGAGCATCTGCTACAGCAGCAGCAGAATCGCCATTAATATTCCGCTTTCGTTTCGCCATGTTGTGGTGTTGTCTTGAGGTGTTGCTCAGGATTTTAAGTTGAAAGAGGGAAAGTTGGAAATAATTTTTGCAGGGATGTGACGGGTCACGTGAAGGCCCCACCCTTTTCAACATCCTCCGACATTCTCAACCTTCAACTTCACAACATTTCCTACATCGCAGGTTGGTATTCAGTGTTACCAACGGCTATCAAATCACCTTGCTGAGTGATGAATCACCCGAGGTACTCGTACAAGTGAACGGGATGCCCACAATGATGCCTATCACCCAGCAAGATCTAGACCCAGCCATCTGAACCTTACCACTCCAAGAAGTCTGTCGTCTGATGGTATATACCCCTTCTTTTGAAGATCTCTAGCATCTATCTATGCCGTTTTCTCCTTGCCTAAGAGAGGGCACACGCGCGGTCTTCTGCTCCCTCTCTTTCCTCCTCGGCCGCAACCATGCGATTGCAGCTGGAAAAAGGAATGTGAATGTACCATGAATTTGGGAACAATTGCAGCGCCAGGGAGAGAAATCCGCTTGTCCAGGACTGGTTTGTACTTTCTGCGAGTGCAGATCGGCAGATGGCAGGAGCTATGAGGCAAGGCAACTTCAGCCTTCGTGCCTTCTACGTATGAAGGGTTGTTAACCTTGATCCGTGCTTCAATCCATTTCTCTTCGCATCTTCACGCCAAACCACACCGCTACCATCGCCCACCAACGCCCCAAATATCCACCAGAGTGTCGCCATCTTCATCCCGACTCTGAGTCTACCGAGAAAGATACCGTTTTCGTAGTAGAACGCATCCCAGGGATAGGACGGTACCTTCCATGTCACAATCGGCTTGTGGTAATGTCGCTAACATGCGTGTCCTAGCTCCCTTCAAATATGGCATCGAATGTTCTATCCTCCTATGGGTCAATTTCAATTACGGTGTCCGGGGTCAGTGGGGGTGACGACCTCGACTCACGAAAGCCGACCTCTGAGGAAACCGAGAATATTCAGAACAGCGATGGAACATTCAACAAACCGAAGATGGATGCATTGGAGGATAGTCTGTCTCGCGAAATACGAAAGCACGATCAAGTTGTCGAGGACACGGTCGAAGCTCTGGAGGGGAACAGCCCGGTTACGTGCCAAGATCCCGCACCTCGACGTCCGGTCCAACAAGGCCAACCAAACATAAATCAAACAAATCCACCCAACCCTACTTCATTAGTACATACTGGAGCGCTCATTGTCCCAGCGCCATCGCCGACGTTCGGGTCACAACAATCTGCGTACTCTGCGAATCCAATGTCCCAGCCGACCACGTACATTCCAGCAGAGCAATTATCTCTCCCTGCCAATTTTCTCGGGCAAAGAATTGGATACTTCATTGGCAAGGCAACCAACAAATTGTTCTACAATGCATTGTGTACAACGAGTCATTCGACAGGTCCTGCCCCAGAATGGGCTGTTGGCCAACGGGCTGCTGCGGCTGCTGCGCCGATCGTCAGTGCCTCAGCCAGTTTTTTCGCACTCGAATTTGGTATTAATTACGGTCAGTCCTCTATAGTTGGGAATGTGGCTGCCCCACTGGCAGAGGAAGTCACGGCCCGCTATGTTTCTTCGGACCCGGACGTCATACGCCTACTCGGACGTTGTGTGAAATCTGGGATTGCGGCTACTGTTGGTCAGGACATCGCATACTTGGCTATTGAGTTTATGACAACAGAGTATGGCGAGCGAGGCCCAAATGCGCAAGAGTGTTATGCTATGGGCATTCCTTAACATCGGAGATAAGATGAATGTTCAATCTCAACAGGGACATTAGGTTTGTTTCAATGTTCTTGATTGGTACGAGACATTGGGATCGAAATTGGGCTATTGGGGGTGAGATGCGTGTACGAGTTCAACAGGGACATCGACTTTCAATGTTCTCGGTTACTTTGGGACATCGAGAGCCGGGTTGGGGGAGTAGTTTTGTACATCGATAAACTACGATCCCTTTTGTCTCCGCGGTGTCCTTACAAAAATGAATCGTTTTCTATCTACGTCCTTGAATTACTAGGGCTTGTTCGATTGATATTTCTACCCCTATTTCCGAGGTTCTGTCCCAACCGATGTTGAACTGGCTCTCATTTTAGCCTGAGTACACATTAGCTTCAGGTGTACCTCCCCAGAGGCTCATTGGCCTTCGGGAGTCGGAGATTGATCCCTGCCTGTATCCCCTTTAAATTTTTTAGTATAATAATGACGTCGCCCTGCGTGATAGGTTTCAACGGGTAGGGCTTCAGAGAATCTTCGAATCTGCAGTTCTCGAGATTGAATGTCACTCTTGGAGCTTTTGCATCTGATTTTGGAACTGTCACGTCATGTTTAACTCCCGAAATTTGCTAACATACATGTAGTTCCTGGCGAACCCCGCATCGTTCCATACAGCAAGGTTGCCCATGTATTAATATATCTCCCGTTTCAGCTAGCTTGTTCCCCACAATGCCAAATATCATTGACCTGGACGATAACGCTCAGGCTAAACCCACTTGTCTGTCCCCATGGGATTATTCGTGGAAATCCATTGACGGAACATTCCAAGAAGTCCCCGAACCGTCGACTGTTTCGAGGCTCCGTGTTATTAGTGCCATCTAATTGATCCAGCATACATCAACCTTCCTGAGTAGGATTAAATCCACATTTCGTTTCTCCGCATCTATAGTGTCGTCAGTATGCTTGGAAACTCGGTCAAATGATCCGTGGGACCACTCTCAAGTTTTCAATGGGGTTGCTGAGACTTGCTCCACAAAACAGCAATATATGTACAGGCCATGTGAGGTCGCGGGTGAATCGCTTCGTCTTGTGTTCGAAGATTTTTATTAACTTGATCATCAGGCTGTATATTTGCGCTATTTCATCAAACGAGGTGGTACCTGAATGAGTGTATGAGGATGGCAGTACTTCTCCTCTTTCTGAACTTGTGCGAGCAAGATTTTGTTCACTCCCTTCACTGTCTACCTCATGTCCGGATTCCAATAGGTAGGTGACCAGAGCCTCCACGACACACCCACCATTATCAAACTCAACCAATCGGTTTGTCCGAAGGATTTGAAACCAACGAACACTCAAAATTAGACATCATGCGGAGCTCAATACTTTATCCCTTCCTCCTCTCTCTCATTGATTTCTCTCTCGCCTCACCAACCGTGGAGCGAGTAGGCTCCAATCGAGACGAACGTCATGAAATTTTTAACATCGATTGGGAAAAGGAGCTTCTTGGGCGAAGCTCACCAGTCCCGCTCGCGGAACGCGCAGATGCAAGCATAGATGCCATCTTCAAGAAGCTCGGCAAGCTATACTTTGGCACTTGCGCAGATTCCGGTTCGCTTAGCCAGACCTCAAATGCTGCTGTCATTATGGCCGACTTTGGACAGGTGACCCCTGAGAACAGGTATATCATGCAAGCAACACTTGAGGGGCTTGGGAGCTGACTCGGTGGATGCAGTGGAAAATGGGACACTACCGAACCTTCGCAGGGAAAGTTCAACTTTGGGGGTCTGGATACCCTTGTGAACTGGGCTGTAAAGAATAACAAGCTCGTCCGTGGGCATACGACAGTCTGGCACTCGCAATTGCCAGGTTGGGTGTCAGCTATCACATCTAAAGGTACTCTCACAACAGTTATCCAAACCCACGTCTCGACGGAGATTGGAAGATATGCTGGGAAGATCTTGCAATGGGTTTGCCTCACGAACCCAAATTCCAAGAAACGGATGCTGATTTCATTAGGATGTCGTCAACGAGGTGTTCAACGAGCAAGGAGGACTTCGAACCTCGGTTTTTTCTACCGTCTTGGGTGAAGACTTTGTCCGAATTGCCTTCGAAGCAGCCAAGAAGACTGATCCAGCCGCAAAGCTCTACATCAATGACTACAAGTAGCTCTGCCATATGCCGAACCACATCTCATGCTAACCGTTCACAGCACAGTTGAGCTAGGCTCCACCTACGCCAAAACTACCGGTATGGCCTCCTACGTCAAGAAATGGATTGCAGCCGGAATTCCCATCGACGGCATCGGCGCACAAGCCCACCTCATGGCTGGCCAAGCTAAGAATGTGCCCGCCGCCCTCGCCGTCCTCTGTGCCGTTGCCTCCCAATGCGCCATCACGGAGATGGACATCGTGAACGCGGCCCCCGCGGACTACGTCACTGCCGTCAAGGCCTGCATCGATATCCCGAACTGCGTCGGTGTCACGGTCTGGGGGGTCAGAGACCCGGATTCGTGGCGCGCGTCGAACAACCCGCTGCTGTTTAATAGCGCGTATGCGGCGAAGCCGGCCTACTCGGCGTTGGTTGCGACGCTTGGTGCGCTGAGTGCGGCTGCTACACCAAGCCCGATGCCGACAACGCCGCTGGCTAGTGTTAAGCCAACTGTGACATCTGCTAGTACTACTTCTGCTTATGTGTGATTGGAAGCGGCGTTGAGGTTGCGTGTAAATATAAAAAGGAGTGAAGTGGAGGTATTTGTGGGAAATCTTGTAAATAGAAGCGGCAGAACGACAAAATTGAGAAATTATATTTCACACTGCAAGTTGCAGAACCCCAAATGAAATTTACATGCAGTATGTTGGTCTTACTAAGGCCTCTGTATGAGTGGGGCTTCTGTTCAAGGCTATCATGCAATGCGAGTAAGGAGTTTCCAAAGTTCTCGATTCCTTGCTGTGTTTGGGAACTTGGTTGAAGGTTTGAGGTGTTGGGATAATCATCAAGAACTTTCTCTCCGTCTTATCAGAACATATAGAAATACTTACTCATCGCAGTCTGAAATAAGAAGGGGTCGGTACTTAAGGTATCCCTGCTTTGTACCGGCATGCCTATAGAACCAAATCGTGACCAAAGTATCTATGAAAGATAAAGCACGTGGGAGTCTGATTTTGATATGGTCTTAAAGAACCAGTAGAAGAATTCAGCTCATCTTCTCAGAATGTCTCTGTGAGAGTCGAAGCACGAAATATGAGAAGGTGAGCAGAGCGGATATTGCGGCTTATAAGATTGTCATGATCTCTCTGTTCAAACCCCACAATCGGCCCTCTTGATATCCAAACTGCGCTCTCGAATTATCGGCCGTAAATAAGCCAATCCGCTTTTACTTTCAATCGCCGACTTCTTTCAGAATGAGATCACTCATGTTGCCGATATCGTCGAAATTATAGCTCTAAAAACAACCGGGAAGGACATAAAGACAACCTCCGTTCTCCTCCTCAAACCACCAGTCATGTCTTTCCCAAAATTCTCTCCATTGTAATATGGACTAATCTCCCTGCCTACAGGTGACGGCCTCAAGCTGAAGTTAACCAGAAAAGCGAAGTTGGCTGGCTTCTCTTCCATCTCTCGGGGAACTGCTGTGGTGGAGGATGCGATTCATGGATCAAACTACAGAACTTGCACCCTGTATTTATTTGCTTTAGTCCGAACTTCTTACCGAGACTCCAAGTCGAACGAACATAGCCTTGTCAGGATAGTAACTCTCTCAAGCCTCGTAATACGGGGAACATGTTCGAACATCTTCCGCAAAGCTGAGTCGGATATACTTTCGCTTCGGCGCATTAAAAATTGAATCCATTCTGGGAAAGTAATATGTTTGTGGTTGCAGTCACGTCTATGAATCATGGAATAATTCCAAACGTGGTTGCCGAGTCACGCAGGAAATGCAATCTCCTACGTGAACTGGATTTAGATCAGGCATGATTTTTTTCCAGCTGGGAATCAACTTTGTCTCGAATCACAGAAGGATGGAATAGAACTAGATTTTCCCCTAGTCATCCTCTAGACACTTCGGCCCAACTATCATATAGTTATAGTTCCCCTCCCCACAACACTTCCGCTAATAATCACTTTACATGGAGCCTTATAAAGAGAGGTAACCATTTCTGATAATACTAGACATCAGACGTTTGCAAAGACTCTCGCAATGGTGACAAGCCACAATTACCAGGAGACCAGCGAGCGGAACTGTAGTGCAGTGAGCACCAATATTCTGGGTCCATACCGGACGCTGCTAACCACATGTACTAATCGAGCTATGTAGGAAAGGCTGGTTATTAAAGTTCACCATTTTCCCCACGGTTAGAAGTTAGAATGGGGTCTCACGGAAATCCAAACAATTCGAAGAGGAACACTTCGAAATGTATATAGCGGCGATGTACATAAATTGGTCATAATAAGATGATTCAAGGAGGCGTTCTCTACGGAAGTTTAAAGCCTAAGATCAAGACAGAGGGGAGTGGTTTGGTGTAAAATAGCAAATCTTTTCAAGTGTTCTTAGTGACTTGAAAAGGCTGACGAGACACCGAGATGGGGATGGAAGGCTATGCTGAAGAACACTTTACGAACGGAAGAAACATTCGATCTATGTTTTCGCTCGTCCTTCTCAGCATAATATTGTTTCAACTCTCTGATGAATCTCTCATTCACCCTTCTGCCTCGATCACCCCTGATCCGACAACTATGCTCTCATTCTCCCCTCCTTGGAGTTCAAAAACTTTTTCCTACGACACAAGAAATCGTACAGTTAGTCTCTTTCTCATCAAGAGATATCTATACAGCAAGGGATGAGCAGCCGGGAAATATACTTCTCTTCCATCCAAGAAAACAGAAGGTAGGCAACAACAAATGGCGGTGCAACGTAGAGAATTTGGCCTCGAACACGGCGGGCTGTGTTAAAAACAGCATTACGCACCGCACCTGCTAGTGGTCGTTGGCGATTGGCGCAGAGTGTGTAGACTGTTATGTGCTTTTGTTTCGGAAGTCCTAGAGAGAAGAATGCTTAGGAACGAAGCCTCTCGGAATCGGAAAAGAGTGGCTCTTGCGGTTATGACCCCAACATAGGACTGGATTTCTGAACACATGCTGGTTAGCAAACTACTTGAAAACCATGCACTTGGAGAATTAGAAACATACATTCCCTTAGGACGATTGGGTTCAGGACTGTAGTCTATTCCGGGCATTTTGATGCAACGCTTTGTTCGGACTGTAAATCGATTTGGGAGGGGCTGGAAAACTTATGTACGGGACTTGATGGATTATTTAAAGACCACCTTATGCGATAGACAAGGTGACAAGGAGCTAAATCCCGGCCCCGCCCTCGTAATGTTCGACGTGTCAGGTGGTATTTACTTAGAGGTGCCCTTTGATTGGGTGGACCGGATCTTAGTCATTTAGCGAGGTTGATTGAAATCCCATGTCTCTTCAGATCGTCGATCTCCAATACTAGACTCGGGGGTACAATTTTCGGTCACATGGAACTCGGATTGATACCAATGATTCATGGCATCTGCAGACCCTTCCCACTACTGTCAGCAGGCATTTGAGCACCTAAGTCCGAGGAAGGGCTCTGGTCACGTTGGGTTATCTGTATGCAAATTTTGGAGAAGTACGTGATCACTTTCATTTAATTTTCTTGCATCTATGCATCTCATACTAAACAGCTAAATAATCCAAAATTGTTCCGACTTGCATGTACGTAGAACGGCCCACAGCTCTTGCCACATCTGGCCTGAGAATTGATTGGCTGCACCGGATCTTAGTCATCACAAAGGGCGTCTCACTTGTCCCATTTTCACTTCCGTCTAACATCATACGTCAAAATGCTCACCCTACTTTCCTATCGATTTGCAAGTACCGCCTGATCAGCCTCGAATGCCACGATGAAACTACGAGGGGGACTCATAAAATCCAGAGGAGCCTGTGAAACATGCAGGTACGGCCGGAAGCTGCTCCAATTCCCAAGGGCTAGATTCCCCCTTTCTACTTGACCGTGGGGAGTAGATAATGGATGCTAATCTTCATCAATTCCTCAGAATAAGGCATCTTAAATGTGACGAAACAAAGCCTATATGTATTCGTTGTCAAAAAGACGGGCAGAAGTGTGATGGATATAGCACCCTCCAAAACCCTCCGTCCACAAACACTCAAGGGGGAGCACTTTCAAGTTCCGGCGTTCCCGGTGCCCTTCCCGCGCTTCCAGCTTTTGATGATCCTCTGCAGCGAGAGTTGTTTGCTTCCTTTGTCTCCTGCACCACAGACGCCACTAGTCTCTACTTCGGAGCAAATTTCTGGGCTCGTCGCGTCCTTCAGCTTAGTCTCTCAGAGGCTTCGATTCGTTACGCTCTCTGCTCTTTGAGTGCACTGCATCGGATATCAATGGTATCACCTGCATATTCGGATTTTGATACATCGAAATTACGATGTTATGCCCTGCTGCAGTACAACCAAGCAGTCAAGCGTACCCGGATATTACTGGACGAAAGTTGTGATGGGTCGGAAGAAAAGCTTGTCAAGGGCCTCGTGACCTGCATACTCTTCGTGTGCTATGAGAATTTCATTGGCAACTACGGGATATCTTATATGCATCTCCAGAACGGACTGCAAATCATCACAAAAGAGTCCCGCAAACAATGCGGTCTTACCATACCGAAAGACATCATTCAGGTCTTCAAACGTCTTGACGTTCAAGCCATAACCTTTGGCGATGCTAAAGTTCCTTATCCCGATAATTTATGCAAGGAACACATAGACTTTCTCTCAGCTCCGCCAACCGGCTTCGGTTCTATCGAGGACTCCCTCGATGTCGTTCTTCACCTCTGCAGATGGATGTTTCGTCGGGAAGCGTACTCGAATACATGCCCCGTAGCATATGAAGACCTCGTTTCGGCTAGCAAAGCTCTGGAATGCTGGAACTTGAGAATGGATAACTATTTTTCGGCGCCAAATGCGCGGAGGAACGGACGATTGGAACACTCCATCGCTTTGCTTAAGATGTACCAAATAATCATGACTATAATCATAGTCACTGGGGTACATGGAGAGGAAACATTACACGACGCTTACAGTCACAAGTATGGGGAAGTTCTCGCTTTGGCAGAGGGTTTGCTCCTCGATGGACAAGTCTCGCTATCTGCCGCCTCCAGCAACCGATTCTTCTGCTTCGACATTGGCGTCATATTTCCGCTCTTCTGGGTGACGATCAAGTTGCGTCAACCACAACCTCGAAGGCGCGCCGTGGAATTACTCGGTTCAATGCATCATCAGGAAGGGGCATGGAAAAGCACCAGTGCGGCGAAAGTTGCGGAGTTTGTTATCGACATTGAAGAAGAGGGGATATCGAAGGACGATTGTTATATACCAGAAATAGCCCGTGTGCACTTGGTGAACACAACGGCGGATATTGAGAGAGGGGAGATTTGTGTGAGCTGTGTGATGCGGTCTGATATTGATGATTGTTCTTGGTACAAAAGGGAGGGGCGAATTCCCGACGGAACGGGGCTATTGCGTGCTTGAGATATGGACGACCATGCCTCTACATCCACGTAAAGGGGAAATATTTTGATATTACTCACATCGGCCACCTTTCAAGAATTTTGGATTGAACTGTTTCTCCAAATATGTTATGTTTTGGAGAGTATTTCTTTGTTCCACCCCCTTTTAGGGCTCGGGTCCACAACCAGAGTCAAGAAACCAAACACGACTCGGCTCACGTAATCAGACCCGAGCCTCCACCATGCTCTGTAGATCTTTTCATCATTGGAAACCTCCAATCGACACTTGGGCCGCTTCGCATAGGTATTCCAGGATTTTGAGACAGGAAACCCAAGTCAGAATGAAACCGGGGGTGGGGGTGGGGGTGGGGGTGGCACGGTGCACTGAATCTCGTCTCCGACCTCTCTCCCTCTACACCCCCTGGCCAGAATCGAGAACAGCAGATGCAGCCGGAGAGTGACCGAGTGAGAAGGGCTCAGGAATCGGATCATCCCGAAAACTTTCTCATAAGGATGTTGTCCGATAATTGGAGCAGAGGCTACAAGATACTTTCGCGTTTGAGCACAATGAAGCGACAATCGCGCCTCTTATTCTTTGGGACCGACTGTGCCATATGAAAGGGAAGTGGTTGCCATTAGAAAAGCTTTCCTTCAATTCAATCGTCGGGACGTGTAGTGATGAGGATGTCCGTACAGGTTTTCAGGCTTGATTGGCTGAGAAAGAGTCTCCCGAAAATTTTAAAAACCGCAAGTTGAAGAACGGTACGCATGAACAGAAACTGGAGCTCGGGCGGGGGGCGGGGGGCGGTGGATCTTAAACTTCGCGGCACAGTGCCACAATCGGATGTGTTGCCGTTCGGGAGAGGGCCACGGCTGGCTCGGTCCGGAAGTCGATAGCGGGGCTGTCCAGATTCCACACAACTGAGAGAAATTTACGCAACGAAGAGGAAGAGGCTTTCAAATACGCGAATAGCGGCTAGGAGATTTCTTTTGGAAATCTCGAAAACACAAGGAGTTAATAAAACAAAAAGGAAGTTTTTTAATAGGAATATCAGAGACGGCTACCCCGCATAATTCGAAGTAGGTTGTGAAACCCCACTTCGTAGGGTGAAACCAACGGGGACCTCTAAGTTCTTAATAATGACGTCCCACAGACCCGACCATCCAATAAGAATGAGAACGTGCTCGATCGCAGAGAAAAGGAAGCTACCATATGGAAGTAATTTCGGTGAGTGCACGGGATGAGCCTACGCCGTGAGTTGAAGAAACTTTTAACACAAAGTACGCCCTATTGCAGATTCTGTCTCAAGATATGCAGATCAGTTCAAGAGTAAACGATAAACTTTCCCTATATTTGAGCAATCCGGCATTATTGAATCAGGACATCCATCCACCCAAGAGACTCTATTCTTCATACACACTGGCTATGGCGACCATTGCGACCTTAGACCACAGCAATCTTCAGGCCGAGGCGTTTGCCCTCACTTTCGCTTTTCCAGTCCTCGCAACACTTACAATCGGGCTACGCATTTATAATCGCTCATTGACGGGAACATTCGGTTATGGTATGTTAAACCGGGAAGCCAGCTGTTTAACCTGAACATGGGATGACATTCTTCAGATGACTGGTTCATTTGTATAGCAGCTGTCAGTGGTCCACGGATTCCGGATAAACCCTGCTTATAAACTTTAGGTTTTCTTTTGGGCCGAAACTTTCGTTACATACAAGTGTAAGTCTTCGATTCTTATGTCCACCGGACTCTCAGGACTGATAACTCCAAGTCATCCGGATAGGATACATAGGATATCATATCTATGACATTCCCTTCACAACGGTCGATCGGCAGCTACTTGGGAAGTACGGCTATGCTGTAAGTTCTGTGATCCTCACCAAGCCAAATTCCACAGCTTATGAAACTAGGCTGAACTCATTTATGTCCCGATCTTAGGACTCATCAAGACCTCTATTATGCTTTTTCTCTTCCGTTTAACGGGGCAAAAGAAAGCAGTTAAGAGGGCTATCTTGGGGCTTTTGATACTCAATGGCGCCTTGACAATCACGAACTTGCTTTTCGTTTTGTTTCAATGTCTGCCGATTGCAGCAATATGGGATCGGGCGGCGTACCCGAACGCAAAGTGCTTGCCTTTCTCTATAGTCACTACAGCGTTTGCTTCCGCTTCAGTCTTTACGGACGCATTGGCACTCATTTTGCCAACATGGATCGTTTACGATCTGAAAATCAGCAGAAAGCAGATGTTTTTGCTAATTGGCATTCTCTCCTTTGGTCTTATGTAAGACCCTACTTTCTACCCTTCCCACGTCGGTCTTTTATGAAGCCTAGCTGACCTTCTCCAGTACCGTTGTCTCAGGTCTGGTTCGCTTGGTGCTTCTGGCACAGTTCTCGGCCAACCCACCGAAAGACTTCACACACACAATCCTCTTTTGTATCTCAAATATAGAAGTCGGCCTAGCTTTTGTGGCGGCATGTGCACCCTACATGAAGCCCCTCGTCCTCAGAATTGCCCCAACATTCTTTGGTAGTACCCGATTTGGGAAGACAACAGGACGGGCGACTCGTCCAGTGTACGAACTCAGTCAAAGCAGAATATGGAAAGGAACCCAGACCATGACACACGTCAATGCGAGCGGGGGTAATTTTGGTGCCAGAATCTCGAAAGACGGAGGATTGAACGATAAGACGGATATTATGATGACTAGGGAGACAGAAGTCAAGTGGCAGGATAATCCGAACGGGACGCTTCAAACAAGACCTAAGAGCTTAGTATAATGGGATGGTTTCGGAGCGTTGATCAGAGTCACGTAATATTTTGCTGGAAGGAAAGGAGTATGAATTGGACGGCAGAAGCTCGCACTTGTTCACTATTTCTTGTGTCCTCTGAAGCCGAATTTAAGCGAGGTCTACCCCTGAAATTCTCAAAAACACACCATTTGAAGGCAAGCGGCATTAAAAATCGTCCAACTCGCTAAGCGAGGGCAGGTGCGACCTTGACTCTCGCAATATAAAAATTCTCGTAATTCCGTATTATACTTAATTATTGAGAAAATTCCGTAAAAGTTAGATATGCTTCTTTTTTATCTTACAAAGCTATTTTACAGAATTTTAGGTGTTGCATTGAGATATAGTGTAATTTTTCAAAGGTAGCGATTTTGGTATTCGTCGATTTTCAGCGGATGGACGATTTTTAATGCTGCCCGCCTTCGTAAACCTGGTTACTTCAAGGATTCTTATGCCAAGGCTCTGGCAAGAGAAGCCCAACCGCTTTTCCAACCTTGTTCCCCGCAACTCGCAGTCGAATGCCAATTTACCCCTCTCACGAATCACGATGCAAGGCCTCGAGTGCAAATGTCACGTAATAGGGTGTCGGAGATAAGCTCTCTTTATCTTCCCCATGACCTTCTCCGTCCCTGCGTCCCTGCATCCCGGCACGCATTCTGTAAAAAGAAGGTCCTTAAGCACAACACAGTCGTCCTTTACTCCGGTACCCGGGAGGTGGAAATTGACTATTGATTCGACACCACTCGATGCAGCTTTGGCAGGCAATTCACACTGCGCCAAGCAAAACTTCCGCTTCAAGGATGCCAAAACTGGAATGCCAAGACAGGAAAATGGCAACATGCCCACATCCGTATTCAAGCTTCCCAGGGTCAAGGGACTTGTTCTAAATTCAAGTTGACAAACGAAGCGCAACGATCGCAAAACCCTTCTGTTATCTTGTTATCGTGGGAGGAAGTTCAAGGGTCTTGTAAAGGAGATGCCTCTTTAGGATCGTCCTGTACAGGGAGATATGTGTATAAAATGACGGGCATCCGTGGTTCATGGAAAGATGACAGCAAGTTGTAGCTACCGCGTTCCCGAGCCACACTCCCTTTCGTAGTTTTGGCAATGCAGTTCTTGGTGAAGCAAGCAAGTGTCGGAGCTCTAGCAGTATTCCTTGCAGGGGTTGTGAGCGCGAGGGAAGCAGGGGCAAATTCTGCAACTGGCCCGAAGGTTGTTCCTGGAGGCTATGTCGTTGAGTTAGATAGTGCTGCAAATGTAAGAACCATAAGCACCTTCTCACACAAAAAGAGGTAAAACCAAGTTTAAAAAGATTATACTAAGTTCAAGCCGACAGGCAAATGCTCCTGCTTTCTTCTTGAACGTGTCTTCTAACGAGATTAATGTCACTCCACGATTGACACTTACTCACAGCCTGTTCGATGGAGTTTCGTTCATAGTGGCCCCCGAACATGACAATGAAACCACTTTCGATACCATCCAATCCTTCTCGTCGGTGAAAAGGATATGGCCACTTCGTCTTTACAGTCGGCCAGCGACGACTATCACCCTTTCTTCCGCACTAAAAGAAATCTCATCAGCACCGTTGAAGAAACGGGACTCCGATGTGTATGCAGTGCATTCAATGGGCGGGGTGGATAAGTTAAGAGCGGAAGGTTATGATGGAGAAGGCATGTTCGTCGCCATTATTGATACTGGTGTTGATTACAACCACCCGTTGCTTGGAGGAGGTTTTGGGCCCGGTTTCAAGATAGCCTACGGTTATGATCTTGTAGGCGATGGCTACGACGGGACCAACACTCCGGTTCCAGACGATGATCCAATGGACTGTTTAGGTCACGGAACCCACGTGGCAGGGATTGTGGGAGCAAATCCTAGTATTGATCTAGGATTTTCTGGCGTGGTGCCAAACGCAACCCTAGGAATGTGGAAGGTATTTGGATGTTATGATAACGTGGGCGATGATGTCTTGATTGCAGCTTTCAATATGGCATATGAAGCTGATTTCCCTTATCTTTCTGCAACCGCCGCTGGCGATTTTGGAACAACCAATCTTCCTCTTTACGCCATTACCCTTGACACAAAAATTACCAACGATGCCTGCTCTGCACTTGATCCATCAACACCGGACCTTTCCAGCTACGTGGTCTTAGTGCGGAGAGGCAGTTGTACCTTTTCATCGAAAATTGCCAATGTCGCTGCTTTTGGAGTATGCTTCTTTCACATCCCAATATCCATTATCGCGATCGCAATCCCTAAAGTCTCCTCGAAAAGAATCAAGATTAACCCTTTCGAAGGCAAAAGCGGTATTGATTTACAACAATGCGGACGGACTTACCACCCCCACTACAACAAGTACCACTATACTCGCAGCTATGGTATTGGCTGCTCAAGGAGCTAAATGGATTTCTGACCTTGTCTCTGGTTTGGCTGTCACAATTGAGTTTACTGCCTTGGCAAATTCTACTACCATCACTGCAATAGGCACGAATTCGCTCTCAGGAGGCACAATGAGCACCTTTACTTCCTGGGGCCCAACAGCTGAGATGTTTATCAAACCAGAAGTCTCAGCACCTGGTGGTAATATTCTTTCCACTTATCTTGATGGCGGCTATGCTGTGTTATCTGGAACCTCAATGGCGACCCCGTACATCGCTGGATGTGTTGCTCTCATCAAACAAATCAAGGGGAAAGGCATTAGTCCTGTAGAGCTCAACAACCTCTTCTCGACGACAGCTACGCTTGTCAAATTCAATGATGGCACTGGAACCCAGAACTTCCTGACACCTGTCATTCAGCAAGGCGGCGGCTTGGTTAATGCTTACGCGGCGGCTCACTATACTTCAAGTTTAGACAAAACGACATCCCTCTGAATGACACATGGAATCTCGTTTCCAGTCATTCATTTACTCTCACCAACGCAGATTCAAAACCAGTCACCTACAAGCTCTCCAACCTCGCCGCAGGCACAATCTACACCTTCGATCCCGACACGGTTGATGTCCCAATCCCTGCCCCCTTCCCAACCGACTACGAATTTAACCTCACCACCTCAGCAACCATCCGTTTCGAACCGTCAGCCAGCATCACCATCCCAGGCAAATCCTCCGCAGTAATCGAAGCACACTTCACAGCCCCCAAAGGCCTCGACGCCTCGGAATACCGTATCCCTATGTATTCAGGCTTCATCTCCATCTCTAGTAGCGTCGGCGAAACTCTCAGCCTCCCATACGCCGGCGCCGTAGGAATCCTAAAACACCTCCCTCTCTGGTCCGGAGCTTGGGGTCCCACCTTCGTAGACCAGAACTACAACCCCGTCCTAGCCAACACGACATTCATCCTCCCCGGACCCAACTCCACGTACATCCCGACGGAAGTCCCACTAATGAGCACCGTCCTCGCTCTCGCTTGCCGCATCATTCGACTAGATATCGTGCCTTTGGATACTAAGGGTTTACCAAGAGTTCTTGGCAAACAAGTTCTGGGGGCTATGCCGGGATATCCGTATTATTATGCGGTGAGGCAACAATTATTTGAGAGTCTTTGGGATGGGACGCTGAGTACGGGGGAATTTGTGCCCAAGGGGACGTATAAGTTTTTGTTTAGGGCATTGAGCATTTTTGGGGATGAGACGTATGGCCCCGATTGGCAGAGTTGGGAGAGTGAGTATTTTAATATTGAGTACGCTTGAGTGTGAAAGGCAACATACCTTGTTCTTCGTGGGTATTTGCAATGTGTTGTTGGTTTGAAGAGTGATCGGAAGATTATTGTAATTTTCATCATGGGTACAGCTCTGTAAGCCAGACTCAAAGTTTGGAATCAAATAACCCTTTTAACTTATGCCTGTGCACTGAACAACGAACCCCATCCTTTAAGCGCTTTCATATCAACCCCCGTGATAACACACATATCCCACAGCACAGTCGCCACAGTATCTAACACTACAACCCCAGACTTCTTTTCCCACCGATCCACTAATTGAGCTGCGTTCAGACCTGTACAGAACACACTCACGGCGGTTGCTCCTCTCTCGACCAACTCCCAGAAACCTCTGTCAAGTACCTCTTCCGTGATATTGCCATAACTAGCATTATCATGCTTGCCAAGATGTTTCTCGACCGAGCAATTAACACCATAACGACCGTAAGTCTTGATAATCGCAGCCTGTACATCAGCCGTGTAGGGAGTCAACAATCCCAAATACTTAATCTCCAGCCGCTTGATCAGTTTATTCAGACCCAGCACCGATGTCGTGGCCGGAATACCCGTCGCGGCTGTGATCTCTTCACACAGTTTCTCATCCGCTTTAAATCCGAGCCACCCGGAGGAGGTACCACTCCAGCCTATCACATCAACCTTTGCATCTGCGAGAAGGCGCGCTGCTTCGATGATTGGTGTGTTGTCAAATTGTGCCAGAGCGTTTGTATCGAGAGCGATCTTGAGCACTCGGAAGCGGGAAAAGTGTACTGAGACTCCAGGGAGTTGGGAGACGATTTGTTGTGAAAGTGGCTCTAGTGCGGTATTGGAGGAGGGCGTGAGTATACCGAAACGGATGCGTTGGGTTTTAGGCATAGTTATAATGTTACCGGGATAGCCTTGAAACTTAAATTCGAAGGTAAGAGGTGCCAGATGATTGGTACAGCTTCCCGCGATAAAGAACAACACTACCACAAAAGACTGGATTTGAGGATATCAAGCGGGCAGTTGAACCTGTATTTGAATGAAAATTCTTCGCCTGCAACGTAAAATAGTTCGTCGTGCGATTCCCGTGGGCGAACTGTCAGGTCGCGGAGTTTGAGGACATAGTGACCGATATCTTATCTTGTTATCGGGTTGACGCGGCGTCTCGTCGGGTCAGTCCTAAGTCCCTGTAACCACCAAAAGTCGGTCCGACCCAAACACAACCAAAAATTTCAAAAAACTCTACTATGCTAATGAATATAAATTGTATTAATAGAAATAATATTATATCTTATAGTAGTTAATTTCCTATTCTAGGATTTTTAACATCTTTAATATTATAGAATTATAAAATATAGAATTTAATAATAATAATAATAATACTAATAATAATAATAATAATAATAATAATAATAATAATAATAATAATAATAATAATAATAATAATAATAATAATAATAATAATAATAATAATAATAATAATAATAATAATAATAATAATAATAATAATAATAATAATAATAATAATAATAATAATAATAATAATAATAATAATAATAATAATAATAATAATAATAATAATAATAATAAGTAATACTAGTAGTTATATAAATATAAATAGCTTAATTAAATAAAAGATATTGATATATAATTACTAGTAAGCTAATATATTATTAAATAAAGAAATAATAAACTTAAAAAAGTTAAAATATTTATATTTAAAAGCTTATTATTAAAAAACTAATATAACTTTATAAGAATTTTTAATATATATATATATATATATATAATATAATATAATTAGTTTTTTGTTTATATTTCTTTTACTTATAATTAAAGAATTTAAATATTTTATAAAAGCAAGTATTTTAATAAAATATAAGAAATAAATAATTAAATTTTCTTTAATATATATTTATTAACTTATTATTAATTTCTTTAAAGCTTATATAACTTAAAAATTAAACATTTATTAATTATTATAATTTTTAATAAAAAAGAAATACAAAAATAAAATTTTATAAATTAGAGAGCTTTAAAAAACTTATATATATTAAATTCTAATTATTATAAGCTAAGTTATTATTAATATAACTATTTCTTTAAAAATTATATATATAATTACAGAACTCGGAATTCGGAATATGAGATATAAAATATAATTATATAATCTTTTATTTTATAGATAACTTAACTAATAGCTAGTTTTTATTAGGCTTAATAGATTTAGTAATTATATATTAATATTATAATACTATAATTCTCGTTTCTAAATATTAACTATTTTATTAATTTTATATAAATAGCATTTCATAATTATATAATAGTATTATATATCTTTTAATAAACTAATAATTATAAAACGTTTTAAGTAAAAGAAATAAAAAAACAAAAAGAATAAAAATTAAAAAATTAAAAAAACTAAAAAAAAACTAAAAAAAACTAATTATAAAGCTTTTATAAGAAATACTTATAATATTAATAAAGCTTTATAATAATTATTAAGAAATATTAATAATATAAATAAAAACCAATATATATATAATTATTATTAGTTTATTAATAATATATAATATTATTATATAATATATATAAAATACTAGTATATTAAATTAGTAAAGTAATTATTATTTAGAAGTAAGAATTATAGATTATAGTATTAATATATAATTCCTAAATCTATTAAGTCTAATAGGAACTGCTTTATTAGTCAAGTTATATATATAATATATAATAAAATAGCTATAATTATTATTAATAATTATTAATTAAATAATAAATAAAATTTAATTAAAAGTTTAAAGATTTGTATAATTCTTATTATAATAATTTAAAAGTAACTGAAAAATAATATATTTTATTATATATAATTAATTAATATAAAATATTAAAATATAAAATATTAAAATATAAAATATTAAAATATAAAATATTAAAATATAAAATATTAAAATATAAAATATTAAAATATAAAATATTAAAATATAAAATATTAAAATATAAAATATTAAAATATAAAATATTAAAATATATATATATTTTTGAAAAAGTTTAATTATTTAAAGAATACTTTTATAATACTAATAATTTATAAAACTTTAATTAAGAAAATAATAATAAATAAAAAGTATTTAAAATAATTTTTTTTTTAATTTTAAATAATAAATTAGTTTTCTTTTTAATAAATCTAATTAAATTAAAAACTCGTAATATAAGTTATTAAAATATCTAATATTATTATATTTTTGAAAAAAACCATTCTTTAAATTATATAATTTATTTTATATATATTAAATATTAAATATAATATAAATATATCTTTTAATAAAATTAGAAAAACTAAAATTGAGTCTATTTATAAAAGAAATATATATATAAGTTTTTTAATAATTCAAAAAACTTAAAAATGTAATATAAATTCTTATTAAATGAAATTATAATATTCTTAATATAAGATTTAAGTATTTAAAGAATATTAGATATATTATATTACTTAATATTAATATCTTTAAATTACTAATATTTTAATAAAACTTAATATTATTAAATAAAAGATTTAAGTTATTTAATATATATTAGCTTATTTTTTTTAAAATTATTCTTAAAGTATTAATTCTTTAATTTTATTAATATATAATATTAATAAATTATATTTTAATATATAAAAGTAAAAGAAAATATTGAGTAATAAAAATAAGTAATAAAAATATTAATTTAATTTAATTTTTAAAATTGAGCCTCAATTTTTATAATATAATAATAAAAGAAAAGCCTATTTAATTACATAAGATATAAACCTAATTATTATTATAATATTAATAATAAAATAATCGAAATAATCGAAATAATCGAAATAATCGAAATAATGCAATTTCTCTCTTATATTTAGTATTATATAATCTTTTAAGAAATTTACGCGTTTTATATAATTAAAAATCACAATTTGAAAATAGTATATATACTTTAAAATTCAATTATAAATTAACTGTGCATTATATTAAATCTAGATTAATATGGTTTGTTCGCCCGGTTTAGCTCTATAATCCAATATTTTAGTATTAATAAATTGTAGTTGTGGTTAAAGAATTACTGTGGGTTTAAAGGGTGGCTAATTTGTTGCTTTTGGGTCGGACCGACTCTACGGATATCGCGGCATAAAGTCATGCGACTTCAGGGCATGTCTAACCGAGATATACTATTCGTCTTCTACAGGCTCAGATTATAGTAAAGGCAGACGCTAGAAGTCCCTATAATTATAGGCCCAAGCCCTATAAGGCTTTTCAGGAATTAAAAGATATTTCTAGGGTATGCCCCAGTAAATACAGGGGTTTAATCGCTAAAGTTCCCTATAAAACCTCTAAGTTCCAGCGTCTAAGCGCTATAGCTATAGGCACTACATGGCACATATACTAAAGTCGCATGACTTTATGCCGCGATATCCGTAGGCTTGAGACGCACCCCAGTATCGGAAGCCACTTCCAAAAAACTAAATCGAGCCTTGGCTTTTCTCCCACACTACAGAAACACCTTGCATGGACTGCAAGTTTCAAAATTTACGCCAACCAACACGCCTAACCCCATGCTACCGAACCCCGGTCAATGCCCTCCAACACTGTGGGGGTTTTCCCTCGCATGATAAACAGTCTGCTCTTCATCAAACAAAATGTTCAAAATGGGCGATCTGCATCATAATCTGGAAGCTCTAATTTCTCTATTTGTTGAGATACTTTGAACTGCCCCTGGAAATCTAGCGAGGCGGCACGTGAGCAAGCGAGAACAGCCTCAACACCCCCCAAAACATCAACAAGTCAGAGACTTCTTCAGGGAGACTCCGGGACGCACGAAGACGATAAAGCAACAATCCCAGTGCCTTCAATAATCAGTCTTGTCACCTGTTTCCGCGCCGCGGCCCCGGATTTGGAAAGCGTGGGGCTTGTCAAATCCAACATCTCGATTTTCAATCTCTTATCGTCGGACTGACCCGAAGATCTTAAAATGGCAAGGGTTTCAGGCACGGCGATCTCACATTCAACCAACTTTCTTAACTTTATCTTCGGGTTGGCCCCGAGTATCTTGCATCGATATCAACTTGAAGCCAAGTTAAAAATATAAAAAAAAAGACTTGTGTCATGACATTCAACTATAAGTTAAGTCCAGTTTTTCACTTCGTCGCGTCGTTTCAGAATCCATCTCTTTTAGCAAAGCTCATCACACCCAGAGAGGACTGCTTCAAAGAAGACGCCTCAAGCAAATACACCTCTCCATCTTCACTTCAGTCATGGATTTTAAACATTTTTGGGAGGAGCATGTTGTGCTCAAGCCAAAGCCAGGATCGTTCAGCACTGGTGATCCACATGCCATCATGTAAGTGCAATTCCCGAAACGGCATTTCGCAATTTGGAATTCTCACAAGTTCCCGTGAACCGGGGTTCGAGCTTCTGTTGTCAACTTTTGAATATCTCGCTAGTTGCTCGGTAATTCTATTAGGCAATGCTGATATTGAGACTATCAGGTACACAAACGAAGACATGGATCCGATCAAGAGAAAAGACCGCACTTACGCATGGTACCAGATGGGTCTCTTCTGGATCGCCGAAGGATTCAACGCCGCCCAACTTCAAGTATCCAGCTCAGCCTTTTCTCTCGGTCTCAACCCCGGATTATGCGTCCTCGCCTGTTTCGTCGGGAACGTCATTGTCTCTCTCCCCTGCGCAGCCTCGGGATATCTAGGCAGCAAACTTGGAACCAATTTTCCTGGAACCGTCAGAGCATCGTTCGGAATGCAAGGATCCAAATGGGCTATGATTGTCCGAGCAGTCCCCTGCATCATCTATTACGGTATACAAGTCAGTCTCGCAGGCCAAGCTGTTCAGGCGTGTACTACCGCTATCTGGCCATCTTTTGACAATTGGAAGATCAATGCAATCCCCGCTTCCGCCAACATTACCGCTCAACAGATCCTATGCTTCGTCATCTTCTGGCTTCTCTCGCTGCCATTTCTGTACCTGCCCATCAAGACGCTCCGCTTTTTGTTCGTTGCGAAAAGTATCTTGGTACCGCTTTACTGGACAGCCATGTTCACTTGGTCTGTTACGGCTGCAGGGGGGTTCCCCGATGTCGTAAGTGATTCTAAAATATCATCTTGATTATCCAATTTATTCCTTACCGGGCAATGCTGACTCTTAATAGTGGAAAATGCCAAGTGTGCCCCTTGACGGCATGAGTGTCGGATATCTCTTCGGAATCTGCGTCAATGCTGCCATCTCCGGAAACGCCACGTTTGCTGTCAACATCATGGACATTTCGCGACACTCAAAGAGTGACAGAGCCGCGTGGGTAACGCAACTCTTCGCACTACCCATCCTGGTTACCTTGACCGAACTCCTGGGCTGCACGATGGCTGTGGCCTCGTCGGTCCTATACGGCGAAATACAGTGGAACCCCCTCGTGGTCATCAATAACTTCGAAAACCGTCCAGGCAAATTCTTCGCGGGAGCTCTATTTGTCTTCTTCAACATCATGACGAACGTTACTGGAAACTCGATTCCGTTAGCCAATGATCTCACTGGACTGTTCCCTAAATACATCAATATTCGCCGTGGGCAGTTCATCTGTGCCATCGTTTCATTCGCCATCTGCCCCTGGGAGATCGAAGCCAAAGCGACAACTTTCCTAGCTTTTATGGGCGCATATACACTGTTCTTGGGTGCCACTACTGGAGTTATGATGACGGATTATTTCTGGGTCCGTCGGGGATATGGTATCAACATCTTGCATCTCTTCAAACCCCGTGGAATTTATTGGTACAGTTACGGTTGTAATTGGAGAGCGTTCGTGGCTTGGTTTGTGGCTCTTGCTCCATTCATCCCAGGTATGGTACAGGGCATGGGAGTCAGGATAATCAACAAGGGAATCCTTAACCTCTATTCGTGGAACTATGTCCTTGTTGTTACGTTTTCAGGATTGCTCTACTTCGTTTTTGCAATAATCTCACCAGTCCCTGTCCGAACTAGTGATGAGGATCTCGGCAAACTGTATTTGATCGACGGGCTAGATCCGGAAGTCGTGACTGGCGTTTCTAGCAGGTTTGAAGGCAAAACTGATGAGGGTAGCGACATTGAGAAAAAGAATTACAGAAGTGAAAGTTCGAGTGCCATGGTTTGAAGGATTTATAGAGAGGCAACGACTAGCTGGGGCCGTCGGGCAAGAGCGGCGGCTGTTATTGTATTTACTGCAGAGCCTTTCATTACACAAAACAAGCAATTCATTCTGAAATTTGTCATTTACTGATTCGATGTTTTCACGCCTAGTGACTTACGGGCTGTATAAGTGGTCTGGCCTGCTAGCAGACTTAGATTTGCTTATTTATAAGAATACATGATACTGTGAGTGGCTTCTGACATGATTCACTAAATATTTCAAGTTCAAAATGTCAACGACTTATTCTTAGACATGTTCGCTAATATTTTACTTCACTTCAGCAGATTGCTTCAGTTGAAACAGTGCTTTATTCTATATCTAGAAAGATTTGGAACCCTGGGGTCTCAAATTCGGCATCTCCATAAGCTTCTTTCCGAATGCCATGATCTCTTTATCTTTTCCCGCTTGCCCTATCAGCGTAACTCCAAAAGGTAAATCTCTTCCATTCTTGTTCTTCCACCACCCCACAGGCACACTGACAGCACACAGATCCAACATATTTACAAAGTTGGTAAACTTCCCCATCACTTTATTCCTCGCCATGGGCTCCTCTTCAAGCTCCGCAACTGTGAAATGTCCAACAGTGCTAGGCACAACCAGAATATCGATCTTGCGGAACTGGATCTCGGCCTGGCGCCTGTGTAATGCCAGTGTGAAGACATCTTGGTATGCACGGGTGGCACTGAAGTTATTGTCTGCAGCAACTTGAAACGTTGACTTTATGGCAGGGTGTAAGACCTCTAATCCGTGAGACTTGATGTACGGTTCGAAAGCAAGAAGGCGTTGTGAGACGATTGAAGAATCATACAACATTTGATTTGCTGACTCGAAGGGTATATAGTCGATATACGTCTTGACACATCCAAGATCTTTTTCAATCGCTACAACGGTTTGATCAAAAGCCTCGGCATACACTGGGGATAAACCACGAAGTAAATTTTCGTCAGGAATTCCAAATCGAATCGGGTCGTGCCACGGATCCCACGTCGGAAGCTCTCGACGTGCATACACGTCGTTCTCATCAAAGCCTTTCATAACGTTCCACACCTCCTCCGCATCATCAATTGTCCTCGCGATAATACAGACACAATCGATGTTCTTGCACGCAGGAAACAGGCCCTCGGTGCTGACTGTTCCCAACGTAGGCTTCAACCCTACAACACCATTTAATGCTGCGGGAACTCGAGTGCTTCCACCAGTATCCGTACAGACCGTAAAGGAGACGAGAGATGCTGCAACGCTGACGGCAGATCCAGATGAGCTTCCACCAGAGATGTAGTCGGCGTCAAAGACACAACGAGGAATTCCGTATGGCGAGCGAACGCCGGCAAGACCCGTTGCAAATTGGTCGAGATTGGTTTTGCCGATGAGGATTCCTCCCGCGTCGAGAATTCTCGTGATGACCGGCGCGGTTGCTTTTGCTGCATACGTGAATGATGGACAAGCCAACGTAGTTGGGTGTCCTGCTATATCGATAGAATCCTTGACGGAGAAAGGAATTCCAAATAGCGGTGGGAGCGGTTTTGAGTGATACTTTTCCAGTAATTCTTCTGCTTGGGTAAGGGCCTCTGATTCTGGGATTAGGCGTATCCAGACTGCTTTATCATGGTAGGAAGCAATCTTTTCATATACGTGACGAACGACGTCAAGAGGTGAGAGCGATTTAGCAGTATATTGCTCATGAAGTCGAACAACGTCGAGAGATGAGACATGAACCGAGGAGGCCATGGCCGAGAGCAACTTGGTGCAGGAATACTCTGCTCCTGGTCTAATTTTGACGGCCGCAGAGAGGACGGACAACGTTGAGCAGTGAAGCGTTCATAAAACTGGATAGAGATAGTTCATGATACAAAGTCTGTCATGAAATCATGTGCGACACATTGGTCTTGTTTCGCTATCATCCTGCCCTTCGGGCCACACCCGCGGCCGCCGACGGGAATTTCAGATGATCGGGACGGCCCGACTCTCGCTTCGGCCAATAGGGGCTAACCCTCGCTTGATTTCCATGGATGGCAATGGGATCTTGACTTGAGGCTGAGATTTCAAAGGGGCTGTGCATCGGCTCAGTAACCATCAAGCTGCCATCCGGCGGTATAGCCACTGCTTGTTCGAGGACATGGTGGTGTGACAGATTTCAAAAATCTACCGTCGCGCTAGAATTATGACCGAAGAAGATAATCTCAAGGTACCTGAATGGAAAAAGAAAATATATCAGAAGGTATTGCGGGGCCATATCGTGGCTTCCTGCAGCCACAATGCAGAGTGGGGTGATTGTAACGATTTTGTCAAGCCAATCGCGTTTCTTGCAGCAAAATATTGTTCAAATGAGCCTTGCACAATTGTGTTCGCAATGCCCGATGAGAAATGCACATCCTCTACCATCGAATCACATTACTCGCTGTATAGTCGAGGATTAAAGGCCTTCAAAAGCGGATGGATAATCAAATTAACTTTGTAAGCAGACCCCTGTTTGTGACCTTCTTCCAACAACTTACTTGATTGCTCAGGCTTCAATCTCGTGTAACAATGAGATATGAGAATCTCCCAGAGAGACAGCATGTCTATGAGTGCGATCTCACTACTGATTTGTTTTTCCTCCCAAGTACTGCATTGACCCTATGTCCTCATTCTCAAATTCATGAAGTCCTTCTAGAGTTAATACTATTTCTAGAGCATTTTCAGCCCACTATTCAATCTGGACACAGACACGCACCTCTACACCCATTGTGAATCCAGACTCTTCTGGGCGGAAGCTACACCTATTTCAATCAGTTTTCTATCGGTGTATTTGTGGCCCGGGTCTTATGCAAACGGGTGACCCTGGACAGGAGCCATGATGGAAGCAGTTTCTGCTGTTTTTCGTGCGCTGGCATGGAATGAAGAGTCCTGTCAGCAGATTCTTCCTGTTAATGCGGGAACCGAAAAAGATACAAGCATTCCAGATATTGAGAAGGTAATTGTTTGAGAAGTTCAATTAAAGCTTTTTTTTTTTGATAACGACTAGGGGTGACTATCCCTACTTTCCGGAGAGTGATTCCCCTTCTCTGCTCGTTTTGACGCAGAACGCGAGAAGAGGTGGGGAATCAGCTACTAATATTCCCACGTTCAGAGAAAGTTTATTTTAGTAATATGTTTATACAAGAAGACATTGTGATATAGATAAGTCTTCTTCAGATCATTCCATCTCTCTTGGTTGTTCATCCAATGATAGCACGCCAATGAATCCGCTGGTGTAAATGGAAAAGGATAGCCTGGCAGAAGGTGATTTGCTACCCCGATATCAGCAGGCACTAGCAGAATATCTCTTATAAAGTAACTTTCCGTAAACGTCGCCGATAGCTGTTTAGTACATTGTCAATAACTGATATTTGGTCGAGGCAACCAATATCGTTGAATTGCTTCGTGGGATGGCGGTCATGCACTGGTTTCAACCTTGTCGCCCTTGAATAGGACAAAGACTTTCATGTGGCTTTATTTCAATGGGATTTTCTGTGCCCCCGTTGGAGTGAATGCCAATATTGTGTGTTCTGGTGACCGTCTCGGCTTCGTAATTCACTTCGTAAAAGCCGAAAAACTCTTTTCGAGGCTCGGTGCTGGGCATATAACCAAATGGCAATGATACTGACGAACCACCTGTGGCACTCGGAACGGCTATCAAGAACGTTTTAAAACCCACCAAACATACTCGCTCTTGTCTCTTCCTGCCTCGTCCCCACCCCTAGTATACCCGCCATCCACAGTCTCTCCTTTCTCAAAACCCACCTTCTGCACAACTCTTTCACTAGCCGGGTTCTCCGGGTCAATTTTTGCCACCAAATGTTTCTTCCCCTGTAATCTTTCTCCTTTTGCGCTCACTCGTCAGCAAATGTTCCCCTTAACAAAGGCACGTGAGATGAAGCTGAAGTCTTACTTCCATCAGCGCAATACAACGCGACAAACATTCCCAAAGCCTCACTTGCATAGCCCTGTCCCCAAAAATCGGAATGAATTCCATACGCAACCTCAGCCGCATCTTCTAATCCTTGGGGAACTCGAACTGTTCCAACTGTTCCTATCATTTTTACTTTCACTTCGTCGTGGCTATTTGAGCGAAGGATGATGGCATAGTTGTCGATCCACGGTTTCTCCGGCGATGGAGTCCATTTTTGGAGAAGGGATTTGGTGTCATCAATGTTTGGGGATGGTTTTCTCGTCCTTAATATTGAGGTTAAATCAAAATAGTATTTGACAGTTTTGGAGAGAAGCTCACGAGAATTTCAGGCCGGTGGCATCAGTCATGATGGCATGAAAGTCTTCTAGGTGATCTAGACTCAGGGGCTGCAGCCACAGACGCGGAGACTCTGCTGCGAATTTTGCCATACTTGATGTTTCTGTGGAGTTGAAGAAGAGTTGAATGAGACTAGAGGAACTGGATACTATTTTATATTCCGCAAGTTGTGATGAGTCAATGGGTAAGAACGGAGCAAATTATGCCGAAGTTGTGCAAATTGGAGCCACTCGCCTATTCAAGCAGCCTCCCAGAAAGGAAGGTACTAAATGATTGCGAAAAACGGGAAGAGTTAGGGTTATAAGCACTTGGAATCAAGATTCCAACTGGCTGTAGATGTGTACCAAGCTGGGAAACAGAATTAAAGTTGAGACCAGCGTTCTTGGCACATGATCAACAATTGGAGCTTGATATAAATGGCCTCAAAAATTCACTCCACACCTTTGCTTACTAAATGTTCACTGAAAAAGTATCAATTTCCAAGTCCGAAGCTACGCGACGCACAAACATCGCTGACTTCAACCATTGAAAAATTCAAAGCTAGGACGTGTAGGCCTGCAGGAGCAGAGGCTATTGACTCTGCCAGCGTCACAGAAAAGACAAAGGAAGCGGCAAGCCGGTAGAAATCAGTGCAGCCTAAGGAACACCAACCAAATTCTTGAAGAGGTACAAGCGTGTCATATATAGCTATGCATCCTCAATTAAAAATGCGTTGTTCCTTTCCTTTCTATCTCTTACATCCCAGCTCAAACCGTATCACCTCACTCGGTCACCCCGACGTACTCATACAACCCCATCCTCTCCAGCCAATTCTCCATCACGGCCCACCACATGCTCATTATTCATATCTGCAAACACAATATGCGTATTCCCCCTCAACATGGTCCCCATCCCCTCTCCCAACACCAACACCTCCGCTTGCCCACCCAACTCATTGATCAGCCCCGCCGCCGCCCTACTCATCCTAACATGGTTCCCATGAAGCCCTTCCCCTTACCCCTATGGTCCCCCCAGACAAGCTGCACCTTAACTTTCGCCAATTTCCTGTAATCCTTGTGGGGAACCACAAATGGACCGAGCCCAGCGATTCCAGAATCCAGTGATGTTAAAAGAGGCAGGGAAGGCATAGCCAATACTCTCGTAGGCAACGGTGCCTTTGATGTTCGTTGAGTTCGATAGGATAGCAGTCATCTGCGCACGCATTCCAGCAGCTAAATTCGTCACGTAGACAAGCCCATCTCCCAACCTGCCTGAATCGGCGGCGAAGGCTGCGGCGTTCGCATGCAATAGAACGTTCTCATCGGTATCAAGCTCATCGTATCTCTTCCTCACCGCACCCCTCTACGCCTGGTCTCTCACGCCTTCGTCAACGAGATCTGCCCCATTCTCACCGCTGCCAATCAAGCCTGGGAATTGCACCCGGGCCAAAATGTAAGGTATGAGGGCCCGAAGTTCCAGCTGACGAAGTTGTTGGCGTCGCGGTAGAAGGGGCAATAGGTTATGGGGACACAGGCATAGTTTGTGCGTCCTACGCGGGGCTCGTCCCATTGGTAGACGGGGTAGTCGCGTTGCAGCCAGAATTCTTTGTAGCCTAGGCCGCCGTCCCAGCGGTTTTGGAAGACTTGGGTGGAGGAGGAGTGCCATAGGACGAGACTTATTTTGCGGGGGCTCCAGGGGTAAAGTATCTAGGTGTGGAGTTAGCTTCGAGCGGAGTTCGTGAAGGAGGTACGACGGTTGGGGAAGTGGAAAAGAAGGGGATAAGTACTCTATGCAACCGCGATTACAGGACAGTGTCTGGTTTGGATTTGTGCCGTCCGTGATGACTGTCCCCCCTATCTTGAACCCGCCCGACTTCTCGAGCATGATGATTTTTCTTCTCCGGGACCCGGCTGCGAGAGCTGTGCTTGCCGAAGCAACGACTAGGACTGCAACACTCAATAATCTTAATCTCACGTCCAGTCCCCGAAATCTGGGGAGCATCGAAGTATTGAGCTTCATTATAGGAATCTAATTTCAGAGACAAACGTAGTGAAATCCTGAAGAGAAGATGAAAGGACTGGCCCCAGAAAAGGACACCGGAAATCTGCTGAATGGAAGAAATGGGAACATGAATGGACCGGGGGCAAGAAAGAAAATATAATCAAATGTGATGATGCCGATTTATATGTCGTAATCCCGGCCAGCCAAGCTTCCCCAGATTCCGCACAAGCAACATTGCCATGACCTGCCCCACAGATTCGGCGCCCGGTTTCCAAGCAGCCTATTACTAACCAGTTCGTACAATAACCTCGCAGAAATAGCCGCCCACGTTCGTACCAGTAGTCCACTAGGATCATGCAATGAAGAAATTTTAACGCACACTACAATATCTGAAGTGCCGAGCGCAGTACTGTGTCTGCAAGCAAAGACGCGAAATGCCGACAGGAGTAAAATGCGTAATTGGGCCATAAATAGGTGGGTAATGCTGCGGCTCGGAACGGTCGGCTGGAAGAGTTAGGTAAAGCGATGGGTGGTTTTGGCTAAACTCGGATTAAAAGGTGTAGATTTACAACTGATATTATTTCATGCCTTTACCCTCCCCTATTTAGAAGCGAGGTGGGGTTCCGAAGGAAGGAGCTGCACAGAATATACTTTGTATGGCAGTAGTAACTAAGGAGGTAAGAATGTAAAACCAAAATTATGATCTATTGAAAGCAGGGGAGCTGAAGATGATATTGTAACATATTTGAGAAGAGAAAGAATGATCGTTTGCCCGATCCTGGCTAGGATAGTACTACAAATGAACCGAGCTGATGCACTGGCTCTTTCCTAAGAAACTACAATTTTCTTCCGCATTGCTTGTCTCACCACAATCTATACGACTGCAAAATTCTCCCATGAAAGCATAACCTGTGCCGAGTCTGGATGTCAAACACTGCAGGACCAAAATGCACGTCAAAACACGACGAAGGCAGTGGAGGATACCTTTAAGCAGATCTTAACAATTACTTTTTTTGACAGCAGGTGCACTGAAACGGATTTTTTTTATCAGAGAGCCAAGCTGAATAAGTAAAACTAAGGTAAGACGGTGCAGGTTATTAAGCGTCCGAAAGGTTGCAATGCTTAACACAAAGTAGTGGCTTAATAGCCAAAATTATATACTAGGAGCTTTACAAAATCATAGGCAGCATGTCCAAGGGCCACATCTAGGCCTGGTAGAACCATTTGCTTCTCAGAAGCAGAATTGCATTTGTAAAAAAAAAAGAGATAAAAAAGAGGAATATTGTGGTCGAGCCCCTAGCCCATTTTGCGAGCACAGAATTGTTTGATGTCAGGGACTATTGCGAAGGTGAAAGAATTTGTGTCAGATTATACTGCATCTTGCTTATTAAGTTAGAAGGTAATGCTGTCGCGGACAGCTGGATCAGGGTCACGTGACCACGACTCCTGAAAACCTACGTTGTAATCGGAATATTCCTAGTAGTAATGCAACAATGAAATTATAGCCACTTTACACCCAACAAGAGTCCCGTATCCTTGAAATAGATCCAACGGGAGCGAGAATGACTTGCATTCACTCCCGAGTATGGCGTTGCCACGAAATCGACACGTTGCCTGGCCACGCTCGCTCCACGTTTTTTATGCAGATTCACTCGAACGCATCGAACGACATTATTGGCTTCACTAAAGTCAGTGACCAGAACCAATTTGCTGGGACATTGTACCCAGGAACTTGGGACCTTCGAAAAAGGAAAGAAATTGCATGCTCTTGGAAACCAACAAGATTTCCTGTTTGGGATATTGAACGACTAATAACGAGACTCTCGCGTTCCACAGCTGTGCCGAACAATTTTGACTGCTAGCAGATTATTCTCCCCAAACTCTTTGGTACATTGCTGAGATTCGAATTGCAGTTCTTTAATGACCAGCTGTACTGGTGTGTGAATCGATGTCCCAGAACTTTTCGGAACATTTCTAGCGATTGAGTTCGCGTTCACTCTTTTCAGATAGTTGCCCGTCACAAAGGGAATCGCATTCGTACGATCAAACGAATAGATCGAGTCTCCTTCCCTCGAACCATTGTTCCGACCACTCGGTGCGGTTCAATCTTCCAGACCTTGCTGAAACAATGAACTGACATTGTACCCAAAGCAATGGATACAATAACCATGATCGCCTTGCTCTGGCTGAGTTTGCCTCGCCTCGCCCTCCGAGCCATCTTCCTCACTATCGTCTCTCACCTCATCTCTCTCGTCTGGAAGATCTTCATACTCCTCGCCCTCAGCTTCGCGCGTGTGATCTCCGCATTATTTTTCGTCCTATTAATATGTCCAATCCGGATCATCGAACGAGTCTTCTCCCATCATAGCCCCTCCAATTTTGGCACCAGCATCCAAACCACCAACCACTCGGCTCCGACTCAAGAAAGCATGAGAGGCAACCAGGCGGGCAAGAACGGCATACCGAATGATTGGGTTACAATCAAACTTTGTGGAACAGATGAGATCTCGCACTTTCAGCTAGATGATCGGACGGTGGTTATAACTGAGATGGTGGATGGTATATTCGATGGATGGATTGGGAGCTGGGAGGAGAGGGAACTGTTTGTGACAACGAGAGCGGAAATTGACGTGAAGGTTTCCGAGTGGCTGAAGACGCGTGAAGCATAATTGGCGGAAGTGGATGGACGCTGGGGGGCAGGAGGACGCATACCATGCCCCTTCTCGAGAAGGGTCGTGATTGAAGCCGTTGTTTCCGCTCAGCTGGCTAGAGATGGAAACATAAGCTCCTACATGAAGCATAGCGTCTGAGTAGGGCATCAAGCCGTAATTGTAATCATAATCCCAAAAGCGGAGGGCAGTAGAGGCAGAGAATGGAACAACTCCTGTTGACGTTGCATCACATGATGACTTCGACACGTGATTGGCACGAGAGACGAGAGCTAGGGGGATTGAAGGTTGCATCCATCAAGAAATCGCTACTGGAAAGTGGAGAGACGATCTAATTTATCCTATCGAGAAGTGGTGATTGGAGTTGGGAGACTTGGCTTGCTTCGTGCAGCTTCACATGCTTTTCACGCTCCTCGAATCGAGTTCCCCCTGGCGATGTCGTCACTGGTCAGCAGGAAAGTGTGTTGATACTTGCGTTGGGGCTGAGAAACCAATTGCAACTAACGTTCATGTTCTACTCGAGCACACCACAATAAGATATCTGAATGCTGAAGTTTTTCATCTTGAGAGTGAAGCAAGAAGGAAGAGCAGTTCGAGAAGTGAAGTCTCGAAACGCCCACACTGCCAGGGGCAGCTCTAAGCGGGGTAGGCTAAGCTCTTTCCGGCTCGCGCGTCGGCGATCGCCTCGCATCCGCGCCGACGGACAGGGGCTTGGCAGAAACATGTGAAGCGCAGATGACCGCAACACGCGCTTCACAACACCACCAACCCAACGAATGGCTGGGCTGTCCTCGTACGAGCACAGCAGCTGAATTGTGCGAGCTTTTCCTTCTCTTCTTCACGGGATCCTCTTCTCTTCTCGTTGTACTCTTCACGACGCTCTTTCACGCCGAATTGCAGACGAAACCGAGTCCTAGTCCCCTTGCGAATACGAAGCCCGGATTTTGTTGAATCTTGCATTGGCGCGCATATAAACGACAAACTCACGAGAGCAGAGCAGTAGACGTCCCACCTCCATCTGCCTTACCAAACGCGACCCAATTCCTATCCAAACTGTCACCTTGTCGCCAGTAATCCTCCACGAACTCTCTCGTCCGGAGAAGCCGGCGCCTCCTGCAAACCTCGAAATGTCCTCCTCCAAGATCCTCCGCCCCAAACCCCGGCGTCCCTACGAAACCTTAACCCCCCAATCCCCTCCCTCGCCTCTCCTTTCACCCGCCGCAATAGACGACACGCCCTCCCGCACGCACTCGATCCTAAACCTCACCTCCAGCACCCTCCTAGGAATCTACTCGCAAACCGGCTACCAAAGCGACCTACAATCCGACCTCCCGTCGACCCCCTCTTCTCCACCTACCTCTGCCCCTATCCGCCGTCGACTTTCAACCTTACCACCAGTACACAAACCCACCACCCTCGAACTCGGCTGGAAATTAGGGTTGCGAGGAGTACTGCTCTTCGGAATGGGCATGGGCTACGGCTTACTAGTCCGCCATCTCCACGACGACAGACGACTTGCTCCGTTCCAGGTGGAAGGGATTATCAAGCCTAGAGACGACGCTGGATATTTACTGTTCTGGGGAATTGCGGGCGTGGCGTTGGGGAGTTTGTTACCGTGGGTTGACACCCTGTTTGCGGTCCCGCAACTGGATACGTCGGTTTTTGAGAAGAAAAAGGAGGAAGAAGAGGAGAGCGAAGGGGGAATTTGGGGCGCGGATTGGACGCCGGTTGTGAGGAGCGTGGGGGCTTTTGTGGGGATTGCTTATGCCATTGTATGTCCCCCTTTACGCTCTTGTTTTATCTCTTGTGATGGTGGTGCTAATGTGCTGTGCAGAGAAAACTCCCTTGGACTTCAACCCTACAAGCCTCTTTGACACTCGCGCTTGTGAACCCAGCCCTCTGGTACCTAATCGACCGCTCCAAACCAGGATTCATCCTCTCCACCGCCGTTGGCGCCACAGGCACGGCTCTCCTGCTCGTCTCGAATCCAGATATGATGCCCTCTCCAGCCTCCTCAGGGAACTCAACTTCGAAATATCCCTATTTGGGGAAAGGCGGGAATTGGGCAGGGGAATGGGTGGGGAGAGAGAGTATCGAGGGCGCTGTTTGGATATTGAGCGTGTTGTTTTGTAGCTGTGTTTGTTTTGGGAACATTGGAAGGCGATTGGCGCTGAGTGGGACTGGGACACGAAAAGTGATACCCGCGAGAATGCTGAAAAGTGGGAATAGTGAGGATTCGAGGAGGTAGATGGCGAAATGGGGCTGTGGTCATGTTCGAATTGTGGAAAAGTTTTAAGTTTCATATCATTGTTGTTGGATGCATGGGATGGATAAAGGTTTGGTGATTCGGCATAGGAGCATGATGGATATACCACGAGCAGGTTCGAGGGAGCTGAATGGAAATCTCTGCACTTTACTTGAACTCAGGCGCTTGGGATCATCTTGGAACATTAGAGGCACATGTGTGATTGTTCCCCTGAACTTGGCCTGTGGCTCACTCGAAGCATACGGTGGCGTAACGCACAATCTCCCCAAGCCGTAATGGGAGCACATTGAATATCATGTATTATCATCGCCTGACTGAGAAGATTGCTTTACGCCCAAGTGGGTCTGTATCCTCAATTTCAACATCCAAATGAAATGATGGAACAGAGCGTGCCGAGGAAATTAAGCCCTAGCCTTTGGCTTCCGCAAACACTCTCCCAATCCCACCCAGGCCTCCCAATGACATCCTTTGCAAAAGTGCTTTGCCCTTCCCATCCTTCGTCTTAGGGTCCACCCCATACTTCAACAGCATCTTCACAATTGCTTCCTTTTTCTTCATATCATCAATCATATCTCCCATAACCGCAGCAGGCAATGGCATCCGTCTTTTCTTATTCCTCACCTTCACACTCGCTCCATTCCTGAGCAGCTCCTGAACATCAACACAACCACCATGTACAACCCAATGCAGAGCAGTTTTGACCTTCGCATCTCTGTTGTCGAGGTACGTGCATCTGGTTATGAGGAGCTTCATAATCGTCATGGTTCATAGATTCATCATAGCCGTTGCCCGAGACGCAATTTTCGTCAATACTTTCTCAGCATTATTAAACTCTTTGTCGTCATCCGGCACCCCCACCCGCACGAAGCAGGACGCAAAGTACAGCGGAGTAATAAGATGACCCAATTCGGCACTTCGCGAATGCATTGTAGGCAGGGGTCCGACCTTTTCTATTCAGAACTGTGATGTTGGCCTGGTGACCGACGAGCAACTTGACGATGTGCACACTCTTACCCGCTACTCTGGGGTTACAGGTGGCAAGATGAAGCGGCGTATCCCCATCATCATCAATAGTTTCGATGTCTGCGCCACTGGCCATCAACAGCTTCGCACCGTCGTCGAGATCGAGCTGCAGCGTAATGACGAGGTGTTCGACGAAGAATATCGCGTTCCGAGGAGCGGATCCATATCATAACAAATCACTCACCATCGGCGCGTTGCCAAGAATGGCAGCAATATGCAGCGCGGTGCGGCCCTGCTTATCCTTGCCAGTAACCTTGCTCCTCCACCCAACAGTGGCTTTATGAGCCAGTTCTTTTACCATCTGCGGCCCAATGGAGCGCCGTGTACAGCACCCATCCTTGTCAACAGTATGAATGTTCGCTCCATGGGACAAAAGGGTCTTAACAGAGTCAAACTAGCCACTTGCTACAGACTCTGATAATGCCGTTCGCTGAGCTTGGGTATCGCGAACTTCGAGGTTGGCTTTCTTGAAGCTTCCTGCAGCGAGCGGTGACAATCAGCGCAGGCTCTTTGCTTTCCGCTTTGGCTACTGTCTTGGAGTTTTGTCTTCGCTGGAGCGCGGACTACACTTCCTCTGATCCCGTTTCGAGCATCTTTTTCACGGCTTCCTCTGCAAGCTTTTGTATAATGAAAGCCATTCCGATTCAAGGCAGATCAGTGATCGAAGAGAAGAGTTAGTTCTGTTTTTGGGGCGTAATTTTTAGCAAACGAAAATTGCTGGTTGAAGAAATTGCTGGTTGAAGAGCCATTGAGGGTCCGTTGTAACACAGAAATAGCTGCTACATGATCTTTATGCGCCACTACCCCATTAGGATAGAGAGAGAGAGCAAATGTTTTGTGAACCTCCAATGGACATTCATGAGGCGTCGAGAAGGTGGCTTTTCATTGAAAATGCCAAGTGGCCTAGATGGTAGGTGTGCCACGCACCACCCGGGCTTCATCTTGTCACTACACCACAGCAAGAATTCCACCAGTATGAGAAGACAGAAGGCAATAGAGAACTACCGTAGTTCCACAGAGCAGTAGTTATTTGTAATTTCTGTATTGTCCGCAAACTTTGACCTTAAGCTAGGAACTGCCGCAGCGTGTTCTACGTCGGTTACTGTACAAACTGAGCTTATATTGTATTTTCACATGCAATGGGATTGAACTTTAGACAATAGCGAATCCGTGGAAGACCAGTTAATTTATAGAAACCCTTATAATTATTAATTACCCATATACAGGCATTCTCTCCCTTGAAGATTACCTGCTTTTTGATGATAATGGTTGGACTTGACATACTCTAGTGATTTTTGCTAAAATAATTAGTTTGTAACTACTTGTGGCAGAAATTCTGGCATTTTCAAACATCAGGGCTTAGAGAAAGGGGGACATTAATTTCTCGTCGTCTTCTTGAAAAGAGCTGGACCATCACTAGGACGTATCTCTTTGGGACATCACGTTCGAGAAGTGGGTTCCGACTAGTGTGATGAAACGATGTAAGGATTTGCACTTTGAGAGTCAGTGAAATCTGCAATGCTTAGTGCCCCCAATTCTGACGTTAAGGGAAAGACAGTCGAGACATTGAAAAGAGATCTCTGGTTCAGAAACGGGGTTTAATAACCTGTCAATTCTGGACTTGGAACTACACAGCTTGTTTTTGGAGGTTTACAGGAATGGGTTAATTGCATTGCAGAACCATCAGCTCTTCTCCAGCGGCCATACTTTGATGAAAGCCTGCAGCGGTGATCCAAGAAGAGAATATATATGCTTTGAGTCTTTGCCTGAGATTTCTGAGAGCGAGAAGCGAGTCTGCGTTGTAGCTGAAACAGGTATGGATATTGCTCAGCATATCAGCACTTCTTCCGGCTTCCATTCTCTGAATGCTAAAAAAGAGAGTCGGGTTTGATGCTGAAAAGGCTCACAAGAGCTAACGATCCCCTCCAGATGAGCCACTCAAACCCTGAGATATTCTCGCGTTTAGTGGCACAGAGTTTTCTTGGAATATTAAGCCTCTGCCCCTGCTCTCTACCATTAGCACTCACAACATCACCATTATCTGCATCGCCTTTTCCCCCATTAACCAGTTCATTTTCCGTGACATTGGGGCAACTTTCGTTGGTAACTTGGTAAGCTCACCCTAGGTTCCAGAACGCCAGCATGTTTCTCAGCATCGTTCGAAAGATCAACCACCTCAGCACCCATCCGCTCACTCCGTTTTTTTGCTTTTGAGCATAAAAGCGTTTGGCTCTGGGAACAGAAAAGCAGTGAAGATCCGTCCAGGAATACCTTGCTATAAATGGACCTTCAACCTCTCGATCGGCTTCCCCAAGCACAATCCACACGACCGATAATGCGAGCAACGAAAATGCAGTAACGAACGCTGGTTTGGCAAACGGCTAATTACACTTCATCTTCAGAACTATGGGCGTGGTAAGGATTGGAACGACGTTCGTCGTTGTTCCGTTAAAGTGACCGAGAACCCCTTTCTTACCAACGACAGCAGACGCCGCGTTGTCAGTGAAGATCAGATTAGGAATCAACGAAACTGATAGCTCTAGCCGACGAGCCTAGATGACCCGGTGGCAGTTCCCACCGTAGTCTATCCCCGCGGCTAAAGCCCCTCCAGTCGCAGCACATATACTATTCATCGATCCCTAGTAAAAGTCACTACCTGGTAGGTTGTCCTCAAATATGTTGCTCTGTGACGCGAGGAACGCAACACTGAACTCAGTAAATTGCATAGATTTCTACCATACAGTGGAGGCATTTGGGTGACTTTGGAATTCATAGCCAAGATGATAGTCAACGAAAGCCAGTTTCGGTATTAGACATCAATACTCCCATACCATGAATTCGATTTCAGGGAATTTGAAGGGAGAGATTTCCTTGCAGAGTTTTGATTCAGTCAAAGTCCGCAACGGACTCGGAGAGCAAACTATGAACGTTGGAGAGTAGAACAAGTAAATATACTGCAATTGAACGGCCGGGAAGCATTATGTTACGATAAACACCGAGGCACAATTGAAGACAAGAACTCGGCAAACCATATGGAGCTAAGAATACTATAGAGGAGGAACCACAGAGACAACTCCAGGAGCGAAGGCGCACCCCCCTCTTGCAGTAAAGCGTATAACGCCTCGTTTAGTCAGCAGTATAGTCTCAGTCTCACTCACATCGAGACACCTGAGCATGCTTAAGCATCAAAGCCTCCAGACCTTGATATTCATGAACCGTGTCCCAGGCAAACTGGCCCCTGAGGAGGTGCCATACACGTTGCTCACAGACACCGCCTGCTAGCCTTCTACGTGTCTTGCCCCAGCCTTCTCTAGCTGGGAGACCTTCGTCACATCTGTACACCAATCTGAAAGCCATATCTACTCAACTCCTTAGTGGAAGAAAGCACACGGTCTACTAATCGGCCTACAGCTTTGAAAAAGTCACCGGAGGCGATGATGGACCACGACGTGGAGGTCGCTCTTTGGCAGCGAGGAATTTTGCTTGAAGGAGACCAAGAAATTGGACCTGCCTGCTACCTCTTTGAAGCTTCCATCTCAGCCTTCTCCACACTTTTGCAAGTTCTTACTGCTGATTCAGTTCATTATGATTCAGAATCATACGGAAGTCTCAGGGAGGAGTTCCGGAAGTTCTACATGTGGAATGAAGGCTTTTCGACGCGCACCGGGGACCTAGACCACGTTTTAGCCTGCTCTAAAAATCTTAAGGCAACAGTCTTAAGCCTGATGGTTCAATGGGTTAAAACCGTCTCTAAAGGTATGTCAATATATCGCTGATTACAAGGTATCGACCGACACAGATCTCCGTGATGTATTTCAATGACTGATCTCTGTGCCTTGCCTTAGTACCGGAAATCATGCCCGAATTTGACTGGTCTTCTGTCTTCACCAAGTTTACCGAGCTCCAAATGATCACCGGCAAGGTAGAGCAGGTCGCGAAAGCTTCGATCTCAGACATGAAATCACAATATTCTGTTTTTGATAGCTTCAACCTTGAAGACGGTTCGGAATCGGATTCAGATTCAGACCTTGAATCATATATGAGCGAATACGTCTTTGAAGACATCATTGAGGATTTAAGTACGTATATGGAAAGTTTAGCCGATCTATCACCTTCTCTCGATCACCCCGCCACAGACCATGCATTCATCGAGGACGTTAACACATCACTCATCGATGAATTCTCAACTGTCTCCGAACCCGCCAAGCCTTTTGTCTTGATAATCAGGGATCGTTTCCCATCTTTGGACGCTGGTATCGCCAAAAGATTAGGAGAAGCTAATTGGCAACGACGGGAGCGACTGCGGATGAAGCTTGCCTCTGCTCCCGAAATGGGAGAGTTCTACGCGGAGGACGATGGCAATTCAAGCACTGGAGACACAATCGTCGATGCAGGCCGGCAAGTGGTCGAGGATCAGCAAACGATAGTGGGCACTGCCCGTTCGAGTATCAGCGTTACAAGGACCTTTCAGTCAACCACGATAGAATCTCGATTCTCAGATCCGTCTATATTTGACAATGCGTCAATTCATGTCCCTACTCCTGGTCGGGTTCGCCGTGCTGAATCAGTAACATCATTCGCTACTTCAGTAGCCCGGGGGATGGACTATGGGCAACGGAGAGTGCCCAATTTGCCAGTAGACCATGTTTATGGATCGACGTTTCAATGTAACATATGTGGTGATACTTTGACAACGATCCGGCACCGTTCAGATTGGAAGTATGTATGATATCTCTTACGAGTTTTAGTAGCTAACTATCTTGAAGGAAACATGTCTTCAACGACCTGGAGCCCTATATCTGCCTCTTCAGTAACTGCGATCTCGGGCTGCAAACTCTTCAATCACGACGAGAATGGAGTTACCATGAGTTCCAGGCGCACCGTGTAAATATATGTTGAAACTGGTACGCTACCATAGCTAGCTCACCAGTCCTTCCAGCACCAGGTTCAACCACTAATTTAGGGTTCTCCACTCTCATTTGTCATGCGTCACTCGCTGAGCTTACCAAGCTTACTAGTATATCGTCATTTTGATTACTTTTGATTTATCAGCTGATTGATAATGTATCGGAGAAAGCGGGCTCGGCATCACCGGTATCGCCGAAGGGTAATGGGAATAAATCCCTTACTTTAGACACTTTTCCTCTGTTTTTACACTTCACTCTCCTGTATCTAGTCATTCTACAGATTGTCAACCTCCAATATATCGATTTTCCATCAATAAATCGATCACTTTCCAATAATATAGAATGGCACTGCAATCTTTGCAAAGACATATTTGAGACACAGGAGCTCTTTCGGCGACACATCAATAAGTCACACGGTAGTGACATTGCCATGTCTCAGGTGGAAGAGTTCATGTCTGTTTCAAAGCGCCTACTTCCCTGCAAGGTCGAAGATGAAATATGTCCATTCTGCTTGACAAAACCTTCTCAATCCCAAGGAGGGTTTGCTAGTCATGTAGGGAAGCATCAACAAGAGATATCTCTGGCAGCACTACCAACGCTGGAAGATTTTTCAGATGATGAAAGTATCAACGATGGCAAAACCTCTGACGACGACGATGACGACAGTGACGATAACGACAACAGCGGAGAAGATTTCAGGAAGAAGAAAAAGGGCACGGACGATACCCAAACAGAAAAAGGAGAAAACTCTGCTCCTGGTAACTCGAATCTCACTGGTAGCTCTAAGCCAAAATCGATGACTTCACAGACTGCTGCACTTGGGTCTGCTATACAAGCCCCCGTTTATTTGCCTTTCAAAGTCAAGGCCGTTTGCGAATATATATCTCCTTTCAATGACACCCTTCAGTTTCCCAGCGAGCAGATAATCACAGTCACCCAGGAAGAGGAAGGTGATTGGTATATAGGGGAATACATGGATACTTCAGGTGTGAAGCAGAAAGGCTTCTTTCCTAAGAAGTTTGTGGAGAAATACGAATCTGCCGATGCTTTGCTATCGACGAACAGCGGTTTAGTCGTATCCTCGCAAGTCGAAACGATAACATCGGGCATTCCCCCTTCCTCGGCAGGAGACGATCCGAACAAAATGAACGAAAAGGGACAACCAGATGCGAAAATTACTACCAGCGAGGGACGAGAAATTGACCCGAATCATTTCATTGCTGAATCGATCGATGCCCAGTCCTTGCCCTCCTCGGAGAAAAAGAAACTCAAGTACCCTTTGCAACCTTCAGAGCCTGAAAATCGCCTTGATATCCTCTTTAAATCACCGGCTGTCCCCCAGCGTTCACACAGTCTATCGCAAGATAGCCAGCAGTCCACCGGTACCACAAAGGGTCCTCAGAGTCGTCTCATGCTTTCGATTCAAAACTTTGAAAAGGCCTTGGAGAATTGCGAGGAACTGTGGCAGCATCTTCCGTCTGGCTCCAGCGAAAGTCTCACTGTCTTAGCATCCCTTGAAGGCCAATTGCTTTTCCTGCGAAAACCTAGTGGGTACATCGCTTCTCGCTCTTCCCACCTGAGTTCCTCAGGTATTGAAACATTAATCGAGAATCTGGCTATTTGTCGGACGCAACTGTTACGCCTGCAGAAGGTTCTCGAGTCTGTAGATGGACGTGCGGATGAAGCAGAGAACTTCCCAAGATTTACCCGCCAATGGATGTTATCGAAGTCTGAGCTTAGCGAAGCCCAGGATATCCTCACTGAACTTCGAGTACGGACGGAAATGCTGGAAAGGATCTATACGCCACGTTCTCTCCGGAGAACCAAAGTGCGCCCCGAGGAAGCCGGACCCAGCTTCAAAGATGATTACGAGAAATACCAGCCTCCTTTGAGCGAGCAAATAGGATCGACATTCCAGGCTGCCTCAGCCGTGGAGCACCCAGCCCTTAATGCTCATCCCATAGACGATTCCAGTGACGATCGTGCCTCTGAAACAGCGGTATTTCCGGCAAAACTTCCATTCGATAACAATATTGAAGAGCAGGATGGTGATGTAGTATATCCATGCAAAGGTTGTGGCGAAATTGTGAGTCAACCTGATGTATTTTATTTTCCATACTATTAGCTTATCAGACATTTTCCAGTTGGAGGAAGGAAAAGCGTTCGAACTTGGTAAGTCTAGTCGCATCTCACTGTTTTGAGTGTTTATTTACCGATTATAGCTGGGAACCGATGGCATCTCAACTGCTTCCGGTGCAATACCTGTGGGGTTTTGCTTGATTCGGACGCAAACCTTCTTCTCCTCGGCGACGGCTCGCTCATATGCAACGACTGCACATACTCATGCAGCGCATGCGGCAATAAGATTGAAGACCTAGCTATCCTTACAGGAGACCAGGCATTTTGCGCAGCCTGTTTTCGTTGCAGGAATTGCAAACGTAAGATAGAGAATCTCCGATATGCTCGGACCCCACAAGGCATATTTTGTATGAGCTGTCACGAATCTTTAATGGAAAGAAGGAGGAGGAAATCTAGAGCTGCGGCAAATGCGAAGTTGAAAGAGGGTCAAGGCCACTCTCTTGTCGATAGGTCCCTCCCTCCGCCACTGCCGCTACCACAAAGAGCGTTTCTGCAAAGCGCATCTTCGTCCTTAGATCTAGAGGCGTTTGGCACAGGCATCAATTTACCAGAAGCTGATGTTCCACCTGAGCTTTCCCCTAAACCACATCGAGGCGATACCCTGTAGGTATCTTCTCGAGGCACGCCTCACCAATTCTGCATCTTCTTCCCGCATTAACATCTTGGGTGGAGCGCTGGATTAATACCTGCGGGTAATGCGTAGGTCAAGTGCTCGAACTGCAACGGATCTGGGAAGGTTGATAATTAGTGTAGATGGCTAGTGACTTGATGCGACAATGGTTAGATAAGGGGAACTTGATCACCGTGTGGTTTTCGCCTCGAAATATTTTCCTATACCTTTGTGCAAATAGAGAGGTTAATAATTCAGATCTTTAAGATATGTCTTATATCGTACTACTTGCGAGTCTTTTGGGATCTTTGATATCGCTAATCAGTTGGATCTTAGTCGGACCCTCCGGTCCACTGTTCCTGCTCCTACTCCTGCTCCAGCTTCTGATTCGGCCTCGGAAACGGTTACAAAAAAGTAGTAAACGGTATTTCCAGGAATAGTAAAGAATGTCTGCAGTACGACATTAGACCAGTGCGCCAGGTCTGTCTTACTTAGCTCTCATTAATACTCTTCCTTACAACGCGCCTTAAACATTTTCCGGGAGTCGTTATTGGCCTTATGTGAAAGAACTAGCATTCTTAGTAGTTCTAGTAAGCGAGACTCTTATAAAGAGTAATGTAATGGAGATATAAAACAAGTAGTAATATATAGAGAAGAATGGGCTTCCATAGCATGGGATTATAGCGTATAAGAAATAGAATTAGAGAGTGAAGGTTAATTGATTTCTAAGAACTAAGAAGGAGAGAGGAGTAATATAAGCGGACTGCGGACTAAACGGATGTCCGGAGGTCATATAACAGAACCCACGTGACTAATAGAAGTAAAATCCCTACTATAATAAGACTATTAATAATAGTAAATTGGTTTTGCTACTTTAAAGCAAAAGTTAGTATTAAATAAATAATTAAAAGCTTGTTTAAAATACTCAAATACTTAGTATTTAACAAATAATTAATACTAGTATTAATTATTAAGTATTAAATACTTATTATTAATCTTATTGTTACGCTCTGCCGCTTTACTAGTAAGTTTAGCGTCACGTGACTGCAATAACGCATGCGGCTGTGCTAGTATTTAGAACACCAAAGCTCCCGCACTCAAGAGCTTCTCTCCTTAGTTTAGAATCTTCGGAATTGAGCCACTTTACTGCTTTCCAAGCCTAGAGACCCGGTCTCGTGACACTTATATAAATTTGAATTTTCTTGAACTTTTTAATTACTTAGTAATAAAAACTTAGCCTAAAGAATTTATAAAGCCTTTATAAGTATTATAAATATCTTATTTTAAGGCAACTTATATAGTATTGCTTGAGAAGTACCTTATGTAATTATTAATAATTAAATAAATATTAATTTGCCAGATTCACGTGACCCGCACGTGACTACTCTTGAGTTACTCTAGAGTAGTACTCTACCCTACTCTACTCAAGTACCATATTACGCTACTCAAACTCTACTCTACTCTACTCAAGACTACTCTAGAGTTACTTGAGTAGCTTGAGTAGTTTTTCCCCACACTGGCTTCCAATTAGACTGGATGCCCTGAAGGAACGGATTACTTTCTCGTTACCTTTGATTATTTAATCCTCTCGCAGATACATCCATCTTTAATGACTGCAGTAAAGCCAACAAGCTTAACGGTAACTCGGAACTCCACCCCTCCCGATAGCAAATTATCATCCGATTCTGTGCTTGAGCCTCGGAATCTGAGGTACTTGTATACAAGTTAGGTTAGTGTTACTCCGGCGGGTTTACTTCAACCACTTCGAGACTGTGAGACAGTGTGTACGATGCAGATCGGGCTGACTCTTAATAAAATGCGAACAATCGTGGAGTCCTACCAAGAGCAGGCTGGGAAGTTTCTCAGAACGGTTTGGGGTCCCAAAGTTCAGCTCCGGGGGAAGTGGCATCTTGAGTCCAATCACTGAGTTTCGGCCCCGTCCCTTCCACATTTACCGCAGGTTCAGCTGGTCCTGCACCTCACACCGCTCGACCTCTCATCTCCACCCTACGAAAATCACCCACGACCTTTTCCCACCAAGAACCCCGAGATCTGCAAGGATCCGCGTTGCTGTGGCTTATTTGGCCGCTCTAATGCTCAATGTATATTCTTCCGGGCCAGCCCACGCCAGCTAGAAGATCTTGGTGTCAACCGCGGGCAACGCATTCATCGCAAATCCCGCGATTTCAAATCCAGACGCAGTGTCGAGTTGAACAAGAAACCTTGGCGTCAAATCAGAGCCGCATCATCTTTATGCGGCACACATAACACGGCACGGCCCACACCTCTCCGCCTTGGGAACTTCTTCCGAGGCTTGGTATTTCTGGCTTCAAAGCTGGGCTGAAGACTGCAGACTGCAGAGAATACCAGGGACTTCTCGGCCCACGCTGCAGAATTAACCATCAAGCCCACCCGCAATCGCATTCAGCCTCTCGGTGGAAATGCGAACACTCGAACAGTCCCCAGTTCCCATTCCCCAATGCCCAGGCTCAACCACCAGGCTCAGAGTCCCCCGCCCTAAAGTTCCAGTCCGAATTATTGAACAAACGAGGCTGCACGGCAAGGGCGAACAGCCTGTCCTACGGGTGGATTCGCCCCCAAAATAATGGAAGACGTGCAGGCGCCACAACCCGAGCTGAGGAGCTGGGGGCAGCGAGGTCAGGATGCATCTATTTGAGCGTGGCTCCCCCCACAACCAACCTTCTTTTCTCCATCTTTTTCTCTCGCTGAAAATGCGATTTGGCTGCGATGGCGAGCCCTTCGGGAAGTTTCTCCAATGGAGGAAAAGATACAACCATGACCGAGGATAAAATGGAAAGGGGTGAGGCGCGGCAATTTTCGAAGAGGCATTCAGAGAAGAAACATTCCGGACTCTCCACTCCCGGGGCCAAAAAACGTATGTAGGATGCAATATACCAGGTGCATTCTTGAATTTGCTAACTCCTTGCTGACAGAATCATCTTTCCGAAAAGCTACCGCCAATGGACATCCAGGCCCTCCACCCTCCGGGACACCGTATCTCTTACCAATCAGAAACCCCTTGGAAATGCCGCTCAAATCTCAAGTCATTTTACTGCGCTATGCTGTCACACGTGGTGATGATGAGCAAGCCGCTTTTTACATGCGCCAGCTGAAAGATAAAGATATGCTTGAGTCTGCGGGATTTACAATGCAGGACGCTGCTGGCAATGGCCTGCTCCAGATTGCAGCTCTCGGTGGACACTCCAAGGTCGCGGAAATACTTTTAGATCAAGGAATCAATATCAATTCTGTTGACCGTAACCACGGCACCGCATTGCAGGCTGCTATCTACATGGGGGGGAAGGGTCCGAATGAGGTCATTCGATTGCTCCTCGATTGGGGTAAAGCAAAAATCCCTGATGGCAGAGTCAGAGACAAGATCAATGTCAATACGAAGGGCGGCTACTACGGCTGTGCTCTGCAGGTCGCTGCATATAGAGCCAACTCCGAACTGGTGTGCGAGCTTGTCAATGATTGTAATCCTAAAGCAGATGTGAACATTGCTGGCGGGAAATTCGGCTTTCCTCTTCAAGCGGCAGTGCGGACTGGTCGCCGAGCTGTTGTCAAGCCCATACTCTCCGTTAAATCAGATCCAGTGAACATCAATGCCAAGGGGGGAAAATATGGAACCACATTACAAGCTGTAGCCAGGGGAAAGTACAGAACGAGGGAGAAATTGCCAGAGATATCTCGAGGACAGGTTTTGAGTCAGAAAGCACAAAGCTCACTAGGTAAACCCATCGACCTTCACAACAACGCTAGTGAGGAAGACTACCGTGAAGTTGCCAATATGCTGTTTGAAAACGGTGCAAAGATGGATGGCGGGAGTGGAAAGTTGGACAACCCCATCAATGCAGGTGAGTAGTCATGCTTTGGTCATCTGGAAATTCTTTAGTCGAATTTATATCAAGATATTGAACTATCGGATAATATCGGTCAATTACTAATCCTTCATCCACGTTAAGCTGCAAGCTCTGGAGACCCGGCAATGCTTAAATTAATGCTGAAGCATTGTGAGAAACCGGACCTTCCTTGGAAGGAAGACAAGGGCAGAGTATTGACAAAAGCATTGCTGACTGCGATCACCCTGTCACCCGAAAAATCTCCTGAGAATCCTCCTGAGAAGCAGTTAGCGTTGGTTAAATTACTTGTCGAGAATGGTGCCAACATTCAGTATAAAATATCTGGCTCCTTATCCAGCCTTCCGCTTGAAGCAGCTGCTACAAAGGATCTACTGCTTATCGTCGAGTATCTTTTGGAAGTGCAAGATAATCAGAATCAAAGAGTCGATCTTTGTGCTGAAAGTGGCATACACGGCACGGCCCTACGAGCTGCAATCGCTGCTGAACACGAGAGAGTTGCACAATGCTTGATAACTCATCAAGCGAAGAAGTTCAAACTCCAAGAGCTGTCAATGGCCGACTCATCCAATTTGTCAACTAATACACCAACAAATGAGCCAACAAATGTGCAAGCTCCGGTGATGCCGAGTGCGCAAGCAACAGCGGAACCAACAATTTCCGCGCTTGCAGGCTCCAATGGGACGCCCTCGGCCAAGGGCATTGAGAATGTCCGAAAGCGGGCAGAATCGATATGCAGAGACGGAGAATATGGGAACATTCTACAACTGGCCACCTCCCGAGGCCTTGTATCGACGGTCGAGCTTCTTCTCAAATATGGAGCCGATCCAAACATACAAGACACCTCGGACAGAAGAGCTCTGCACATCGCTTCATGGTTTGATTTTCCGGAGATCGTCGATCTCCTCCTAAGTCATGGAGCCGAGATAAATGCAAAAGATGAGTAGGGTGCAACAGCTCGAGACCAAGCTGAAGAGTCACTCGATCGAGGTGGTCATCCTGGGGGAAGTGAGGCAGACCTTCAGAGAATCCGGCAGACGCTTGCAGACAAACTAGGGGAGATCAACCGCGAGAAACCTGGTACCGAGTTCAAAGGCCCCAAAAAGACGATGGCCAAGCGGGAGTCGAAAAGGGAAAGGGAAGGCCAACGTCTCAAGAATTGAATGTGAAATCAAGAGAAGTTGGGATTGGCGCGACAGAGACCACACTAACATCGACAGAAAATCTTTCCGGGGTAGTCAAATCAACTTCCACAGGAACAGATCCAAGGTCAACAGAAGTCAAGCCAGAGAATGCAATGAAGGCGTTGCCAAAGGCTGCAGGATCACAAAAAGCGAAGCCAGTGTTCACAATGCCCTCTTGGATTCCTGGACTTGGATTTCACGCGACTATAGTTGATATCTGGGAATCTGAGGCAAAGACTGACTACGAAGAAACCGTTTTCCAAGAGTGTCTTTTGTTGAAAGAACCGAAGGTTGACGAGATTCTATATCATAAGGCAATCATAGATGCTATTATGAAATACGACGCCAAACCAACGGGAGCCAGGGAAAAAGTGAGATGGATTCACCTACCTACAAATAACGTTAAGTTTTCTCCAACTGTGATGGCCATGACGCATGCACTGACTGAATCAGATGACCTGGGCTGAAGTACGCACATGATGCAATTTTTGAAGAGAAGCTTACACGAACAGATGTTGATGACGGGTCTTTGCAATCAGAAAAAGATGCCAGTATATAAAAGTATCTGGGGAACGGACCCTTTTTACACTTCGCCAGATCTTTCTCCCCATTCTCGTTTCATAACGCCCCAATGCGGAAGGCTAATACAAGGTGAGAAGACGCTTAAGAATATATTACACGTCTAACTGTTTTTAAATCTTAATTATATTGGCTGATTTTCTCTCCCCAGACGGGCTGAAAACCGAAGGAGATCTAAGCAAAGAGGCAAAAAAACCGGCCCCGTTATTCATGGCTGTGGGTTCCGCTACTGCAAGCCAGTTTGTTTACTGATAAAACATAGATGCCATATATCCACTGGGAAGCTGACCGAGCCCAGACGCTTGTCGCCGAGTGGATCAAGAAAGTCAAATTGGACTCCGAGAAGACAAGCGGAGCTCGAGAGAACAATTTCTGGCCTAGCGAAAAAAATCGCATTGGACTTAATCTAACAGTTAATGTTGCTAAGCACCCTCAAATGACTACTTCTGATGCAGGGGAAATCACCATTGAAACTCAGGACGCAGGAGAAAACTATCTAGAACTTCTCCGACGTTATTTGTTCAAGCGGAGGCCAGTACATTTACGTCGCACTTTGGATCAATACTACTATTCCCATCTGGCAGATACGAACTTCCGGGACGGTGATCAAGTTGTTATGCGTCAGCTAAACGAGTACAAGAAGGAACTCAAATTGAAAGGTAATCGAGAGTACAAAAGGCTGAAGCTCATCCAAAAACAAGAGCAAGAAATAGAAGAGAGCAGCTTCTTCTCAAGAATTTTTCAAAAAGCTTGGCGGAGCCGCCCGATGAAGTTGGAGGAGGTTAATAGCCGGCTGTTCGAGATTGAACAGACACTTTATCGCGACAGAAACAGCCCTATTCTGATGGTAGATCAGCTGTGGCTGTGGGTGGTAGACGAAAGTTTGTTACACATTACTTGATTATATCCTGATACGTCATGCTGATTTGATTTTTCTCAGAGACCGTTGTAACTTGCTTTCCACATCGGCTGCAGTATAAGCGAGACAATGAAGATCTTGATGGGGAAGACAAGACAGATATCCTAAAGACCATCATCACGTACCTTCATAGTCCACGACGGCCAGAGATCGAGAACTCAAATGCCCTTGCTGAATTAATATTCTGCCAATGTGTGAGCATACTTCACCGAGCGGATATGATTCCGGAAGTTGATTTCCTCAAAAATTACTCGATCCGGTCAAACATATGGGTACTCCATCCTTTTTCAAATCATACCTAGGCGATACAATTGCTAACTAGATATGCCAGGCCGACGAAACCATGCAGATGCTAATCCAATTCGTAAAAAGCTTCGAGAACTTTATGGTCTGGATTAAACAACAGCCAGCAGAATCTGAAGAATCGATCAGAAGATTCGAAGACATCTTCAACGTCACAAAACAGACACATCTACTCCGAAACATACAGGATATCAAAGATGAACTTTGCATGCTCGAGGCAGTCTTCCAAGACCAGATGGATGTACTTTGTGCTGCTGGAAAAGAGATCAACAAAGCAAATTTTCACTGCGACGGTTGCGAAGAGGATGAAGCTGTACGAGAAAATATCCGGTGTCCACACAGCAGCATGGTTTTTGTAGATCAAAGTATGAAGCACTGGAAGCAGATAAGGCGCATGCAAGCTCAAGCTGATCAAGCTTATGACACTGTAAGATTCTTAATCATGAGCCCTCCAATCCGGATTAAACGATGATTAACTTCTCTACAGCTCAAGGACCTTTTGGATCTCAAGCAGCAACAGGCAAATGTACTCGAAGCGCGTGTCAGTCGTAACCAGGCAATTTCATCAGGAGAGCAGTCTAAGACAATTATGGTCTTTACTATTGTTACTATCATCTTTGTACGCCCATTTCGCCATCGTTGACATATAGAAAGTCCTACCTCGACAAGTGCAGTAATCTAACATTTGCTAGTTACCTCTGACTTTCGTCACAACAATTTTCACACTTCCCATCGCAGAATTTAGCCGTGTCGTGCTACCTGCAAATCAAACTATGCCAGCGACACCTTTCCTGCCTAAATCCTTTGTGGAACCTTACATAAGTATGCCTTTTCTTATTCCTCCCCCAATGTGGCCGACGATTTTCCCCCCGACTTTAGTATTTCTCAAGCTGACACAGAATCTTCACATAGTTGGCGTGACATTTGCAGTCGCAATTCCCCTGATCATAGCGGCTTTCGAAATACAATGGGTCTTGAATACCTACAAATTGTTCACGCTATGGGTCTCTGAGGAATTGAAGAGGAGAAGAGAGGAAAAGAGGACGAATATGATGCAACATTGTTGGCCGGACTTTTTGGAGGCCAAGAAGAAGGAGATGGAGCAGGATAGCGACCAACCATGACCGGTCTATTCTGTGGCCCCCTGTTAGGTGCTGAGAAAGTTTGGAAGTTATGAAGATGGCGTTCGGAGTAATGTTGTTGAACTGGTACACTCGCCTGGCTAGCTCCCATTCCTTCCAGTACTAGGTTCAACCACTAATTTAGTGTTCTTCAATCTCATATGTAATGCGTCGCTTGCAGAGCTTATTAGCGCTCACTAATATATAGTCATCTGCTTGATCAGCTGATTTATAATGCACGGAGAATACAATGGAACACCCATATCGCCGAAGACTGATGGGGATAAGAATGAAGCTTTGGACACCTTTCTCTCTCTTTTCATGCTTCACTCCGCCTGTATCTTAGTCATTTAGGGCTTGTCAATCATCAATATTATCGCTTTTGCACATCCATATTGCTCCCTTTGCAATAAATGTGCCGTATTTATAGAAAAGAGCTTTGAGCAAGGTAAGAGATAGCGAGCGAGAAGAAGGAGTATGCTTTTGATATTATCTTCTTTGGTGCTTCTTGGGCATCAACCTCAACTTTTAATGTTCTTGCTCTGTCTTCCATGCCGTTGTATTGTTACGGATAGGTCAACCCTATCAAATCCGTATGTCGTTCTTTCCAAATTTGGTTGCCTCGCATTATTAGTATTGACAAACACTGATGAGTGAATTAATATTCTTTCTGCGTCACACGTTCCTTGGACTGCATATTCTCTTCCAAACTCGTAGTAAACTAGGTGAGCGATATAAGCTCTGCCACTGCCGGTTGTGCAGAACAGGTAGCTTGAAAGATAGTACAGTCCTTACATATCCTTGCAATTATAGATAGATTTATTCAAAATCCCGTAATGATTTAATTATCTAACTCGGTTCTCTGTAAGTTGGCAGTGCATTGCTAACTTTATTACTCAATGCCTCTATCCGTTAAGTCTTTGTCTCTTGTGTACTGTACTGTACACCGGATAGCCGTTTGGCTGCGGTGACAATAACAGCTGATTGTTTAACCTGAATTCTCACCTGTATAAAATATGTTTCTGCTCGGAAAGAAGAGCAGGGCTGCTTTATCGGCAATGCTGGGTCAGCGAAGGTGAGTAAGGTGAGGAAAAAATGGGGAGCGGGTAAGTAATAGCCCCTTTAGCCGCGAAGTTAAGTTCGACTATTAGGGGGGCTCAGTGGGAACTGAGGCGATTTGGTCCTCGGCCGCAACCATGTTCCGTAGACCTGAGGTAAGGTTAGCTCCAGGGTGACCGATTTGTGTCCTTGATAAGATGAAAGTCCGAAAGCACATATGCTTGCAAGCCTACTTTCACGCTGTTCGCAGAGAAGGTATCTCCCTTTCCCGTGGAATGGACTCGGCGTTTATGTGTGACAGGGTTGGGGTTACAAAACATCAATGAACGACTGAAGCTATCTCCCCTCCCCCCCAAAAACCCATGTAACTGGGTGCCTGAGGCTAACCTGCCTGCCGCCCACGCATCTTCATCCTCGTGAGTTGCTATGTTCCTTCCCTTGTAGCCCCGTTTCCAGTCGCAAAAAGAACATCTGTACGCAATCCCGACTACGAGCATACTACGAGGACTATCGCTGCCACCATGGATTCACACTCCTCGAACGCCAAGCCCCCCTTCGAGACACTTCCCCTCGAGACAAGACAGGCAGTCATGCGCGCACTCCCAGATGTTGAATCATTGAAATGGCTGGTGCTGTCTTGTTCTTCCTTTTATCATGCCTTTCGAGATGCTGGATCATTGATCACCATTCGAGTGCTCCTCAGTGAGGTGCACCTCGACGTCCTCCCCGAAGCCGTTGCTGTGTTTGAATCGGCGCGGAACGGATCTTGGACTCGACAAGGGATCATAGACTTCGCCTCCCAACACCTTGACAGAAGAATTCCGCCACCACAATCCTGGACACTCGCGGATGCGTTATCCATAAGCAAGCTATACTCTCATGTCCATTATTTTGCGACAGACTTTGCATGCAAATGCCTAGGAATTCAGGCTCTGGAGCGCGGCGTCCAACAATCATCGCCATCGCAACTCGAAATAGCTCGTATTGAGCGTACGCTCTATAGATTTGAAATGTACTGTAATATTTTCAGAGACTTTAGGAATCCGATCCTCTCTGTGGATGAGCAAAGAGAAATTATTTTCTCAAAGTTCTCTCCCTGTGAAAATGAGCAATTGGCATGTACCCACGATTATCTATATGGAAAGGTATCTCCAGGTGAGTTTGAGAGCACATACTGCAATTTAGATACTAACTTTGGTAGCTTTCAATGAGATATCAGAACATGACGTTTTCTGGGGGGGATTACGGGTAAATTATTCTGATATTAGCGACCCTGGCGATATCGAACCTATCCTTGCTCGTGGCCTCTCAAGCATTCATTCAATTGCCCTAGCAAACAACTATGAAGACCGGTACAACCTTGTCTATCCTGACTATCCACAATACGAACCGGATTGGTTATTCGGGGCTTTGAATGCCGCTAATGACATTCATGATGGCGATTGGCTCGAGGATTATTCGGACGACCAACTTGCCCGAATTACGGCGTCATTCTTTCCAGACTCAGACACTGGGCCAGTGGAAACATGGGTCTGGGCACACAAAGAAGAATCTGGCCGGCAGTTCATAAATACTCCTATCCGACAACCTCTTCGTGAATGGGGCTATGTTATGTGGGATCGCGCTCGACTTCATGAGTGGAAAGTCTTTCAAACACCCTAGGGAGAGCCCGACGATTACCCTCCTACCACTGAAGTACTGAAATATCACCGCGAAAGAGAAGCATCACTGCAGAGGAGATCGGAAATATACCGTTCCGGCGGAAGGGGTTGGTGGAGCTTCGAAGACGAGAGTAAAGTATTCTGGCCGAAAGTCTCGGATCAAAAGCCTGTGAAGCAAAGGCCGAAAGAAGCTGTGTCTCTCAGTGAGGCAAAGGATTTTCTTTCGACGCTCAAACTTCCGTTCTAGAGTTATTCTTGCTGCACTACCAGAAGTCAAGGTGCCATTTCGTATCGAATCTAGCACATGCCAGAACTTCCGAGAACAAAGCAATACTGGAAACCTCTGATGAACATCTCATATTCCCGAAGGCTAGATTAGGATACGGGGAGTTGGCAATGAAGCAGCTGAGACATTTCTTTGATATTCAAGCCTCCAACTTAAGTAGCGTCACGTTTCTGACACAGCTTAATAGCGCATGGAATTCACACAATTAATTCCAAGATTTGAGACTCTTAAGGCTTCAAAACTTTGCAATGGCCCAAAAGCACCTATTGTATATGTTCTTCTCGGAATCGACCTCTTCTCTGTGAGTAACAGCGGCCAGCGCCATCGATTTCCCAATCCAATAACCACACAAATACCAATACAGAAACTCCAAGATCTTCATCGTAAAGACATATTACAAACACTTCTAAACCCCTATACTACCTTTACACACAACACCTCATCCACCGAATTGCCACTTATCTGACACACTGTGACTCCTCCTGTTGCCCTCAGTGTTAGGGTTGGGCCTTTAGATATCAATACATGACAATGATTACCCACAAAACCGCTCCATAACTACTCTATCTGACAGGTTCTAATCATATCTATTTTAGAATCTAAACTAAGTCTTAGAAAAGCGGAAAAATAATCCACTTAAACTTGAAATTTGGTTGTATTTTATAGCTTAAAGAATAATCCATTTTAAATTATGTTAAATAATCTAAATATCGTCTTAATTATAAAATATATTTGTTCATTATAATAGCCTTGTATAATAGCTAGTGGTGGCTACAGGGCAAAAAGAAGGGTTACAAGATACGAAGTTAAGTAATCAGGTGAAAAGAGGTATGATTGTGTATATTGTCCTTGAACAACCAGACTCAAGCTTGACCTTCCTCGAGCTAGGACCTCCGGCTATACTTATGAATCTCTAGCTCTTTTCCTGAGCTACCGTTCGGTGCCGATACTCCTGTCCGGTATCTGAAGCTCCTGTGTTACAGATTCGTCATCTCCTTGAAGTATCACGTGTTGGGCTTCACGGGCTAGGCTATACATGTTACAGATAAACGGGAAAAGGTTAATGAATGGGGTTTAAGAGATGAGGGATTATTATAGCCAAATAAAGCATGTATTAAAAGACCAAATTTCAGTGTTAGCTAAATATAGGAGGGTGGGGTGTTGAGCTATTCTGATAACAAGGAATCCCTTCTAATCACTGGGGGCCCCTCAATCTCTCTCACCAGAAATTGACATTCTCAAAAATATTACCCATCTATCCCAAAAGCACACAGAGGGTGGCTAAGGATTTCGAACCGCTAAGGGGTGGTAAGTAGAGGTGAAGTGGTGGGGACTGCGCATGAAGGGCTACTACAAACACGTTCACTACGAGAAGAACTAGAAGGACTAATCCTCGTTCCTGGGGGCTCATATTATATATACCCCTTCACAAAACTTCTTCCTCTCAAATTCTCTAGCGAGGCGCTCCGCAAAATAGCAGATAGAATATGACCATACCATTTTGAATCTTAGCAATCGAGGTTGAAAGGATAGTAGATATTATGCTCATGATATAACATATTATTTTAATTCAAGTCAATTGTGTTGCCACTTCCCACCTGAGAATATGTTAGGTTGTTCTTATTTTTAACAATGCCTCGCTCAAAATTAGCGAGGCTGCCCCTAAAATCCCGCCTCCTCACTCGCTGCAGGCATTGACAGAGGTTACTGCTTACGAAGATTGCGGCATAAAGTGACGGGATTACAGGGCATTTACGCTCGCGTAGGGGTCTTAGCGGACTCCAGGGTGTGGTTTAAGGGACTACACCCGCTATAAGCATTGTAACTCCAGGCCTGAACCCCTAAAACAAGGGCTGTGAGACATTTGCAAGGGGTTTGAAGATCTTCAGGGGTTATGGTGTTGCTGGCGGAGCAACTATAGCGCTCGGACGCTGTGAGAGAGCTATTATAGGACCCTTTAGCGACTCTGCCCCTGTAAGCACAGGGGACATGCCTTCTAAAGGTGTGGTACCCCTTGTTTATAGTTTATAGCGTGCTTACAGGAGAGTAGCCTGGAAATATAGGGGGCTTCAGTGGGTGAGTGTGGTAGAAAGTGGCCTGAAAATGGACTTGCAGTACGAATGCCCTGTAATCCCGTCACTTTATGCCGCAATCTTCGTACACCTGTTCTAATGCCACTCTATAAAGTACATGTTTTTACACCTTCACCTTTTGTGAGTTATTTCAAATGTCACGACTGTCACGAGAGTCGTAATTCAAGACTCACATATCTAATTCATTGCTGTGCCGCTGCATAAAATCTCGTGATAGCAACTGCCTCTTCTGCGGGTAAATACTCTCTCATTTCCCCGGCTGCTGTGCACTCAAGGTTAGAGGCACCGAAAGCCCAGCAATCTCCGATCTTTTCCGCCACAGTATCCGCCTAAGTAATTTTAAAATATGACAATTTGAGTTTCAAAAAATTCCGCTAGTTGACCACAATTTGGGCTTCAAGTTCCTCAGTCAATGTCAACATATTAGTTCAAGACGTGGCTTCTACAACCTGCGCACCACAAGCCCCAAAACAAAAAATATTTCGCATCACTATACATCGATCATGGCTGGTTATTTTTGTCCCAGTACCACCGAACTGGACCCGGCAGTCTTCAGCGATGTCTGCGTCGCCCACAATAATGAGGACACCCAAGCCAACTGGAACATGACTCAAGCTGCATTCAAAACCTGCTGCAGTCCCAACAACTACGCCTTCACGGACGATTTTTGCTATTTCTACTGCAACATAACGGCACCCCTCGACACCGTGATGTTTGGGAACTGCCTCGCAGACGCGGTACCGGCAAACTGGGATTGGAGCCAATTCGATTGGGATTGCTACCCGCTTGCATGGGAGACGGCATCGGATACAAGACCTGGGGATATCGCGACGACTTGGACGTATCCTGACAATACTTGGACCGACACTATCACTCTCTCAAATGGTGTTATAACGACGGCGACGATAACTGATAATTATTGGGGGACTCCCTTGACTGCCATGACTACATCGTCAGCCAAGGTATCATCTAAAGCAACAGGCCCAACGGCGACTAAGACAACGGCTTCCACCGGTACGAAGTCCACCAGCTCATCCGCCGCACTAACATCTTCTACAAAACCGTCAGGAGCAGGATTCGGGGTGCAACTATCATGTGGGGCTGTGGCATTGATTGCTTTGTCAGTGTTAACTCTTGTATTCTAAAACAATAGATATAGAAAATGATACACATGGTCGAAGGTTGTTCTAGAATCTGGTTAGAAGATGCATATAATAGGGAGCAAGTGTCTTGGCTTAGAGAGCATAGGCATATATATTCAGCGTCAAGACCCTATACAATTAGCGATTCAAGTCCCTGAAAATCATGACACCCACTGGGATGTGAAAATGTAAAACAACCCCGCCCCCCCCCACCGGGGTGTCGATTGGGGTAGGGGTGTTAACAAACCTGTAATTAGCTACCAAAGCTCTTTAAAAATCTCAAGTTATATTTTTTTAGTATAATATAAGCTAGCATATTATAATTCTAGTATTATAATTATATGCTTTCTAACCTATAATAAAAAGATTTCTTAAAATAAAATTTTAATTTAAGGAAGTTTATATACTAATTAATTAGGTTTTACTTTTTAAACCCTATAATCGTGCGTCAAGACTTGCACTAAAGCCCCTGTGTCCCTGCGGGTTTAGTGCGTATCAGTAATACGGTCGAAAATCATTAATATAGTCGTTTTTTCGGAATACTAATTTTTAAAATTTTAATGCAAATCGCAGAAAAATATTTTACAGTTTATATGGAGTTTATACTATAATTAATAAATTAAATTTTCTTAATTTCATATGGTATATGCATATAGTAAAAAATGGTGGAAAAATTCTACATTTTACCTCGCTGGCGACCCCCCAAAATACTACTATTCTAAGAAATTAATTAATTACAGAACAATCACGTCCTTACTAGTATACCCAATAATCGTTTCCTCCCTATTAGTATCTAATCTAACTATATTACCAAAGCCATTATTATAAAATGAAGGGGGATTAGGTAGTGGCCTGACAAAACCAAGCTCCCTAGCTAGCTATTCCACTCGCATATTACCAAACTTACTAACCCACTCCTCTTCGTATCCAGGAGAAGCTAGCCTAAAATCCATCTTATTTGCATAAAAGAGCTCTATTCTGTGATTAATTTTCCTCTGTTTCCTCCATTTTTCTGTCAAGTTTTGGTAGTAAGCCTTAAGACTAGTTTTACCATAATCGACAAATGGTAGTTCCTCTCCATAGCCAAAGGGCTCTCCTAAATCGTACGGAGCTTTTTCCCTACGAGTACGTCTTCTGTATAGGAGCTTGCCAGTAATATGCTTCGTAATATACGTATCAGTTTCCCTGATTCGGCGATTTAGGTAGGTATTATTGTCCATCTCGTCCGCAGTAAAAAGGGACTCTCTGCAATAAGCGATTTGACGTACTGCCGAGCCCTTGGAAATTACCCTATATTTTTGCATATGCTTTTTGCTATCTTTATTAAGCTTATTGCATTGCTCCTGGAGTACTGCCTTTTCCCTTGCGAGCTCTCTTTCCATGATTAGCCCCGCCCTAAGTAGCTTGGGCTCAGTTGACTTCTGGTATGCCCTCCAGGATCTCCAAAAACTAGGGGTAAGAGCGTACTCCTCGTTATCCTTTGCAAGGATAAAATGGTCGTCAAGACGTTGATTTATGTATGTATTGTATACCATGCGATTCGCAGATATAGGGGGATTCTGGAAGGGTTTCGATATTGGAGGGGTTCGTAGGGATAGAATCTCGATTTGCTTGTCCGCTACAAAATTAGCCTATATTACCATATAAATCTGTAGCCAATTAACAAACCTTCTTTTGGTTAGAATTGAGCTAGCTTCTCGTACGCATACCGTATCGTTTCCCGCCCTAAAAGGCCCGCTTTGGTAAAAGCACTAATAATCGTCCTATACTTGAACGTTCTCCCCCGTATCGTCTGGTATGCCGCTAGAAAATCAAGCTTGGTATAAACGATATTACTATACTGGATCTTATTATAAATACTGATTTGATACTAGTACTTGAGAGGTTAAAAGAGGCCAATATCGAGCGGTTAAAGGAGATATATACTATATAGTGGTAGTTGAAAAGGGACGATTTTATGGGACTAGCAGTAATATAGGAACTCGTCTGAAGTGTGGGAGCCATGACCATTAAATATTAACATCCTCCACTTGCCCTGTATACGTCTATATATCTGATTATAGAAGTGCTTAATATATTTCAGGCTTAGAATATTATTTATATATCCAGTGGAGCTTATGGCAAATACTGATTCAGTATTAAGGTCGTTATTAAAATGTTCCTCTAATAGGATCTCCCCCTTCAAAATAAGGAATGGTATAATTGCTTTGCCGCCAGCGGATACAGTTTCGATCGCAGTAAGTGATTTTCGATTATCGGGATCTGCTAAGTAAACAGCTTTCGTATTAAGGTGTATAATGACGATTTTTCCGTTTAAAACGCCGATGCGAAAGCCAGTTTCGTCCATATTCCATATGTCTTCAAAGCAAATTCCATACTTCTCCAACGCCCCGTAATATTCCTGAAAATGCTCTTCCAGATCCTCCTTTCGATGTGCCGCTTTCCTCTCTTGTACTAGTGTCTTCGCGCAAAGGGTTTTAAACCATGATTTGTTCCGCTTGAACCATCGTTGTGCCTATAGGCGGTTCACTTGGTGGGTGGAAGCGCTGTCCCCAAGGATCTTATTAGCCGCCGCCCGAACCGTCTTGAGATCAGCTCTATGGCCTAAATAGATCAGGAAATCGATAAATTGCTTGAGGGCCTCCTCCTAATCAGGAGTAAGTGTCTTGTTATAGCCCCCTTTGGTGTTTTGTGGTTTTCGTCCAGCCAAACGCGCTTTCCAAAGTCGATATTTTACCCTGAATTGATGCGCAATTGCGGACTTTTTGACGTGTGGGTTCCTGGCATAGAAATCGGAGGCCTGGGCCATCCTTTTCTCTTCTTCTGGGTCAAATTTGGCCATGGTATTGATATTTAATTAATTAAAAGGGTTTGGTGTTCCGAAAAAACGACCATATTAATGATTTTCGACCGTATTGCTGATACGCACTAAACCCGCAGGGACGCAGGGGCTTTAGTGCAAGTCTTGACGCACGATTAAGGCTCTTATATTTGGTATTAGGGACTTATTTGCTAGATTTCTAGGCTTTCTTAAGCTTCTCTTTAGGCTATAAAATATGAAATTTTTAATTTATTTAATTTAAAGAGCTATTACTAATTCAAAATTGCAATTAATTAGCGCTATAAGGAAATGAAACAAGTATTAAATTATATTTATTCCTTATAAAGTTGAACTAAATTAAAGAAAAGGCCAGAGTTTTGGTGTTCCTGTCTGAGTGCCTCTACTTTAGGCTAGTCCGGCCCCCAATCGACACCGGGGGGGGGGGGGGGGATGGGTCGTTTTACATTTTCCCACTGGGACGGCTCGCTGTAGGCATTGTCCGCCACCTGCCATTTAAGCCGACGACGGAAGTCAAGCCGAGGCTTATCGATCGAAAAGCGGCTTTCAGGGCTAGCGGCCGCTAGTGATATACTTCATTCTTGGCTCAGCTTGGGACTTCCAAAACTGGAGAATCAATATAATAAACCTTAATTCTTCTTCACCTCTTTAAAGTTTCATCTTTTGTCAGCGTCTCCCTTTCCCTAGCACCCCGAGCTACATCGACATTAAGTGTGCAGCTTGGCATTTAAGTATGGTGAACCATATTCAAGGGGCAGAAGACCCTACTTCGGCAGCAGGCCCCACATCAATGCTCGTAATGGAACAGCCTGACGATATCACCACTCATCAAACATCGGAGTCTCAGCACGTACTACATGGAAGTCAGCAGTCCGCTTTTTCTGAGTACCCAAATGAATTGGAGATTGGGACCGATTCTTCTGATGTGGGTCGACCCTTTCACTTTGAGATCAAACAAGCAACGCTGATACCTTATTATCTTGTAGCAGGGCAGTCGAGATGGTGATTCTGCACTGGGTGACTCTGTACTGTAAGAGACCCACCACTCGATTTTTTCTTTTGTTGAGGATCAAAGTACTTACTCGGTGTGCAGGGGATCCACGTCTTCTTTGAGGTCGAGTATCTATGACTATCTGGTAGAGAATGGGCGCACTTACCATGCTTTTAACTCTGGCAGTAAGAAAGACCACCAAAGAAATATTGGCGACATTCTTGCTAAATTTGTTAGAATACATGCTGCCAAATGATACTCGGGAGCAGGATAGACTCGGTGCGTATAGGACCTCAAGCAAGGGGCATTGATACTGACTGTTCCTTCTTTAGACCTCCAGCACCATTCATTCAAGATAATGCTAGATGGCAAATTAAATCTCGCACCAATCTCGAAACCCCAGCGTGTCCTTGATCTAGCTACTGGAACCGGTATCTGGGCCATTGAGTTTGGTACGTCTATCCTCTTTCCAAACCAGCATTATCTGACATCGCCCAGCCCAGGAACACCCAGAAGCAACAGTCATAGGCACAGATCTAAGTCCAATCCAACCGGAATTGTAAATCATATCCTTTCTCACTAATTCTCTTTCTCCTCTAACAACATGCAGCGTCCCAGCAAACTGCCAATTCGAAATCAACGATGCGGAAGAAGATTGGGGCTTCAATGACCACTTCGACTACATCCACGCTCGCGCCATCGTGACTTGCTTTAAGAACAATCGCTCCATTGTACAGAAGATATTCGAGAACTTGTCGCCTGGTGGGTATTTCGAGTTGCAGGATCCGACGTTCCCGATGAAGTGTGATGACGGAACACTGGACGGGACACCGCTTAATGAGTGAGTCTACTCGCGCGCATCTTTCTCCTTGATTCTTGCCTCCTATCTGTTCTTGCTAGATTCAAAGCTGAGAAAGTTGCTAACATCCCTGGCAGATGGGGAGAAAGAATGATAGAGTCCATGGCCCGCATAGGCCGTAACCTAACAGACGGGCAAAACTGGGGACAGTACATGCGCGAAGCGGGTTTCGAAGACGTGACCGAACACCGTATCTACGTCCCAGTCAATCCTTGGGCTCGAGGAAAGAAGAATAAGCTTTTAGGTGCCATCTCGCAGCAGAATCTGTTGGAGGGAGTGGAGTCGATGAGCACCGCGGCTTTTACGAGGATACTTGGGTGGACTCCGGAGAAGCTGCATGAGTTGTTGGAGGGAGTGAGAGCTAATTTGCAGGATAAGGGGGTGCATGCTTATGGGATTGTGTATTTCGCTCATGGTAGGAAGCCTAGGAAAGACGTGGAGTGATACTGCTTAGAGCTTGGTATTGTCTGGCTTTGCAGGAGCTTATGTTGATATGATACCGGGCTGCAGCAGACAAGATCATAGAATTATTTGGAACGCCCAATTGAAGAGACCGGAATGAAAGTTTAGCAATGCTCTCTGTTGGTCAATGTTTGCTTTCTGATGGTACCATAATCTTACAATTGGCACACTGAACTCCCGGTCTCCCCCACTGCATGCAATGTATGATCCTGCAAGAACTGAATTCCCACTTGCCAGATCGTCTAACCGCCCTCATCATCTTAACCTCCGGGCACGGTTCCTTCATCTCCGGCCTCCAAACCTGCTTCCGTGTCTGCCCAAATTAGAGGCCAACTGCCCGTATTAATTCCACCGTTGCCACCCGCTGTCAGCCACCGCGTTCTTAACACCTTTCATGACACCATATGTATCAAATTCATCTTGGCAGTTCCTCAAGTTGACAGTATCAAGCTCTGGATTGGTACAAATCACGCCTCTGAAGCCTGGAAGGTCTGGTCCTCGTGGGAAGGGAGTCAGAAGTTGCACCATGGAGATTGTTCCGAAAGAAGTAAAATATAGTCTTTAGAGAAAACCACCAAACCAGGGCAGAAAGTATGAGAATAACCGTCCTCTGTTGGTACTCACCCATTGCACACCGAACCTTCAAAATGCCACAGGAACCTCCATAGGCTCCCACAAGTGCATTTTGTTTGGTGAGACCTCGATGCCTACAGCGAACCTTCTTTCTTTGGCCTCGCACGATCTTGGTACGATAGGCTTCGATGGCGAACATCTATTGAATTTGTAAAGCAGCTTTCTTCTAAAGCGTCTTTTGGATTTCGGCAGGCAACATGTTAAGGTATACAAATTTCTCGAGCTTGCAGCCGGGAATCTTTCTTAACGCCCTCTCTTCCGAAAGGAGACTTAGTTGATGGAGGAGTCTCGGTTCTTCGTCCTCGAAGCCGTCAGGGGACTTGGGTAGATAATTGTCAAGGTTGGCGGGGTAGCAGTTTTGGAAGAGGTTGGTGGAGTCAGGGGTGGAGGCCGCTTTTGTAGAGCGGTTATTTCTATGCTCCCCTCTCAAGAGGTAGAATCCGCTGACCTGTTAGGTTTACTATAAGACTATCTTAATTGTAGACATCCATGTCATTGTCAAATCCAGCTTTCTTTCGCAGTGGTCCGCTGAAAATGAAGCCTGCAAGGTTAATTTAGGTCAGCGGGAAGATACAAAGCAGCCTTATGAGACTTCGGTAAGGGATAGATTTACCAGTCTTGGTCTTCAGACGGATGATAGTGCGATCTGTGGAGGCGACTTGGGCAGAAACCAAGGAAGAGGAAGGAGGCTGCTCTGGGGATGACGCACAGTCAGTAGTGAGGTAGTCAGATAAGATGGAGGAAGTGATTGAGATGTTTGTGGGTGCCATCCTTTCAAAGTATTACAAAGTTGTGGTCGAAAATCAAAGAAGTGTGTTATGAAAGTGATGGAGATTTGAGGTGACAGCAAGGCAAAATATTTGCAGGGCTTCCAATTAGGTTTAGATTTGCTTTGGGGGACTGAGCCAGAGAACCTTTCAGGCCTCAAACCGCTTTTGGCCTCGCCTTTATACTATTTAGCAAAATTCCTTGAAAGAGCAAAATAGTTTGAAAGTAAGAGAACGGTGCTGCTCAGTGCTCAGTGCACAGGTATTTCTGGTTGTTTGGTTCTCCTTTTAAACTTCATCATAACTCCCAACTTTGCTTACCTTCTGAGCCATCAATTGCTTGCCCCAGCTGGCTGATCCATAACTTCTATAATAGCCCTTCTCAACTCTCGACTCCAAAATCGAACTCTGCTTTGCTATACCGCCATCCATCCCCAAACACCTCAGTACCTCGCTCTGCGCCAAAACCCAAATAATTCCCTACACTTCGTAGGTCGGCAACACAACATGCCGCACTCCAGCCTTGCCGCGTATTCAGTATATACCGCATCCCTAATTCCAATTCCATGTCGGACTGCGATATTGACCTCACAGACTCAAGTTAGGCCTTCGCGCTTCCGTGGTGTACAAAAGCAACCACATTTGCTACCCGAAAGGCACATTGGCCTCCACCTTCAACCAACGTTCCATCCTTACCCACCCATCCTCAATTTTGTTCTCCAGAATACTATTGACTTTCCTTCGATCCCCGTCGCAAATAGGGCTTTCGCGGGGCGTGTAAATCAGAATTAAGGCCAAACTCTGATGGGAATGAAAGAGGGCAGGAAAATATGTTCGGTGGTGATATGCATACTCTTAGGACTGAAAAAAAGAAAGAAAAAACTGTTACTCGTTGCTGTGGCGGGGAGTTAAGATCGGGATCAGTGTTGGATGTGAGTGTGTAGAACATACTTCATGGGCACAGCATGTAGGGTTCTGCGGGAAGAAGGGGACATCAAAGTCACAGCAAGGCGCCATGGAAATGAACAAAGGACCAAGAGGCTAAAAAGGGAAGCCTAGGAGGTGAAGCTGCTTGATCTTCTGTACGTGGCCAGAGGCTAATGGCCATGAAAGATATCGGCCCTCTCCGCAACCGTCTTCTGGCATTTGGCCAAAATAGCAGCCTGCCTGCTCACTTCCCCCAACTTCCCGATTACTTCCCTATTTCCATCCACGAAGCCATACAGTGCATACGGTATCTTGACATCCTCGCAGAATTCTTGCACTAAACTCTGCGTCCTTCTCAAATTATGCCTCGGAATCCTCGGGAACAAGTGATGAATAGCCTGAAACTGGAGACCTCCATGGAAGAAATCGAGCCATTGAGGACAATCAACATCCATGGTCGTGCGAAGCATTTTCTGTGGAAAGGATTCATCTGGTCCAAGGTCTGTTGTAGACATTGCGAAGTGGGAGAGCGTGAGTTGGACGTGGAGCGGCATGTTGATCATATGGCTGACCATCACGAAGCCGAATCGTGCCGACGGCTTAGGGATTGACTTGTAGACGACGAGGTATCCGAACCAATACCAAAAGATCAGGTTCCCCGCTATTTCGAAGTACCGATGCCACCAGGCTAGCCCTTTCCTTGGACCTTGGCCTTGAAGAAGGAAGGTCCAAGATTGGACGTAGAGGTTGAACCGTCCTAGTGTGAGAACAGGGTAATACATGTACGCCTGAAATGGGACCAAGAATTTTGCGACGGCCTCGTAGGGAAGTAGGCGCTCATGGTAGGTAGACCATATATTGCCCAGGAAACGGTGGTTGACAGCAAAGACGGGTAGGTGTTGATTATCTGGGTCATGCTCCGGGGAATTCGTAACAATGTGGTGAACGTTGTGCGTACGTTTCCACCAGCCCAATGATAGGCCGCCTATCGGAGCAGCAATGATCATACCAATGAGTGTATCGATGGTAAAGTTGTGTGTGATGGCGACGTGACCCGCATCATGAGCTGCAAATACGAGCTGGGACCAGAACATGCCCAGAAAGGCACCACTCGTGCAGTACCAACCAATCCGAAGGAAGAAGAGCATGGTGAGGAACAGAGATACCCAACGCGCTGCTTCCCATACATATGCCGTGTAATTGCAATCATACAGACCTTCGGCACGGATCCGCTGATTGAGAAGCCTGTACTTCTGAACGATTCCTTCCTGCACCTCGGAGTCAAGGGCAGGATATTTTTCGAGGTCTAATTCCATCTCCTGCTTCGTCTGGCTATCTAGGAAGGTCAGATCATCTGGAGCTGCCGAGCCTGCCGCGGATGACATGGATGTAATAGAAGTGCGATCGGTATCACTGCCTCCTCGCCGTTTTCTCACTTCTTCTCCATTGGCGTCGGAAATGAGCGAAGTTGCTCTGGTTGAGTCTGAGTCGGCACTCTCGTCCTCCGATTCGTCCGAGTCCTCCTGCACTACCGCGGGATATTTTCTAAAGGTGCCACCTTGAATAGGTGGAACAAAATTCTTCCAACGTCCCTCAATTGTACCGATCTGATACTGAGTCATTCGCAACCGGGTCTCTGCTGAATGTAATCTTAAATTTTCCACCGTCAGCAAACCTCTCATCTATGGAGCTCAAAATGACGAACGCAGTCACTTCATCGGTCGCATCCTTCCCAATCATGTGCTGGATAGCTTTCAGACCGCCCGGATGGTAATTGAGCCATGCATCAGCCTTGATGACTTTGTTGTCTAAGATAAAGATATATTTGCCATTGGCGATTAGACCTTCGATCTTCCTAGACGATAGAACGGCCTCCCTTTCTCGCGGTGGGGAAATCTCTTTGGGAATCATGGTCGATTGACGCGAACAGCTGGGGGTTCTCGTAATCTCTGGATGCATGCATTGCCGTAGAAAGAAGTATTCAAGTACCAGAGACTTGAGATTGTGTGTTCATATGTTGGTGGTGGTGGTTGACGGAAGTAGCGGTGAAGTGAAACGTGCGATGTTACTATCCCACCCCTTTGAAGACTTACAGTGGGTCCTTTAGTAACGCCACCCTGAAACCTCGTTTATAACCCCCAACTAGGAAATATCAGGTGCTCTCCAGAATCGCTATTTGCCATACACCCTTGAGTTGGTCAGTGCAGGAGTGGTGTTATCCCAGGACCCACTGTAAGTATTCAAGAAGGGGGATAGTACGGGCGCCTGGAAAGTGGTCCGTTCGGTTGCACCCACTGACGAGGCCTAAGACCTTGTAAGCTCACATTGTGCACGTTGCACTTGATATTGCAAACATTGCATTTTATACTTCACTTTTATAAGCTTACTAATATTCTAATTAATTTATTAGGTACTATATTTAATTATTTACTTTATTATAATATTTGTATTTATAATAAATAAAATATTACGGTATGTTATTACCTTATACTCTTGCCTTACTTATTTTATATATTTTATAAGATCTCTTAACTTAGTTCTTTCTTTCTTTAAATTCTTTTTAATATAATTCACTTTTATTATTATTATTATTATTATTATTATTATTATTAGATTTATTTTTATATATTTCTAATTATTTAAAATATATAAAAGTTCTAAAAATGCAAATAAATCGTAAAAATAAAAACTTTTACTATTTTTTATTTATTGTTTTTTAATTAAAAGAATTATATTTATAACATTTAAACTTTTCGAATTATATGATTTATAATAATTATATGATTTGTAATAATTATATGATTTGTAATAATTATATGATTTGTAATAATTATATGATTTATAATAAAGTTTAAAGCTAGCTTTAAACTCTAGTAAAATAAAATATATATTTAATTTCTTATATATTATTTCTGCTTTATAAGAGTACTTCTTTAGCTAAGAAATTATATAAGGAATTATATTAAAATATTACTTTAATTATTAAAGCTTTAAAACTTATTTTGATTTTAAAAGACTTGTATTATTATTTATTATTTATTAGTAAATACTTTTCTTATTTTCTTTCTTTTAATATTTTTATAATACTCTTATAAGCTTTTCACTATTTTATAAATATTGTTATTAGTGGAAGTTTTACTTAAAATTCGGAAAATAAATATTTTACTAATAAAGGTTAATAGAGCAAATGCCAAAACCCGGACACCCCTCGTGGAGCGCAAATATTAGTTAGTAGAGCCCTCCAAGTAGCGGCAGCAAGATTACTTCTTCTCACCACCTTCCCAGAAGCAAACTATAGTTCTTAGCCTAAAACCGAACGAACAGTACAAGTTGTGCAAGTGAAAGTCCGAATTGGGGGCCCATTTCGCGCTCCCCTGCAACATATCAATTTCACTCCATTTTCCGTATCTCCAACTCAGAGCAGAGTGAACTGTGTCCCCATGTCGATATACCAATACCCCTGGATTGCTGATGCAGGCGCGGTCCAGCTCGTGATAACGCGCTCGTTGACAATCTGTTCGCCGGTCGCGCTCGTGAGTCGTATCCCCAGCGGCAGGTTGATATACGGGGCATTGGGCGGCAGCGTCCAGGCGCCGTACCGCTCCTGCGGGTGGCCGGCCGGGTAGTCGTCCTCCTGGATGAGAGCGAGCCACTCCGACTGCCCGTCCGGTCGGATCTCGAAACCCACGATCGAGCCGAGGCCGGCTGCATTTACGGCCGTGATCTGGATCCAGTAGGGCCCGGCGCCGCCGCGGAGCCACACATACACGTTACCCGCCTTTGGACACGGCACACGCTTGTACTGCGTCGGGATCACACCCTCGACGAGCACGCCGGCCTGTGCGCGGGCCATAGCCACGTCGGAGAGGTCGAGGTGGATAGAGCCGCTGGGGAGCGGGCAGCCATATGTGAAAGCGTCGACTTCTTGGCATTGGTCGACACTTGGCCCACCTGTATTTTGTTTTATCCCTCATCAGTTTGGTTATTACGCGGACACATGGGCACAGAGACGAGATATAGCAGTCTCGGGCAGAAACAGGAGAGCGTCGTACTCACAACACCACTTGGGATTCGCCTCACATGGGCAGCTATCCACAATCTCAAGGATAATTGGCGGCGCGTAACCTGCCTCGTTGGGGGCGTAAAGGCTTCCGTTATCATAGGTGCGTACCAGCTCAAAGCACTCGCCGCACGAGAGATAGTTATCCTGCTCTTCCCCAACAGATAAGGATGGCAGCATGGGCCAAAACTGCGTGTAGTAGTCGCCATTTGGCGCCGCGAAGTTGCCTCTAAGTGTGGCATTGGCTGGATCCGCGCACATATCCGGGTACATCGTGCAGAATAGGGCACAGTCGGCGCCCAAGTCGATGCCCGAGACGTTGGCGGTTGTGCACATGCCGTACAAACCAAACCCGCACGCGCCGGCGGGGGTTTCTCCGAAATGGGTAGATCGCTGTTCGGCTCATCTTGTCAGTTTGGGAGGGGCGAAATGGCACGGGCTCGAAGGAACCTACGCTGTAGTGCCAGGGCATACTGCTGTTGACGGTGGTAATATCAGGGAAGATAGTTCCGGAGCCGCAGTCCGCATTACCGCATTCGAGCGTGGTATAGGGCAGTTGCGTGTGGGTTGATATGGCTTTACCCGTCAGGAAGGTTGTGGACGTGCGGTAGGGAGTCGTCCTGGTGCTTGGTGAGTTTGATGTCGACGACGGACCTGTCGACACACCCGAACCGGTCGAGCTAGTTGGCTTTGAGAGGATTAGCGGTTCCTCAAGATCAGGCATGGGATGTGTATGCTCACGGTGCCGCTAAGACACTGGGCATAGTATGAATTCTGTGTCTGGCAAGACCACCCCATTGGGCAGCACGTTCCACCCGTATATCCAACGCCGCCACATTGTGAACTATATGGTCCAAAACGTTTTGTCAGAGAAATACCCATGCGGTAGCCACTCGCGAGGCCTTGGGGAAACGTACTAAGATGAAGCACAAGCTTGTTGCAGCGAGGGTTGAGCGAGGCAAGCCAAGCTCACCAGCCTGAGAACGAAGTCCCGTTTGAACAGCATGGCCCCGTCAATGTTGTGATTGTATGCTCGAAAACATATATGTGGTCTTGGATGACCAAGCGGGAGGCGAGAGCTCATGGCTTCTTATACAAGAATACGACCCAACGAAATATTCAGAGCATGCTGGGTTTCCCATCCGGAGTAGCGGCCATCTTAGCCGTCATTAAACCCCTGGTGCAACGGTCGCGATGCGCGATGGTGTTGGTGTTAATACTACCCCATCCTAACCTCCTGTTACCCTTCGGCCATTAAATTCCCACAAGTCGCATTGTGCTACTAACAACCAATCGGCAGTCGGTTCCGTGTCCCTCTCATGCTGGAAATCTAACTGCACTAGTGCCTGCAGAGTCTTTGTCCGGTGGAACGTATTGGTCCTGAGCGTGATCCATGAATCGGGATGAACTCTGGTCTCGCCATCACCACACGATTGCATGTACCGTGACCCAAAGTCTATGAGGAAGTTCAGTAACTTTCTTAGACTCGCCTATGTACCCCGGGTGACAGGGCCGGCCTTGAGGCCGGCGTTTTTCATTTAGGCTCAATTTGGGCGCTCGAGGGATCTTTCGGACCACAGGTATTCAGAAAATCATGGAGCGCGTCACCGTCGGCCAGCCAGACCACGAATGTCGCTGGTTCGGGTTTATACCTGACTCGAGCCTGCCATTCATATTAGTAAGGGCCTCTCATCTTCATGTCGTTTAGGTTTCTATCTGTATGGCTGAGCCGTGAAATCTATCCTTGAAGCGTCGATTCTGTATGATCCCCCAATCTTGGGTCGCCGATTACTCACGTATCCAGTAACCAATGAGAACTTTCGTCCGTCCTATGTTGAAGATGTTCCGACATTATTGATTGAAAGGCGAGCTGGAACTCCTTGGCTGATGAGTTCCCCTGCAAGAAAGTTGAGACGACCATTTTGATTTTGACCGCGAACGCAGTCACAGAAAGGTGGTCAAAGATACAAACACCCTAGGTCTGTAAGGTCCTGCTTGTTGGGGATGCTGTGGCTGGGTTGAGACTTAACAGTTCAGCTGGATGTGCTCAAGGTGCAATGGATGCTTTGTTATTAAAGAAGGTATTTAGAAAAGACGGTGGGATAGGAAAAAGGCAAACCGACACCCCTCAGGTGTCGACTAGGGGTATCGGTTAGGGGCCAGACTAACCCACTAACCCAGACTAGAGGCGCTTGGATAGGAATACGAAAAATCTCTCTTTTTCTTTAAATTTAACATGTTTTATAAGAAATTAATAGAAATTGATTTCTATATATCGTAATATAAGACTAATTAAGGGCCATTCAAATACAAGAATTTTATATAATAATAATTAATTATAATTAAAGAAATTAAAGAAATTAAAAAGTTAATATTATATATTTTAAAAGTGGTTTTAAGAAAGCCTAGAAATTTAGTAATCGGGTACTTGAATTTAAGCAGGGAACGGCTAATTTACAAGAACTTATGAGGCATAAATTTTACATTTTAAAAATTTAGTTAATAAAAGTTATTAGTAAAATATTCTTTCTTTTAAGTAAAACTATTATTAACTTATAAGTATATAGCAAAATTATCTAGATAATGTATCTCTAAAAATAGCTTCTAGTTAAAATAGTACGTTAGAGGACATTAATAAGTTAATTAAATTATTCGGTACCTCCTCTGCCCCTAATTAATACCTAGGGTGTCGATTTACACTGTCCCAATTTTTCTTTTATTAGTTTTGGCTCCTTCTACCGAGATGCGCAGCTGTGATATACCTAAAGGTGCGAAATACTTGAGCTGAATTTGACCTAACTCGGAGCAGCCTGAACCCAAATTGTTCAGCAGGTGCTGGGAAGTGACTCTGGGACCTGAGGTTCTTGATCTGGCTCCCTTCAGCTCCGCTTGCACTTGCCCCACATTGTCTTTGAATGCTGATCCAATTCAGACTCCGACGTATTCCGTCTATTATGACAGGGACGTCTGCAGGGTGTTGTTGGCCTGTGTGTAGTCTGCACCAAGAATTCATACCGAGGCGAACCCTTCAACGGGCTGGTTTACAGCCATGGCGCTGAAAGCTTTTCAGATGGTTTTACAACCCAAAACCTGCGATCATCTGACAAGAAGCATTTCATCTCTTCATGCTTCAAAGCTTCAGCCAAGGTGCATACTTGGCTCATATACAAGCGAATGGTGGCGCAGGTGCTCCTCTTGTTCTTGGCACTCCTGGCCCATGGTTGCATGGCCCTTGCAGGCTTCTCATTAACAGAGTTATCAAAGCCCTGTATCACGCAGAAGCCAGAGGCCCGTTGGAAACGTGATGTTGAAGGCTTTACGGGCTATGAGAAACCTGAGGAATCTTGTAATGGCGCACCACCCCCTCTGGCACAATGCACTGCTGTTGCTGAATGGATTGTGTGCTTAGGGCTGGCTATTTATTGCAATACCGGCGCAACAGTGCAGCTCTCCGGATCAATTTGGGGCTGCAAATGGACTTCGGATAATACTTTCACACCCGCTACTTCATGCCTCTCGAATACATTCCAATACGTCAACTCGGCAGTTATGTATCCCTGGTAAGAGATCCCTAGACACAGGCTATGGCTAGCTGATGACCGTGTGTTAGCGCAACATCCCAATATTGCATCACGGATCTCCTTTTTACAGACCCCAATGACTTGAACCCTCGTACAGGAATTGGTTGCGGCTACTAGGCCTCTTCTACATGGTCTCTGTACCTTCAGACGACTGTTGCTAATGGCAAGTGACCCGATACGACTTCCGCGGCCTTGACTTGCTCTAAGTGCCGACCAGCAGCAATTCCTTCCACAACTTCCAATTACTTCCCTTCGCTGACTGGGACATTCTCCACTGAGAAAGCCCAACCTCCAATATCTACCCAAGAAGTCTCAAATACGCACACCACCGCAGAACCTACACCGACCCAGAATTCAAACACAGGAGCCTCTAGCCAGACAGGATCGAGCCTCTCGAAATCGGATAAGATCAGTTTAGGGACCGCAATTGGCCTTAGAGCACCAGGATTGCTTGTCAGTGTGCTCGGTGTATGGTATGCGCGTAAACAATACATTTCTAGGCACACTTCAGGGGCTTAGTATACGAAGTCCTTCATCAAATGTCTTTGATAAGTGTGACGTAGAACTTGTTGCTAATTGTAGTCACAGGCGTTGATTTACTGAGACAATAGTACAGTTATGAAAGAAGTCGTGGAGTAATTTAAGATAGATAGGCTCAGTGCAGGTACTGGTAATAACAAACAATGTGACGAGATGGATATCCTCTAGATGATTTAAACATCACACAGGTTTCATTCTTTCCTCTGCTATATTAGAAGAGAACTTACCCAGAAATTAAGAGTTTGTTCACCTTTGTCTCACGCTACTCCTTCACGCTCTTAAAAAAATACATTTCCAGCTCAGCATCAGCTTTCTCATGACCTCTGCCACTCTGCGCCGCCTGAACATGTGGTGGTACTCTCAATTCTCGCGGCCGGATTGATCGGAAACCGAAAATTGCATGATAATTGTCGCCGTATGAAAACCCGAATCACAACAATGCCAAGTACGGTGCAGCCACTCACCCAATCTCCTGACCTTGATCTTGTTCCTTCCCGCGGCAAAGGAATGCCCCGGGTCAATGCTGAATATTTCGCCAATGAGGCTATGCAGGTGCACAAGTAAAAAGGATCCAATCAAGCTGATTAGACTGCATGTCCGAAAGCTGAGGCTGAAGACGAGGCTTAAGCCAAGCTGAAAGGGGAGCTGGAGCGATGGATGACTAACGAGATCGAGACCAATTACAAGGCGTCCTTTCATCAAAGAACACAAACGAATCACACATCAGAGAGAGTATAAGAGTCTCGTTGGTAGATTTTAGTTGCTTGGCTAGTGCAGCCAAGAGCTGTTAGTTTTCATCTCCGAAATTCCAAAAGGTCTTCCTCGAAAAGGGGTTGCTTTACCAAACCGACCTTGGCAAAACCCTCTGATATAAACCAGGCCTTAATCTCTTCAGTTTGTCCTTTCTTCATAACACTCTCATAGCTTCTTCCACAACATCTATCTTTATTTCTTTTCAATTTGTCTCAGCTTCAATCACCCAAAATGATGTCTTTCGGAATCCCGATTTTCGTCGGGTGGCTTGCCGTTGCAACCCAAAGCGTGCGCGCAACTTACCTGCCGGAGCGCTCAGAAACAGGCGACAAATCCTTTGTTCCGTTCCAGGAATTCCTTAAACAGGTGAAGAGTGCCAGTTACAGCCAATACATGGACGCCAATGTGAGCTCCCAAGCCGATTTTACAGACATGCAAAAGCATATCTCTCGTATGTACGATGGGGTTACCGCAACCAAGGTCACCTCATTCCTTCTGGGAAATGAATACGGAGACTGCATTTATATCAAAGAACAGCCCTCGTTTCGCCATCTCAAGCTTAGCGGAATTTCGGATCCCCCTTCCAACCTCACCCTCTTCCCCAAGAGCAAAGGCTCCATTTCGGGAAACTCTTCCTACGCAGACTCACCCCTCAAGCTCGGTCTGAAAGACCCGTTCGGAAATCCGATTTCTTGCCCGTCAAGCACGATTCCAATGGCAAGACTGACACTCGAGAAACTCACTCGTTTCAAGACCCTGAGTGACTTCTTTGCGAAAGCCCCTCGTGGTGTTGAGAAGCCCCAGGAGGTCAAAGGCCCGGATTTCAAGCCGGATTGGGAACCCACACACCTCCACGCTTACGCCGAGCAGAATGTCGCAAACTTCGGCGGAAACTCCTGGCTTGACCTCTGGAATCCCAAAGGCGATTTCTCCCTCTCTCAGCAGTGGTATGTAGGAGGTTCAGGATGCGATACTCAGACTGTTGAAGGCGGGTGGTTGGTGTATCCCGATGGCCCTCATGACGATGCCACGCTATTCATCTATTGGACGAAACACTATTACAATATTGGATCCTGCGATACGAAGAAGAACGTGGGCTGCTACAATCTTGATTGCGATGGCTTCGTTCAAATAAATCACAACTGGTTCCTCGGTGGGCCATGGGATCACTACAGCACCACAGACGGACAGCAGTGGGGATTTGAGATGCAGTGGAAGCTGTACGCAGGCAATTGGTGGCTCTTCCTCAAGGGGCCCGGCAGCTACGAAGCGGTCGGATATTACCCAACTTCGATCTACGATGGCGGTCAGATGTCCAAGCAAGCAGAGCTAATCCAATACGGCGGAGAAGTTACAAGAAAAGTTGGCGATGTCTGGCCTCAGATGGGCAGCGGCGATTTCGCGGAGAAAGGATGGCAGAGGGCGGCTTACCAGAATACGATCTTTTGGATTCCACGAGACGAGAATGGAGGATATGGGGAGTGGGCGAGACTTGCGAGCCATGATGAAGGCTTGCCATCTTGCTTTACTATCGATCTTGTCAATTATCCTAATGGTGGTGACTGGGGAACTTATTTTTACTTCGGTGGACCTGGTGGCAACACTTGCAATTAATCGTGGCTATGAACTCTTCACGGTCCTTGTTGAGAAGCGTAGATTAGGAGAGACGTTAGAGTCAATTACATTTCGGCGTTTGATCAGATGAAAGTGTACACCACCTAAGTCAAATGCTGTTGACTGCAACCGAGAGCACTTGTAATATTGAGATAAACTTGGCAGAGAACTAATGGTAAATGATGACAGTACGAATATTGCGGCATTAAGTCATGCGACTACAGGGCACATAATGTCCCAGCCACTAATCACACGCTGTAATCAGTGAAACTAGCCTGTAAAGCCACCACCGCTAAAGTGCCTGGAAGCACCTGTAGCTTAGTGGGTCCGTACCTAAATTATAGGCTACCTGCCCCTGTAAAGCGAGGTTCACTAAGGCCATAGGCTTAAGCCATGTAAGGAGTTTCAGGGATTGAAAGACAATTCTAGGGTATGCCCCTGCAAGTATAGGGGCTTGATCGCTAAAAGGCCCTATAAGATCTCTAAGTTCCAGCGTCTGAGCGCCATAGCCACAGCTACTACAGGGCACATACGCTGAAGTCGCATGACTTTATGCCGCAATATTCGTATCGCACTTGACAACAGCACCCAAAGTGACAGCACATATGATCCGAAATACTCGCTATTAGTAGAATGAAAGCGGGTGTCTACCTATAAAAGCAACGGAGTAGCGGGAACGCAGGTACTTTATAAAGAGATATAAGGAGAATTCTCGAGGTATCATTATTTTCATGGAACAGCTGCAATGAAGCCACAGTGGCCGCATCGATGTCAAGGGCTTCCATGCCATGCCATGGTCTAGCGGGCTCAAAGGAAGTTTGGGTTGCTTTTATAACTGGACTTTGGGTCTCACATGGCCAAGCAGTATATCGCTTGAGCAAATGCTGCAACGAATAAGAAAGTGGAAAAGACGACTTGAGGGAGGGAGCAACAAGCGGTAATTTAGTACAAAAACCGCCTCCACCACGTTTTACAAGACCCCAGTTCATGCACGAACTCGACAATACCGCATGCCGGGTGATAGTGGGACTACCCACCTTGTAATAAACGTTCAGGAAGAAGATTTGTACCAAAGAACGGTCTTCAATTATTTGTTAGCCTCTATCACCCTCGCTGCTTAGATCATGGGGAACAATCTTATCAGAGGGCTTAGAGGAAAAGGTGGCAGCAGCAACCGTCTTGACAACACTAATGTCTGAATATCACCTAACTAGTAAACATCCTCTACCAAGAATAAACGGTGCAAAGTCCGATCCACAAGAACCTAGATAAGTTCAGAAACTCAACGTAGGAGAGGAGTTGGTGAGATATGTTTGAGTGGCAATGCCGTGAAAAGAAAGGCGAGCCCACGTTAAAGGAAAGTTTCGAGAGCCTGTACGCTGGCACAAAGAAACTCAAGGAGGGGATTATATATAGTACAACAGGGGCCCGGCTGAAGATATGTACTAAAGTGCCAAATAAAACAGTTTGACATATATATCTACAAGACTTGAACGAAAATGATAAGCAGCTGATCCTCGTAAGGTGGAACGACGATAGTCATAACCTCTGTACAAATATTCTCTTCTGCTTAACTCCAGACATTAACGCAGAGGGCGGAAGGCATTTTGGGTGATGAAAGACTTTCAACTCGTCACTTTCTTGCAGGAGAAATTGGTTTCGAAGCACAGCCTTCCACCTTGCTTGGTGATCCCTTTCCGCGGGGGGGGGGAACCCACCTCAGAAATTTGGGAGAAGAGAACTGACAACATGAAAGGAGTTGACAACAAAACTTTCACCTGAGCCTCGCTAAGAGAAGGAATAGGTTCGTTGCTCAACTACAATAAAAATCCCAGACTTCAAGTCCTTTTGCAACTAGAAATAAGACGCAAATGTCTAGCGTGGGGTGATTAAAGGGAAGCACAGACGCCACAGACCATGGGACAGACGTCGCATTTGTGTCTCGTGTGATAGAATGCCACAAATGATTTAACGAGGGCGTATTTATAGCATGTCTGTGCCCTCATTCTGTTTCTGGAGGCGACTTGCCTTGTATCTCTCCAAATTCAAGAGAAGTGGAAGGAGCCGCAGGGAGGGCAGGAACAAGCGTGAAGGAAGAAGCACACAGCAACTTGGCATAAATCCCCCTCACCCCTCTTCTCTATTTCCCCAAATACCCCAAAAATCAAACTTGTTGACCCACACGCGCCTCGGGCCAATACCAAGCTCTAGATTGCCGCCTTCGAAGCAGCCCCTTCCATTGTGGATTTCTCGGGGGAAAATTGAAAGACAAGAAGAGATGCCGTTGGAGAGCTGAGAGGGGAACATTGACAGTGACATGGGAAGCGACAATAAACATGGCATCCAAATTTATCGCCACCAGCAGAAGGGATCTCGTCTCCCTATTCATGAACCCAACGGTCCAGCGGAGATTATGAAGTTTCAGCAGAGTGGATTGACTTTCTGATGATCACCGCGAGGTACAAGGAAGGCTTCAGACGCCGCCTCGAAATGCAATCTCTACCTGATTGGCATTGCGCGGTATGGCAGGCTCAAAGAGCGCAAGGACCTACACCTCTCGCTCGTAGTTTCTCTCCATGGAGTAAGAGGCACCGAAAATCGGGGTAGTGACATAGCAAATAAGGGTTTGACAGCAGCACAGAACGTGACAGCGGAGCTACCATCCGGCCCTATCGGGCAATTACCCTTTTTTGTCCTCGCCCAGCTACCATGGCAGAATATCTAAAGTGTGAAGTACGCTGGTGCTTGGAGAGTGCAGGAGAGGTGCTGAATGCATGTGGGATCGGAAAGCTACAGACACCGCCTGTCGATTGCCACGAGATTTGGTAGGGAGTGCCCGAGGGATGGTGGAGCGGGATGTGGGGGAGCTATTTATATGCGTGGGTGTGGAGGTGATGGAGTCGAGGAAGGCGACTGCCGGACGAGTTTCAGAAGCGAGGTGGTGGTGGAGCGATTGGAGAAAAAAGAGGCAGAGAAAAGCTTGAAACGGAAAATGAATCATTATTACGCATTAAGAATGATAATTATGTATGCACACCTATTCTCTAAAAAATTCAGGGTCGAAAACAAACGAAAGCAGAGCTCCGCCCTGAACCTTTGTCGTCAACTAACCATCCACAGCAATGCCAGCCTAGCTCACGAGGTAAATTCGCCCTTCCCAAGGCGCCAACTTATCTTCGGTGCCATCCACACCCTCAACATTACCCACAAGCAACTCAAACTTGCCTCCCACATCCGGCTTTTTAAACGGCTGTTCCTCCCCAGTAAAATTCAACGCCACAACCGCTCTATCTTCCCCATGCCTTTTCCCAAACACGAACGTCTGCTGGTTTTCTATATCATACGCCTCGAACGCACCATGAATAAACAACTCCCTATACTCTTTCCTGATCTTCAACACGCTCTTCCAAAAGCTCAACACAGATTTCGGATCTTTCTCCTGCTTCGCGACGTTGATGGTGCGGTATTCATCATGGATACGCATCCACGCTCCCTCCTTCTTCGTTGTAAATCCCGCGTGTGGAGAGTCATCCCACTGCATCGGCAACCTCGCATGATCCCTGCCAAGAATCTGGATGGATTTCATAACATGTCCCAAGGCCTTCGGATCATTATCCGTCCGTTCCGCAACGCTGTTATAGTAGTTAATAGATTCAATGTCTTTATAGTCAGAAATCGGCCACTCCTTCGGAGCATTAATCATGCCTATCTCCTGCCCCTGATAAACAAACAGCGTGCCCGTCAACGCACACATCATGAGAGCGAGCATTTTGGCGCTCCTCTCGCGAAACTCGGGAGCATCGGAGCCAAAGCGTGACACGGAGCGGCCCTGGTCGTGGTTCTCGCAGAAGGCGGTCGTCCACCCGTCGCTGCCTTCGATGAATTGCTGCCATTTCGAAACGACGGATTTCAGCTCGGAGAGTGCGTAGCCTTCATATTCATACTTGTGCGTTCGACCGATGCCGAGATCCACGATGTCGAACTGGAAAACCATATCCAGTTGCTTATCCCCTGATCCAACGTAACGGAGAACGTGTGCCGGGTCTGGCGTGTGAGGAAGTTCGCCCACCGTCATCGTGTCGTATTTATTCAGGATCTCGGTATTCATTTCACGGAGAAATTCATGCATCCGCGGCCCATTACAAAACAGTCCACTGGCCGGCTGCTCGAAAATCCCTTCATCGATAATCGGAGCATCAGGCAGTTCCGTGCCTTTGGAATACATATTCACCGTATCGACTCTAAACCCATCAACGCCCTTGTCAAGCCAGAACCGCATCGCAGAATCGTAGATCGCTTGGCGCGTGGCAGGGTTCTCCCAGTTCAGGTCAGGCTGTTGGGTGGCGAAGAGGTGCAGGTAGTACTCCTGCGAGCCCTCGTCCCAGGCCCAGGCGCTGCCGCTGAAGAAGGAGCGCCAGTTGTTGGGCGGCATTCTTGTCCCATCTTCGGCGTACTTTGCCGGGCGCCAGATGTACCAATCTCGCTTTGGATTGTCTTTCGAGCGACGACTTTCTTGGAACCAGGCGTGCTCGTCGGAGGTGTGGTTTACTACCAAATCGAGGATGAATTTCATGCCCCGGGAGTGGCAGGCGGAGATTAGGGTCTCGATATCGGCGACGGTGCCATAGGGTGGGTAGACGGCTTCGTAGTTGGAGATGTCGTAGCCCATGTCATGTTGTGGGGAGTCGTACATGGGTGAGAGCCAGATCACGTCCACGCCGAGGGAGGCGAGGTAGGAGATCTTGGAGACGATGCCAGGGATGTCGCCGAGGCCATCGCCGTTGGAGTCGAAGAAGGAGGAAGGGTAGATCTGGTAGACTGTGCTGTCTTTCCACCAGGGGCGTGTGCGGATTGTCATCTTTGCGGTTGCTGTGCTGTTCTGTCTGTTGAGGGTGATGGAGGAATTGGAGTGGAATTGGAGATGAATTGAGAGAGGAGAGAAGATAGTTGGCAGATTTGCGTTCGTGATGTGCTCTTGCAGTGGGAGGAAGAGAAGGGTGGGAAATATACTCTGGCCTCGAGGCAGTGCAAGGAAGAGCGGTAGTGCAACGAGAGAAAGAAAGGAAAAACAGCGAGCAAAAGCACAGCCGTTAGATCAACCGGCTCACGTACACATACAGCCTCCACTCAGTCACCGCTGACAAACTCACGATGCTTCATAATTCCCACTCCGAGTCACGATCGTCCTGACTCGGAGGCAGGACAAGACGTTTCGGGCCCGTGGTGGGGTTGGCGCGACAAGGAGTGGGACATCTCCATATATGTCGGGCGTGGGGGGCGAATTAGACACCTTGGTGAAGCACCACATGGCCGGCTTATGGAGCGATGGTGCTTGTTTTGTAGAAGTGCATTCGAGATCCATTGCACGTCGTTGGAATTCTCGCGATATTGCTCGGGAATGAGCACGGGGCGCAGAGAGGTCTGTGCCAGCTTTTCATGCCATGTCTCGAGTGTGTGCACGTGATATCGAATTTCGATGCCCATGTTCGGGCGAGCATTTGAGCATTGCTAGCTCTAGGAGTGGGATGCAGGAACGAGAGTCTAATTTAAGGTTATCGCTTTCGTTGCACGTATAGCTGAGCCATCTCACAGACAATGGCTCAGCAGCGAGCTGCTGCAGACTTTCCCGACCTGCTCCTCACGCACCCCTTCCCCCTCAGAGCTTCCCTCCCTCTTCGCCTCCACAGCACCAGAATGGCGCGGCGCCCTCGCCGAGTCCCAATACATCAAGCAATGCATCGAGCTAGTTTCGTTGGACTCTGTCCATCCTCCACCGAATCTGATGCACAGTGATTGGATCCTCGTGGACAACAGGCTCTCCGTCACCGGACGGAAGATCTTATCCTCATGTGAGACATTCCAGAAACGCGTCTTGATCCAAAGACCCGAGAGGAATGTTGAGGAGAAAGTGATCTATGGAATAGCAAGTGTCTTCACAGCACCGGAATTCAGGAGGAAAGGGTATGCGCGGCGAATGTTGCTAGATTTGGTTGAGGTTTACAAAAAGGAGGAGTGTGTAGGCACGCTTCTATTCTCGGATATTGGGAAGAAATTTTATGGTGAGATGGGGTGGAAGCCATTACCCGGAAACTCACATATCGACTTTGCTTCTCCGAACTCGGATTTTCATGTGACGGCGGTGGTGAAGGAAGCGACACCGCTGTTTGAAGCTGACTTGGAGAAGCTGTGCAAGGAGGATGAGGAGATATTGAGGAACGCCATAGACAGGGGGCCTGGGGTGAAAACAAGAATGGTAATTGTACCTGATTATAAACATATGGCTTGGCATCATATGCGCGAGGAATTTGTGATCCAGCGATTATGGGGGGCGAAGGCTCCTAATGTCAAAGGCGCCATCGCTGGTGAACCTGGGAAGAGGGTGTGGATGATCTGGACAAGGAAATATGATTTTGCACCAGACGATTCCGAGGCTGGGAATATGCTTTATGTTTTAAGATTGGTGATTGAGAATGCGGATAGTGGAGGTGGTGTTCTAGCAGGGGAGAGAGATGACGTGAAGGAGAACTTGAGAGCTGTAATTGAGAGGGCGCAGAAGGAGGCGCAGGAGTGGAGAATGTCGGGGGTGAGGCTTTGGGGACCGAGTCCGCTGGTGAGGGAGTTGGTGAAGGAGATGGCCGTCAGTTCTTGGGAGTGGCAAAGGGAAGTGGAGGGTATTGCGAGTTTGATGTTGAATGAGGGAGTGAGCGAAGACGAGATTGAGTGGTTGGCGAATGAGAGGTATGCGTGGTGCTAGTGCGCCATACTGCAATGGCGTCCCTACTCCGCAATACCATCAGTTCTGGTGGTTCAGATATCAAGAGCTTCAAGAAAGGAGGGAGAAGGATGTGCCAGTCGCACGTGATATTGAATCACGCGGCCTAATCCCAGTCGGCAATTTGGCGGCATGTGGAATTGCCATCTTTACCCCGCGGTAGGGTTTGCCCAAGACACTTCGCCCCATCTTCCCCAAGAGACTAGCAACTTCACCGATTCGAACCTAACCTTCAGATGGCGGGAAGCCAAGTCAGCTATCAGAATCCGCATCATCTCTCGGTCTATTAGCTCAGCTTCCCCAGCGCTCACCACGTGCTCTCAAGTTACAGCGAAAAACACACCGAGCAATTCAGCGAGCGAAATAGTTTGACCGGAAATGATGGCGGGACTTCATACGCCTCAAAAAGTACCGCCGATGACGAGCGGCGGGAATGGCTTGTCGGCAGGGACAAGGCTCGCAGAAACCTGGGAGTTACAGTAACACAAAAGGTCCTCCAATCTGGTCGGCGTGCGCCGTGCAGCCAGGAACCTCTGGGATCGATCTCCATCCCAGGATTTGGGGAGAGCGTGGGATTGGGTTGGTCGTGAGAACATGGAGAGGGGACAGCTGCTCTGGGTGTGTTCTTGGGGTATTACCGTGTTCGTGCCTTTGCATTGCAGGTCGGTACTCGTAAGGTTAGGTTACACGTCCCATGTCGTCCAGCTTGCGCCGTAACTTTTCTTACTTCCAAACCTTCGGCCCTCGAAGCTACGGTGCATCGTAATGTTTCTAATACCGTTTCTTTTACAGTACGGTATTTCCTCACTTCCGTCTCAAAAAGGAAATCGCTCCATGTAGCGCTCGTCCCGGCAATCGTCGAAATCCCGCCAGCCAAGTCTGCCCAACAAGCAAAGTTTGCACCATCCCATGTCCAGCCTAACCCCTTTTCCCGCCCCTCCTTCTCCAGACCCCAATCGCCTCCCACGATTTTGGGACCTCTCTAACCCCTTCTCAACATCGCCCGTCCTCTACACAAATCACCACACATCCAGTAGTTCATGCAGCCATTCAGAGCTCGAACGCATTCCAGTCCAGCTATCAAGTGGCGCTAGACCCCGGACTCCCCAACTGTCGCTAAATTCCTGATTCGCTGCTGGGCTCGGTCGCTTCTGCCATTTCACCCATTGGTCAATTAGCTTCTCTCTTCGACATCTTTCAACCTCACCTCTACTTACATCCTCAAGATATAAAGCTCCTCGTTGTTCCCACTATGAGATAGTATTCAGACCACAGCATCTCATCTTCAGCTTTCCTCACACTTCGAACTCCTCAATCTTCGCCTCGCAGCTACCACAATGCGTCGTGACTCTCAGATCAAGGAAATCCCTGTGGACAACAATGCCCTCCACCCCGAGGACACTGTCGTTCGACGAGCATCAGAGGCAATCCCGGGTTTTGCTGAGCTCTCAGCAGAAGCCAAAGATGCCACCGATAAGGAACACCAGATGGGCTTCAAGCAAGCCCTGCGTCTTTACCCAAAGGCTGTCGGCTGGTCTATCCTCCTTTCAACCGCCATTATCATGGAAGGCTACGACGTAGTCCTCCTCTCCTCCTTCTACGCCCTCCCTCAATTCAACAAGAAGTACGGTATTCTGACTCCAGACGGCACGTACACCGTCCCCGCGCCATGGAAATCCGGACTCAGCAACGGCGCTCTCTGTGGTGAGATCCTGGGTCTCTTCATCAACGGCATCGTCTCCGAAAAGTATGGCTACCGAAAGACCATGCTGGCTTCCTTGGCCATGATGATCGCATTCATCTTTATCCCATTCTTTTCCCACAATATCGAGACTCTCTTGGTTGGCGAAATCCTCTGCGGTATCCCGTGGGGTGTTTTCCAAACTCTCACCACCGCCTACGCTTCCGAAGTCTGCCCTGTCGCTCTTCGTGCGTACCTCTGCACATATGTCAATCTTTGCTGGGTTATTGGACAATTCATTGCTTCTGGCGTACTCCGTGGGGTCCTTAACCGTAGCGACCAATGGGCTTACCGTACGTCTCATCCCATCTTCTTCGTTTACTTATCACTGACTTGACCCAGGCATTCCCTTCGCGATCCAATGGCTCTGGCCCCTCCCCATTCTAATTGGTGTCATCTTTGCACCCGAGTCCCCTTGGTGGCTCGTCCGTCACGGCCGCGAGGCAGACGCAAAGAAAGCTCTCCTTCGCCTCACAACCCGCAACGACCCAACCTTCAACGCTGACGCCACAATCGCAATGATGTCCCACACCAACGCACTGGAGAAGCAAATCTCGGCTGGAACTTCGTACCTCGACTGCTTCAAGGGCGTCGATCGCCGCCGCACAGAAATCGCCTGCATGACTTGGATGGTTCAAACTCTCTGCGGCTCCACCTTCATGGGTTACTCAACCTACTTCTATCAACAAGCCGGCCTCCCCACCACTTCCGCCTTCGACCTCTCCATGGCCCAATACGCACTCGGCATGGTAGGCACAGTGGGCTCTTGGTTCCTCATGCACCGCGCCGGCCGCCGAACACTGTATCTCTACGGCTCCTGCGCCCTTCTCGGTCTCCTCTTGATCATCGGCCTCACGGCCATCGCACCAGCTTCCAACCAACCCTCTCGCTGGGCTATCGGCTCCATGCTCCTGATCTTCACGTTCGTATACGATTTCACGGTTGGTCCGGTCTGCTACTCTCTCGTCGCGGAAGTCTCCTCCACTCGCCTCAAGGCCAAGACCATCGTGCTCGCAAGGAACTTCTACAACATCGGCGGCATCGTCGTCAACGTGCTAACCACGTACCAACTTACCCCCAAGCCCAACGGCTGGGGCTGGTCCGCCAAGAGCGCTTTCTTCTGGGCTGGCAGCTGTGCGTTGTGTATCGTGTGGATTTTCTTCAGGTTGCCGGAGCCGAAGGGACGCACGTATGGTGAGATGGATGTCTTGTTCGAGCGCGGTGTTTCAGCGCGCAAGTTCCGCGATACTAAAATTGATATCTTCCGCGGTGACCATCTTGCGCCGGTTACGGAAGTTGATTCATCGAGTGAGAAGGAGGCGGAGAAGGCGGCGGTTGTGATGGTCGAGAAGGCTTAGATTTGCTTAATTTATTGTGATAAATAGGGGAGAGGTGGGGGAGTTGTATGCGTGGATGAGGCTTTGCACATGATTGTTTCCTTCCGGCAACGGAGTTGCGAGCTAATGGGCTATGACATATGAGATTTATGATTGAATAGAGATACCACTTCACATCATCTTTCTCCTCTTCTCTCCAGCTCTCCTTTACCGCTATGGTTCTTTGCTCACGAATATAAATGTTCCGTCCTACGCCGGTTTTTCTTCCCTTACCAACCTGGGAAAATTCATTGCAGAATACCGAATTCGGTGTTGGGCTTCTTGTTGGGCTTCTGAAATCTTGTTGTAGGTTAGAGGGATGAACTTTCGTCTTGCACCTACGTCTATGCTGCTAAGGCGTCGTTTCGTTGCGGGTATATTTAGGGAAGTTACTGAGCTTGTCAGGGATTGACGTTGTCAAAGAAGCGCGTTGTCAACTTGTCAATACGCATCTTCAAGCCCCCTCCCTTTCCTTCCAACCTCCGCACTCCTAACACTACTCTCGATCTCTAGCTCGAGATTCGCAAAAGGGGATGGGTATACTGGCAATGGAATGAGCAGGGGTAGAGAATGGGGAGTGGGGGGGGCTAAGCCCATAGGTTCCGTGAAGCATGGCATGGCGTAGATATCGTAGACATCATGGATGGGTTAAAGTGAGAAGAGAGAATTGGAAGGGGATTTATAGGTGGAGGCGCTCTGGGGAGTTTGGCTGTTATGGGACGGGAATGTTTACACTTCCCAACCCGATGTCTCAGGTGACCAGCGCCGCCTTTGCTCAGGCTTGGCTCACCCTATTCACATGCTTACTAGAAACCATGAACTTTTAACGAGGGGCCTTTTCAGGCCCCTCTTCCCCTAGCTAAGGATCCAAAATATTTACTCTGCCTAATCTAAAATTATACCTTTCTTCTTTCCTCTCCAAGCTTTTCACCATGTTCACCTTATTCAACGGAGAGGCACACCTCCTGCCATCGAGTTCAACGAAAAATACAATAACACTCTTGTAGCTATGGGTCCTATATAGATGTATATAAAGTGTCGCAGGAGAGTTCAGATAGTAGGCTCTAGCGGCAACCAACATGACCCGCCTTACTGGAGCGCTGAGCGGTATTCGATGCACAGTTGTGAATGCACTGCTCTCTAGATCAGACGCAGACGGCTTTGGCTAGTACCCCGAAAAAAGTCTGTAAAATGAACCCACGGCTGGTAAAGGAGCGCGTCAGTATATGCCAACCCAACTCGCCTATAGGTGTTGTAATGAGCATCAACTGGCTCAATTCCCAAAGCCACACAACACCCTCCTACTCGGTACATGCCTAGATAGAGTAACAACACCCTAAATTCGGATCCTAAAACTCTACTGGCATCATCCGGGTCGTATATTGCAACACGTTCTGAGTTGCTTGATTGAAGATAGAGTGTACGACGTCCGGCCACATGTAAGTCAGGAAGTTCTCGTACCAGCCCACTCTGTATTTTACCAGATGCGATAATGTATCCACCGTCTACCATACCGAATGGATCTAGGCCTGTCGGGGTTGTCCCAGCGTCAATTATTACTAAGTGGCTATAGAATTCATTGTCGACAATGTTTCTGACGAACAATACGCCGCATTTTGCAGCGGCCCATGACCAAGATGGAGCAATATAATTAGATGCCGAAGTCAACTGTGGGGCACCTGAGTTTGTGTAGAATGGAATGTGCCATGCCAGCGCTCTAGGCATGTCCTCCAGCCAAACGCCAGCTAGATATCGGGCATTGGTCACTCGCTGAAATTCTGATGCGATGCCAGAGAGTGCTGGGAGTCTATCAGTCATGTTGGTCAGATCCATTGAAGAATAGGTATTGATAAGTTCGGCCCAGTATTTAAAGCACTTAAAGTGGCTTCCCAGCCGGTCAATTTTCAATTTTTCAACCATGTTGATCTCCGCATATTCCCATATGATCGGATAATGAGAGTCTTCAAATCGAACGTTTGTAAAGCACTCGAGGTACATTCTCTTTTTGCCAAAGTAAAGGACTCGGCTTGAAAGCTGTCTTTCTTGAAGTACCCACGCCCTCTTGGATAGCGGAGAGTCTGTTTCGGGCACAAGAGTATATGGCCTCTCATTGATACTGCGATGCGATAGGATGGCTTCGTCAAAACTTTCGCCTTCTGACCACTGCAAGGCCGCTTGGGAAGAAGTGTGCCGAGCATGATGAAGAAACCCGGAATCACAGCCAGACGCCGCAGGTCCAGCTAACGTGACAAATGAATCCTTGTAGATCCTTCTCATTTCTGTACATTGCTCTTCCCAGTCGCGCTTAGAGCCCTGTATGATGCACAGAGAATCTATCCAAAGATACCTCAGTCCCAGTGATCGTGTGGCAGTGACGGCGTCCTGGAAGGTCTTCGGTAGACTTTCGTATGCAATTTTCTCTTGAAACTCGTCATAAGTCGTTTGTGTGAGTTTCAGTGGTTGTGAATTTCCCCAGCAATGGCTCAGAGTTGCATAGCGCCCACAACTTTCAACATTGACTAAAAGGCGTAGGTCGGAAGCGCCCCCAGGAGGTCCCAAATCGAGAATTCGAGAAGGTAGTCGAGAATTTAATGACTTGGGGCAAATCTCGTGACTTTCAACACAATCATCAAGCCAACACTTCGCTAATGCAATGTCCGCCGTAACCGTCACCTGTCTTCCAACGATATGCCCCATGCACAGAGCGATGCTATCTATGTAAAGTTAATATTGCCTTCAATACTGGAGTTGAGGGATGTGCATACTAGGTAGAGATGACACCTCTACAAAGGGCCATATTCCGTTTACTGGATCGGAATCTTCTCCCGGACATTCTCGCAAGTATAGAAGCCCTTGAAGACCTTGTGAACATGGCGCAAAACTGCTATCAATCGCCACACCGATGGCTTTAATAAAGAAGGCGGTGTGCCTTGTGTCCTGATCTCGCTGGTCCCTTTCTTCTAGATTAAGACACTCGCCGTCTGTCCTCATTGACTCTTGGTCTAATTGTCGCTGGTAATGTTCCGCTTCTTCGATTGAGGAGGAAAGACCATGTGCGTAGTACTCGAGAATCACTCTCCTAAACAATGCGCAAATCTTGCATCCATTTTGAACCGAGTTATGTAATTCCGTAAACGTAGAATAATGTTGGGCACGCCACGTATGGCTGGGGTCTTGAATGGGTATCGCCGAACATCTGTTGCAGATCATCTTTCTCGTGCCTTCAAGGACTAGATCAGAGCGTGTTATGATCCAAATAACTTGCTGATGGCATCTGTGCCCTGCCCAAATTTTCACGGATGTTATCTAATTTTAGGCAGCAGTCTAATTTTCACGTTACCTTCGTCCGTCGCGAAAACCAGTCAGCAAGTACGGCAGGATTTTAGGCAGTAAAGGGTCAAAACACTCGAGCACTCGAGCACCAGAACACCAAAAAAACCAAACCACATGAAATTAGACGTGCAGCTATACTAAAATTAAGCTAAGGCCCGTAACTATTATAGCTAGTATATAAAACTAGGTAATATACTAAGATAATGTGGTACGGCAAGCGTACTCCATGAAAATCGCGTTGTTTTGGCAGTTTTGAGGTTTTAGTCACATGTCAAAGGCTGGGGCCTTTCGCACGTGACTTGCGGAAATCACATGAGAAAGCTGATTTTTCTGTAGTTCTAGATAACAATCCCTCCTTCATATCAATCAATTGAGCTTTTGCAATTGCACACTGTTTATGCTTTAATGTTTATGCCCTTGTTGTTGTTTTGCTGTCAAGTCACGTTTTGCGCTCTGGTATACTTTATGAGGGTTTTTGTCTTGTCGCAGTTTCCCTCCCACAATAAGCCAATTATTATTATTGCAAGGAGCTGCACCTCAGAGAGCTCCCCCCCCCAAGAAACTGCCCCTAAGGATCTATTCCTTAGGGAGCTATCCCCCAGAGAAAAGGAAGATAATGTAAAAGTAGTGAGGTATGCCTTAAGAGAATGTATCCCTTCGCCCGCTAAGACATTGCCACATTAGCGGCCGCACATGAATATCCCTAATTTGGATTATGTTTTGGCAATGTCTCAGCGGACGAAGGGATACAGGGTTTTGTGCCTGAGGCACCCTGGCCTTTACTCAGGGAGCTGTCCTCCAAGGAGCTATTTCCCAGGGAGCTATCCCCTAGGGAGATCTTTATATACACTACGTAAAGAGCTCCTTGGGGGCGGGGCGGGTCGGGGGCAGCTCCCTGGGGGCAGCTCACTGCAATACATAAAGAGCTCCCTATAAATAGTATGTACGAGTCTAAGTACATTTTTAGTGCAGTTCCAAGCCTAATTTTAAGTGGCATGCGATTCGTAGCTTTGAATTTTATAGTTTTGGTGTTCTGGTGCTCGAGTGCTCGAGTGTTTTGACACTTCACCGCCTAAAATCCTGCCCTACAAACTGCTGAACCGCCCACGCCTACCCCACCAAAACTTTGCCTATTTTCAATGCGCTTAGAAAATTCTAAAACTTCTAGTAGTATAAAAATAAATAAAAACAAACTCTAAACAGTCCGGCTACAAGCTTAGTTTCTTTAAATTATGGTGTTGTGGTCAAACTGCTGGTTCGAGCTGTTGAGCAGTTCGGGCATTTGGCCAGTGAACCCCCTTCTAACGTACGGAAGGGGGTGGAAAGAAATCACCGCCATCCCCCCTGGTTCTGCCATCGCTAGATGAGGGAATTTGTGGGGCACACGTGCTCAACTTCAATGCCTAATTGGCCAAAATACTCACCGCCTAACGAGGGGGGTGGCGGTGATTTTCCGTACATTTAGAGAGGTCACGGGCCAACCGCCCAAAATCAATTTCGCCACAACAACGACGTAATGTGCAAGGAACAAGTTGATATTCGCGATCTCTGACTCAATTATAGCAATCCTAGAGATTTTGCAATCTTTTGAGCACTTTAAAAAAAACTCAATTTTTGGTGTTCTTCTAGAGTCCACGTGACTTTGCGCGTCTCAGTAACCCATCTTGGGCGCCAACCCCCCCCCAAATTGGGCTAGTATGGCCTGTAGCCTCCAGCAGTAACAGGTGCTTATCCTCAGCCGCATACCCACGACACTTCATTCCTTTGGCTCTAACTTCACTACTTCCGTTCACCAGCAAGGCAACGAGACGATGGAGCAATCAACGGCTGGCGCAAACCAAGTTCGCATGGACTCTCGTGCCAATAACCGAATTCCAAGGTCAATGCACACCCACACTGAATAGAACTACACACCTCACCAAAAATTACCCTACCATCTTCAAAATTCGATAAAATGGTCAGCAAACAAGATATTAAGAAGGCGATTAAGGTAATAAATACGTAATTAATCCCTAATTATAGCCAAGTGGCTAGGGATTTTGGTATTAAGTATATAACTCTTATATGAAAATATAAAGAAATATATATTTCTAGATAGGAAGTAATCTCTATATATTATAAACTCCTTACTAATATGCAAAAAGAAGTTCTTATTAGTCAAATTAATAAGCTTATAGTCTATAGGCTTCCTTTTACCTTGCAAATTATTAAAAACCTTATAGAGGAAATTATTAGTAGTAATATAAATAAGAACTAGATAGCTAGTTTTATCTAATACTACTTCTTATATCTTAAGAGCCTTTATTTATATAATATTAAAAATTTGCGACTAAAATCGAAATATAGGCTCTATATTTAATTCTTTTTTAATTTAGTAGTATTTAATTTTAGTATTCTATCTATTTCTTACTTATTTTATAAATAAAATAACTAATATTTCCCTCTCTTACTTAGTTAATTAAAGTAGTCGAGAAATATAATATTATAGCAGAAAGTATATATAATTAGAATAAGAAGTAATTTTTAATTAGAATTATATATATAATAAAGTATATTATAATAAAATAAATATATAATAATAGAAAAATTCTAGTAATAAAGTAAAATAGCTTATAAGAGTTTATTAGCTTACTTATTTCTATTTATACGAATAGTATAAAGATTTTACTAGCTCTTATTTATAAAGAAATCTCTGGAGATTTTTAGAATATTTAATTAAATAATTTAAAAGAAAGGAAATATATCTAGTTTATATCTAATATAAATAAATAATTATTTAATATTCTTAGTCTGGCTTATTTTATTCAGGTTTTTAAATCTGCTATTTATATAAAAGCAGGATATAAAAGAAGGCTTTTAATTATAAATAAGTATTCTAGTTATATTAATATAGAGTTTATATAAATATATAATTGCTTTAAAATTCTGCTTTTTATTTTACCTCTGTATTTAATATATTATCTTTAGTCTCTTAATATAGGCTGTTTTTTATTACTTTTTACTTATTATTTTACCGAGATTAATAGGCTTTTAGATATTAGTAAGGGTATTTTTTCTTTAATAAAAAGGATATTTTGGTCTGTTTTTAAGCCTACTTAGGAAAAAAGTATATCTAAATCGAATATTTTATCTACTTAAAAAAGATAGGTATATAGCCTTACTAATTATTAATTATCTTATTAGCTATTACTTTACTAAGACTATAAACTTCTCCTAAAGCTTCTCCTAACATAATTACGATTTCTTATACTGCGAAATATATATAGTAATTCTCAAATATATATATAAAAAACCTATCTAAAATAGCCTTTTATAAACTTACTAAAGTTAATAAATTAAATATAATAAAGGCTTTTATTATAGAGTACCGTATAAAGGGTTTAAAAGAAGCTTTATAGCTTGAAAAGAAGAAGAGATATTGAGAGAAAAAGCTTAACTTAATAAGAGAGCCTATAGGAAAGGCCTAGTTCTTTGGAATAGTTAAAATACTAGCTATAATAGTATTTGAGGAAACGAAGGCTATAAAGGCAGAATAAGATAAATTAGATAAGTAGAAGGCAAAGGAAGATATAAAGATTACTAAAGTAATAAAAGATACCTTGAAAAGCAGGAGAAAGAGATAGAGAAGCTAAGGAAGGCAAAGTAAAAAGAGATTAATAATAGAGTAAAAAGGGAGAAGCATAAAATAGAGGTTTTAGAGAGAGAGTAGTAGCAAGAAAGGCAGCTATGGTAGCTAGAAATGCTACTAAGAAAGCCAAACCGTCCCGTATAGTAATATTAAGGATAGGGTCTTCGATTTTATCGAATTTAGGGGCTCAGGAAGCGGTTATCGTGGAGGAGGACGATTCTAAAGCTATAGGGGTAATATAGACTTCCCGATCAGGAAGGGAGATTATTTTACCCCAATGTCTTAGAAAATGAAAATCCTGGTTAGCCAACTTAATACGCCTAGTTCAATTACTTTATATCTTTAATCTTAGACCGATTAATAGTGTGGTTATTTAATAATTAATTAATTAAGTTCGAGGTTAGCTGAAAATTTGGGGTGTGCATTCGCTTGGGGTGTGTATTGACCTTGGAAATCGGTTACCGATAAACCCCTCTGCCTTCTTGTCCTTGATGGTGGTAGAGTCCGCGGTCTCTCAACCCTCGAATTGAATGCGTTATCAGCGCCGGAAGGGCCGACCCGTAATTCTGTTTCTAAACTAACCAGATAAGGTCTCGCCATGCCACCCACACCGGATTCGTGGTGCCTAAGCAGTGGTGTGTGGGATGGGCGAGCTCGTGAGCGTCCGGTGCCACCGCCTTCCGGGCAGCAGTGTTGCATGACAGAAAATGAAGCACCTTTTATTGGAAGAGCTCAACAAGATGCATCCCCCCCCTCTACAATAGCTCAAAACTTTTCGCATCTTAGCAAGGTCTTATCACAATGGCCTGAGCTGTTCGCTAATCATTTCCGTCGTCCATATATGTTGGGGGCTTGCCTCCTGCATTTGGTGACTCGAAAGTTGCTAGCCTTCGCTTTTTTCAATGGGCGAAGCAAGTTTCTGTTTGTTGAAGAGGAAGGCTACGGGGACCAGAGCCGGGGTTTTTTTTACTCCTACACTGGGTTGCTCCAGGTCTCAGTTGAGGCCAAGTTATTGGTTGGCTCCCCTATAAGCGGGAATCCGTGCGAGTACAAAATTTGTGCGCAAATCAGTGGGCCCTGGAGTAACCCAGTGAGGAGTTGATATGCGCTTCTTAAGCCTTTATAATTTAAAGCCGTTTCATTAATCGCGACTTCCTCCGATGGCTTTTGCTGAGTCCATTTGCGCAAGTCGACATGAGGGGTCTCTAACCTAACAGGCAGTGCACACCAGGTGTTTCGGGGTCGTGCGCCTGCGCCAAAAACACGACGAACTTAACGCAACAATTAATCTGACAAAAACGTGCAATTCAAAGGATAACTTGCCTATCTTCTAACCCGAATTCTAACTACAAATACAATCGTAACTGATCCTAACTAGCTAACCCCAACCCTCCTAGCCCTCGAGAGTTTGCAAGTCTTAGTGAAGGCGGCTCAGATTGGCTCGCGCAAGCCGGCTTAGCAAAACCGCCTCCCGATGTCCAATAAAGACGATTCCGTATCTGCACCGAGGCAAAGCATACTTCCTTTTTCTTTCCCGTGTCCCATATCTCTATTGTGCACGAGATTGGTGGCTGTGGCTTTTTTAACAGTTTGAGGCGCTCGAAATTGGGTACTTTCATAGGCCAGGAATATTTGATTGTACATGCACGCCCTCGATTTAGGAGGAACTCCGATCCCCTTATCTGTTTCGCGCCCTACCTTGCAGGTGTGGCCCAAGAATAATCTCAACAGGATGTTCCACAGCCTTCTCGTCCCTTACACAGGTTTTGTCCTTCCCCATCTCCATTTCCTTCTCTCAGATACGCAGCGAATTCCCTCTTTTACAAGGCCCATTTTGTGCATAACTTTCTGCTGTTTGATACCTATTTGAATTCTTTTTGCGTTCAATATATATCTCAAGTCATGTCGATAATGAATCCGTTCATTGCCCCCACGGCTGGTGAGGACATTCCTGTCGACCTACCTTATCTCATAAAATGGTTGCCCACCAGTGCTGGACCCGTATTCATACAGCTATCATACGATAATAATGTCAAAGCTACCAATATCACAGGTCTTTGGTCCCTTCCCAATCTCATTGAATAGGTTTTCCTAACTCAAAGCAAAAGCTAATCTTCGTCATTTAATCTAGTCTCGACACCCAACACAGGCAATTATTCTTGGACGCCTGTCGATGTATTTGGTGGCAGAAACAACTACTTCCTCGTTATCTGCGATCTCCATTTACCACAAAGCACTTGTAGTTATACATCGGATGGACGATTCGCTATTGGGTCGATATCGAGTAATACTTTGCAAAGTACCACGATAAGCGGAACTTCGATATCAACGAGTAATATACTATTGACTGCAAGTCCAGCTTCAGCAACTGTGTCGTAAGTTAATACCCTCTCTCACGAGTAACGTTCGGCCGAGTTGGTGGCTGATGGCAGATCCAACATCTCAGACAACAAACTTTATCCACAACGACATCATCCCTGACACAAACTCCGACTCGAAATCCAAATCCAGATCTCTCCACGGGTGCAAAGGCGGCTATCGGTGTCGTTGTACCGTTGTTTATATTAGCTGTCGTAGGATTGACTGTGTTCTTCATCTGGAAACGACGAAAGGGAGCTTCACAAACGCACCCGACAAGCTCAGGTGCAGAAACGATGGGCGAGTATCATAAAGCGGAGCTCCCAGTAGAAGGAAATACCAAGGAACCTGTTAGAGTTGAGCTGTCCGGATCTGGTGTTGAAACTGGATATACGAGCGCGAATGTTCATGAACTCGCGAATGATTGAGGAGTTGAGCATGGCAGTGAGCAACATGGGAAGTCATAACTAGTAGGTACATGAAACGAAGCGCTGATCATGAATGATTCTCACCACCAGCCAAAACCGTATAACATCTTCATCAATGGCAAATGCGTATTGCTTGTAGTCTCCTGCATGGGGGCGTCTGTTCATCTATAGCGCCTCCTGAGAGAAGCAATGTTGGCCTTCCAGGCAAACAAAGTCCTGCCTCACAGGTCCTAGCCACCAATGAGAATAAGGGTCATCCTCGTCTATATCTAGTGGTTTCTAGAGCTGGGAGACTAAAAACGGATCCTTGACCATCAAACCAGCCAAGAAGTCCGGTAACATTCCTAACAAAGCAGACTCTGATGGAAAAGAACAATATGTTCAGGGCATACTGTTTGGAGCCCGATATCCTAATCTGCAGGTTCCTCAATCGGCGCTAGGGAACTCTCGCCGACATAGATTCAGGTCCTCTGCCTCGAATTTGCGTTGGAGAAACGTTTAAAGTGGCGGAGAAGAAGATTGTGGCTGTAAAGTTGCAACTTGTTGTCAAATGCAACTCAAGGGGGGATTATGGTATTTTGGAAGCAAATTCTTGGTGTGGTTTCTCCGGGTCATCGAAGCAAACAGCTCTGAGCATCAGCTGTAGATCGGCGTAAACGATTTGGTTAGGTTTCTCCTCGCTTGCAGTTACATGAAGGAGAGAGTTTCATTGAAGTTAAGCCCAATCAACACACACGATTTTATGGTGTACGTGCTTAAATGCAGTATGTGGGTATCGTGGCAGCTCAAGATTCGGTGACCAGGACGCCGTGGTGTCTCTTTGTTCCGCTCTTGAACTTGGTTTATGTCTTCATTGGAAATATTTCTTTTTCTTGGGTATCTTGTAATCTTACCAATCCAAATCAAAAGTTGGTGACTCGACCTACTCTGCGTTGGGTCGGGCTGGGTTTTAGAAGAGGCCGGATCATCCTCTTTCTTCGAGGATTTCTCGGCCTTGGGAGGAGCGGTACTATGTAGCCTTGATATCTCTGAGGGCCATTTCTCGGGGGTTTACTCTATTTGGAATTTTGAAGCGTAACCCTTCAAACCTGCTCCTTCCAGCCCCCCAAGCCCTGTGATTACAGGGCTCATCCACTATAAATTCACAACATCCGATGTGCTACAAAATTCTGACCTTGGTTCTTATTGGTCTGATAATGGAAGTGGTTCGAGCTTATAATGAATCGAGGATGTAAGAAGTAGATTGAGTGCATTTCAAAGCGCAAAGAGATAATCTTGAAATGAAGTTGGAATAGGGGCACTATCTGACTCGCTTACGGTTTGTTTACTTGGTCCGTGCTACTTCTAACCGCAGGTTGCGGAGTTGGTTGGAGGTGAACTTGATCCGGGAGCTATACAGATGAGGATGGTTTCAGTAAAGTTATGATTAGTCAAGGTTGTAGGAGACCAGCTAGCTCGAGTTGTACCCCCTACCCTCACTGGTACAGTCATGCTTTGGGTTCCCAACATGGCTGGCGTCATACCCATTCTCATTGATCAACAAGAAAGATGTGATTGTTTCATTGGGGCCATTGGTGATCTAAGTTGAAATACGAATCACAATCCAACACTGAAAACTAGATTGTAAACACATGCGAGAAGCCTGCAAACTCCAGGCGGAGGGGTCATTCATGATTCATTGCACACAACGTAATGTACATCTTCCGAGATCCTGAAACGCCTGACACAGATTCAGAGAAACACACAATATTTGATACGTTCCTAAACACCGAAATCTTAAAACCTCTGGGACGACTGATGGACGCAGCCCTGATTAGCTGAGCAAACAAAGGGTAGACTAACGAAGGGTGAGACTTGCCAGAAAATCAGATTAAAAGTCAAAGGAACTACTCATTGCAGCCCAGCGGACCCCTGGGCAATCAAAGCTCTCGGGGGAAATCCCCTCCCTCTCACCATGTTTTTGAAGCCTTTAGGAACACCTTGTGAACCGGCGCAGGTTGATCAGTCGGGTTGAGCAGGTACGAAAGGTCATGCTTGGCCTTCTGGACTATCTCCTGAAGCTCGTCACGCAGTTGCTCGGCTTTGCAACGGTCTTCTGCTGAAGTGACGAGAAGCTTGTCGGCAATGAGGTTAACTAAGGACTCCAATGAAGTGCCGCCCTGACATCTTGGATCTTCTCGTAGGGCCTTAATGGCGTCCAACACTTCCGGGAGAATCGTCGCCTTGCGATCAATGTTAATCTGGAAGAAACTGGCGTTTGGATTTTCGGGAGGCAGTTTTCTGTTCTCTTCGAAGTTTTCGATTGCATCATAATCGTACAGGAGCCATATAGCGAATTCCAAAAAAACACATCCTAAAGACCAGATATCGTAGGTGCGTGCCCTCGGCTGGTTTTGTTGTCCAGGTTCCGAAGCTTCGGGGGCTTCGTACGAGCGTGTGGTGGCCGTGGTTGTTGTCCCACCACGTCGCAGGTTTGTCTGCTGTTCATGAATCCTTGACACTCCGAGATCTGCAATCACCAGGAAGGGATCGGAATCTTCCTCAAAGAGGAGAATGTTGGCCGGCTTGAGGTCTCCGTGGCGGCAGTGTATACCAGCGCCTAAGTCGTGATGGAGAGAATATACAGCTCCGGCGAGGCCGTGCATTTGGCGGAGAGACCACAAAATGAGCTCCAGTTTTCGTGGTTTTTCGTTCTCGCGTTTCCAGTAGTCCAGGAGACTTCCACCATCTGCTAGGGGAAATATGACATAGTAGTTCGAGCCTCTTTCGCAAGTAGCGATATGCTTGACGAGATGTCGATTATTTAAATTTAGGGTCTTTGTTAGGTTTTCCTTCTCTCGTTCAAAGATATTTCGATCGTCAAGCTCCTTGATAGCCACATGAACTTGCTTTGCCAGTAACTTCGGGTTTTAACATAGACTCATAGACTCACCAAGGCTGTGTTGACGTGAAACTTACCTGTGAGTCCTGTTGGTAATGGGACCGATAAAGTCCACATTTGAAGACATTGCTGAATTCAGTGGTTCCTATTTTCTCAACAGCCGCTTGTAGCGGCAAGGCACTATTTCGGTCGAGGATGAAATGACTGCCAGAGGTGTCAAATACTGGTGCTTGGGTCCGCCATTGCTGTCTCTCCACGAAATTGTCAATGTCGACCCGTTCCCAGTTCCGGAAGGTCTCGAATGTTTGGTTGCCATCACAGTCAGTCAATAAATTTCTGTCCGCGCCGCTTCCTCTGCGATATAGAGGAAGTTTCTCATCCGTGAGCCCCTCTGAGAGCAAGTCCACGATTGCGTTCTGACGGCCAACTAATATGAGGCTTGCGAGGACCTTCTTCGCCGTGTGCACAACTTCTTCGGCCAAGTCGTTATCGCCAGAGAAGGGGGGTGTCCTGACAATATTCTCCACGGAGATCACATCCTGCAAGATGTTCAACGGCAGGAACATATTCTGGGTGAATGGACATTCAACAAGGCTGTCATGAAGTTCGCCGTAGAGATCCATACTGGTGGCATTGGCATCCGGCTCGGTTGGCTTGGCCATGCACTGGCCTGGGTTTGAATCGCGCTGATCACCGGAAGGCATGTCGTTGGTTCGTATATCTTGAGGCAGCACAATTCAGAAAGCAAAGTGGTTGATGGCACAGAATAAGGCTGTTCATGGCTAGCCAGAGCTCTTGGTGCCATGCGGCTCTGCTACTCGGTAAGTCAGCCGTGCATGCTGATGAGACTCGACTCCTTCATACCTGCAGGCCATGTATGGAACGGCTCACTGACATGTTGACCAGGTGCATTGGCATCCTAAGCCACCGCCCGGTTGCAGTGAACAAACTGCGACATTTGGAAAAAGCACTGAAGAAGGGTTCAAGGGTAGACCCGAGGGTAACGGCTTGCCTGACGGCTTCCAATGAAAAGTACCGCTCAGGAAAGCCCGACGGAGCCGACATTCATTTCCCTGAGGCAAAAACTGAATGAGTTAGTTTCTAATGCAGGTTGTCACACCGGTTTTGTTAACAGCGGTTGCTCCTGCATATTCATTGGATCCACAGCTTCGCCGAAGCAGCGGGGACATGAAGTGCGGGGTCAAGTGATCAGCGGGGGTTTCCGATGCACGACATGCCATTCCTCGCAGGCTCTTATCATATGGCCCGGTTCTGTCTCACTCGCAAATTCTCTTTCTTGATCACTCAGCAAGCCATCGCAAGATCAAGTCCTTATCAAAATCGTAGAACAGGTAATGTGATGGCGTACCAGGACTATCCTGCCAACGCATTGAATTGCTATATCTACAGCCTGTAAGTTTGCACTAAGCCCCTCCCCCGCCCCCGCGCGCGCGCCCATCATTAAAGCGTAATTATAGGATATGCTGCTATACTTCTTGATAGCTGTCAACCCTATTCTCAGAGCAGAGGCACTGTTTTAACAAGCACTAGAGTGCGAGAAACCTGCTTTCAGTGTGGGCTCCGATAGGCTCGATAATCGATCGATAGATAATCGCGCTAATTGGTCGATAATCGATAATTATCGATAATAATTTATTGGATCCCACGCTGGCAGCAGATCTTGTGCTCGAGCTTCCGGCAGTTTTCTTTTCCTTATACTGAAAAAGGGATTTACCAAGGTTATTTATAGGGACTAACAATATTGCAGTGAAATTCCTAAAACTACATTGAGCTCGCATACTCGTAGCCAATGTAAATGTGCGTATTACTGAGAGTTTTTCCACGAGGATATTGGTTCTTGCATCCTTGGAAAGCTGCGACTATAAACTATCTGTCGCAACTTGAACTTCTATTCGTGCGAGCACTGTTTGTGGCATTATTTAAGGCCAAAGTTGGACTAAAGATGTCGTTTCCATCACACTCGCTTCGTCTACTACCCCACACCTTTTCCCCTTCACCAGGTAATGGTGTTAGAAATCCAGTGCTCTGTTGACCTTTCCCTACAGCATCTCATATCTATGCTACCGACATATATGGCGTCAATCTAAGTGGTTCTTGAGAGCAAAGGTTAAGAGGTTGAGGGCTCGGCGTCCAATAGAGAGCCCGTTTAAACTGAGCAATTGGGGTGATGGCATTTCAATTGTGGTATTAGACTTAAATCTCCTCAAAAAAAACCATTTGCTAGAATCTCACCAAATTAACTTCAAAAATCACATAGAATATATTATTTAATGAAATACTGAATATAAGTGACAATCAAAAAGCTCTTCAGTGGTCGAGCCGATATTTTCGATCTGTATTAACACGCAGAAAAGAAGAAGAAGAAATAGGCGATCGAGGTTGAGACAGGTCCCCAAGCCGAGTGGTCATTACATTGCAGGCATTGATATCAGATATTGCTCCTGTGGCCGCCTCCAATGAGCGCCATCAACACAGCAGCATATGCTGCCGTAGCAGCCAGAAGGTTTCCTGGCTCCGTCGTAGAAAAGACGGCGACACTAACTGCGAAGAGGAAAATCGACGTTGAGATAACAGCCAGCGTTTTAGCCGTCGCACTACCGACAACCAAGATAAGCATAGGCACCACGATGATTAACCCTCCGATGATAGCAAAAGCGAATCGCTTCAAGGCCATGTGGAAATGCATTCGACGCTCCTCCCTCGCCATCGCCTGCGCTCGGCCCGTACCTAGACTCCCCCCAACCGATGTCCCATGCTGCATCAGCTTGGGATTGAATGAGCCAAGTAAGTCCGAATCCCGGAACAGGCTGCGGTGTGAGGCGGGAGCCTTGAGGCCTAGGTCCCAGATCAACGCCGCTTGCAGCCTCGATCCTCGGCCGTCGTCGAGCCGCGAAGCCGCAATTTCCTTTACAAAGTGCGTGTTCCACCGGTTGCCGTGAATGAATTCGAAGTCTCGGAGAGCATCCGCTGGTGGACAGTCAGGGTGGAGCGTAATAGTAACTGAAAGACGGTCTTACTATATTTATGGAGAGTTCCTCTGATATCCTCCAACTGCTGGCCTGTGATGTCCGCCTTCTCTATCTTCTGGATCTCCTCAGCCAGCTGGCGCTGGAGGTGATGAACTATAACCGTATACAGAGGCCGGAAGTCAACCACTGTTACTCCGCCTGCAACTAGGTGTCTTGTTGAACCACGGATAAAGTGTGTTAGACGCTCAAAATATGGGAGCAAGGCAAGACCATCTAGCAAATTATCCCGTTCTTCATCTCTCTCAAGGTTTTGTTTCGAATCCATGAAAAGAGATGCAGTCGATAGCCTAACTCACATTCCGTCGAAATTCATTAAAGTAATGAGGGATAACTATGAAATTCTTTAGAACGTCCAAGCCCTCGCTGGGAAGTCATATAATTGTCTCGTGGTACTATGAATGCAGTTTGGACAATAGGAGCCGTTACTCACCGAATGCCAAACTGGGCGAGAACGCCTCCACGCCCGAGCGAGGGTTAGAGAAATTAATGAGGCAGCCACACACCTAATTTGCCTTCATGCACAGCCTCTTTTGTAAGGACTTGGTGTAGCCCGATTTTTTCGGTGTCCCAAATAGGTGGTGGCACGCCAAAACTACAATGCTACAACCTTCAAATTATATATTGTAGAACCCCAACAGCAGATTCTACTCCAATTTTTCTTGATGTAACTGAAGACCCGCGTCTCTCAACTCCTGCCTACATTCTGTATGCGCTTTATCAAAAAATGGTTATGGAATCGTAGCATAGAAAAATGGTCTTTGTGGCTGGTAATTTTCGCTTGGGCGGTATAGTTTGCGGGAAGTGGTCACCGGCCACACCGCCGACTGATACCCCTGTCGGACCACAAAAAATTTGAGATTTTTCCAAAGTGCTTAGAAAATTCCAAAAACTTTACAGATTGCGAAGAATGCTCCGAATAACCCGAATATCGCGTTAGTTGCTCTAAACTGTGGAGTTAATGTGGCCAGATCGGTCTTCGAGAGGAACGTCGAGTCTTTGCTCCCCCGCTGGTCGCCGATGAGGCACAGATTTTCTACACTCACTGAGTTGTCATATCGCTCTGGATTCACAATTCATCCATGACAAGGCTCGAGTCCCGCCGAGTCGCCTTGTACCTTCGGCTTCATGCAGAGAGATAGTGCGTGGCACCTATTAGCTGCGCCACAGCGTGTGTTGGACAAGTTTCATCTCCTGTTCGCAGCCTCGTCTCTTTAATATATACCTGAGAGCGGGAGCTGGGCTGAACTGTGCGATGTGTCTCCATCTCCCTTCTTGGTTGCAATACGCAGAGAATACTAAAAGTTCGGACTAGAGCACGGATATATCTGCCATTTGTCTTATCCATTCTCACTCTTGAGATTGAAGGGTACGTATTGGGTCAGAACCCGAACGTGTATTGCGTAGACGGCTACTAAAAGCCTCTCTCTAGGTGCAAGTGAATTACGAGGACAAAATAGTATCACTGTATATGGCGCTTCCAGCTATGGCGCTTCCAGCCATGATGAACCCGTATAAAGCAATCACCGAGCTGGCAGGCTGTGTCGACGAGGAGTTTGCTGAAACCTATGTCGGCGATGAATTTTTACCTGATAACAAATTGGACGAATTGGTTACGCGGGACAAAGTATTGTCGGCTTTCCGCACTGCAAACTTTCCGGGTTGGGAAGACCTCGTGGACTTTGTTCTTAACGATGCTAAACGGTTATTTCTTATTCTAGTCATGATGACTAGCAGCAAAGAAGAGAAGCTCTCGCTACTGAAAGGTCTAGAGTGCGACGGAATCAAGGACGCCTCACTACCAATTGGCTTCAACAAACGAGAAAATAAGCAATACTATGGGTATTCCCTCGAGGGCCGCCATGACGGACCACAATTTAGGATCTTCGATGAGTGGGAGCGCAACGACCGCGAACTTTTCGAAAGCCACCAGTTGCGATTCACAGCACCAGTATTTGGTGAAGGCAGGTTTCGCTTCCACTTCGCTACGAAAAGAAGATTGCCATTTCTAAAAGTTGCACCAAAGCCATCCAGTAGTGGATTCTTTGGTGAGGTGTCACGGATAGAGATCCACCCAGAACATATACCGATATTGAAAGCGGTGTGTAACCTTCTCCTTCTGTTCTCGAACCAGTTGAACTCAGACCTTCTAGGATCCTCGTACAGGAACAGTTGTCATTGCTGTCAAAAAAGCCAAAGATATTAAAGAGCTTGCCAAATACTTTGATAAGGAGGCCGACAACCTCGAAAAGTTACAGCAGTATAAATCGCCACATTTGATCAAGCCAGTCGCTGCCTATCAGATCAGGGAAGAGCGGTGCTTGATCTTCCCTTGGGCGGACGGGGGCAATCTGGGCAATTACTGGGAGAATCACGGGCGAAAGTCTCGTGAATCGCAGAGCCTCCAATGGATCATGCTCCAGTTCGTCGGAATCTGTTCTGCCCTCGAAGAACTTCACGATAGTAATTGCCGACATGGAGACTTGAAGCCTGAAAATATTCTCTGGTTTAAGGACGATAATGATATGGGGACATTACAAATTGCCGACCTGGGCCTCGCGGCATTCCACGAAAAAGACGCTCACACAAATGTGCGGTTAGGGAAGGACAAACACACCTCGACACCATCGGGTACATCTCGCTACGAGCCTCCAGAGATGGACAAGGAGCGAGAAAAGCGGGCCGGCCAAGAGGCTCGATCGCGTCAATACGACATCTGGTCAATGGGATGCATCGTGCTCGAGCTACTAATTTGGCTTACCTACGGTTACCAAGCTGTGGAATCATTCAGAAAGAATACTGATTATTTCTGGGAGCTTCAAGAGCAAAGCCGGTATGTTGTCCACCATTACGTGACCTCACGCATGAGTATTATGGACACGCAACTGCAGGACAACACGGCTTACAAGGAGCTTTTACACCTCGTGCGGACCAGGCTTCTCGTTGTGAAAGTGTCACAGACTTACGAAAGCCAACCGGAATTTCGGGAGATTGCGAAGGTGCTCTTTACAAGCATCAGGAAAATTCAGGAAAAATGTCAATCCAAACCATCCTATCTTACCCCTGTTACACTGGAATACTCTTCCGACGAAATCATAGCGATCGTCCCCCAACCAGGGATTGTTTATCAGAATGAGGTGGGCCTGGCAACACCACCTCGAAGAGATGTACCCAGGGCCCCGCAGACTTCACTCTCTTCTCACATCTCTGACCCAGAAGAAGATGCCGGTCCTCGGATTTTAGTCAGTGCTCCTCCTTCCCCCACTTCAGGGATCAATTCGGATTCTATTACCAGAGAAATGCCGAGATTTTTGGATTATCAGGGAGTAGGTGAACTTAACCACCTCAGGAGCATGAGCTTACAAGGCCAACATATTGCGTCTTGTCAGTACGTAGGTGATCACTCTTCCACTAGCGTTCAGGTATATTTCACTAACCTTTCTCTCCTACATAGAACAACGTCAGTGAATCACCCTTCCCGCTTCTCTCCATTCGTTCCGCCAGTGACACTAAGTCTGTCTAGATAGTAAGTTCCTACCATAAGAACCTCCTCTCTCGTAGAAGGCCACGCTAACTGTTACTAGAATGTAAGCTTGCCTTAGAAGCTATACTAGAATAAAGACTCACTTAGCATCTTCTAGGAACCAAGCAAACCGCTCGTTGACGTTTGGGAGTCCATTCCAGATAACAATTTTGCTGCCGAATTATTCAGATTGATTAAATGGGATGGAGTAAAACCACGTCGAAAAAAACGTGGTGTCTTCTTATGCTCTAGATGCAAAGCCATTGACTCTACACAGCTATTTGACACGAAATGTGACCTTTCAAAGCTTGAGCGAACAATCTGCGATTTGTGTGTGCTACTGTCTGAGGCCTTGGAGCGAGAGAAGATTACTGGAGTTGTTACATTACGTCAAAATGGTGCTATCGTAGGGGTCGAAAACGGTCCAAATCTGCTCTCGATATATGTCGATCCAGGTATGTAAACTCTATAAACCGAGTATGGCCAAGACACTCTTACGAACACCCACTTCTAATCAGGCCCGAATATCCCACCAGGAGCACAACTCGGTTTGCCAAGCCTCTTGGAACAAGGCAGCGTGGAACAGTTCACGCTATTGAATGAATGGATCAGAGTCTGTGACTCGACGCATGATAAGTGTCGTCGCGACAATGCAGGAGACATCTTAACGATGCCGACGCGCCTCATAGAGGTTGGTGAGCCCGTCCGTCTAGTGGATTCCGCCTCAATCAAAACCTCTCCATATGTAGCTCTTAGCCACTGTTGGGGTCCGCTCAAAGACAATGAAAAGTTCTGCACTTCCAAGCGCAACATCGAACAGCTTAAATCATGTATCCCTCTTCACAGCCTCCCTCGTACGTTCCGGGACACAGTCACTATAACACGAGGGCTCCGCATCAAGTATATCTGGATCGACTCGTTGTGTATCATCCAGGACGACGACGATGACTGGGAACGCGAGTCGGGCAAAATGGAGCGAGTTTTCAGTGATGCGTACTGCACTATCGGAGCCAGTTCAGGCAGGTCCTCTCTTGAGGGATTCCTTGCGGACCGTACACCCCGGGATTACGTGCAGCTGCAGACGCAAAGCGCCGGGGCACTCTACGTGTGCCCTGCTATCGACGACTTTCATCGCCACGTCGAGCTTGGAGAGCTCAACCGCCGTGGATGGGTGTTGCAGGAGAGGGCGCTGTCGCGTCGCTCCATATACTTTACATCCACGCAGGTGTACTGGGAGTGCGGAAAGGGGGTACAGTGCGAGACTTTGGCCCGTCTTTACAAGTAAGTTTTTTGGTTCCAGCCTTACATGTTCAAAACTGGGGATTCTCCTTTTCTTTAGACGTCTCATCTACTCACATCACAACTCCAGCTCCAAAGCCGCCTTGCTCGGCGACGCCAATTTCCCGAATTCCGCCCTGGAGTACTACCGGGACGGGAGGCAGGTGCTGATCCAGGACCTCTATGAACGGTACTCTGGGCTGGCGTTCACGAAGCCGTCGGACCGACCGGTGGCGATCCTGGGACTCCAGGAGCGGTTGGCAAGGGCATTCCGGACACAAGCCGCATACGGATGCTTTGCAGTGTACTTCGCGCGTGGCATCCTCTGGACGCGCCGCGATGACAAGCGCATGACGCGCATTATTCTACCAGCTGGCCGTCGCGTTCCGAGTTGGTCGTGGATCTCCAAAGAAGGTCCCATCAAATACATGGAGTTGAAGTTCAAAGAGATCGACTGGGCGACCACGGTGGACTTCGAGAACCCATTTACTCGCGAGCTTGCCGCAGAGCCCGAGCAGTCTTCAGGATTGGGCGTTGGCGGAGAATTGGGGACTTTACGTGGACTAGCAAGGAGAATCCAGATGACAAAGTGGGAGGTCTTAAACTATATAATTTTTGACGAGGAGGGGCCGCCCGATTACGAGGATCTCCGGTGTGTTGTCATTGGGCGGGACAAGGTCGAAAATGGCGAGGATAATCCCAAGCATCATGCGCTTATTATTCTACAGGTTAGAAGTGTTCTGGGGGTAGACATTTATGAGAGGGTAGGAGTAGCATCCTTGAAACCGGAACATGTGGAAAGTGGAGGGGCGTGGGTTAGAATTATGTAACGACTCCCACACCTTTCTGCTTTTTAGGCTGTACTCTTCTTAATAGGAATGAAAGAAAAGACAAGATTTAGACTATCCCACAAGAGGGAAAAGAACAGAAACCCCGTCTCTCATATTTCAGTACTAGGATAGTCGTGCAGCTTCACGAATCCTATGACTTCTTCGAAGATCGCATAACAATATCAACGAATGTGAGTCATTACAAGTCTCTCTTGCTTATCCAACTTATAGGACTTACGTCTTGTTGATGTAGCTTCTTGCATCCGGGTGGAGCCACATCCACTCAACTCTGTAAATAAGCTGTTGTAAGGCCCACCTTACCTGGGCAGCAAGTCGCGGAGTTAGTTACGTGAGTGGAAATATTAGGACTGCACCAGTTCCTGAGAGCAAATAGCATCATTGAGGAAAGCGAGTGAACGAATAGTCGGCGAAGCAAATATCTCACTTGCTTCTCATTTCAAGCCTTCTATCTTGCTCAGGGCCATATCACCCAGTGGCCACCCTCCGGTCCCTCAGTCTCATGAGCAGCCAGACTAACCTTCATTCCAGCCTCAATGCAGGCTTCCCTTTCTGCCACGCCATGTCGCTGCTCATCCGCTTCGGGCACGGCTTTAATGACATGGAGGGTTTGAGATTGAATACTTAGAAGACAATATTCCACCATTTCTTATACCACGGCCACTTCGCCTGGATTTCCCTCTCCTCTGCCAGAATGGCGGGCAAATCCATCTCTCTGCGTCCGCTAGCAATATCGATGTCCTTGAGTCTCTTGTATTTTGTCTTCTTAATGATTTTAAACGCGGCATAGAATACAATGACAATCGGCAGAGCGAGGTAAGCCTCAAAGAAGCCCTGGGCGATCTCTGATGAGGTCTCGGAAGCATAACCTACCGGCCATATAGCGGTCCAGAATTGTGCAGTGAGGATCAATAGGTTCATGATCAGCCTGACCCAGGAGCCGTAATAGCCAGGCTGAGAAGTGAAGGCTGGTTCGTCGAGAGCGTGGCCGTTGTATTTCCAAGCATGTCTGAAGCGGATATGACAGGCACAGATGGAAGCCCAAGTGAAAATTGAGCTCAGGCCTGAAGTTGCCAACATCCAGTTGAAGGCTTGCACTCGAGTAGCTGTTCCCGCAGCGACGATGAAGCAAAGGAGTCCGGTGGCCGAAGCGAGAATAATGGAAATAAGCGGTCTTCCAGCGTTATCGATATAACCGAGGATCTTTGGTGCTTGTCCACGATCTGCGAGGGCAGCCATTGTTCTCGACGAGCCGTAGATTGATGAATTTCCTACGCTGAGTACGGCAATGAGAATGACGGCGTTCATGATAGAAGGCACCACGGAAATTCCAGCGTTCCTAACGGCGATAACGAAGGGCGAGGCGTTGGCATCTGGGCTACCAGTGCCATTCAGAAGTCCTGGGTCGTTATATGGAACAAGGCAGCCAACGACTGTTAGAGAAACAATGTAAAACTATGTATATTTGTTAGTCTTTACAAGCTCCAGAATATGTGACCTTACCAAGGTAATACGCCAGAAAACTTGTTTAACAGCTGGTGGCAATGATTTACGAGGGTTCTGGGCCTCTGCTGCAGTCAGGCCCACAAGTTCGGTTCCACTAAACGAGAATGCTGCCGTTACGAAGACCGAGCAGAGGCCCTTGTAGCCGTGGTTGAAGGCTCCGGGGCTGTACCAGTAACCTGCGCCAAGATATCCTTGCGGGCTTCCTGGTACGCCACCTGCTGCAATAATGATGCCCAGAAGGATAAATCCAATGACTGCAATGACCTTGATAATAGAGAAGACAAATTCTGCTTCACCATATCCACGGACACCGAAGAAGTTGATAGCGACAATCACAACCCAAAAGATGACCACGAAAGCTGCAGGGCTGATATCTTTTGCACCTGGCCAGTATGAAACGGTGATCGAAGCTGCTGTGAGCTCAAGAAGAAGGGTGACAAGCCAATTCAGGGCGTAACTAAAGGTGGGATTATAGTTAGAAAATGGCATTTTTCGCTGGAGACTAGGCTACAGGACTTACTCCCAACTCATTGCGAAACCCCAAGCAGGGTCGATGAATCGACTCGAGTAGACCGAGAAAGCACCCGCAATCGGGAATGCAACGGCTAGTTCGCCAAGGGCATGGACTGTGCAGAATAACATGACGCCAATCAAGCCATAAGCTATTATAAGTGATGCTGGGCCACCAGTTGCCAAAGCAGAGCCAGAACCAACGAAGAGACCAGTGCCCGAGAGATATGTCAGGTTTATACCTGCTGATATTTGGATGGCAACACACCAATTGAACCTCCAATTGCAATCATCTGAAGATGGCGTGGTTTGAGCTTCATGGCCAATGCAGGCTCCGCGGGTGGCTGGTCTGGAAGGGGACAACCTTCCAGGTCAGTGGCTTCTGTAACCACTCGAGCATTTGGGTTGCGCTTGAAACTGTTGGGTGTGAAGGCAGAAAAGAATCCGTCATGATGCGTCGTCACGCTGCTAATTTGCGCCTGCGCATCTTTGTCGTATTGTGGAGCCGGGTACGTCTCATCTGAGCTGTTGCCGTTCTTGTAAGCAACTTTCTCGGCATCGTCGTGGAGAGCCAAATCCGCGTTCGCCATTGTGTAATCTGTATCTCAAGTTTTCGGGCGGAGTTAGGACGAGCAACATAGGATGGTGTAGCGTTGAAGCTCCAGGGTCCTTCTTTTCTGAGTAAGGACATGGTATCGTCGGTCCGATCCAAAAGCGACAAAACAGTCGCCCTTTTGCGCCCAAAATGACTTTTTTTTATCCATGACCCCGGTTAATTAATACCTAGTAATGAAATTATAGAAAAGAACCAGGCAAATAAAATCTAATAATCAGATATTTAATGCGATTATTAGTTAATTAATAATAAAAGTTTTAAAATATATAGACGTTTTTTACTTTTTTGAATTTTAATTATATAAAACACAAATATATTTTTAAATAATTATATATCTAAGTAAATAATATATTAAATTCAGAATAATAAAGCCTTTAAGCTTTTATAAGCTTAGAATATATAATAAGAGCTTATATATTAAGAGTTATTACTAAAGAGAATATAATATATAAAATGTCAATTCTTTAGTTTAGTAAAGCATTACTAATATATTAGCTATAGCTGTGGCACCTAATAAAATTATAGAAGCCATATAATTTTATATACCGCTAACTAAGCGAGACTCCCCTGCCCATACTAGTAATATCTAGCCGGACAAAGAAATAATTTTAATTATATATAACTTTATATACTTTATAATATGTAATTTTTTACTAATATAAAACGCGAAAATTTCTATATAAACTCATATAAAAATAATTGCGTGCTTTATAACTCTTATAATATTAAAGGTATTAAATATTAAAGGTATTAAATATTAAAGGTATTAAATATCAAAGGTATTAAATATCAAAGAACGGGGAATTAATTACTATAAGATATACAATAATTCTAATTAATATAATATATATTATTTACTATTTTGGTAGACTTTTTTTTTATTTTGCCGCTTCTGGATCGGACCGACTATTCTTTTGCTTTTCTTTCAGCTACAGTACCCCGTCACTAACTGCCGAATAATAATCCAGGGTCTTTCTTATCGAAGGATAGAGACGGCGTGGTACCCAGATATCAAGGCTAAAGAATGCACAAGACCAACTGCCAAGAGAGCTTAAGAAGCTTAAAAGCATGGCGCCGCGAATTGTCTATACAAGATTTTCATAGGGTTATTATACTTTGCCAGTGAACATAAGTTCTAGCTTCAGAAGATAAGATAAATGATAAAGGGCGTGATCGGATCGTCCACTATGATTCAGTCAATCAAGCCCAGGAAGTAGATCGGGACCAATTGCGGGAGTCAATACGCCGCAGACGCAATCACCCTGCGCCTTCGCATTTCTGTCTGGGGGGCGCTGACTCCCATTCCGCAGCGAGAAAACTCGCGATTCGTTCCAACCTCCAAGGGGCTCGAGATCGCAAATCTGAATACTTTTAATTTTTTCCTTTTCCGTCGGATCGGTCTTCATCTTCTGGGTATTTTCAAGGCAAACTTTGATGTTAAAGAAAGACAGTGACATGAAAAAGGTAATCTTGGACTAGCTTCATAGATACCTCGCCCAACTTGTGACCTTCAGCTAGTGCCCACAAGAGTTGCCGAGAAATGATTAGCCTGTAAGGGCGTCACGAAACAAGGGATCCCGGGATCCCCGTCTTCTCTAGCGTCTCACTAAACGTTCGGAGTGCAGGAGAGTGCAGTGCAGGGGCAACGGGCGCTCTACGCTAGTGTATGAATAAGCCATGCGTCCATGGCTACTGAAGAACTAAATAGATGTCTGGTCGACTCACGAGTTCCTAAACCTATTAGACTTGTAAATATATCGAAATTTCTAATACGAAACTCTCAATTTCAACTTCCCGTGATGTAATAAAACATTGAATCCGCGTACTAGGAACGACTCAAGGGAAGCAGCCTGATAGAATACTACCGTCGTATGATAGCATAATACCATGCACGTGATCATTCCGATCATGTGTATTCCTCATAAATTATTAACAGCTGCGAGACATTATACGACGAGGATTGAAGCCAGCGATCTCACTAACTGGTAGTTCTACGGGGCTTAATATTAATAGTGGATTTAATATTGCGCCCGGTCGGGGGCCTTTAATTATAACTAGTAGCCTGGCCATTATATTAAATAATTTAATTAATTATAATTAATTAATTAGTTATATAATATTATATGTATTATAATATAAAACTAAAGTTTATTTTAGTCTAGTTTAGGTATTATTTTATTATAATAAGCTTAATAGCTAATATAATAGATATTGTTTTATAATTACTATAAATTAGATTTAGTTAAGATTTAGGCTAAACTTAATATTTTAGAAGTTTTAGTCTTACTTATTTATTTACTATTTGTTGGTATAGCTGTTCCTTTGGGAGTTACGTACATAGTTACGGGATACGGGATACGGGACATAGGCAATGGGATATGGGCAATGGGATATGGGATACGGGACATAGTCATGTAACCTCGCGTCCCATTAGTGACTCGACCAGTAGACTAGACCCCTTTAGGCTTAGCAGATTTAGGGATCGCATATTAATACTACGATACTGCAATCCCTACTTCTAAATAATAACAACTTCACCAACCAATATAACCAGTATTTCCATGCCTACGTGACGGTACCATGCATTACTAGTGAACCGATACTAATCAGTTTATATATACAGATCAGAGAATAGAATCTTTTGAGCTAAAGAAGTATCCGGTAGCCTATAGCAAAATTGAACTAGTCTACGTCAAAGGGGGGAATTACCTGTTAACTCTATGAAGCATCCAGTGGCCTAAGGGAGAAAACAGCTAGCTCTTGCCAAGGACCGATAACTACTCCATTAAAGGGGGGAATTACTCATTAACTCTATAAAGCATCCGGTGGCCTAAGGGAGAAGACTCTAGTTCTTGCTAATTAATAAGCAGTCAGCCATTTGGCCATCTATCTATTTAACTATCTACTATCCTTTAAAACCAACTTCTTTTGGCCCCAAGACTACTTTCTTAGAACCCATCTTTTCTATTTATATAATACCTATATCTACGGGATACTCTCTCCGGAATATATACTTTATATACGCCCTTAAAGCTCTTTAACTACTACTTTGATTTTACTATTAAATCGAGTCCTTTGAGCTTTAGACCCTCCCGGAATTATAATATTTCACTTCCTAAATTTCTCATTACAGACAAAATATTTAAGGGCGAAATATTTATTTTAATACCCATAATACCCCTAGGTATCTAAGGCATCTGGTATCTGAACCAGGTATCTGGTATCTGAACTAGGTATCTAATATCTAAACCAGATATCTGGATACCTTTACTACTAAACCCTTTCTATAAACTTACTACGAACTACCTTACCTTTAAACCTCTCTTACTACGAATTACACATATATTAAGAAGGGCTTAATTCTAGGGGTTCGGTATAGCAGAACTATAGGATATATATATATAGATAAAGAAGTAAAAAGGCGATATTAACCTAATTACCTATAGTAATAAGGAAGTCCTAGACTACCTTAATACTAGACTATTCTAGTATAAGATAAAGAAGTTAACTAATAATAATCTCTGGGAATTATTTAAGGAGGATTTTAGTAATTTCGACTTTAAAATACTTAATTATCTAGATTAATATATATTATATAAATTACGAGCTATTTTATAATACGGTAGTATTTATATTAAATAAAATAATAAGGAACTTATTATTATATAATCCTTAGTTAATATTATTTAGGAAGAAGAGTAATATACCTGAACTATAGCTAATATTATTACTACTAGACTAGACCTTAATACGGGTCCTATTACCTTATTATATATATCTCTTAATAATAGTATTATAAGAAATTAATAAACTAAACTAATTATTACTTATATTTCTTTATTATCTATAATTACTTCTATTAGTACCGGACTATAAAAAGCTAGTAGTAACGGATTTCTATTACTTCTATTACTTCTATTATCTTTAAATAGCCCTTTAGCTAGCCCTCTTATTATAAAGCTAATTAGAAAAGTAGTAAAAATATATACTAAGATATAAAAATATAATAGAATTAATAGTAGTTTTAACTAAAAACTTACTATTTTCCTTAATATTTACTAATATATAAAGCTTCTATAAGAGGTATTTAACTAAGAGCTTTTCCTACTATATTAAAAGAACTAATATAAGATTATTTTTATAATAACTAGCTCTCTTAATATATATATAAAGAAGCCTATATAAATATTTATAGTTTCTTTAAAGGCCCTGGTTTTTAATATCGAAACTTAAACAAATAAAATACTACTATAATAGTAATTATAATAGCTTAATACCCTAAAAAAACAATATTTGAGCTTGTCTAGTTACTAATTAATAACCTATATAAATTATAATATAGACTAGTATCTATTCTATAAAATACCAAATTCCTATATAATAAGATTATTACTTCTTATTAAGGTATACTAGTATACTAATATATAGTCTCGGATTCTTCTTCTAATCTTGGCTAACTTATTAATAAGCTCTAATTATTTATTACTATTTATAAGAAGAAATAATAGATTAATACTAAGATTCTCTTTATTAATTAATAATACTATTCTTAAAACTCTTTAAACTATTATTCGTCCGGAAATTATTAATACGGACCTAGCTATAACTTCGGAACCTATAATAACTATTTCAAGTCCTATAACCATAATAATTATACTCCGAAGTTATATTTTATATATAAGAGACCCAAATACCGTTTATAGAAGTATATATCAGAGAAATAAGAGGCTAAGAAGGCTTGATTTAAGATAGAAATATTTACTAATTTAGATCCCGAAATACCTATAACTTTAATAAATACTTTAGTAATACTTATATATAGTATATTACCGAATTTAAAAGAGAAAAGAATAATAAAAGTAATAAAAATAAACTAGTAAGTAATATTTTTAAAGCCTTACTAGTAGAAACGGATAAAGAAAAGAAATATTACTCTAATTCCTACTTTATTTCTATTAAGAGCTTTTTAGCTGC